ACGTGGATGACGTGTTGGTCACCGGCAGCTCGCTCGAGTTGATTGCGCAGACGAAGGCCGACCTCAAGACGCGTTTCGAGATGACCGACAGTGGCAAGTGTACTTTTGTACTGGGCATCGAACTGGTGGACGAATCGGATTGCAGCGTGACAATGTGCCAGCGAAGGTATGTCAACGACATCCTCAAGCGCTTCGGCATGGATGAGTGCAAGGCCACAGCAAGTCCGGTCGACTTGAGCACTCGGCTTGTCGCAAGCACCGAAGCGGCCAAGATCGACGTTCCGTTTCGTGAAGCTGTGGGAGCTTTGATGCACTTGACGACTGCGACGCGCCCGGACATTGCGTATGCTGTGGGGTACGTCTCGCGCTTCATGGAGAATCCGCAGCAAGAACATTGGACGGCGGTGAAGCGCATCTTTCGTTACTTGCAAGGGACCAAGTCGCACGGACTCCGCTTCCAGCCAAGCAACAAGATCGACTTTCGTGGCTACTCGGACGCGGACTGGGCCGGCGACCACGCTGATCGCAAGTCGACTTCGGGTTACACTTTCATGCTGATGGGTGCTCCTGTGAGTTGGGGAAGCAAGAAGCAGTCAAGTGTGTCGCTGTCGACGAGTGAAGCGGAATACATCGCACTGAGTCTGGCCATCCAGGAAGGCAAGTGGGTGCATCGCCTGCTATGCGAGATTTTGGCGGCCGCAAACGAACCAGGACCGGACCTCGTCATCCGTCAAGACAACCAGTCGTGCATCAAGATGACGAAGAATCCGGTGAATCATGGCCGCGCCAAGCACATCGACATCAAGTACCATCACATCCGTAATGAGGTCAAGCGCGGGGAAGTGCAGCTCGAGTATTGCGAGACTTCCGTGATGATGGCGGACATCATGACCAAGGGACTTTCGGGACCTCGTCACAAGGACTTGACGACGGCTCTCGGCATTCGTGCGAGTTCGGATTGAGGGGGCGTGTTGACGGTCATCGGTTTCTACCAGTATTGGTAACCGTGACCGGTCCAATCCGAACCGCCTGTTCAGCTTAGTATTTACGACGTAGTTCTTACGGTAATTACCATAGTTGATTAGACGCGTAGGATGATGAGACGCTTCACATGATTTATATGTGCACCACATATAAATCATGTAGTAAGTAGTAAGCCCCGATAATCAATCACTTTCCAATCTTCCATCTACCCCCAAGTGTCTTCTCCGGTCTTCCGAGTGGACTCCCAGCATCACTCCCAGTTTCGGTCGTCAAGCTTTTCACCAATCAACACAACCGTCACCAGAAACGACGATCAAGTGCTCCAGAAACAATGTCTGATGACGAAGAAGATGCAAGCGTCTACGATCAAGATGACGACTCGACGCCTCCAACATTTTGGCGTGCCAGTGCAAACGCAGTGGAAGCAACGGACCTAGCAGAACCTGTGACTTTTCAAGACGCGATCAATGGTCCTGATCAAGCTCACTGGCGAAATGCTGTGAAGGCGGAACTCAAGTCGATGCAACTTCGTGGAGTTTTCCGTGCGGCAAAACTGCCAAGAGGCCAAGGCGCGATCGGCACCAAGTGGGTGTTCAATATCAAGCGCAAAGCAGATGGATCGGTCGAGAAATTCAAGGCGCGTCTCGTTGACAAGGGCTTCAAGCAGAAGTACGGCATCGACTACACAGAGACGTTCTCGCCCGTGGTCAAGTACGTGACACTGCGTATGGTGATCGCGATCACCAAGTATTTCGACTGGCCACTGGACCAACTCGATGTGGTGACAGCCTTTCTCTACGGAGTGATGAAGGAGAAGGTGTACTGCGTGATACCAGAAGGCGTCGAGATGGATGGCGACTTCGACTGTATCGAGTTGGTGAAGGCGATCTACGGTCTCAAGCAAGCTTCACGTGTGTGGAACGAGACTTTCGACGAGTTCGTATGCTCTATCGGTTTCGAGGCGTCGGCGTTCGACCCATGTCTCTACATCAAGGTTGTCGACGGTCACTGTGTGCTCGTGCTGGTCTACGTGGATGACGTGTTGGTCACCGGCAGCTCGCTCGAGTTGATTGCGCAGACGAAGGCCGACCTCAAGACGCGTTTCGAGATGACCGACAGTGGCAAGTGTACTTTTGTACTGGGCATCGAACTGGTGGACGAATCGGATTGCAGCGTGACAATGTGCCAGCGAAGGTATGTCAACGACATCCTCAAGCGCTTCGGCATGGATGAGTGCAAGGCCACAGCAAGTCCGGTCGACTTGAGCACTCGGCTTGTCGCAAGCACCGAAGCGGCCAAGATCGACGTTCCGTTTCGTGAAGCTGTGGGAGCTTTGATGCACTTGACGACTGCGACGCGCCCGGACATTGCGTATGCTGTGGGGTACGTCTCGCGCTTCATGGAGAATCCGCAGCAAGAACATTGGACGGCGGTGAAGCGCATCTTTCGTTACTTGCAAGGGACCAAGTCGCACGGACTCCGCTTCCAGCCAAGCAACAAGATCGACTTTCGTGGCTACTCGGACGCGGACTGGGCCGGCGACCACGCTGATCGCAAGTCGACTTCGGGTTACACTTTCATGCTGATGGGTGCTCCTGTGAGTTGGGGAAGCAAGAAGCAGTCAAGTGTGTCGCTGTCGACGAGTGAAGCGGAATACATCGCACTGAGTCTGGCCATCCAGGAAGGCAAGTGGGTGCATCGCCTGCTATGCGAGATTTTGGCGGCCGCAAACGAACCAGGACCGGACCTCGTCATCCGTCAAGACAACCAGTCGTGCATCAAGATGACGAAGAATCCGGTGAATCATGGCCGCGCCAAGCACATCGACATCAAGTACCATCACATCCGTAATGAGGTCAAGCGCGGGGAAGTGCAGCTCGAGTATTGCGAGACTTCCGTGATGATGGCGGACATCATGACCAAGGGACTTTCGGGACCTCGTCACAAGGACTTGACGACGGCTCTCGGCATTCGTGCGAGTTCGGATTGAGGGGGCGTGTTGACGGTCATCGGTTTCTACCAGTATTGGTAACCGTGACCGGTCCAATCCGAACCGCCTGTTCAGCTTAGTATTTACGACGTAGTTCTTACGGTAATTACCATAGTTGATTAGACGCGTAGGATGATGAGACGCTTCACATGATTTATATGTGCACCACATATAAATCATGTAGTAAGTAGTAAGCCCCGATAATCAATCACTTTCGAATCTTCCATCTACCCCCCAAGTGTCTTCTCCGGTCTTCCGAGTAGACTCCCAGCATCACTCCCAGTTTCGGTCGTCAAGCTTTTCACCATTCAACAATATGGCATTGACTACACGGAGACGTGTTTGCCGGTAGTCAAGTACGTGACGCTGCGCATGGTAGTTGCAATCACGAAGTACTTTGACTGGAAACTGGACCTACTGGACGTGGTGACAGCTTTGCTATGCGGAGAGATGAAGGAAAAGGTATTCTGCGCGATCCCAGAAGGGGTCGAAGTTGATGAAGACTTTGACTGCTTCGAATTGGTGAAGGCGATCTACGGACTAAAACAAGCATCGCGAGTATGGAACGAGACTTTCTATGAGTTCGTCTGCTCCATTGGATTCCAAGTATCCGATTTTGACCCGTGTCTTTATCTCAAAATTACAAGTGGCGAGTGCGTGCTTTTGCTGGTATACGTCGATGATGGGTTGGTGACTGGCAGCTCGACCGAACTGATTATGCGTACCAAGAGTGACTTGAAGGCGCGTTTCGAAATGACTGACAGCGGCAAGTGCGCATTCGTGTTGGGCATCGAGCTGGTGGACAGCGACAATGGTAGCGTGACGATGTGCCAGCGACGCTACGTGGAAGATGTTCTCAAGCGTTTTGGCATGAGCGACTGCAAAGCCGTCACCAGCCCAACAGAAATCAGTTCTTGACTCATAACAAACAGTGCAGTAACCAAAATGGACGCCCCGTTTTGTGAAGCAGTAGGCGCTTTAATGCACTTGATGACCGCGACACGACCGGACATTGCCTTTGCTGTGAGTTACATTTCGCGCTTCATGGAAAACCTCCAAGTCGAGCACTGGATGGCGGTCGAGCGCATTTTGCGATACTTACAAGGGACTAAGTCGCACGGCATCGGTTTCAAGTCTGATGACAAGGTAGACTTCTGCGGCTACTTGGATGTAGACTGGGCCGGCGACCATGCAGACCGCAAGTCGACTTCGGGATATGCGTTCATCCTGATGGGTGCTCCAGTGAGCTGGGGAATCAAAAAGCAGTCAAGTGTGTCGCTGTCAACAAGTGAAGCTGAGTACATTGCCTTAAGTCTGGCTATTCAAGAAGGCAAGTGGTGCATCGATTGCTATGCGAGATTCCGGATGCCGCAGAGGACAAGTCTGGGACCCGAGCTCAAGATCATGTAAGACAACCAATCGTGCGTCAAGATGACGAAGAACCCTGTGAACCATGGTCGGGCCAAGCGCATCGACACTTGTTGTCTATTGACGGTCATCGGTTTCTACCAGTATTGGTAACCGTGACCGGTCCAATCCGAACCGCCGGTTCAGCTTAGTATTTACGACGTAGTTCTTACGGTAATTACCATAGTTGATTAGACGCGTAGGATGATGAGACGCTTCACATGATTTATATGTGCACCACATATAAATCATGTAGTAAGTAGTAAGGCCCGATAATCAATCACTTTCCAATCTTCCATCTTGTTGCATTGTAGATCGGAGCGAGGAAAGCGGAGCAAACGGAGCGGAGAGACCGAAGAGAGTAGAGCAGAAAACACTTGCCCAATAGTTGGAAGATTCGAAAGTGATTGATTAGTCGGAGGTTATTCTTACTACTGCCTGATTTATATGTGGTCCACATATAAATCATGTGAAGCGTCTCATCATCCTACGCGTCTAATCAACTATGGTAATTACCGTAAGAACTACGTCGTAAATACTAAGCTGAACAGGCGGTTCGGATTGGATCGGTCACGGTTACCAATACTGGTAGAAAACCGATGACCGTCAACACGCCCCCTCAATCCGAATGCTCACGAATCCCGAGAGTCGCCGTCATCTCCTTGTGGCGTGGCCCGTGAAGTCCCTTCGTCATGATGTCCGCTAACATCACCGCAGTTTCACAGTACTTGAGCTTCACTTCACCGCGCTTGACCTCATCACGGATGTGATGGTACTTGATATCAATGTGCTTGGCACGGCCGTGGTTGACTGGGTTCTTCGTCATCTTGATACACGACTGATTGTCTTCATGGATCATGAGTTCCGGTCCTTCTTCATTGGCAGCCATCACGATCTCACAAAGCAGACGATGAATCCACTTGCCCTCTTGAATCGCCAAGCTGAGTGCGATGTATTCGGCTTCACTCGTGGACAACGAAACACTTGGCTGCTTCTTGCTGCCCCAACTGACTGGCGCACCGAGTAGCATGAACGTGTACCCCGATGTTGACTTGCGGTCGGTAAGATCACCAGCCCAATCCGCATCCGAATATCCACGGAAGTCGATCCTTGCACTTGGCTTGTAGCAAATTCCATGCGTCTTGGTGCCTTGTAGGTAGCGAAAGATACGCTTAACTGCAACCCAGTGTTCTTCTTGGGGATTTTCCATGAACCGCGACACATAGCCCACAGCAAACGCAATGTCCGGACGCGTTGCAGTGGTCAGGTGCATCAACGCACCAACAGCTTCGCGAAAAGGAGCATCGACCTTGGTAGTTGCATCACTTGAAACAAGTCGAGAGCTCATGTCGACTGGACTTGCGACTGCCTTGCAATCATCCATGCCAAAGCGCTTGAGGATATCATCGACATACCGACGCTGACATAGTGTCACACTGCCATCTTCACCGTCCAAAAGCTCGATCCCAAGAACAAACGCACACTTGCCACTGTCCGTCATTTCGAACCGCGTCTTCAGGTCGTTCTTGGTTTGTGCAATCAGCTCGAGTGAGCTTCCAGTCACCAAGACGTCGTCCACGTAGACCAGTATAAACACGCAATGGCCGTCCGAAGTCTTGATGTAGAGACATGGGTCGAAGTCCGATACTTGAAATCCGATGGAGCACACATACTCGTCGAACGTCTCGTTCCACACTCGCGACGCTTGCTTGAGGCCGTAAATTGACTTCACCAATTCCAGGCAGTCGAACGTACTGTCAAGTTCGACGCCTTCAGGAATCACGCAGAACACTTGTTCCTTCATGACGCCATACAGGAAAGCTGTCACCACATCAAGCTGGTCGATGGGCCATCCAAAATGCTTGGAAATTGCGATCACCATTCGCAGCGTCACATACTTGACCACAGGCGAAAACGTCTCCGTGTAGTCGATGCCATACTTTTGGCGGAAACCCTTGGCCACAAGTCGTGCCTTGTACTTCTCGATTGACCCATCCGCCTTGCGCTTGATCTTGAACACCCATTTTGTGCCAATGGCGCGTTGTCCGTTGGGCAGCTTGGCTGCACGAAACACACCGCGAAGTCGCATTGACTCGAGCTCTGCATGAATTGCTTTTCTCCAGTGCACTTGGTCAGGGCCGCTTACTGCTGCTTCAAATGTTGAGGGTTCTGATAAGTCCACTGCTGCTTCAACGGCATTTGCACTCGCACGCCAAAACACAGGCGGTGTTGAATCACCAGAATCCTTCGTTTCTTCGTCTTCTTCTTGTCGTGACGAGTTGTTTTCCGGCGCGCTTGACTCTTCTAGTCCTGGTCGTTGACGCACTGCACGCGGTCGTGGAGCTGCTGTATCTTCATCATTGAGTCGGTTCTTGCGCTTGCCTGTTTGCTTGTACTCCATTTGACGCAGCTCTTCGTCATCAAGATCCAGCAATTCGAAGTCCAGGTCATCGACATCTTCATCAGTGATCGGCAGTTGAAGTCCAAAGGTGGACTCGTCGAAGTTGACATCGCGGCTGATAACCACCTGCCCCGCCTCGATGTCATAAACACGATATGCCTTCGAAACTTCTTCGTAGCCCACGAATATGCCAGCGCGAGCCTTTGGATCCCACTTGAGTCGATTCTCTTTAGGCGTCAGTATGTATGTCTGACACCCGAATGTTCGCATGTGCTTGACGCTTGGTTTCAAGTTGTAGACGATCTCAAACGGGGTCTTGTGCACGACTTTAGGTGACGGCAGTCGATTCTTGACGTAGATGGCCGTCATCGCTGCTTCGGCCCAGAAACACTTGTCCAGTTTGGCATGATGAAGCATGCTGCGGCCGATCGTGACAATAGTCCTAATGGCACGCTCTGCTGTTCCGTTTGTTTGATGTGCATACGGCACCGTTGTCTGCTGTTCAATGCCTTCGTCTTCGTAGAACAGTTGAAGCGAGTTGGTTGCAAACTCGCGAGCTCCGTCGTGTCGCACGAACTTGACCTTCTTACAGAATTGCGTCTGTACCATGGTGATATATTTCCGGATGTAGTCTTCACCCTCGGACTTCACTCGTAGACAAAAGCCCTTCATGCATCCACTGGCTTCGTCGATGATCAGCAGCAAATATTTGCTGCCACCGAGCGAATCCTTTTCCATGAGCCCGCAGATGTCCAGATGAAGTAGCTCAAACGTATCGTAGCTGCGCTTGTCTCGGTTGCTTGGAAATGGTTTTTAGACCATTTTCCCTTGTTGATATCCTCGACATGTAGTTGCTCCACCCGACTTGAGAGGGACTCGCACATCCTTGATCATGTTGGTCGCGATCATCTTGCGAAGTACATCGACTGGAGCATGACCCATTCTCGCATGTAGATCGGCACAACTGGTTCCACTTGCTGTCACATTCGCTGATCGTTGAGTCGTCCGAAGCCAGTAGAGTCCATCCACGAGATCCGCTGTCGCCACCACTTGCTGTGAGTTCTTGAGAGTCACATACATCTTGGACCCGTCAAACACGACTTGAAACTTGCCATGGCTGTTAATCTGTGGCACCGAGAGCAGGTTCTTGCTCATACTTGGAACATATAGTGCGTTCTTGATTTCGATGTCGCGCTCTTCGCCGTTGGGCAGAACCACTCGTCGATGATGGTTCCCATACCCTTGATTGCGGCCTTGTTGCCGTTTGCCACCAAGAGTTCGCCCTCATTGCGCTCTGCCAAACTTGCGAACTTGGTCTTGTCGTGGCAAATGTGGTGCGTTGCACCACTGTCGACGGCCCACATTCCAGACACGTCCTTGCTCGTCGAAACTCCACATTCGAACGAGACTGCAAACGCCACTCGATCGTAGCCATTGCCTTCATCATGATGTCCCCACTGGACATTGTTAGCCCCGCGTCCACGACCATTGCCGCCGCGTCGGGCTCCCCGACCTTCGTTCTTCTGCTTTGTCCAGCAACGATCCACCGTGTGTCCCACCTTGCCACAATACGTGCATTGGTAGGGCTCACGCTCGGCGCTGAATGCCTTGCTTGCATCTTCAGCCTTCACCGTAGTCGCTGTCGTTGTCCCTTTTTCTCCTTGACGCTTGGCATGCTCATTCGTCAGGACTCTCACCACATCTTAAGTGCGAAGCTCGGTGCTGCTCATTTCCATGTTGAGCACCACATTTTCGTAGCTCTTCGGAAGACTGAGTAGCAGACAAATTGCAACGTCTTCGTCTTCCATCTTCGCACCGATGCCGCTAAGCTTGGCGGAGATGTTGAGGACCTCGTTGCAGTGATGCATGACGTTCGCGCCTTCAGCCATCTTGATACTGAAAAGTTGTCGCTTGAGGTAGATGCGTCCTGCCTTCTGCGACCCACCGTACAGCGTCTTTAGACTTGTCCACGCAACCCAGGCTTCCTCGCAGTTGTCCAGCACATGATGGTAGTCCGCGTTCATGTGCAGCAGCATCATACCAAACGCGACGTTGCTTGCCTTGACGTAGTCATCGGACGCTCGCGGGTCGGTGAAAGTCGGAGTCACTTCACGGTTGACAACGTGCCAGACGGACTTCGTCAAAAAACACACCGCGCATGTACCGGCTACACGTTGCGTAATTGTCTCCGTTGAACTTGTCAATGGAGGCGTTGCTGATGGACGACATGGCGCTTGGGCTCATAACCTGTTGCATTGTAGATCGGAGCGAGGAAAGCGGAGCGAACGGAGCGGAGAGACCGAAGAGAGTAGAGCAGAAAACACTTGCCCAATAGTTGGAAGATTCGAAAGTGATTGATTATCGGGGCTTACTACTTACTACATGATTTATATGTGGTGTACATATAAATCATGTGAAGCGTCTCATCATCCTACGCGTCTAATCAACTATGGTAATTACCGTAAGAACTACGTCGTAAATACTAAGCTGAACAGGCGGTTCGGATTGGATCGGTCACGGTTACCAATACTGGTAGAAAACCGATGACCGTCAACAACATGGGTCGAAGTCCGATACTTGAAATCCGATGGAGCACACATACTCGTCGAACGTCTCGTTCCACACTCGCGACGCTTGCTTGAGGCCGTAAATTGACCTCACCAATTCCAGGCAGTCGAACGTACTGTCAAGTTCGACGCCTTCAGGAATCACGCAGAACACTTGTTCCTTCATGACGCCATACAGGAAAGCTGTCACCACATCAAGCTGGTCGATGGGCCATCCAAAATGCTTGGAAATTGCGATCACCATTCGCAGCGTCACATACTTGACCACAGGCGAAAACGTCTCCGTGTAGTCGATGCCATACTTTTGGCGGAAACCCTTGGCCACAAGTCGTGCCTTGTACTTCTCGATTGACCCATCCGCCTTGCGCTTGATCTTGAACACCCATTTTGTGCCAATGGCGCGTTGTCCGTTGGGCAGCTTGGCTGCACGAAACACACCGCGAAGTCGCATTGACTCGAGCTCTGCATGAATTGCTTTTCTCCAGTGCACTTGGTCAGGGCCGCTTACTGCTGCTTCAAATGTTGAGGGTTCTGATAAGTCCACTGCTGCTTCAACGGCATTTGCACTCGCACGCCAAAACACAGGCGGTGTTGAATCACCAGAATCCTTCGTTTCTTCGTCTTCTTCTTGTCGTGACGAGTTGTTTTCCGGCGCGCTTGACTCTTCTAGTCCTGGTCGTTGACGCACTGCACGCGGTCGTGGAGCTGCTGTATCTTCATCATTGAGTCGGTTCTTGCGCTTGCCTGTTTGCTTGTACTCCATTTGACGCAGCTCTTCGTCATCAAGATCCAGCAATTCGAAGTCCAGGTCATCGACATCTTCATCAGTGATCGGCAGTTGAAGTCCAAAGGTGGACTCGTCGAAGTTGACATCGCGGCTGATAACCACCTGCCCCGCCTCGATGTCATAAACACGATATGCCTTCGAAACTTCTTCGTAGCCCACGAATATGCCAGCGCGAGCCTTTGGATCCCACTTGAGTCGATTCTCTTTAGGCGTCAGTATGTATGTCTGACACCCGAATGTTCGCATGTGCTTGACGCTTGGTTTCAAGTTGTAGACGATCTCAAACGGGGTCTTGTGCACGACTTTAGGTGACGGCAGTCGATTCTTGACGTAGATGGCCGTCATCGCTGCTTCGGCCCAGAAACACTTGTCCAGTTTGGCATGATGAAGCATGCTGCGGCCGATCGTGACAATAGTCCTAATGGCACGCTCTGCTGTTCCGTTTGTTTGATGTGCATACGGCACCGTTGTCTGCTGTTCAATGCCTTCGTCTTCGTAGAACAGTTGAAGCGAGTTGGTTGCAAACTCGCGAGCTCCGTCGTGTCGCACGAACTTGACCTTCTTACAGAATTGCGTCTGTACCATGGTGATATATTTCCGGATGTAGTCTTCACTCTCGGACTTCACTCGTAGACAAAAGCCCTTCATGCATCCACTGGCTTCGTCGATGATCAGCAGCAAATATTTGCTGCCACCGAGCGAATCCTTTTCCATGGGCCCGCAGATGTCCAGATGAAGTAGCTCAAACGTATCGTAGCTGCGCTTGTCTCGGTTGCTTGGAAATGGTTTTTGGACCATTTTCCCTTGTTGACATCCTCAACATGTAGTTGCTCCACCCGACTTGAGAGGGACTCGCACATCCTTGATCATGTTGGTCGCGATCATCTTGCGAAGTACATCGACTGGAGCATGACCCATTCTCGCATGTAGATCGGCACAACTGGTTCCACTTGTTGTCACATTCGCTGATCGTTGAGTCGTCCGAAGCCAGTAGAGTCCATCCACGAGATCCGCTGTCGCCACCACTTGCTGTGAGTTCTTGAGAGTCACATACATCTTGGACCCGTCAAACACGACTTGAAACTTGCCATGGCTGTTAATCTGTGGCACCGAGAGCAGGTTCTTGCTCATACTTGGAACATATAGTGCGTTCTTGATTTCGATCTCACGCTCTTCACCATTGGGCAGAACCACCTTTTCCATGATGGTTCCCATACCCTTGATGGCCACCTTGTTGCCATCAGCCACCAAGAGTTCGCCCTCATTGCGCTCTGCCAAACTTGCGAACTTGGTCTTGTCGTGGCAAATGTGGTGCGTTGCACCACTGTCGACGGCCCACATTCCAGACACGTCCTTGCTCGTCGAAACTCCACATTCGAACGAGACTGCAAACGCCACTCGATCGTAGCCATTGCCTTCATCATGATGTCCCCACTGGACATTGTTAGCCCCGCGTCCACGACCATTGCCGCCGCGTCGGGCTCCCCGACCTTCGTTCTTCTGCTTTGTCCAGCAACGATCCACCGTGTGTCCCACCTTGCCACAATACGTGCATTGGTAGGGCTCACGCTCGGCGCTGAATGCCTTGCTTGCATCTTCAGCCTTCACCGTAGTCGCTGTCGTTGTCCCTTTTTCTCCTTGACGCTTGGCATGCTCATTCGTCAGGACTCTCACCACATCTTGAGTGCGAAGCTCGGTGCTGCTCATTTCCATGTTGAGCACCACATTTTCGTAGCTCTTCGGAAGACTGAGTAGCAGACAAATTGCAACGTCTTCGTCTTCCATCTTCGCACCGATGCCACTAAGCTTGGCGGAGATGTTGAGGACCTCGTTGCAGTGATGCATGACGTTCGCGCCTTCAGCCATCTTGATACTGAAAAGTTGTCGCTTGAGGTAGATGCGTCCTGCCTTCTGCGACCCACCGTACAGCGTCTTCAGACTTGTCCACGCAACCCAGACTTCCTCGCAGTTGTCCAGCACATGATGGTAGTCCGCGTTCATGTGCAGCAGCATCATACCAAACGCGACGTTGCTTGCCTTGACGTAGTCATTGTTGAAAAGACAGCGGCTGTGAAGAAGACACCTCGTCAAGCTGCGTCAAGTGTTGAAGCAAGTGGAAGACCAAGCTTCGCTATACCGGTGGGTACCGGTATGTACCAGTAAGGGCGAAGTCAGGAAATGACGTCACTGGATGACGTCATTGCATGACGTCAGTGGGTGACGTCAGTGGGTGACGTCACTGGATGACGTCACTGCGAATAATAGGCTTAGAGGTAGTATTCAAAGTTGCGAACTAAGTACCTATTATAAATATATATTCACTTTGCGTTTTGCACTCGGACCAAGAAGTCTAAAGTTCATCAGGTTATGAGCCCAAGTTCGTCAGACTCTGAAACCGCCAACAATTCAAGCTTAGCTGCCATGACGCCTCCTCCCTCCGCATCTCCAAGTTCGATGGAACTAACTTCCACGCCTGGAAGTTCAAGATGCAGATGGTGCTGGAGGAACGGGACCTATGGGAGGTCGTCAGCGGTGAGATCAAGGCGGAACAGTGCGAGACTCAGTTGGACCAAGCGACGTACAAGAGGAAGTCAAGAAAGGCGATGGCAGTGATCTGTCTAGCCATGGAAGATTCCCAGCTACCGTTGGTCCGGTCGGCAAGTGGTGCATGCGACGCATGGTCAAGGTTGGAAGACCACTTCGAGAAGAAGAGTCTTGCCAACAAGCTGTTCTTGCGCCGTCGCTTCTTCACGACAATGATGGAAGAAGGCGACGATGTGCTCGAACACATCAACAAGCTCAAGACGCTGGCGGAACAGCTAGAAGCGGTGGGGGCTCCAGTCTGCGAGGACGATCTGGTGATCACACTCCTCGGCAGCCTGAGTGACTCGTATCAATTCTTGATCACAGCTTTGGAGTCGCGCTCAGACACTCTTAGCTGGGAGCTCGTGACGTCTCGACTGCTTCATGAAGAAATGAAGCGGAAGGAGCAAGGAAGTAAAGGTGATGAAGCTTCGCAAGGTCAAGCGTTCATCACAAGGGACAATCAGCGCAAAGGGCGACCAGTGAAGAAGTCCTGGCCGTGCCACAATTGCGGAAAGATTGGTCACTGGATGGCGGAGTGCCCCTCGCGCATCCAAGAAAACACGGAGAGACACCGGCCACAGCGTGCTCAAGACAGCGGCGACCGCTATCGATCACAACGTGCAAACGTCGCTCAAGAAGAAGACTCGGGCGACTACCTCTTTTCGATCGGTGAAACGACATCTGCGAAATCGAGCGACATCTGGCTGGTCGACTCCGGGGCGACGCAGCACATGACGTGCTCCAAGAAGTTCATGCGGAACTACAAGGGGTTTGACGCTGTGGATGTCCATCTCGCGGATGATGGAATCGTCCAAGCAATCGGCAGTGGGGACATTGTCATGTCGATGAAGACACCCCAAGGGATGAAGAAAGGTGTGCTCACAAACGTGTGGCACATCCCAAAGTTATCCAGAAACCTGTTCTCGGTCGGCCGCTTCACCAAGGATGTCGGCCCAGTGACGTTCACGAAGGATGGGTGCTATGGAGAAGCGAAAGGGACCAAGTGGAAAATTGGTGCCCGTGAAGGTAAAGGACTGTTCAAGCTGCAAATGACTCCAGTGGCGCCGGAACAAGCAAATGCAGCCAAGTCGTCGGGATGTCAAGGGGGCACCAAGTCGTACCTCTGGCACCTTCGGCTTGGCCACATAGGTCACGATGGACTCAATTGCATCGTGACGAAGAACATTGGAATTGGCATCGACATATCTTCGGTGAAGAAGTGGGACGTGTGTGAAGGTTGTGCTCTGGGAAAACAGACTCGAGTGCGCTTCCAATCAAACACTACAGCTCGCACCTCCAAACTCCTCGAAGTGATTCACAGCGACGTATGCGGACCGATGTCGATGGCAACTTTCAGTGGAAAACGGTACTTCGTGACATTCATTGATGACAAGTCAAGATACTGTGTCGTCTATCTGCTCAAGAGCAAATCTGAAGTTGCGGCGAAGTTCATGGAATACGCTGCGATGGCCGAAACGCAAACCGGAAAGCGCGTGAAGTACCTTCAAAGCGACAATGGGGGTGAATACAAGTCCGACAAGCTGGCACGATTCTGCGCGGAACGGGGGATACAACAAAGGTTCACACCCCCATATACTCCTCAGCTAAACGGAGTAGCTGAGAGAATGAATCGCACGCTGGTCGAGTGTGCGCGTTGCATGATGGAACACGCTGGACTGGGAAAGAGCTACTGGGGTGAAGCAGTGATGACGGCGATGTTTCTTCGAAACCGCTGTCCAACACGTGCCATTCACCAAGACAAGTCTCCATATCAAGTGTGGACGATGAAGAAACCGATTCTGGCCAACCTTAAAGTGTTTGGATGCCACGCGTATGTTCAAGTGCCTCAAGACAAACGCGCGAAGTTCGACTCCAAGTCATCACTCTGTCGTTTCCTGGGATACGCCGAACACCAGAAGTCATATCGATTTGAGGAAGTGTCAACAGGAGCGATCAAGATCAGTCGCGATGCCATATTCATGGAAGACAAGTTTGATGAAGGTCCGCGCAACTACAACAATGAGTCAAGTGTCGTTGAGTTTGATGATCATGATGAGGACGAAGAAAAAGAAGAAGGTAAAACTGACGACGACATGGACTCGAGCGACGATGACAACGAAGACACCAGGTCTTCGAAGAGCAACATCAAGAGACACACGCGCACTCAATCACTTGAGAAAGCTACCGTCATTCCAAGTCCCAAGCGAAGAACATACAGAGGTCCGTCGCTTGAGCATGTGTCAGCGGCTGCAATGGATTTTGAAGCAGCCTACATCGTTGATTCAGTGGGGGAAACGCCGACTACATTCAAGTCGGCGATGGAATCAAGCGACTCCGGCAAGTGGAAAGAAGCGTGTGACTCGGAGTTCGATTCGCTTCAGAGAAACGACACGTGGGAAATCGTGCCTCTTCCGAAAGGTCGCAAGGCCATCGGGTGCCGATGGGTTTTTCGTGTAAAGGAGAATCAAGATGGCGAAGTTGAACGTTTCTGTTGCATTGTAGATCGGAGCGAGGAAAGCGGAGCAAACGGAGCGGAGAGACCGAAGAGAGTAGAGCAGAAAACACTTGCCCAATAGTTGGAAGATTCGAAAGTGATTGATTATCGGGACTTACTACTTACTACATGATTTATATGTGGTGTACATATAAATCATGTGAAGCGTCTCATCATCCTACGCGTCTAATCAACTATGGTAATTACCGTAAGAACTACGTCGTAAATACTAAGCTGAACAGGCGGTTCGGATTGGATCGGTCACGGTTACCAATACTGGTAGAAAACCGATGACCGTCAACACGCCCCCTCAATCCGAATGCTCACGAATCCCGAGAGTCGCCGTCATCTCCTTGTGGCGTGGCCCGTGAAGTCCCTTCGTCATGATGTCCGCTAACATCACCGCAGTTTCACAGTACTTGAGCTTCACTTCACCGCGCTTGACCTCATCACGGATGTGATGGTACTTGATATCAATGTGCTTGGCACGGCCGTGGTTGACTGGGTTCTTCGTCATCTTGATACACGACTGATTGTCTTCATGGATCATGAGTTCCGGTCCTTCTTCATTGGCAGCCATCACGATCTCACAAAGCAGACGATGAATCCACTTGCCCTCTTGAATCGCCAAGCTGAGTGCGATGTATTCGGCTTCACTCGTGGACAACGAAACACTTGGCTGCTTCTTGCTGCCCCAACTGACTGGCGCACCGAGTAGCATGAACGTGTACCCCGATGTTGACTTGCGGTCGGTAAGATCACCAGCCCAATCCGCATCCGAATATCCACGGAAGTCGATCCTTGTACTTGGCTTGTAGCAAATTCCATGCGTCTTGGTGCCTTGTAGGTAGCGAAAGATACGCTTAACTGCAACCCAGTGTTCTTCTTGGGGATTTTCCATGAACCGCGACACATAGCCCACAGCAAACGCAATGTCCGGACGCGTTGCAGTGGTCAGGTGCATCAACGCACCAACAGCTTCGCGAAAAGGAGCATCGACCTTGGTAGTTGCATCACTTGAAACAAGTCGAGAGCTCATGTCGACTGGACTTGCGACTGCCTTGAAATCATCCATGCCAAAGCGCTTGAGGATATCATCGACATACCGACGCTGACATAGTGTCACACTGCCATCTTCACCGTCCAAAAGCTCGATCCCAAGAACAAACGCACACTTGCCGCTGTCCGTCATTTCGAACCGCGTCTTCAGGTCGTTCTTGGTTTGTGCAATCAGCTCGAGTGAGCTTCCAGTCACCAAGACGTCGTCCACGTAGACCAGTATAAACACGCAATGGCCGTCCGAAGTCTTGATGTAGAGACATGGGTCGAAGTCCGATACTTGAAATCCGATGGAGCACACATACTCGTCGAACGTCTCGTTCCACACTCGCGACGCTTGCTTGAGGCCGTAAATTGACTTCACCAATTCCAGGCAGTCGAACGTACTGTCAAGTTCGACGCCTTCAGGAATCACGCAGAACACTTGTTCCTTCATGACGCCATACAGGAAAGCTGTCACCACATCAAGCTGGTCGATGGGCCATCCAAAATGCTTGGAAATTGCGATCACCATTCGCAGCGTCACATACTTGACCACAGGCGAAAACGTCTCCGTGTAGTCGATGCCATACTTTTGGCGGAAACCCTTGGCCACAAGTCGTGCCTTGTACTTCTCGATTGACCCATCCGCCTTGCGCTTGATCTTGAACACCCATTTTGTGCCAATGGCGCGTTGTCCGTTGGGCAGCTTGGCTGCACGAAACACACCGCGAAGTCGCATTGACTCGAGCTCTGCATGAATTGCTTTTCTCCAGTGCACTTGGTCAGGGCCGCTTACTGCTGCTTCAAATGTCGACGGTTCCGACAAATCCACTGCTGTTTCAACAGCATTCGCACTCGCACGCCAAAACACAGGCGGTGTTGAATCACCAGAATCCTTCGTTTCTTCGTCTTCTTCTTGTCGTGACGAGTTGTTTTCCGGCGCGCTTGACTCTTCTAGTCCTGGTCGTTGACGCACTGCACGCGGTCGTGGAGCTGCTGTATCTTCATCATTGAGTCGGTTCTTGCGCTTGCCAGTTTGCTGATACTCCATTTGACGCAGCTCTTCGTCATCAAGATTCAGCAATTCGAAGTCCAGGTCATCGACATCTTCATCAGTGATCGGCAGTTGAAGTCCAAAGGTGGACTCGTCGAAGTTGACATCCCGAGTGACAACAACCTGCCCCGCCTCGATGTCAAATACACGATATGCCTTCGAAACTTCTTCGTAGCCCACGAATATGCCAGCGCGAGCCTTTGGATCCCACTTGAGTCGATTCTCTTTAGGCGTCAGTATGTATGTCTGACACCCGAATGTTCGCATGTGCTTGACGCTTGGTTTCAAGTTGTAGACGATCTCAAACGGGGTCTTGTGCACGACTTTAGGTGACGGCAGTCGATTCTTGACGTAGATGGCCGTCATCGCTGCTTCGGCCCAGAAACACTTGTCCAATTTGGCATGATGAAGCATGCTGCGGCCGATCGTGACAATAGTCCTAATGGCACGCTCTGCTGTTCTGTTTGTTTGATGTGCATACGGCACCGTTGTCTGCTGTTCAATGCCTTCGTCGTCGTAGAACAGTTGAAGCGAGTTGGTTGCAAACTCGCGAGCTCCGTCGTGTCGCACGAACTTGACCTTCTTACAGAATTGCGTCTGTACCATGGTGATATATTTCCGGATGTAGTCTTCACTCTCGGACTTCACTCGTAGACAAAAGCCCTTCATGCATCCACTGGCTTCGTCGATGATCAGCAGCAAATATTTGCTGTCACCGAGCGAATCCTTTTCCATGGGCCCGCAGATGTCCAGATGAAGTAGCTCAAACGTATCGTAGCTGCGCTTGTCTCGGTTGCTTGGAAATGGTTTTTGGACCATTTTCCCTTGTTGACATCCTCGACATGTAGTTGCTCCACCCGACTTGAGAGGGACTCGCACATCCTTGATCATGTTGGTAGCGATCATCTTGCGAAGTACATCGACTGGAGCATGACCCATTCTCGCATGTAGATCGGCACAACTGGTTCCACTTGTTGTCACATTCGCTGATCGTTGAGTCGTCCGAAGCCAGTAGAGTCCATCCACGAGATCCGCTGTCTCCACCACTTGCTGTGAGTTCTTGAGAGTCACATACATCTTGGACCCGTCAAACACGACTTGAAACTTGCCATGGCTGTTAATCTGTGGCACCGAGAGCAGGTTCTTGCTCATACTTGGAACATATAGCGCGTTCTTGATTTCGATCTCACGCTCTTCACCGTTGGGCAGAACCACCTTTTCCATGATGGTTCCCACACCCTTGATGGCCACCTTGTTGCCATCAGCCACCAAGAGTTCGCCCTCATTGCGCTCTGCCAAACTTGCGAACTTGGTCTTGTCGTGGCAAATGTGGTGCGTTGCACCACTGTCGACGGCCCACATTCCAGACACGTCCTTGCTCGTCGAAACTCCACATTCGAACGAGACTGCAAACGCCACTCGATCGTAGCCATTGCCTTCATCATGATGTCCCCACTGGACATTGTTAGCCCCGCGTCCACGACCATTGCCGCCGCGTCGGGCTCCCCGACCTTCGTTCTTCTGCTTTGTCCAGCAACGATCCACCGTGTGTCCCACCTTGCCACAATACGTGCATTGGTAGGGCTCACGCTCGGCGCTGAATGCCTTGCTTGCATCTTCAGCCTTCACCGTAGTCGCTGTCGTTGTCCCTTTTTCTCCTTGACGCTTGGCATGCTCATTAGTCAGGACTCTCACCACATCTTGAGTGCGAAGCTCGGTGCTGCTCATTTCCATGTTGAGCACCACATTTTCGTAGCTCTTCGGAAGACTGAGTAGCAGACAAATTGCAACGTCTTCGTCTTCCATCTTCGCACCGATGCCGCTAAGCTTGGCGGAGATGTTGAGGACCTCGTTGCAGTGATGCATGACGTTCGCGCCTTCAGCCATCTTGATACTGAAAAGTTGTCGCTTGAGGTAGATGCGTCCTGCCTTCTGCGACCCACCGTACAGCGTCTTCAGACTTGTCCACGCAACCCAGGCTTCCTCGCAGTTGTCCAGCACATGATGGTAGTCCGCGTTCATGTGCAGCAGCATCATACCAAACGCGACGTTGCTTGCCTTGACGTAGTCATCGGACGCTCGCGGGTCGGTGAAAGTCGGAGTCACTTCACGGTTGACGACGTGCCAGACGGACTTCGTCAAAAACACACCGCGCATGTACCGGCTCCACGTTGCGTAATTGTCTCCGTTGAACTTGTCAATGGAGGCGTTGCTGGTGGACGACATGGCGCTTGGGCTCATAACCTGTTGCATTGTAGATCGGAGCGAGGAAAGCGGAGCAAACGGAGCGGAGAGACCGAAGAGAGTAGAGCAGAAAACACTTGCCCAATAGTTGGAAGATTCGAAAGTGATTGATTATCGGGGCTTACTACTTACTACATGATTTATATGTGGTGTACATATAAATCATGTGAAGCGTCTCATCATCCTACGCGTCTAATCAACTATGGTAATTACCGTAAGAACTACGTCGTAAATACTAAGCTGAACAGGCGGTTCGGATTGGATCGGTCACGGTTACCAATACTGGTAGAAAACCGATGACCGTCAACACGCCCCCTCAATCCGAATGCTCACGAATCCCGAGAGTCGCCGTCATCTCCTTGTGGCGTGGCCCGTGAAGTCCCTTCGTCATGATGTCCGCTAACATCACCGCAGTTTCACAGTACTTGAGCTTCACTTCACCGCGCTTGACCTCATCACGGATGTGATGGTACTTGATATCAATGTGCTTGGCACGGCCGTGGTTGACTGGGTTCTTCGTCATCTTGATACACGACTGATTGTCTTCATGGATCATGAGTTCCGGTCCTTCTTCATTGGCAGCCATCACGATCTCACAAAGCAGACGATGAATCCACTTGCCCTCTTGAATCGCCAAGCTGAGTGCGATGTATTCGGCTTCACTCGTGGACAACGAAACACTTGGCTGCTTCTTGCTGCCCCAACTGACTGGCGCACCGAGTAGCATGAACGTGTACCCCGATGTTGACTTGCGGTCGGTAAGATCACCAGCCCAATCCGCATCCGAATATCCACGGAAGTCGATCCTTGCACTTGGCTTGTAGCAAATTCCATGCGTCTTGGTGCCTTGTAGGTAGCGAAAGATACGCTTAACTGCAACCCAGTGTTCTTCTTGGGGATTTTCCATGAACCGCGACACATAGCCCACAGCAAACGCAATGTCCGGACGCGTTGCAGTGGTCAGGTGCATCAACGCACCAACAGCTTCGCGAAAAGGAGCATCGACCTTGGTAGTTGCATCACTTGAAACAAGTCGAGAGCTCATGTCGACTGGACTTGCGACTGCCTTGCAATCATCCATGCCAAAGCGCTTGAGGATATCATCGACATACCGACGCTGACATAGTGTCACACTGCCATCTTCACCGTCCAAAAGCTCGATCCCAAGAACAAACGCACACTTGCCGCTGTCCGTCATTTCGAACCGCGTCTTCAGGTCGTTCTTGGTTTGTGCAATCAGCTCGAGTGAGCTTCCAGTCACCAAGACGTCGTCCACGTAGACCAGTATAAACACGCAATGGCCGTCCGAAGTCTTGATGTAGAGACATGGGTCGAAGTCCGATACTTGAAATCCGATGGAGCACACATACTCGTCGAACGTCTCGTTCCACACTCGCGACGCTTGCTTGAGGCCGTAAATTGACTTCACCAATTCCAGGCAGTCGAACGTACTGTCAAGTTCGACGCCTTCAGGAATCACGCAGAACACTTGTTCCTTCATGACGCCATACAGGAAAGCTGTCACCACATCAAGCTGGTCGATGGGCCATCCAAAATGCTTGGAAATTGCGATCACCATTCGCAGCGTCACATACTTGACCACAGGCGAAAACGTCTCCGTGTAGTCGATGCCATACTTTTGTCGGAAACCCTTGGCCACAAGTCGTGCCTTGTACTTCTCGATTGACCCATCCGCCTTGCGCTTGATCTTGAACACCCATTTTGTGCCAATGGCGCGTTGTCCGTTGGGCAGCTTGGCTGCACGAAACACACCGCGAAGTCGCATTGACTCGAGCTCTGCATGAATTGCTTTTCTCCAGTGCACTTGGTCAGGGCCGCTTACTGCTGCTTCAAATGTTGAGGGTTCTGATAAGTCCACTGCTGCTTCAACGGCATTTGCACTCGCACGCCAAAACACAGGCGGTGTTGAATCACCAGAATCCTTCGTTTCTTCGTCTTCTTCTTGTCGTGACGAGTTGTTTTCCGGCGCGCTTGACTCTTCTAGTCCTGGTCGTTGACGCACTGCACGCGGTCGTGGAGCTGCTGTATCTTCATCATTGAGTCGGTTCTTGCGCTTGCCTGTTTGCTTGTACTCCATTTGACGCAGCTCTTCGTCATCAAGATCCAGCAATTCGAAGTCCAGGTCATCGACATCTTCATCAGTGATCGGCAGTTGAAGTCCAAAGGTGGACTCGTCGAAGTTGACATCGCGGCTGATAACCACCTGCCCCGCCTCGATGTCATAAACACGATATGCCTTCGAAACTTCTTCGTAGCCCACGAATATGCCAGCGCGAGCCTTTGGATCCCACTTGAGTCGATTCTCTTTAGGCGTCAGTATGTATGTCTGACACCCGAATGTTCGCATGTGCTTGACGCTTGGTTTCAAGTTGTAGACGATCTCAAACGGGGTCTTATGCACGACTTTAGGTGACGGAAGGCGATTCTTGACGTAGATGACCGTCATTGCTAATTCAGCCCAGAAGCACTTGTCCAACTTGGCATGGTGAAGCATGCTGCGGCCGATCGTGACGATAGTCCCGATGGCGCGATTGCTGTTCTGTTGTTCTGGTGTGCATACGGCACCGTCGTCTGCTGTTCAATGCCTTCGTCGTCGTAGAACAGTTGAAGCGAGTTGGTTGCAAACTCGCGAGCTCCGTCGTGTCGCACGAACTTGACCTTCTTACAGAATTGCGTCTGTACCATGGTGATATATTTCCGGATGTAGTCTTCACTCTCGGACTTCACTCGTAGACAAAAGCCCTTCATGCATCCACTGGCTTCGTCGATGATCAGCAGCAAATATTTGCTGTCACCGAGCGAATCCTTTTCCATGGGCCCGCAGATGTCCAGATGAAGTAGCTCAAACGTATCGTAGCTGCGCTTGTCTCGGTTGCTTGGGAATGGTTTTTGACCATTTTCCCTTGTTGACATCCTCGACATGTAGTTGCTCCACCCGACTTGAGAGGGACTTCCACATCCTTGATCATGTTGGTCGCGATCATCTTGCGAAGTACATCGACTGGAGCATGACCCATTCTCGCATGTAGATCGGCACAACTGGTTCCACTTGTTGTCACATTCGCTGATCGTTGAGTCGTCCGAAGCCAGTAGAGTCCATCCACGAGATCCGCTGTCGCCACCACTTGCTGTGAGTTCTTGAGAGTCACATACATCTTGGACCCGTCAAACACGACTTGAAACTTGCCATGGCTGTTAATCTGTGGCACCGAGAGCAGGTTCTTGCTCATACTTGGAACATATAGCGCGTTCTTGATTTCGATCTCACGCTCTTCACCGTTGGGCAGAACCACCTTTTCCATGATGGTTCCCACACCCTTGATGGCCACCTTGTTGCCATCAGCCACCAAGAGTTCGCCCTCATTGCGCTCTGCCAAACTTGCGAACTTGGTCTTGTCGTGGCAAATGTGGTGCGTTGCACCACTGTCGACGGCCCACATTCCAGACACGTCCTTGCTCGTCGAAACTCCACATTCGAACGAGACTGCAAACGCCACTCGATCGTAGCCATTGCCTTCATCATGATGTCCCCACTGGACATTGTTAGCCCCGCGTCCACGACCATTGCCGCCGCGTCGGGCTCCCCGACCTTCGTTCTTCTGCTTTGTCCAGCAACGATCCACCGTGTGTCCCACCTTGCCACAATACGTGCATTGGTAGGGCTCACGCTCGGCGCTGAATGCCTTGCTTGCATCTTCAGCCTTCACCGTAGTCGCTGTCGTTGTCCCTTTTTCTCCTTGACGCTTGGCATGCTCATTCGTCAGGACTCTCACCACATCTTGAGTGCGAAGCTCGGTGCTGCTCATTTCCATGTTGAGCACCACATTTTCGTAGCTCTTCGGAAGACTGAGTAGCAGACAAATTGCAACGTCTTCATCTTCCATCTTCGCACCGATGCCGCTAAGCTTGGCGGAGATGTTGAGGACCTCGTTGCAGTGATGCATGACGTTCGCGCCTTCAGCCATCTTGATACTGAAAAGTTGTCGCTTGAGGTAGATGCGTCCTGCCTTCTGCGACCCACCGTACAGCGTCTTCAGACTTGTCCACGCAACCCAGGCTTCCTCGCAGTTGTCCAGCACATGATGGTAGTCCGCGTTCATGTGCAGCAGCATCATACCAAACGCGACGTTGCTTGCCTTGACGTAGTCATCGGACGCTCGCGGGTCGGTGAAAGTCGGAGTCACTTCACGGTTGACAACGTGCCAGACGGACTTCGTCAAAAACACACCGCGCATGTACCGGCTCCACGTTGCGTAATTGTCTCCGTTGAACTTGTCAATGGAGGCGTTGCTGGTGGACGACATGGCGCTTGGGCTCATAACCTGTTGCATTGTAGATCGGAGCGAGGAAAGCGGAGCAAACGGAGCGGAGAGACCGAAGAGAGTAGAGCAGAAAACACTTGCCCAATAGTTGGAAGATTCGAAAGTGATTGATTATCGGGGCTTACTACTTACTACATGATTTATATGTGGTGTACATATAAATCATGTGAAGCGTCTCATCATCCTACGCGTCTAATCAACTATGGTAATTACCGTAAGAACTACGTCGTAAATACTAAGCTGAACAGGCGGTTCGGATTGGATCGGTCACGGTTACCAATACTGGTAGAAAACCGATGACCGTCAACACGCCCCCTCAATCCGAATGCTCACGAATCCCGAGAGTCGCCGTCATCTCCTTGTGGCGTGGCCCGTGAAGTCCCTTCGTCATGATGTCCGCTAACATCACCGCAGTTTCACAGTACTTGAGCTTCACTTCACCGCGCTTGACCTCATCACGGATGTGATGGTACTTGATATCAATGTGCTTGGCACGGCCGTGGTTGACTGGGTTCTTCGTCATCTTGATACACGACTGATTGTCTTCATGGATCATGAGTTCCGGTCCTTCTTCATTGGCAGCCATCACGATCTCACAAAGCAGACGATGAATCCACTTGCCCTCTTGAATCGCCAAGCTGAGTGCGATGTATTCGGCTTCACTCGTGGACAACGAAACACTTGGCTGCTTCTTGCTGCCCCAACTGACTGGCGCACCGAGTAGCATGAACGTGTACCCCGATGTTGACTTGCGGTCGGTAAGATCACCAGCCCAATCCGCATCCGAATATCCACGGAAGTCGATCCTTGCACTTGGCTTGTAGCAAATTCCATGCGTCTTGGTGCCTTGTAGGTAGCGAAAGATACGCTTAACTGCAACCCAGTGTTCTTCTTGGGGATTTTCCATGAACCGCGACACATAGCCCACAGCAAACGCAATGTCCGGACGCGTTGCAGTGGTCAGGTGCATCAACGCACCAACAGCTTCGCGAAAAGGAGCATCGACCTTGGTAGTTGCATCACTTGAAACAAGTCGAGAGCTCATGTCGACTGGACTTGCGACTGCCTTGCAATCATCCATGCCAAAGCGCTTGAGGATATCATCGACATACCGACGCTGACATAGTGTCACACTGCCATCTTCACCGTCCAAAAGCTCGATCCCAAGAACAAACGCACACTTGCCGCTGTCCGTCATTTCGAACCGCGTCTTCAGGTCGTTCTTGGTTTGTGCAATCAGCTCGAGTGAGCTTCCAGTCACCAAGACGTCGTCCACGTAGACCAGTATAAACACGCAATGGCCGTCCGAAGTCTTGATGTAGAGACATGGGTCGAAGTCCGATACTTGAAATCCGATGGAGCACACATACTCGTCGAACGTCTCGTTCCACACTCGCGACGCTTGCTTGAGGCCGTAAATTGACTTCACCAATTCCAGGCAGTCGAACGTACTGTCAAGTTCGACGCCTTCAGGAATCACGCAGAACACTTGTTCCTTCATGACGCCATACAGGAAAGCTGTCACCACATCAAGCTGGTCGATGGGCCATCCAAAATGCTTGGAAATTGCGATCACCATTCGCAGCGTCACATACTTGACCACAGGCGAAAACGTCTCCGTGTAGTCGATGCCATACTTTTGTCGGAAACCCTTGGCCACAAGTCGTGCCTTGTACTTCTCGATTGACCCATCCGCCTTGCGCTTGATCTTGAACACCCATTTTGTGCCAATGGCGCGTTGTCCGTTGGGCAGCTTGGCTACACGAAACACACCGCGAAGTCGCATTGACTCGAGCTCTGCATGAATTGCTTTTCTCCAGTGCACTTGGTCAGGGCCGCTTACTGCTGCTTCAAATGTTGAGGGTTCTGATAAGTCCACTGCTGCTTCAACGGCATTTGCACTCGCACGCCAAAACACAGGCGGTGTTGAATCACCAGAATCCTTCGTTTCTTCGTCTTCTTCTTGTCGTGACGAGTTGTTTTCCGGCGCGCTTGACTCTTCTAGTCCTGGTCGTTGACGCACTGCACGCGGTCGTGGAGCTGCTGTATCTTCATCATTGAGTCGGTTCTTGCGCTTGCCTGTTTGCTTGTACTCCATTTGACGCAGCTCTTCGTCATCAAGATCCAGCAATTCGAAGTCCAGGTCATCGACATCTTCATCAGTGATCGGCAGTTGAAGTCCAAAGGTGGACTCGTCGAAGTTGACATCGCGGCTGATAACCACCTGCCCCGCCTCGATGTCATAAACACGATATGCCTTCGAAACTTCTTCGTAGCCCACGAATATGCCAGCGCGAGCCTTTGGATCCCACTTGAGTCGATTCTCTTTAGGCGTCAGTATGTATGTCTGACACCCGAATGTTCGCATGTGCTTGACGCTTGGTTTCAAGTTGTACACGATCTCAAACGGGGTCTTATGCACGACTTTAGGTGACGGAAGTCGATTCTTGACGTAGATGGCCGTCATCGCTGCTTCGGCCCAGAAACACTTGTCCAACTTGGCATGGTGAAGCATGCTGCGGCCGATCGTGACGATAGTCCCGATGGCGCGATTGCTGTTCTGTTGTTCTGGTGTGCATACGGCACCGTCGTCTGCTGTTCAATGCCTTCGTCGTCGTAGAACAGTTGAAGCGAGTTGGTTGCAAACTCGCGAGCTCCGTCGTGTCGCACGAACTTGACCTTCTTACAGAATTGCGTCTGTACCATGGTGATATATTTCCGGATGTAGTCTTCACTCTCGGACTTCACTCGTAGACAAAAGCCCTTCATGCATCCACTGGCTTCGTCGATGATCAGCAGCAAATATTTGCTGTCACCGAGCGAATCCTTTTCCATGGGCCCGCAGATGTCCAGATGAAGTAGCTCAAACGTGTCGTAACTTCGCTTGTCACGATTGCTTGGGAATGGTTTTTGGACCATTTTCCCTTGCTGACATCCTCGACATGTACCTGATCCACTTGACTTGAGAGGCACTCCCACATCTTTGATCATGTTGTTGGAGACCATCTTGCGAAGCACGTCGACTGTAGCATGACCCATTCTCGCATGTAGATCGGCACAACTGGTTCCACTTGTTGTCACATTCGCTGATCGTTGAGTCGTCCGAAGCCAGTAGAGTCCATCGACAAGATCGGCTGTCGCCACCACTTGCTGTGAGTTCTTGAGAGTCACATACATCTTGGACCCGTCAAACACGACTTGAAACTTGCCATGGCTGTTAATCTGTGGCACCGAGAGCAGGTTCTTGCTCATACTTGGAACATATAGCGCGTTCTTGATTTCGATCTCACGCTCTTCACCGTTGGGCAGAACCACCTTTTCCATGATGGTTCCCACACCCTTGATGGCCACCTTGTTGCCATCAGCCACCAAGAGTTCGCCCTCATTGCGCTCTGCCAAACTTGCGAACTTGGTCTTGTCGTGGCAAATGTGGTGCGTTGCACCACTGTCGACGGCCCACATTCCAGACACGTCCTTGCTCGTCGAAACTCCACATTCGAACGAGACTGCAAACGCCACTCGATCGTAGCCATTGCCTTCATCATGATGTCCCTACTGGACATTATTAGACCCGCGTCCACGGCCATTGCCGCTGTGTCGGGCTCCTCGACCTTCATTCTTCTGCTTCGTCCAGCAGCGATCCACTCTGTGTCCTACCTCGCCACAATACGTGCATTAGTAAGACTCACGCTCGGTGCTGAATGTCTTGGTTGCATCTTCAGCTTTCACCGTAGTCGCTGTCGTTGTCCCTTTTTCTCCTTGACGCTTGGCATGCTCATTCGTCAGGACTCTCACCACATCTTGAGTGCGAAGCTCGGTGCTGCTCATTTCCATGTTGAGCACCACATTTTCGTAGCTCTTCGGAAGACTGAGTAGCAGACAAATTGCAACGTCTTCATCTTCCATCTTCGCACCGATGCCGCTAAGCTTGGCGGAGATGTTGAGGACCTCGTTGCAGTGATGCATGACGTTCGCGCCTTCAGCCATCTTGATACTGAAAAGTTGTCGCTTGAGGTAGATGCGTCCTGCCTTCTGCGACCCACCGTACAGCGTCTTCAGACTTGTCCACGCAACCCAGGCTTCCTCGCAGTTGTCCAGCACATGATGGTAGTCCGCGTTCATGTGCAGCAGCATCATACCAAACGCGACGTTGCTTGCCTTGACGTAGTCATCGGACGCTCGCGGGTCGGTGAAAGTCGGAGTCATTTCACGGTTGACAACGTGCCAGACGGACTTCGTCAAAAACACACCGCACATGTACCGGCTCCACGTTGCGTAATTGTCTCCGTTGAACTTGTCAATGGAGGCGTTGCTGGTGGACGACATGGCGCTTGGGCTCATAACCTGTTGCATTGTAGATCGGAGCGAGGAAAGCGGAGCAAACGGAGCGGAGAGACCGAAGAGAGTAGAGCAGAAAACACTTGCCCAATAGTTGGAAGATTCGAAAGTGATTGATTATCGGGGCTTACTACTTACTACATGATTTATATGTGGTGTACATATAAATCATGTGAAGCGTCTCATCATCCTACGCGTCTAATCAACTATGGTAATTACCGTAAGAACTACGTCGTAAATACTAAGCTGAACAGGCGGTTCGGATTGGATCGGTCACGGTTACCAATACTGGTAGAAAACCGATGACCGTCAACAGTTTCAAGGCAAGACTTGTGGCCAAAGGATTCTCACAGAAATTTGGAGTTGACTATGAAGAAACTTTCGCACCGGTGGCCAAGTTCACATCGATTCGTGTTGTGCTCAGTATGGCCGCTAAGTACGGCCTAATGCTGCATCAGATGGACGTCAAGACAGCGTTTCTTAACGGCTCCCCCAACGAAGACATCTACATGGACCAGCCGGACGGATACCTGGATGCAACACAGCCGGACTATGTGTGCAAGCTAAAGAGATCACTCTACGGCTTGAAGCAATCGCCTCGCATGTGGAACCAAACAATCGATGGGTTCATGATCAAGATGGGATTCAAGAAGTGCGAATCGGACCACTGCATCTACATCAAGCGAGACGACCAAGACATGATTCTCGTGGTGCTCTACGTCGATGATCTCATCCTGGCCAGCAGCAACAACGAACTCCTCAAGTCAACCAAGATGGCGCTGAGCAAACGCTTCGAAATGACGGATCTCGGTGAGCTCGATTACTTTCTCGGCATGGAGATCAAGAACGACCGTAAGACGGGAATGGTGACTGTACAACAAACCAAGTTTCTCAAGTCCGTGTTAACCAAGTTCGGAATGGATAACAGCAAGCCAGTGAAGACGCCTCAAGATCCCGGCCTGAAGCTAACCAAGAACATGTGTGAACAAGAATGCAAGCACGAAGACACCATGTGCAACGTGCCATATCGAAGTGCTGTCGGAGGCATCATGTATCTCATGGTCGCCACACGTCCGGATCTAGCTGCTGCAGTGGGATCATTATCCCAGTTCTCGTCCGACCCATGCCCGACTCACTGGCAAGCTTTGAAGCGTGTGCTGAGATACCTGCAAGCAACGCCCAATCATGGTCTTGAGTTTACACGTGAAGAAGGAAGCCGTATCTGCGGGTACACCGACGCAGACTGGGCCGGCGACATTGAGTCAAGACGAAGTATAAGCGACTATGTGTTCATGATGAGCGGAGGATGCATCAGCTGGAAAAGCCAGAAACAACGGACGGTCGCGCTATCTTCAACAGAAGCAGAATACATGGTGTTGCATTGTAGATCGGAGCGAGGAAAGCGGAGCGAACGGAGCGGAGAGACCGAAGAGAGTAGAGCAGAAAACACTTGCCCAATAGTTTGAAGATTCGAAAGCGATTGATTATCGGGGCTTACTACTTACTACATGATTTATATGTGGTGTACATATAAATCATGTGAAGCGTCTCATCATCCTACGCGTCTAATCAACTATGGTAATTACCGTAAGAACTACGTCGTAAATACTAAGCTGAACAGGCGGTTCGGATTGGATCGGTCACGGTTACCAATACTGGTAGAAAACCGATGACCGTCAACACGCCCCTCAATCCGAATGCTCACGAATCCCGAGAGTCGCCGTCATCTCCTTGTGGCGTGGCCCGTGAAGTCCCTTCGTCATGATGTCCGCTAACATCACCGCAGTTTCACAGTACTTGAGCTTCACTTCACCGCGCTTGACCTCATCACGGATGTGATGGTACTTGATATCAATGTGCTTGGCACGGCCGTGGTTGACTGGGTTCTTCGTCATCTTGATACACGACTGATTGTCTTCATGAATCATGAGTTCCGGTCCTTCTTCATTGGCAGCCATCACGATCTCACAAAGCAGACGATGAATCCACTTGCCCTCTTGAATCGCCAAGCTGAGTGCGATGTATTCGGCTTCACTCGTGGACAACGAAACACTTGGCTGCTTCTTGCTGCCCCAACTGACTGGCGCACCGAGTAGCATGAACGTGTACCCCGATGTTGACTTGCGGTCGGTAAGATCACCAGCCCAATCCGCATCCGAATATCCACGGAAGTCGATCCTTGCACTTGGCTTGTAGCAAATTCCATGCGTCTTGGTGCCTTGTAGGTGTAAGAAGTAGGAGTTAAGTAAAGTAAATGACTTGTATATTACCGCGCACCAGACGCGTTTCGGCCCCCCGCCGGGGGCCTCATCAGTGGTTTGTCAATCTACAAGTGAGAACTATCCATACGTCTAGCTGCCGTACGACCTATAATAATGCATAGAACCCTAAAGAACATTCTAGACATAATCTATCATGGGTCGAATCTCTGGAGTCGAATCCAGTGCATCATGCACTTACAACACTCCCCCTCGACGACATGAGATGCAGACCACTTTGGTATCGACCCGCCTGTAATCCTCACTGCTGCATCCGTGCACCATGGGAATCTTGATTGAGTCTTGCCCCTGCGCTCCAGCCAACCTCGATGATACCGAGCGTTCCAGGTATTCCAGCTCCCCCATCGTCCAGCACCATGTCACATCTTGACATCTCGTAGTCGTCGTTCGCCTTGGATGTAGTTTCCACTTCTTCTTGACCACAAATACACTTGTCACCACTTGACTTGACTCTTCCTTCGATAGCACTCGCGCATTCAGACCATCTCGCGTCACCACCCTTGCACAAACCCTTTTCGACTGCACGCGCACCGTCAACGATCCCTGTCGATGAATTCTTCGGCGCCTTACTCGTGCATCGAGCGCCTTCTCTGACGGGGTGTCCCTCGCACAAGTTGGTCCTTGGTGAGGTGTCTGTAGCGAGCACTTGGGCTCATAACCTGTAAGAAGTAGGAGTTAAGTAAAGTAAATGACTTGTATATTACCGCGCACCAGACGCGTTTCGGCCCCCCGCCGGGGGCCTCATCAGTGGTTTGTCAATCTACAAGTGAGAACTATCCATACGTCTAGCTGCCGTACGACCTATAATAATGCATAGAACCCTAAAGAACATTCTAGACATACCCTATCATGGGTCGAATCTCTGGAGTCGAATCCAGTGCATCATGCACTTTCAACAGTAGGTAGCGAAAGATACGCTTAACTGCAACCCAGTGTTCTTCTTGGGGATTTTCCATGAACCGCGACACATAGCCCACAGCAAACGCAATGTCCGGACGCGTTGCAGTGGTCAGGTGCATCAACGCACCAACAGCTTCGCGAAAAGGAGCATCGACCTTGGTAGTTGCATCACTTGAAACAAGTCGAGAGCTCATGTCGACTGGACTTGCGACTGCCTTGCAATCATCCATGCCAAAGCACTTGAGGATATCATCGACATACCGACGCTGACATAGTGTCACACTGCCATCTTCACCGTCCAAAAGCTCGATCCCAAGAACAAACGCACACTTGCCGCTGTCCGTCATTTCGAACCGCGTCTTCAGGTCGTTCTTGGTTTGTGCAATCAGCTCGAGTGAGCTTCCAGTCACCAAGACGTCGTCCACGTAGACCAGTATAAACACGCAATGGCCGTCCGAAGTCTTGATGTAGAGACATGGGTCGAAGTCCGATACTTGAAATCCGATGGAGCACACATACTCGTCGAACGTCTCGTTCCACACTCGCGACGCTTGCTTGAGGCCGTAAATTGACTTCACCAATTCCAGGCAGTCGAACGTACTGTCAAGTTCGACGCCTTCAGGAATCACGCAGAACACTTGTTCCTTCATGACGCCATACAGGAAAGCTGTCACCACATCAAGCTGGTCGATGGGCCATCCAAAATGCTTGGAAATTGCGATCACCATTCGCAGCGTCACATACTTGACCACAGGCGAAAACGTCTCCGTGTAGTCGATGCCATACTTTTGGCGGAAACCCTTGGCCACAAGTCGTGCCTTGTACTTCTCGATTGACCCATCCGCCTTGCGCTTGATCTTGAACACCCATTTTGTGCCAATGGCGCGTTGTCCGTTGGGCAGCTTGGCTGCACGAAACACACCGCGAAGTCGCATTGACTCGAGCTCTGCATGAATTGCTTTTCTCCAGTGCACTTGGTCAGGGCCGCTTACTGCTGCTTCAAATGTTGAGGGTTCTGATAAGTCCACTGCTGCTTCAACGGCATTTGCACTCGCACGCCAAAACACAGGCGGTGTTGGATCACCAGAATCCTTCGTTTCTTCGTCTTCTTCTTGTCGTGACGAGTTGTTTTCCGGCGCGCTTGACTCTTCTAGTCCTGGTCGTTGACGCACTGCACGCGGTCGTGGAGCTGCTGTATCTTCATCATTGAGTCGGTTCTTGCGCTTGCCTGTTTGCTTGTACTCCATTTGACGCAGCTCTTCGTCATCAAGATCCAGCAATTCGAAGTCCAGGTCATCGACATCTTCATCAGTGATCGGCAGTTGAAGTCCAAAGGTGGACTCGTCGAAGTTGACATCGCGGCTGATAACCACCTGCCCCGCCTCGATGTCATAAACACGATATGCCTTCGAAACTTCTTCGTAGCCCACGAATATGCCAGCGCGAGCCTTTGGATCCCACTTGAGTCGATTCTCTTTAGGCGTCAGTATGTATGTCTGACACCCGAATGTTCGCATGTGCTTGACGCTTGGTTTCAAGTTGTAGACGATCTCAAACGGGGTCTTGTGCACGACTTTAGGTGACGGCAGTCGATTCTTGACGTAGATGGCCGTCATCGCTGCTTCGGCCCAGAAACACTTGTCCAGTTTGGCATGATGAAGCATGCTGCGGCCGATCGTGACAATAGTCCTAATGGCACGCTCTGCTGTTCCGTTTGTTTGATGTGCATACGGCACCGTTGTCTGCTGTTCAATGCCTTCGTCTTCGTAGAACAGTTGAAGCGAGTTGGTTGCAAACTCGCGAGCTCCGTCGTGTCGCACGAACTTGACCTTCTTACAGAATTGCGTCTGTACCATGGTGATATATTTCCGGATGTAGTCTTCACTCTCGGACTTCACTCGTAGACAAAAGCCCTTCATGCATCCACTGGCTTCGTCGATGATCAGCAGCAAATATTTGCTGCCACCGAGCGAATCCTTTTCCATGGGCCCGCAGATGTCCAGATGAAGTAGCTCAAACGTATCGTAGCTGCGCTTGTCTCGGTTGCTTGGAAATGGTTTTTGACCATTTTCCCTTGTTGACATCCTCGACATGTAGTTGCTCCACCCGACTTGAGAGGGACTCGCACATCCTTGATCATGTTGGTCGCGATCATCTTGCGAAGTACATCGACTGGAGCATGACCCATTCTCGCATGTAGATCGGCACAACTGGTTCCACTTGTTGTCACATTCGCTGATCGTTGAGTCGTCCGAAGCCAGTAGAGTCCATCCACGAGATCCGCTGTCGCCACCACTTGCTGTGAGTTCTTGAGAGTCACATACATCTTGGACCCGTCAAACACGACTTGAAACTTGCCATGGCTGTTAATCTGTGGCACTGAGAGCAGGTTCTTGCTCATACTTGGAACATATAGCGCGTTCTTGATTTCGATCTCACGCTCTTCACCGTTGGGCAGAACCACCTTTTCCATGATGGTTCCCACACCCTTGATGGCCACCTTGTTGCCATCAGCCACCAAGAGTTCGCCCTCATTGCGCTCTGCCAAACTTGCGAACTTGGTCTTGTCGTGGCAAATGTGGTGCGTTGCACCACTGTCGACGGCCCACATTCCAGACACGTCCTTGCTCGTCGAAACTCCACATTCGAACGAGACTGCAAACGCCACTCGATCGTATCCATTGCCTTCATCATGATGTCCCCACTGGACATTGTTAGCCCCGCGTCCACGACCATTGCCGCCGCGTCGGGCTCCCCGACCTTCGTTCTTCTGCTTTGTCCAGCAACGATCCACCGTGTGTCCCACCTTGCCACAATACGTGCATTGGTAGGGCTCACGCTCGGCGCTGAATGCCTTGCTTGCATCTTCAGCCTTCACCGTAGTCGCTGTCGTTGTCCCTTTTTCTCCTTGACGCTTGGCATGCTCATTCGTCAGGACTCTCACCACATCTTGAGTGCGAAGCTCGGTGCTGCTCATTTCCATGTTGAGCACCACATTTTCGTAGCTCTTCGGAAGACTGAGTAGCAGACAAATTGCAACGTCTTCGTCTTCCATCTTCGCACCGATGCCGCTAAGCTTGGCGGAGATGTTGAGGACCTCGTTGCAGTGATGCATGACGTTCGCGCCTTCAGCCATCTTGATACTGAAAAGTTGTCGCTTGAGGTAGATGCGTCCTGCCTTCTGCGACCCACCGTACAGCGTCTTCAGACTTGTCCACGCAACCCAGGCTTCCTCGCAGTTGTCCAGCACATGATGGTAGTCCGCGTTCATGTGCAGCAGCATCATACCAAACGCGACGTTGCTTGCCTTGACGTAGTCATCGGACGCTCGCGGGTCGGTGAAAGTTGGAGTCACTTCACGGTTGACAACGTGCCAGACGGACTTCGTCAAAAACACACCGCGCATGTACCGGCTCCACGTTGCGTAATTGTCTCCGTTGAACTTGTCAATGGAGGCGTTGCTGGTGGACGACATGGCGCTTGGGCTCATAACCTGTTGCATTGTAGATCGGAGCGAGGAAAGCGGAGCAAACGGAGCGGAGAGACCGAAGAGAGTAGAGCAGAAAACACTTGCCCAATAGTTGGAAGATTCGAAAGTGATTGATTATCGGGGCTTACTACTTACTACATGATTTATATGTGGTGTACATATAAATCATGTGAAGCGTCTCATCATCCTACGCGTCTAATCAACTATGGTAATTACCGTAAGAACTACGTCGTAAATACTAAGCTGAACAGGCGGTTCGGATTGGATCGGTCACGGTTACCAATACTGGTAGAAAACCGATGACCGTCAACACGCCCCTCAATCCGAATGCTCACGAATCCCGAGAGTCGCCGTCATCTCCTTGTGGCGTGGCCCGTGAAGTCCCTTCGTCATGATGTCCGCTAACATCACCGCAGTTTCACAGTACTTGAGCTTCACTTCACCGCGCTTGACCTCATCACGGATGTGATGGTACTTGATATCAATTTGCTTGGCACGGCCGTGGTTGACTGGGTTCTTCGTCATCTTGATACACGACTGATTGTCTTCATGAATCATGAGTTCCGGTCCTTCTTCATTGGCAGCCATCACGATCTCACAAAGCAGACGATGAATCCACTTGCCCTCTTGAATCGCCAAGCTGAGTGCGATGTATTCGGCTTCACTCGTGGACAACGAAACACTTGGCTGCTTCTTGCTGCCCCAACTGACTGGCGCACCGAGTAGCATGAACGTGTACCCCGATGTTGACTTGCGGTCGGTAAGATCACCAGCCCAATCCGCATCCGAATATCCACGGAAGTCGATCCTTGCACTTGGCTTGTAGCAAATTCCATGCGTCTTGGTGCCTTGTAGGTGTAAGAAGTAGGAGTTAAGTAAAGTAAATGACTTGTATATTACCGCGCACCAGACGCGTTTCGGCCCCCCGCCGGGGGCCTCATCAGTGGTTTGTCAATCTACAAGTGAGAACTATCCATACGTCTAGCTGCCGTACGACCTATAATAATGCATAGAACCCTAAAGAACATTCTAGACATACTCTATCATGGGTCGAATCTCTGGAGTCGAATCCAGTGCATCATGCACTTACAACACTCCCCCTCGACGACATGAGATGCAGACCACTTTGGTATCGACCCGCCTGTAATCCTCACTGCTGCATCCGTGCACCATGGGAATCTTGATTGAGTCTTGCCCCTGCGCTCCAGCCAACCTCGATGATACCGAGCGTTCCAGGTATTCCAGCTCCCCCATCGTCCAGCACCATGTCACATCTTGACATCTCGTAGTCGTCGTTCGCCTTGGATGTAGTTTCCACTTCTTCTTGACCACAAATACACTTGTCACCACTTGACTTGACTCTTCCTTCGATAGCACTCGCGCATTCAGACCATCTCGCGTCACCACCCTTGCACAAACCCTTTTCGACTGCACGCGCACCGTCAACGATCCCTGTCGATGAATTCTTCGGCGCCTTACTCGTGCATCGAGCGCCTTCTCTGACGGGGTGTCCCTCGCACAAGTTGGTCCTTGGTGAGGTGTCTGTAGCGAGCACTTGGGCTCATAACCTGTAAGAAGTAGGAGTTAAGTAAAGCAAATGACTTGTATATTACCGCGCACCAGACGCGTTTCGGCCCCCCGCCGGGGGCCTCATCAGTGGTTTGTCAATCTACAAGTGAGAACTATCCATACGTCTAGCTGCCGTACGACCTATAATAATGCATAGAACCCTAAAGAACATTCTAGACATACCCTATCATGGGTCGAATCTCTGGAGTCGAATCCAGTGCATCATGCACTTACAACAGTAGGTAGCGAAAGATACGCTTAACTGCAACCCAGTGTTCTTCTTGGGGATTTTCCATGAACCGCGACACATAGCCCACAGCAAACGCAATGTCCGGACGCGTTGCAGTGGTCAGGTGCATCAACGCACCAACAGCTTCGCGAAAAGGAGCATCGACCTTGGTAGTTGCATCACTTGAAACAAGTCGAGAGCTCATGTCGACTGGACTTGCGACTGCCTTGCAATCATCCATGCCAAAGCGCTTGAGGATATCATCGACATACCGACGCTGACATAGTGTCACACTGCCATCTTCACCGTCCAAAAGCTCGATCCCAAGAACAAACGCACACTTGCCGCTGTCCGTCATTTCGAACCGCGTCTTCAGGTCGTTCTTGGTTTGTGCAATCAGCTCGAGTGAGCTTCCAGTCACCAAGACGTCGTCCACGTAGACCAGTATAAACACGCAATGGCCGTCCGAAGTCTTGATGTAGAGACATGGGTCGAAGTCCGATACTTGAAATCCGATGGAGCACACATACTCGTCGAACGTCTCGTTCCACACTCGCGACGCTTGCTTGAGGCCGTAAATTGACTTCACCAATTCCAGGCAGTCGAACGTACTGTCAAGTTCGACGCCTTCAGGAATCACGCAGAACACTTGTTCCTTCATGACGCCATACAGGAAAGCTGTCACCACATCAAGCTGGTCGATGGGCCATCCAAAATGCTTGGAAATTGCGATCACCATTCGCAGCGTCACATACTTGACCACGGGCGAAAACGTCTCGGTGTAGTCGATTCTATACTTCTGGAGAAAGCCCTTTGCCACGAGACTTGCCTTGTACTTCTCGATCGACCCATCCGCCTTGCGCTTGATCTTGAACACCCATTTTGTGCCAATGGCGCGTTGTCCGTTGGGCAGCTTGGCTGCACGAAACACACCGCGAAGTCGCATTGACTCGAGCTCTGCATGAATTGCTTTTCTCCAGTGCACTTGGTCAGGGCCGCTTACTGCTGCTTCAAATGTTGAGGGTTCTGATAAGTCCACTGCTGCTTCAACGGCATTTGCACTCGCACGCCAAAACACAGGCGGTGTTGAATCACCAGAATCCTTCGTTTCTTCGTCTTCTTCTTGTCGTGACGAGTTGTTTTCCGGCGCGCTTGACTCTTCTAGTCCTGGTCGTTGACGCACTGCACGCGGTCGTGGAGCTGCTGTATCTTCATCATTGAGTCGGTTCTTGCGCTTGCCTGTTTGCTTGTACTCCATTTGACGCAGCTCTTCGTCATCAAGATCCAGCAATTCGAAGTCCAGGTCATCGACATCTTCATCAGTGATCGGCAGTTGAAGTCCAAAGGTGGACTCGTCGAAGTTGACATCGCGGCTGATAACCACCTGCCCCGCCTCGATGTCATAAACACGATATGCCTTCGAAACTTCTTCGTAGCCCACGAATATGCCAGCGCGAGCCTTTGGATCCCACTTGAGTCGATTCTCTTTAGGCGTCAGTATGTATGTCTGACACCCGAATGTTCGCATGTGCTTGACGCTTGGTTTCAAGTTGTAGACGATCTCAAACGGGGGTCTTGTGCACGACTTTAGGTGACGGCAGTCGATTCTTGACGTAGATGGCCGTCATCGCTGCTTCGGCCCAGAAACACTTGTCCAGTTTGGCATGATGAAGCATGCTGCGGCCGATCGTGACAATAGTCCTAATGGCACGCTCTGCTGTTCCGTTTGTTTGATGTGCATACGGCACCGTTGTCTGCTGTTCAATGCCTTCGTCTTCGTAGAACAGTTGAAGCGAGTTGGTTGCAAACTCGCGAGCTCCGTCGTGTCGCACGAACTTGACCTTCTTACAGAATTGCGTCTATACCATGGTGATATATTTCCGGATGTAGTCTTTATTGAGGGTTACCGGTACAATTCGAACCTAGCGCGTAGTTCTTACGAGATAGTTTTTACATCGGTAATTACCTCAGAGATGATTAGACGCGTAGGATGATTGGACGCGTGTAAATCAGGTTGATTAGATGCACCATGTGATTGGATGCAGTCTAGGGTAGGCAGAAGTTAAGACCTATAAATCAATCACTTTCGAATCCTCCCTCAAGTGAGCAAGTGTTCTCTGCTTCGTTCTCTCCGGTCTCTCCGCTTCGTTTTCTCTTCGCCTCGCGCTCAAGTTACAACAGGTTATGAGCCCAAGCGCCATGTCGTCCAACAACACCTCGGCCAGTGTCTCCATCGATAAGTTCGATGGGGACAACTACTCAACCTGGTGTCGCTACATGCGCGGCGTGTTTCTGACGAAGTCAGTCTGGTACGTCGTGAACCGCGAAACGTCTCCAACCTTCACCGACACGCGAGCTTCCGACGAGTACGTCAAGGCGAGCAACATCGCGTTCGGGTTGATGTTGCTCCACATGGACGCCGACTACCACCATGTGGTCGACAACTGTGAAGAAGCATGGACAGCGTGGTCGCGGTTGAAGATGCTCTATGGTGGGTCGCAGAAGGCGGGACGCATCTACCTCAAGCGCCAGCTGTTCAGCATCAAGATGGCGGAAGGTGCCAACGTCTTGCACCATTGCAACGAAGTCTTGAACATCGGCGCCAAGCTCAGCAGCATCGGTGCCAAGATGGAAGATGAAGACATTGCGATCTGCTTGCTGCTCAGTCTCCCGAAGAGTTTCGAGAACGTGGTTCTGAACTTGGAGATGAGCAATGCAGAGCTGCGCACGCAAGATGTGGTCAAGGTGCTGACTAACGAGCACATCAAGCGACAAGGCGAGAAGATGACAACGGCAACGACAACGGTGAAGACTGAAGATGCGACAAAGGCATTCAGTACCGAGCGCAAGCCCTACCAATGCACATACTGCGGCAAGGTGGGGCACACGGCAGAGCGTTGCTGGACGAAGCAAAAGGATGAAAGTCGAGGAGCCCAACGCGGCGGCAATGGTCGTGGACGCGGGGCAAACAATGTCCAGTGGCGACATTATGATGAAGGCAACAGCTACGATCGAGTGGCGTTTGCAGTTTCGTTCGAATGCGGAGTTTCGACGAACAAGAATGGACCAGGAATGTGGGCCGTTGACAGCGGGGCAACACATCACATCTGCCACGACAAGTTCAAGTTTGCAAGCTTGGTCGAAGGCAATGATGGCGAGATCCTGGTGGCTGATGGCAACAAGGCGGCCATCAAAGGTGTGGGGACCATCGTGGAAAAGGTGATTCTGACAAACGGGGAAGAGCGCGAGATCGAGATCAAGAACGCGCTCTATGTGCCCAGCATGAGCAAAAATCTGCTCTCGGTGCCGCAGATTAACAAGCACGGCAACTTCCAAGTGGTGTTTGACGGGGATACGATGTACGTCGCTCGCAAGGATTCCAATCAAGTGGTGGCAGCTGCGGATCTTGTAGACGGACTCTACTGGCTTCGCACGACGCAGCGATCGGCCAATGCGACATCACTCAGCAACGCTGTTGATCTACATGCGCGAATGGGCCATGCTCCAGTCGACGTGCTTCGCAGGATGGTGACAAGCCACATGATCAAGGACGCTCACATCCCTTCCAAGCCGAATGGATCAAGTGTGTGTCGAGGATGCCAAGAAGGGAAGATGGTCCAAAAACCATTCCCGAGCAACCGTGACAAGCGCACCTACAACACCTTCGAGATGCTCCACTTCGACATCTGCGGACCCATGGAAGAAAAATCTCTGGGCGGCAGCAAGTATCTGCTGCTGATCGTGGATGAAGCCAGCGGATGCATGAAGGGTTTTTGTCTGCATTCCAAGTCAGAGAGCGAAGAGTGCATCAAGAAGTACATCACGATGATACAGGCGCAGTTCAACAAGAAGGTCAAATTTGTGCGACACGATGGAGCCCGCGAGTTTGCGACGAACTCGCTTCAAGATTTCTACGAAGTCAAAGGCATCGAGCAACAAACCACGGTGCCATACGCACATCAAGCCAATGGAACTGCTGAACGCGCGATTCGAACTATCGTCACCATTGGTCGTAGCATGCTCCATCATACCAAGTTGGACAAGTGCTTCTGGGATGAAGCGGCAATGACGGCCGTCTATGTAAAGAACCGTTTGCCGTCACCCAAGATTCCACACAAGACACCGTTCGAGATTGTCTACAATTCTAAGCCAAGTGTCAAGCACATGCGCGTTTTTGGGTGCCAAGCATACATCTTGACCCCGAAGGAGAAACGACTCAAGTGGGATCCCAAGGCCCGGGCTGGATTGTTTTTGGGCTACGAAGAAGTGTCCAAGGCGTATCGAGTTTACGACATCGAAGCGGGGCAGGTGATGATAAGTCGCGATGTCAACTTCGATGAGTCGGCCTTTGGAATGTCGATGCTGATTTCCGATGACGATGTTGATGGCCTGGACTTCGAATCGATCGATCTTGATGATGAAGAACCGCGTCCGAGACACTTCAAACAAACAGGAAAGCGCAAGGCCCAACCCAGTCACGACAATGACGACGCAAGCATGCCCCGAGCAGTGCGCCAACGACCCGGATTGGAAGAGTCAAGTGCGCCGGATAACCTCTCTTCACGTCGAGTCAACGAAGATGAAGAAAGGAAGTCGGAGGAACAACATGACACACAGACTTCCTCCGCGTTTTGGCATGCGAGTGCAAACGCCGTCGAAGCAGCGGTCGATTTTTCGGAGCCGTCGACATTTGAAGAAGCAGTGTCTGGCCCGGACCAAGTACACTGGCGCAAGGCAATTGATGCGGAGCTCGATTCGATGCGACTTCGCGGTGTGTTTCGTGCGGCCAAGTTACCCAACGGAAAAAGCGCCATTGGCACAGAGTGGGTCTTCAAGATCAAGCGCAAGGCGGATGGGTCGATCGCGAAATACAAGGCACGACTTGTGGCCAAGGGTTTCCGCCAAAAGTATGGCATCGACTACACGGAGACGTTCTCGCCCGTGGTCAAGTATGTGACGCTGTGAATGGTGATCGCCATTACCAAGCACTTTGGATGGCCCCTCGACCAGCTCGATGTGGTGACTGCGTTCCTGTATGGAGTGATGAAGGAGAAGGTGTTCTGCGCTGTTCCGGAAGGCGTCAAGATGGAAGGTGATTTCGACTGTCTCGAGCTGATCAAGGCGATCTACGGTCTCAAGCAAGCCTCGCGTGTTTGGAACGAGACCTTCGACGAGTTCATACGCTCGATTGGTTTTCAAGCGTCGGGATTCGATCCATGTCTCTACATCATGACTTCGGAAGGCCATTGTGTTTTTGTGCTGGTCTACGTGGACGATGTCTTGGTGACTGGAAGCTCGCTCGAGATGATTGCGCGCACCAAGAACGACCTCAAGACACGCTTCGAGATGACGGACAGCGGCAAGTGTGCCTTTGTTCTTGGGATCGAGTTATTGGACGGTGAAGATGGCAGCGTGACTATGTGTCAGCGCCGTTATGTCGACGATGTCCTCAAGCGCTTTGGAATGGATGAGTGCAAGGCTGTGGCAAGTCCGGTGGACGTCAGCTCTCGACTGGTTCCAAGCAACTCTGCAAGCAAGGTGGATGTCCCATTCCGTGAAGCAGTGGGTGCTTTGATGCATCTGACGACTGCGACGCGACCGGACATCGCCTATGCTGTAAGCTTTGTGTCACGGTTCATGGAGAAACCCCAAGAAGAACACTGGGTTGCAGTCAAGCGCATCTTCCGCTACCTACAAGGCACCAAGAGGCATGGAATCTGCTACAAGCCAAGTGCGAAGATCGACTTTCGTGGCTATTCAGATGCAGACTGGGCCGGTGACCTTGCTGATCGCAAATCGACGTCCGGCTACGTCTTCATGCTATTGGGTGCTCCGGTGAGTTGGGGCAGCAAGAAACAGCCAAGTGTGTCACTGTCTACAAGCGAAGCGGAGTACATCGCGCTCAGCCTGGCGATCCAAGAAGGCAAGTGGATCAATCGCTTGCTGTGCGAGATCATGGCGGCTGCAAACGAAGAAGGACCCGAGCTCGTCATCCGTGAAGACAACCAGTCGTGCATCAAGATGACGAAGAATCCGGTCAACCACGGCCGCGCTAAACACATCGACATCAAGTACCATCACATCCGTGATGAAGTCAAGCGCGGCGAAGTGAAGCTTGAATACTGCGAGACGACGTTGATGTTGGCGGACATCATGACGAAGGGACTTCACGGACCGCGTCACAAGGACTTGACGGCGGCGCTTGGCATCCGTGCGTGTTCGGATTGAGGGGGCGTATTGAGGGTTACCGGTACAATCCGAACGTAGCGCGTAGTTCTTACGAGATAGTTTTTACATCGGTAATTACCTCAGAGATGATTAGACGCGTAGGATGATTGGACGCGTGTAAATCAGGTTGATTAGATGCACCATGTGATTGGATGCAGTCTAGGGTAGGCAGAAGTTAAGACCTATAAATCAATCACTTTCGAATCCTCCCTCAAGTGAGCAAGTGTTCTCTGCTTCGTTCTCTCCGGTCTCTCCGCTTCGTTTTATCTTCGCCTCGCGCTCAAATTGCAACAGATTCGACATCCAGCGCAGTGTCATCAGCAATTGTTGCATTGTAGATCGGAGCGAGGAAAGCGGAGCAAACGGAGCGGAGAGACCGAAGAGAGTAGAGCAGAAAACACTTGCCCAATAGTTGGAAGATTCGAAAGTGATTGATTATCGGGGCTTACTACTTACTACATGATTTATATGTGGTGTACATATAAATCATGTGAAGCGTCTCATCATCCTACGCGTCTAATCAACTATGGTAATTACCGTAAGAACTACGTCGTAAATACTAAGCTGAACAGGCGGTTCGGATTGGATCGGTCACGGTTACCAATACTGGTAGAAAACCGATGACCGTCAACACGCCCCCTCAATCCGAATGCTCACGAATCCCGAGAGTCGCCGTCATCTCCTTGTGGCGTGGCCCGTGAAGTCCCTTCGTCATGATGTCCGCTAACATCACCGCAGTTTCACAGTACTTGAGCTTCACTTCACCGCGCTTGACCTCATCACGGATGTGATGGTACTTGATATCAATGTGCTTGGCACGGCCGTGGTTGACTGGGTTCTTCGTCATCTTGATACACGACTGATTGTCTTCATGGAATCATGAGTTCCGGTCCTTCTTCATTGGCAGCCATCACGATCTCACAAAGCAGACGATGAATCCACTTGCCCTCTTGAATCGCCAAGCTGAGTGCGATGTATTCGGCTTCACTCGTGGACAACGAAACACTTGGCTGCTTCTTGCTGCCCCAACTGACTGGCGCACCGAGTAGCATGAACGTGTACCCCGATGTTGACTTGCGGTCGGTAAGATCACCAGCCCAATCCGCATCCGAATATCCACGGAAGTCGATCCTTGCACTTGGCTTGTAGCAAATTCCATGCGTCTTGGTGCCTTGTAGGTAGCGAAAGATACGCTTAACTGCAACCCAGTGTTCTTCTTGGGGATTTTCCATGAACCGCGACACATAGCCCACAGCAAACGCAATGTCCGGACGCGTTGCAGTGGTCAGGTGCATCAACGCACCAACAGCTTCGCGAAAAGGAGCATCGACCTTGGTAGTTGCATCACTTGAAACAAGTCGAGAGCTCATGTCGACTGGACTTGCGACTGCCTTGCAATCATCCATGCCAAAGCGCTTGAGGATATCATCGACATACCGACGCTGACATAGTGTCACACTGCCATCTTCACCGTCCAAAAGCTCGATCCCAAGAACAAACGCACACTTGCCGCTGTCCGTCATTTCGAACCGCGTCTTCAGGTCGTTCTTGGTTTGTGCAATCAGCTCGAGTGAGCTTCCAGTCACCAAGACGTCGTCCACGTAGACCAGTATGTTGCATTGTAGATCGGAGCGAGGAAAGCGGAGCAAACGGAGCGGAGAGACCGAAGAGAGTAGAGCAGAAAACACTTGCCCAATAGTTGGAAGATTCGAAAGTGATTGATTATCGGGGCTTACTACTTACTACATGATTTATATGTGGTGTACATATAAATCATGTGAAGCGTCTCATCATCCTACGCGTCTAATCAACTATGGTAATTACCGTAAGAACTACGTCGTAAATACTAAGCTGAACAGGCGGTTCGGATTGGATCGGTCACGGTTACCAATACTGGTAGAAAACCGATGACCGTCAACACAGGGGGTGTTTTTTTTTTGAGGAAGGGGGTTTCATTCAGGGGGAAAGCCAGAAAACACCGGGGGGCGGCGCTTTCTTCAACAGAAGCAGAATACATGGCGCTTTCCGAAGCAACCAAAGAAGCAGTATGGCTCAAAGTGCTTTTGGGGGAACTTGGTGAGATGACAAGCGACGAAGCGATCAAGATGTATGAAGACAACCAAGGATCAATCGCTCTCGCCAAGAACCCGGAGTTCCATAAGAGAACAAAACACATCGACATACGCTACCATTTTGTGCGTGAGAAGGTGGAATCAGGTGAAGTCGTTTTGGAGTATTGCCCGACTCAAGATATGCTGGCAGACATGATGACCAAGCCGATCGCCGCTGTACAATTTGAAAACATTCGCGATCGACTTGGGATCCAAGGTGCCGCAGCTAACGAGTCGAGAGGGAGTGTTGAAAAGACAGCGGCTGTGAAGAAGACACCTCGTCAAGCTGCGTCAAGTGTTGAAGCAAGTGGAAGACCAAGCTTCGCTATACCGGTGGGTACCGGTATGTACCAGTAAGGGCGAAGTCAGGAAATGACGTCACTGGATGACGTCATTGCATGACGTCAGTGGGTGACGTCAGTGGGTGACGTCACTGGATGACGTCACTGCGAATAATAGGCTTAGAGGTAGTATTCAAAGTTGCGAACTAAGTACCTATTATAAATATATATTCACTTTGCGTTTTGCACTCGGACCAAGAAGTCTAAAGTTCATCAGTCATCGGACGCTCGCGGGTCGGTGAAAGTCGGAGTCACTTCACGGTTGACAACGTGCCAGACGGACTTCGTCAAAAACACACCGCGCATGTACCGGCTCCACGTTGCGTAATTGTCTCCGTTGAACTTGTCAATGGAGGCGTTGCTGGTGGACGACATGGCGCTTGGGCTCATAACCTTTTGCATTGTAGATCGGAGCGAGGAAAGCGGAGCAAACGGAGCGGAGAGACCGAAGAGAGTAGAGCAGAAAACACTTGCCCAATAGTTGGAAGATTCGAAAGTGATTGATTATCGGGACTTACTACTTACTACATGATTTATATGTGGTGTACATATAAATCATGTGAAGCGTCTCATCATCCTACGCGTCTAATCAACTATGGTAATTACCGTAAGAACTACGTCGTAAATACTAAGCTGAACAGGCGGTTCGGATTGGATCGGTCACGGTTACCAATACTGGTAGAAAACCGATGACCGTCTACACATGGCGCTTTCCGAAGCAACCAAAGAAGCAGTATGGCTCAAAGTGCTTTTGGGGGAACTTGGTGAGATGACAAGCGACGAAGCGATCAAGATGTATGAAGACAACCAAGGATCAATCGCTCTCGCCAAGAACCCGGAGTTCCATAAGAGAACAAAACACATCGACATACGCTACCATTTTGTGCGTGAGAAGGTGGAATCAGGTGAAGTCGTTTTGGAGTATTGCCCGACTCAAGATATGCTGGCAGACATGATGACCAAGCCGATCGCCGCTGTACAATTTGAAAACATTCGCGATCGACTTGGGATCCAAGGTGCCGCAGCTAACGAGTCGAGAGGGAGTGTTGAAAAGACAGCGGCTGTGAAGAAGACACCTCGTCAAGCTGCGTCAAGTGTTGAAGCAAGTGGAAGACCAAGCTTCGCTATACCGGTGGGTACCGGTATGTACCAGTAAGGGCGAAGTCAGGAAATGACGTCACTGGATGACGTCATTGCATGACGTCAGTGGGTGACGTCAGTGGGTGACGTCACTGGATGACGTCACTGCGAATAATAGGCTTAGAGGTAGTATTCAAAGTTGCGAACTAAGTACCTATTATAAATATATATTCACTTTGCGTTTTGCACTCGGACCAAGAAGTCTAAAGTTCATCAGTCATCGGACGCTCGCGGGTCGGTGAAAGTCGGAGTCACTTCACGGTTGACAACGTGCCAGACGGACTTCGTCAAAAACACACCGCGCATGTACCGGCTCCACGTTGCGTAATTGTCTCCGTTGAACTTGTCAATGGAGGCGTTGCTGGTGGACGACATGGCGCTTGGGCTCATAACCTTTTGCATTGTAGATCGGAGCGAGGAAAGCGGAGCAAACGGAGCGGAGAGACCGAAGAGAGTAGAGCAGAAAACACTTGCCCAATAGTTGGAAGATTCGAAAGTGATTGATTATCGGGACTTACTACTTACTACATGATTTATATGTGGTGTACATATAAATCATGTGAAGCGTCTCATCATCCTACGCGTCTAATCAACTATGGTAATTACCGTAAGAACTACGTCGTAAATACTAAGCTGAACAGGCGGTTCGGATTGGATCGGTCACGGTTACCAATACTGGTAGAAAACCGATGACCGTCTACACATGGCGCTTTCCGAAGCAACCAAAGAAGCAGTATGGCTCAAAGTGCTTTTGGGGGAACTTGGTGAGATGACAAGCGACGAAGCGATCAAGATGTATGAAGACAACCAAGGATCAATCGCTCTCGCCAAGAACCCGGAGTTCCATAAGAGAACAAAACACATCGACATACGCTACCATTTTGTGCGTGAGAAGGTGGAATCAGGTGAAGTCGTTTTGGAGTATTGCCCGACTCAAGATATGCTGGCAGACATGATGACCAAGCCGATCGCCGCTGTACAATTTGAAAACATTCGCGATCGACTTGGGATCCAAGGTGCCGCAGCTAACGAGTCGAGAGGGAGTGTTGAAAAGACAGCGGCTGTGAAGAAGACACCTCGTCAAGCTGCGTCAAGTGTTGAAGCAAGTGGAAGACCAAGCTTCGCTATACCGGTGGGTACCGGTATGTACCAGTAAGGGCGAAGTCAGGAAATGACGTCACTGGATGACGTCATTGCATGACGTCAGTGGGTGACGTCAGTGGATGACGTCACTGGATGACGTCACTGCGAATAATAGGCTTAGAGGTAGTATTCAAAGTTGCGAACTAAGTACCTATTATAAATATATATTCACTTTGCGTTTTGCACTCGGACCAAGAAGTCTAAAGTTCATCAGTCATCGGACGCTCGCGGGTCGGTGAAAGTCGGAGTCACTTCACGGTTGACAACGTGCCAGACGGACTTCGTCAAAAACACACCGCGCATGTACCGGCTCCACGTTGCGTAATTGTCTCCGTTGAACTTGTCAATGGAGGCGTTGCTGGTGGACGACATGGCGCTTGGGCTCATAACCTTTTGCATTGTAGATCGGAGCGAGGAAAGCGGAGCAAACGGAGCGGAGAGACCGAAGAGAGTAGAGCAGAAAACACTTGCCCAATAGTTGGAAGATTCGAAAGTGATTGATTATCGGGACTTACTACTTACTACATGATTTATATGTGGTGTACATATAAATCATGTGAAGCGTCTCATCATCCTACGCGTCTAATCAACTATGGTAATTACCGTAAGAACTACGTCGTAAATACTAAGCTGAACAGGCGGTTCGGATTGGATCGGTCACGGTTACCAATACTGGTAGAAAACCGATGACCGTCTACACATGGCGCTTTCCGAAGCAACCAAAGAAGCAGTATGGCTCAAAGTGCTTTTGGGGGAACTTGGTGAGATGACAAGCGACGAAGCGATCAAGATGTATGAAGACAACCAAGGATCAATCGCTCTCGCCAAGAACCCGGAGTTCCATAAGAGAACAAAACACATCGACATACGCTACCATTTTGTGCGTGAGAAGGTGGAATCAGGTGAAGTCGTTTTGGAGTATTGCCCGACTCAAGATATGCTGGCAGACATGATGACCAAGCCGATCGCCGCTGTACAATTTGAAAACATTCGCGATCGACTTGGGATCCAAGGTGCCGCAGCTAACGAGTCGAGAGGGAGTGTTGAAAAGACAGCGGCTGTGAAGAAGACACCTCGTCAAGCTGCGTCAAGTGTTGAAGCAAGTGGAAGACCAAGCTTCGCTATACCGGTGGGTACCGGTATGTACCAGTAAGGGCGAAGTCAGGAAATGACGTCACTGGATGACGTCATTGCATGACGTCAGTGGGTGACGTCAGTGGGTGACGTCACTGGATGACGTCACTGCGAATAATAGGCTTAGAGGTAGTATTCAAAGTTGCGAACTAAGTACCTATTATAAATATATATTCACTTTGCGTTTTGCACTCGGACCAAGAAGTCTAAAGTTCATCAGTCATCGGACGCTCGCGGGTCGGTGAAAGTCGGAGTCACTTCACGGTTGACAACGTGCCAGACGGACTTCGTCAAAAACACACCGCGCATGTACCGGCTCCACGTTGCGTAATTGTCTCCGTTGAACTTGTCAATGGAGGCGTTGCTGGTGGACGACATGGCGCTTGGGCTCATAACCTTTTGCATTGTAGATCGGAGCGAGGAAAGCGGAGCAAACGGAGCGGAGAGACCGAAGAGAGTAGAGCAGAAAACACTTGCCCAATAGTTGGAAGATTCGAAAGTGATTGATTATCGGGACTTACTACTTACTACATGATTTATATGTGGTGTACATATAAATCATGTGAAGCGTCTCATCATCCTACGCGTCTAATCAACTATGGTAATTACCGTAAGAACTACGTCGTAAATACTAAGCTGAACAGGCGGTTCGGATTGGATCGGTCACGGTTACCAATACTGGTAGAAAACCGATGACCGTCTACACATGGCGCTTTCCGAAGCAACCAAAGAAGCAGTATGGCTCAAAGTGCTTTTGGGGGAACTTGGTGAGATGACAAGCGACGAAGCGATCAAGATGTATGAAGACAACCAAGGATCAATCGCTCTCGCCAAGAACCCGGAGTTCCATAAGAGAACAAAACACATCGACATACGCTACCATTTTGTGCGTGAGAAGGTGGAATCAGGTGAAGTCGTTTTGGAGTATTGCCCGACTCAAGATATGCTGGCAGACATGATGACCAAGCCGATCGCCGCTGTACAATTTGAAAACATTCGCGATCGACTTGGGATCCAAGGTGCCGCAGCTAACGAGTCGAGAGGGAGTGTTGAAAAGACAGCGGCTGTGAAGAAGACACCTCGTCAAGCTGCGTCAAGTGTTGAAGCAAGTGGAAGACCAAGCTTCGCTATACCGGTGAGTACCGGTATGTACCAGTAAGGGCGAAGTCAGGAAATGACGTCACTGGATGACGTCATTGCATGACGTCAGTGGGTGACGTCAGTGGGTGACGTCACTGGATGACGTCACTGCGAATAATAGGCTTAGAGGTAGTATTCAAAGTTGCGAACTAAGTACCTATTATAAATATATATTCACTTTGCGTTTTGCACTCGGACCAAGAAGTCTAAAGTTCATCAGTCATCGGACGCTCGCGGGTCGGTGAAAGTCGGAGTCACTTCACGGTTGACAACGTGCCAGACGGACTTCGTCAAAAACACACCGCGCATGTACCGGCTCCACGTTGCGTAATTGTCTCCGTTGAACTTGTCAATGGAGGCGTTGCTGGTGGACGACATGGCGCTTGGGCTCATAACCTTTTGCATTGTAGATCGGAGCGAGGAAAGCGGAGCAAACGGAGCGGAGAGACCGAAGAGAGTAGAGCAGAAAACACTTGCCCAATAGTTGGAAGATTCGAAAGTGATTGATTATCGGGACTTACTACTTACTACATGATTTATATGTGGTGTACATATAAATCATGTGAAGCGTCTCATCATCCTACGCGTCTAATCAACTATGGTAATTACCGTAAGAACTACGTCGTAAATACTAAGCTGAACAGGCGGTTCGGATTGGATCGGTCACGGTTACCAATACTGGTAGAAAACCGATGACCGTCAACACGCCCCCTCAATCCGAATGCTCACGAATCCCGAGAGTCGCCATCATCTCCTTGTGGCGTGGCCCGTGAAGTCCCTTCGTCATGATGTCCGCTAACATCACCGCAGTTTCACAGTACTTGAGCTTCACTTCACCGCGCTTGACCTCATCACGGATGTGATGGTACTTGATATCAATGTGCTTGGCACGGCCGTGGTTGACTGGGTTCTTCGTCATCTTGATACACGACTGATTGTCTTCATGGATCATGAGTTCCGGTCCTTCTTCATTGGCAGCCATCACGATCTCACAAAGCAGACGATGAATCCACTTGCCCTCTTGAATCGCCAAGCTGAGTGCGATGTATTCGGCTTCACTCGTGGACAACGAAACACTTGGCTGCTTCTTGCTGCCCCAACTGACTGGCGCACCGAGTAGCATGAACGTGTACCCCGATGTTGACTTGCGGTCGGTAAGATCACCAGCCCAATCCGCATCCGAATATCCACGGAAGTCGATCCTTGCACTTGGCTTGTAGCAAATTCCATGCGTCTTGGTGCCTTGTAGGTAGCGAAAGATACGCTTAACTGCAACCCAGTGTTCTTCTTGGGGATTTTCCATGAACCGCGACACATAGCCCACAGCAAACGCAATGTCCGGACGCGTTGCAGTGGTCAGGTGCATCAACGCACCAACAGCTTCGCGAAAAGGAGCATCGACCTTGGTAGTTGCATCACTTGAAACAAGTCGAGAGCTCATGTCGACTGGACTTGCGACTGCCTTGAAATCATCCATGCCAAAGCGCTTGAGGATATCATCGACATACCGACGCTGACATAGTGTCACACTGCCATCTTCACCGTCCAAAAGCTCGATCCCAAGAACAAACGCACACTTGCCGCTGTCCGTTATTTCGAACCGCGTCTTCAGGTCGTTCTTGGTTTGTGCAATCAGCTCGAGTGAGCTTCCAGTCACCAAGACGTCGTCCACGTAGACCAGTATAAACACGCAATGGCCGTCCGAAGTCTTGATGTAGAGACATGGGTCGAAGTCCGATACTTGAAATCCGATGGAGCACACATACTCGTCGAACGTCTCGTTCCACACTCGCGACGCTTGCTTGAGGCCGTAAATTGCCTTCACCAATTCCAGGCAGTCGAACGTACTGTCAAGTTCGACGCCTTCAGGAATCACGCAGAACACTTGTTCCTTCATGACGCCATACAGGAAAGCTGTCACCACATCAAGCTGGTCGATGGGCCATCCAAAATGCTTGGAAATTGCGATCACCATTCACAGCGTCACATGCTTGACCACGGGCGAAAACGTCTCCGTGTAGTCGATTCCATACTTTGAGCGAAAGCCCTTTGCCGCGAGACGTGCCTTGTACTTCTCGATGGACCCATCCGCCTTGCGCTTGATCTTGAACACCCATTTTGTGCCAATGGCGCGTTGTCCGTTGGGCAGCTTGGCTGCACGAAACACACCGCGAAGTCGCATTGACTCGAGCTCTGCATGAATTGCTTTTCTCCAGTGCACTTGGTCAGGGCCGCTTACTGCTGCTTCAAATGTTGAGGGTTCTGATAAGTCCACTGCTGCTTCAACGGCATTTGCACTCGCACGCCAAAACACAGGCGGTGTTGAATCACCAGAATCCTTCGTTTCTTCGTCTTCTTCTTGTCGTGACGAGTTGTTTTCCGGTGCGCTTGACTCTTCTAGTCCTGGTCGTTGACGCACTGCACGCGGTCGTGGAGCTGCTGTATCTTCATCATTGAGTCGGTTCTTGCGCTTGCCTGTTTGCTTGTACTCCATTTGACGCAGCTCTTCGTCATCAAGATCCAGCAATTCGAAGTCCAGGTCATCGACATCTTCATCAGTGATCGGCAGTTGAAGTCCAAAGGTGGACTCGTCGAAGTTGACATCGCGGCTGATAACCACCTGCCCCGCCTCGATGTCATAAACACGATATGCCTTCGAAACTTCTTCGTAGCCCACGAATATGCCAGCGCGAGCCTTTGGATCCCACTTGAGTCGATTCTCTTTAGGCGTCAGTATGTATGTCTGACACCCGAATGTTCGCATGTGCTTGACGCTTGGTTTCAAGTTGTAGACGATCTCAAACGGGGTCTTGTGCACGACTTTAGGTGACGGCAGTCGATTCTTGACGTAGATGGCCGTCATCGCTGCTTCGGCCCAGAAACACTTGTCCAGTTTGGCATGATGAAGCATGCTGCGGCCGATCGTGACAATAGTCCTAATGGCACGCTCTGCTGTTCCGTTTGTTTGATGTGCATGCGGCACCGTTGTCTGCTGTTCAATGCCTTCGTCTTCGTAGAACAGTTGAAGCGAGTTGGTTGCAAACTCGCGAGCTCCGTCGTGTCGCACGAACTTGACCTTCTTACAGAATTGCGTCTGTACCATGGTGATATATTTCCGGATGTAGTCTTCACTCTCGGACTTCACTCGTAGACAAAAGCCCTTCATGCATCCACTGGCTTCGTCGATGATCAGCAGCAAATATTTGCTGTCACCGAGCGAATCCTTTTCCATGGGCCCGCAGATGTCCAGATGAAGTAGCTCAAACGTATCGTAGCTGCGCTTGTCTCGGTTGCTTGGAAATGGTTTTTGGACCATTTTCCCTTGTTGACATCCTCGACATGTAGTTGCTCCACCCGACTTGAGAGGGACTCGCACATCCTTGATCATGTTGGTCGCGATCATCTTGCGAAGTACATCGACTGGAGCATGACCCATTCTCGCATGTAGATCGGCACAACTGGTTCCACTTGTTGTCACATTCGCTGATCGTTGAGTCGTCCGGAAGCCAGTAGAGTCCATCCACGAGATCCGCTGTCGCCACCACTTGCTGTGAGTTCTTGAGAGTCACATACATCTTGGACCCGTCAAACACGACTTGAAACTTGCCATGGCTGTTAATCTGTGGCACCGAGAGCAGGTTCTTGCTCATACTTGGAACATATAGCGCGTTCTTGATTTCGATCTCACGCTCTTCACCGTTGGGCAGAACCACCTTTTCCATGATGGTTCCCACACCCTTGATGGCCACCTTGTTGCCATCAGCCACCAAGAGTTCGCCCTCATTGCGCTCTGCCAAACTTGCGAACTTGGTCTTGTCGTGGCAAATGTGGTGCGTTGCACCACTGTCGACGGCCCACATTCCAGACACGTCCTTGCTCGTCGAAACTCCACATTCGAACGAGACTGCAAACGCCACTCGATCGTAGCCATTGCCTTCATCATGATGTCCCCACTGGACATTGTTAGCCCCGCGTCCACGACCATTGCCGCCGCGTCGGGCTCCCCGACCTTCGTTCTTCTGCTTTGTCCAGCAACGATCCACCGTGTGTCCCACCTTGCCACAATACGTGCATTGGTAGGGCTCACGCTCGGCGCTGAATGCCTTGCTTGCATCTTCAGCCTTCACCGTAGTCGCTGTCGTTGTCCCTTTTTCTACTTGACGCTTGGCATGCTCATTCGTCAGGACTCTCACCACATCTTGAGTGCGAAGCTCGGTGCTGCTCATTTCCATGTTGAGCACCACATTTTCGTAGCTCTTCGGAAGACTGAGTAGCAGACAAATTGCAACGTCTTCGTCTTCCATCTTCGCACCGATGCCGCTAAGCTTGGCGGAGATGTTGAGGACCTCGTTGCAGTGATGCATGACGTTCGCGCCTTCAGCCATCTTGATACTGAAAAGTTGTCGCTTGAGGTAGATGCGTCCTGCCTTCTGCGACCCACCGTAAAGCGTCTTCAGACTTGTCCACGCAACCCAGGCTTCCTCGCAGTTGTCCAGCACATGATGGTAGTCCGCGTTCATGTGCAGCAGCATCATACCAAACGCGACGTTGCTTGCCTTGACGTAGCCATCGGACGCTCGCGGGTCGGTGAAAGTCGGAGTCACTTCACGGTTGACAACGTGCCAGACGGACTTCGTCAAAAACACACCGCGCATGTACCGGCTCCACGTTGCGTAATTGTCTCCGTTGAACTTGTCAATGGAGGCGTTGCTGGTGGACGACATGGCGCTTGGGCTCATAACCTGTTGCATTGTAGATCGGAGCGAGGAAAGCGGAGCAAACGGAGCGGAGAGACCGAAGAGAGTAGAGCAGAAAACACTTGCCCAATAGTTGGAAGATTCGAAAGTGATTGATTATCGGGGCTTACTACTTACTACATGATTTATATGTGGTGTACATATAAATCATGTGAAGCGTCTCATCATCCTACGCGTCTAATCAACTATGGTAATTACCGTAAGAACTACGTCGTAAATACTAAGCTGAACAGGCGGTTCGGATTGGATCGGTCACGGTTACCAATACTGGTAGAAAACCGATGACCGTCAACACATCTACCCCCCAAGTGTCTTCTCCGGTCTTCCGAGTGGACTCCCAGCATCACTCCCAGTTTCGGTCGTCAAGCTTTACACCTATTAACAGGTTATGAGCCCAAGCACGATGTCCTCTGCTCATGATGCCACCACCAAGATCTCCATTGACAAGTTCGACGGCGACAACTACGCGACATGGAGCCGCTACATGCGTGGCGTGTTCCTGACTAAGTCGGCGTGGCACGCTGTGAACCGGGAGACCTCGCCGACCTACGCGGACGATCGCGCCATGGACGACTACGTCAAGGCCAACAACATCGCTTTCGGACTGACGTTGCTGCACATGGACGCAGACTACCATCACATCGTCGATGACTGTGAAGAGGCGTGGGTCGCGTGGGCGCTTTTAAAGATGCTGTACGGCGGGTCGCAGAAGGCTGGACGCATCTACTTGAAGCGCCAGCTGTTCAGCATGGAGATGGAGGAAGGCGGCAATGTGATGCATCATTGCAACGAAGTCCTCAACATCAGCGCGAAGCTCAGCAGCATCGGCGCCAAGATGGAGGACGAGGACGTGGCGATCTGCTTGTTGCGCAGCCTCCCCAAGAGCTACGAGAACGTCGTTCTCAACTTGGAGATGAGCAGCGCGGAACTGCGATCGCGAGACGTCGTGAGAGTGCTCACGAATGAGCACATCAAGAGGCAAGGTGACAAGACGACATCGGTGAAGACTGAAGACGCGGCCAAGGCGTTTAGCACCGAGCGTGAACCTCGCCAGTGTACATACTGCGGAAAATTGGGGCACACGGCGGAGCGGTGCTGGACCAAGCAGAAGGACGAAAATCAAGGTGGAGCTCGACGCGGCGGCAACAATGCTCGTGGACGCGGAGCCAACAACGTTCAGTGGCGAACCAACAGCAACTACGACGACAACTACGATCGAGTTGCGATCGCGGTTTCGCTGGAGGCTGGACTATCGACGGGCAAGAATATGCCAGGGATGTGGGCAGTCGACAGCGGTGCGACGCATCACATCTGCAACGACAAGGCCAAGTTTGCAAGCCTGAATGAGCGAGAGGAAGGCGAACTATCAGTGGCTGATGGCAGCAAGGCTGCGATCAAGGGTGTGGGAACCATCATGGAACGGGTGGTTCTGCCCAATGGTGACGAACGCGACATCGAGATCAAGGACGCACTGTTCGTACCAATTATGAGCAAGAATCTGCTTTCGGTGCCACAGATCAACAAGGGTGGCAGGTTCCAAGTCGTGTTCGATGGGTCCAAGATGCAAGCGAAGCGCAAGAATTCCACACAAGTCGTGGCAACAGCGGATCTCGTCGATGGACTTTACTGGCTGTGGACTCCTCAACGATCGGCAAATGCAGCAACACGCAATGGGACTATCGACTTGCATGCGCGCATGGATCATGCACCCCTCGAAGTTCTGCGCAAGATGGTGGCCACTGGCATGATCAAGGACGCCAAGGCACCTCTCAACTCGACTAGTCCAAGTGTGTGTCGCGGTTGCCAGCAAGGAAAGATGGTCCAAAAACCATTCCCAACCAACCGTGACAAACGCCAATATGGTGTGTTCGAGTTGCTGCACGTCGACATCTGCGGGCCAATGGAACAAGTCTCGATCGGCGGCAGCAGATACTTACTGCTTGTGGTTGACGAAGCCAGCGGTTGCATGAAGGGCTTCTGTCTGCGGTCCAAGTCTGAGAGTGAAGACTGTATCAAGAACCACATTATCAAGATTCAAACTCAGTTCGGCACGAAGATCAAGTTTGTTCGGCACGATAGAGCGCATGAGTTTGCGACCAACTCCATCAAGACCTTCTACGAAGATCATGGTATCGAACAACAGATCACGGTGCCGTATGCACACCAGACCAACGGCACCGCAGAACGCGCGATAAGGACCATCGTCACGATCGGACGCAGCTTGTTGCATCATGCAAAACTGGAGAAGTGTTTCTGGGCTGAAGCGGCAATGACGGCGATCTACATCAAGAACCGCCTGCCTTCACCCAAGATCGACCACAAGACTCCGTTCGAAATCGTGTACAAGTCGAAACCAAGTGTCAAGCACATGCGCGTGTTTGGATGTCGGGCGTTTATCCTGACACCAAGGGAGAAGCGATTGAAGTGGGACCCGAAGGCTCGTGAAGGGATGTTCATGGGCTACGAAGAAGCGTCAAAAGCTTATCGAGTGTACGACATTGAGGCGGGCCAAGTGGTGATCAGTCGTGACATCACCTTCGACGAATCGACTTTTGACTTTTCGATGGACCGACCAAGTGACGATGATGAAAATGCGGAGTTGGACCTCGACCTCCTGGCGATCAACGAGGACGACGTGCGTCAAACCGTCTACAAGCAGACTGGCAAGCGCAAGAGTGAAGCAAGACCCGGCATGTCACGTTCAGCTCGCCCTCGAACTGGGTTGGAACAAGCAAGTGCGCTGGAATACGTCTCCAACCGTCACCAGAAACGACGATCAAGTGCTCCAGAAACGATGTCTGATGACGAAGAAGATGCAAGCGTCTACAATCAAGATGACGACTCGACGCCTCCAACATTTTGGCGTGCAAGTGCAAACGCAGTGGAAGCAACGGACCTAGCAGAACCTGTGACTTTTCAAGACGCGATCAATGGTCCTGATCAAGCTCACTGGCGAAATGCTGTGAAGGCGGAACTCAAGTCGATGCACCTTCGTGGAGTTTTCCGTGCGACAAAACTGCCAAGAGGCCAAGGCGCGATCGGCACCAAGTGGGTGTTCAAGATCAAGCGCAAAGCGGATGGATCGGTCGAGAAATACAAGGCGCGTCTCGTTGCCAAGGGCTTCAAGCAGAAGTACGGCATCGACTACACCGAGACGTTCTCGCCCGTGGTCAAGTACGTGACACTGCGTATGGTGATCGCGATCACCAAGTATTTCGACTGGCCACTGGACCAACTCGATGTGGTGACAACCTTTCTCTATGGAGTGATGAAGGAGAAAGTGTACTGCGTGATACCAGAAGGCGTCGAGATGGATGGCGACTTCGACTGTCTTGAGTTGGTGAAGGCGATCTACGGTCTCAAGCAAGCTTCACGTGTGTGGAACGATACTTTCGACGAGTTCGTATGCTCTATCGGTTTCGAAGCGTCGGCGTTCGACCCATGTCTCTACATAAAGGTTGTCGACGGTCACTGTGTGCTCGTGCTGGTCTACGTGGATGACGTGTTGGTCACCGGCAGCTCGCTCGAGTTGATTGCGCAGACGAAGGCCGACTTCAAGACGCGTTTCGAGATGACCGACAGTGGCAAGTGTACTTTTGTACTGGGCATCGAACTGGTGGACGAATCGGATGACAGCGTGACGATGTGCCAGCGACGGTATTGTTGCATTGTAGATCGGAGCGAGGAAAGCGGAGCAAACGGAGCGGAGAGACCGAAGAGAGTAGAGCAGAAAACACTTGCCCAATAGTTGGAAGATTCGAAAGTGATTGATTATCGGGGCTTACTACTTACTACATGATTTATATGTGGTGTACATATAAATCATGTGAAGCGTCTCATCATCCTACGCGTCTAATCAACTATGGTAATTACCGTAAGAACTACGTCGTAAATACTAAGCTGAACAGGCGGTTCGGATTGGATCGGTCACGGTTACCAATACTGGTAGAAAACCGATGACCGTCAACACGCCCCCTCAATCCGAATGCTCACGAATCCCGAGAGCCGTCGTCATCTCCTTGTGGCGTGGTCCATGAAGTCCCTTCGTCATGATGTCCGCTAACATCACCGCAGTTTCACAGTACTTGAGCTTCACTTCACCGCGCTTGACCTCATCACGGATGTGATGGTACTTGATATCAATGTGCTTGGCACGGCCGTGGTTGACTGGGTTCTTCGTCATCTTGATACACGACTGATTGTCTTCATGGATCATGAGTTCCGGTCCTTCTTCATTGGCAGCCATCACGATCTCACAAAGCAGACGATGAATCCACTTGCCCTCTTGAATTGCCAAGCTGAGTGCGATGTATTCGGCTTCACTCGTGGACAACGAAACACTTGGCTGCTTCTTGCTGCCCCAACTGACTGGCGCACCGAGTAGCATGAACGTGTACCCCGATGTTGACTTGCGGTCGGTAAGATCACCAGCCCAATCCGCATCCGAATATCCACGGAAGTCGATCCTTGCACTTGGCTTGTAGCAAATTCCATGCGTCTTGGTGCCTTGTAGGTAGCGAAAGATACGCTTAACTGCAACCCAGTGTTCTTCTTGGGGATTTTCCATGAACCGCGACACATAGCCCACAGCAAACGCAATGTCCGGACGCGTTGCAGTGGTCAGGTGCATCAACGCACCAACAGCTTCGCGAAAAGGAGCATCGACCTTGGTAGTTGCATCACTTGAAACAAGTCGAGAGCTCATGTCGACTGGACTTGCGACTGCCTTGCAATCATCCATGCCAAAGCGCTTGAGGATATCATCGACATACCGACGCTGACATAGTGTCACACTGCCATCTTCACCGTCCAAAAGCTCGATCCCAAGAACAAACGCACACTTGCCGCTGTCCGTTATTTCGAACCGCGTCTTCAGGTCGTTCTTGGTTTGTGCAATCAGCTCGAGCGAGCTTCCAGTCACTAAGACGTCGTCCACGTAGACCAGTATAAACACGCAATGGCCGTCCGAAGTCTTGATGTAGAGACATGGGTCGAAGTCCGATACTTGAAATCCAAAGGAACACACAAACTCGTCAAAAGTCTCGTTCCATACTCGCAAAGCTTGCTTTAGGCCGTAAATTGCCTTCACCAATTCCAGACAGTCGAACGTACTGTCAAGTTCGACGCCTTCAGGAATCACACAAAACACTTGTTCCTTCATGACGCCATACAGGAAAGCTGTCACCACATCAAGCTGGTCGATGGGCCATCCAAAATGCTTGGAAATTGCGATCACCATTCGCAGCGTCACATACTTGACCACGGGAGAAAACGTCTCTGTGTAGTCGATTCCATACTTCTGGCGAAAACCCTTGGCCACAAGACGTGCCTTGTACTTCTCGATGGATCCGTCCGCTTTGCGCTTGATCTAGAAGACCCATTTTGTGCCAATGCCACGTTGTCCGTTGAGCACCTTGGCTGCACGAAACACTCCACGAAGTCGCATTGACTCGAGCTCCGCATGAATTGCTTTTCTCCAGTGCACTTGGTCAGGGCCGCTTACTGCTGCTTCAAATGTTGAGGGTTCTGATAAGTCCACTGCTGCTTCAACGGCATTTGCACTCGCACGCCAAAACACAGGCGGTGTTGAATCACCAGAATCCTTCGTTTCTTCGTCTTCTTCTTGTCGTGACGAGTTGTTTTCCGGCGCGCTTGACTCTTCTAGTCCTGGTCGTTGACGCACTGCACGCGGTCGTGGAGCTGCTGTATCTTCATCATTGAGTCGGTTCTTGCGCTTGCCTGTTTGCTTGTACTCCATTTGACGCAGCTCTTCGTCATCAAGATCCAGAAATTCGAAGTCCAGGTCATCGACATCTTCATCAGTGATCGGCAGTTGAAGTCCAAAGGTGGATTCGTCGAAGTTGACATCGCGGCTGATAACCACCTGCCCCGCCTCGATGTCATAAACACGATATGCCTTCGAAACTTCTTCGTAGCCCACGAATATGCCAGCGTGAGCCTTTGGATCCCACTTGAGTCGATTCTCTTTAGGCGTCAGTATGTATGTCTGACACCCGAATGTTCGCATGTGCTTGACGCTTGGTTTCAAGTTGTAGACGATCTCAAACGGGGTCTTGTGCACGACTTTAGGTGACGGCAGTCGATTCTTGACGTAGATGGCCGTCATCGCTGCTTCGGCCCAGAAACACTTGTCCAGTTTGGCATGATGAAGCATGCTGCGGCCGATCGTGACAATAGTCCTAATGGCACGCTCTGCTGTTCCGTTTGTTTGATGTGCATGCGGCACCGTTGTCTGCTGTTCAATGCCTTCGTCTTCGTAGAACAGTTGAAGCGAGTTGGTTGCAAACTCGCGAGCTCCGTCGTGTCGCACGAACTTGACCTTCTTACAGAATTGCGTCTGTACCATGGTGATATATTTCCGGATGTAGTCTTCACTCTCGGACTTCACTCGTAGACAAAAGCCCTTCATGCATCCACTGGCTTCGTCGATGATCAGCAGCAAATATTTGCTGTCACCGAGCGAATCCTTTTCCATGGGCCCGCAGATGTCCAGATGAAGTAGCTCAAACGTATCGTAGCTGCGCTTGTCTCGGTTGCTTGGAAATGGTTTTTGGACCATTTTCCCTTGTTGACATCCTCGACATGTAGTTGCTCCACCCGACTTGAGAGGGACTCGCACATCCTTGATCATGTTGGTCGCGATCATCTTGCGAAGTACATCGACTGGAGCATGACCCATTCTCGCATGTAGATCGGCACAACTGGTTCCACTTGTTGTCACATTCGCTGATCGTTGAGTCGTCCGAAGCCAGTAGAGTCCATCCACGAGATCCGCTGTCGCCACCACTTGCTGTGAGTTCTTGAGAGTCACATACATCTTGGACCCGTCAAACACGACTTGAAACTTGCCATGGCTGTTAATCTGTGGCACCGAGAGCAGGTTCTTGCTCATACTTGGAACATATAGCGCGTTCTTGATTTCGATCTCACGCTCTTCACCATTTGGCAGAACCACCTTTTCAATGATGGTTCCCACACCCTTGATGGCCACCTTGTTGCCATCAGCAACCAAGAGTTCGCCCTCATTGCGCTCTGCCAAACTTGCGAACTTGGTCTTGTCGTGGCAAATGTGGTGCGTTGCACCACTGTCGACGGCCCACATTCCAGACACGTCCTTGCTCGTCGAAACTCCACATTCGAACGAGACTGCAAACGCCACTCGATCGTAGCCATTGCCTTCATCATGATGTCCCCACTGGACATTGTTAGCCCCGCGTCCACGACCATTGCCGCCGCGTCGGGCTCCCCGACCTTCGTTCTTCTGCTTTGTCCAGCAACGATCCACCGTGTGTCCCACCTTGCCACAATACGTGCATTGGTAGGGCTCACGCTCGGCGCTGAATGCCTTGCTTGCATCTTCAGCCTTCACCGTAGTCGCTGTCGTTGTCCCTTTTTCTACTTGACGCTTGGCATGCTCATTCGTCAGGACTCTCACCACATCTTGAGTGCGAAGCTCGGTGCTGCTCATTTCCATGTTGAGCACCACATTTTCGTAACTCTTCGGAAGACTGAGTAGCAGACAAATTGCAACGTCTTCGTCTTCCATCTTCGCACCGATGCCGCTAAGCTTGGCGGAGATGTTGAGGACCTCGTTGCAGTGATGCATGACGTTCGCGCCTTCAGCCATCTTGATACTGAAAAGTTGTCGCTTGAGGTAGATGCGTCCTGCCTTCTGCGACCCACCGTAAAGCGTCTTCAGACTTGTCCACGCAACCCAGGCTTCCTCGCAGTTGTCCAGCACATGATGGTAGTCCGCGTTCATGTGCAGCAGCATCATACCAAACGCGACGTTGCTTGCCTTGACGTAGCCATCGGACGCTCGCGGGTCGGTGAAAGTCGGAGTCACTTCACGGTTGACAACGTGCCAGACGGACTTCGTCAAAAACACACCGCGCATGTACCGGCTCCACGTTGCGTAATTGTCTCCGTTGAACTTGTCAATGGAGGCGTTGCTGGTGGACGACATGGCGCTTGGGCTCATAACCTGTTGCATTGTAGATCGGAGCGAGGAAAGCGGAGCAAACGGAGCGGAGAGACCGAAGAGAGTAGAGCAGAAAACACTTGCCCAATAGTTGGAAGATTCGAAAGTGATTGATTATCGGGGCTTACTACTTACTACATGATTTATATGTGGTGTACATATAAATCATGTGAAGCGTCTCATCATCCTACGCGTCTAATCAACTATGGTAATTACCGTAAGAACTACGTCGTAAATACTAAGCTGAACAGGCGGTTCGGATTGGATCGGTCACGGTTACCAATACTGGTAGAAAACCGATGACCGTCAACAGGTATGTCAACGACATCCTCAAGCGCTTCGGCATGGATGAGTGCAAGGCCACAGCAAATCCGGTCGACTTGAGCACTCGGCTTGTTGCAAGCAGCGAAGCGGCCAAGATCGACGTTCCGTTTCGTGAAGCTGTGGGAGCTTTGATGCACTTGACGACTGCGACGCGCCCGGACATTGCGTATGGTGTGGGGTACGTCTCGCGCTTCATGGAGAATCCGCAGCAAGAACATTGGACGGCGGTGAAGCGCATCTTTCATTACTTGCAAGGGACCAACTCGCACGGACTCCACTTCCAGCCAAGCGACAAGATCGACTTTCGTGGCTACTCGGACGCGGACTGGGCCGGCGACCACGCTGATCGCAAGTCGACTTCGGGTTACACTTTCATGCTGATGGGTGCTCCTGTGAGTTGGGGAAGCAAGAAGCAGTCATGTGTGTCGCTGTCGACGAGTGAAGCGGAATACATCGCACTGAGTCTGGCCATCCAGGAAGGCAAGTGGGTGCGTCGCCTGCTATGCGAGATTTTGGCGGCCGCAAACGAACCAGGACCGGACCTCGTCATCCGTGAAGACAACCAGTCATGCATCAAGATGACGAAGAATCCGGTGAATCATGGCCGCGCCAAGCTCATCGACATCAAGTACCATCACATCCGTGATGAGGTCAAGCGCGGTGAAGTGCAGCTCGAGTGTTGCGAAACTTCCGTGATGATGGCGGACATCATGACCAAGGGACTTTCGGGACCTCGTCACAAGGACTTGACGACGGCTCTCGGCATTCGTATGAGTTCGGATTGAGGGGTCGTGTTGACGGTCATCGGTTTCCTACCAGTATTGGTAACCGTGACCGGTCCAATCCGAACCGCCTGTTCAGCTTAGTATTTACGACGTAGTTCTTACGGTAATTACCATAGTTGATTAGACGCGTAGGATGATGAGACGCTTCACATGATTTATATGTGCACCACATATAAATCATGTAGTAAGTAGTAAGCCCCGATAATCAATCACTTTCAAATTCTCCTTCTGCCGAGCAAGTCTTCTCTGTCCACTCCTCAAGACTCTTCACTCTCTCCGGTCTCTTCCGGGCTTCTCGTCACTCCCGTGCAATACCATTAACAGCAAGTGGGTGCATCGATTGCTATGCGAGATTCTGGATGTCGCAGAGGACAAGTCTGGACCCGAGCTCAAGATCATGGAAGACAACCAATCGTGCATCAAGATGACGAAGAATCCTGTGAACCATGGTCGGGCCAAGCACATCGACACTTGTGGTCCAATGGAAGTCGACTCGCTAGGTGGAAGCAAGTACTTGCTACTGACCGTAGATGAAGGCAGCGGATGTATGAAGAGTTTCAGTCTGCGCGCCAATTCCGACAGTGAAGAGTGCATCAAGAAGTACATCATGGCAGTACAGACGCAGTTTGACTACAAGGTCAAGTTCGTTCGCCATGTTGAAAAGACAGCGGCTGTGAAGAAGATACCTCGTCAAGCTGCGTCAAGTGTTGAAGCAAGTGGAAGACCAAGCTTCGCTATACCGGTGGGTACCGGTATGTACCAGTAAGGGCGAAGTCAGGAAATGACGTCACTGGATGACGTCATTGCATGACGTCAGTGGGTGACGTCACTGGATGACGTCACTGCGAATAATAGGCTTAGAGGTAGTATTCAAAGTTGCGAACTAAGTACCTATTATAAATATATATTCACTTTGCGTTTTGCACTCGGACCAAGAAGTCTAAAGTTCATCAGGTTATGAGCCCAAGTTCGTCAGACTCTGAAACCGCCAACAATTCAAGCTTAGCTGCCATGACGCCTCCTCCCTCCGCATCTCCAAGTTCGATGGAACTAACTTCCACGCCTGGAAGTTCAAGATGCAGATGGTGCTGGAGGAACGGGACCTATGGGAGGTCGTCAGCGGTGAGATCAAGGCGGAACAGTGCGAGACTCAGTTGGACCAAGCGACGTACAAGAGGAAGTCAAGAAAGGCGATGGCAGTGATCTGTCTAGCCATGGAAGATTCCCAGCTACCGTTGGTCCGGTCGGCAAGTGGTGCATGCGACGCATGGTCAAGGTTGGAAGACCACTTCGAGAAGAAGAGTCTTGCCAACAAGCTGTTCTTGCGCCGTCGCTTCTTCACGACAATGATGGAAGAAGGCGACGATGTGCTCGAACACATCAACAAGCTCAAGACGCTGGCGGAACAGCTAGAAGCGGTGGGGGCTCCAGTCTGCGAGGACGATCTGGTGATCACACTCCTCGGCAGCCTGAGTGACTCGTATCAATTCTTGATCACAGCTTTGGAGTCGCGCTCAGACACTCTTAGCTGGGAGCTCGTGACGTCTCGACTGCTTCATGAAGAAATGAAGCGGAAGGAGCAAGGAAGTAAAGGTGATGAAGCTTCGCAAGGTCAAGCGTTCATCACAAGGGACAATCAGCGCAAAGGGCGACCAGTGAAGAAGTCCTGGCCGTGCCACAATTGCGGAAAGATTGGTCACTGGATGGCGGAGTGCCCCTCGCGCATCCAAGAAAACACGGAGAGACACCGGCCACAGCGTGCTCAAGACAGCGGCGACCGCTATCGATCACAACGTGCAAACGTCGCTCAAGAAGAAGACTCGGGCGACTACCTCTTTTCGATCGGTGAAACGACATCTGCGAAATCGAGCGACATCTGGCTGGTCGACTCCGGGGCGACGCAGCACATGACGTGCTCCAAGAAGTTCATGCGGAACTACAAGGGGTTTGACGCTGTGGATGTCCATCTCGCGGATGATGGAATCGTCCAAGCAATCGGCAGTGGGGACATTGTCATGTCGATGAAGACACCCCAAGGGATGAAGAAAGGTGTGCTCACAAACGTGTGGAACATCCCAAAGTTATCCAGAAACCTGTTCTCGGTCGGCCGCTTCACCAAGGATGTCGGCCCAGTGACGTTCACGAAGGATGGGTGCTATGGAGAAGCGAAAGGGACCAAGTGGAAAATTGGTGCCCGTGAAGGTAAAGGACTGTTCAAGCTGCAAATGACTCCAGTGGCGCCGGAACAAGCAAATGCAGCCAAGTCGTCGGGATGTCAAGGGGGCACCAAGTCGTACCTCTGGCACCTTCGGCTTGGCCACATAGGTCACGATGGACTCAATTGCATCGTGACGAAGAACATTGGAATTGGCATCGACATATCTTCGGTGAAGAAGTGGGACGTGTGTGAAGGTTGTGCTCTGGGAAAACAGACTCGAGTGCGCTTCCAATCAAACACTACAGCTCGCACCTCCAAACTCCTCGAAGTGATTCACAGCGACGTATGCGGACCGATGTCGATGGCAACTTTCAGTGGAAAACGGTACTTCGTGACATTCATTGATGACAAGTCAAGATACTGTGTCGTCTATCTGCTCAAAGGCAAATCTGAAGTTGCGGCGAAGTTCATGGAATACGCTGCGATGGCCGAAACGCAAACCGGAAAGCGCGTGAAGTACCTTCAAAGCGACAATGGGGGTGAATACAAGTCCGACAAGCTGGCACGATTCTGCGCGGAACGGGGAATACAACAAAGGTTCACACCCCCATATACTCCTCAGCTAAACGGAGTAGCTGAGAGAATGAATCGCACGCTGGTCGAGTGTGCGCGTTGCATGATGGAACACGCTGGACTGGGAAAGAGCTACTGGGGTGAAGCAGTGATGACGGCGATGTTTCTTCGAAACCGCTGTCCAACACGTGCCATTCACCAAGACAAGTCTCCATATCAAGTGTGGACGATGAAGAAACCGATTCTGGCCAACCTTAAAGTGTTTGGATGCCACGCGTATGTTCAAGTGCCTCAAGACAAACGCGCGAAGTTCGACTCCAAGTCATCACTCTGTCGTTTCCTGGGATACGCCGAACACCAGAAGTCATATCGATTTGAGGAAGTGTCAACAGGAGCGATCAAGATCAGTCGCGATGCCATATTCATGGAAGACAAGTTTGGTGAAGGTCCGCGCAACTACAACAATGAGTCAAGTGTCGTTGAGTTTGATGATCATGATGAGGACGAAGAAAAAGAAGAAGGTAAAACTGACGACGACATGGACTCGAGCGACGATGACAACGAAGACACCAGGTCTTCGAAGAGCAACATCAAGAGACACACGCTCACTCAATCACTTGAGAAAGCTACCATCATTCCAAGTCCCAAGCGAAGAACATACAGAGGTCCGTCGCTTGAGCATGTGTCAGAGGCTGCAATGGATTTTGAAGCAGCCTACATCGTTGATTCAGTGGGGGAAACGCCTGTTGTAACTTGAGCGCGAGGCGAAGAGAAAACGAAGCGGAGAGACCGGAGAGAACGAAGCAGAGAACACTTGCTCACTTGAGGGAGGATTCGAAAGTGATTGATTTATAGGTCTTAACTTCTGCCTACCCTAGACTGCATCCAATCACATGGTGCATCTAATCAACCTGATTTACACGCGTCCAATCATCCTACGCGTCTAATCATCTCTGAGGTAATTACCGATGTAAAAACTATCTCGTAAGAACTACGCGCTACGTTCGGATTGTACCGGTAACCCTCAATACGCCCCCTCAATGCGAACACGCACGGATGCCAAGCGCCGCCGTCAAGTCCTTGTGACGCGGTCCGTGAAGTCCCTTCGTCATGATGTCCGCCAACATCAACGTCGTCTCGCAGTATTCAAGCTTCACTTCGCCACGCTTGACTTTATCACGGATGTGATGGTACTTGATGTCGATGTGTTTAGCGCGGCCGTGGTTGACCGGATTCTTCGTCATCTTGATGCACGACTGGTTGTCTTCACGGATGACGAGCTCGGGTCCTTCTTCGTTTGCAGCCGCCATGATCTCGCACAGCAAGCGATTGATCCACTTGCCTTCTTGGATCGCCAGGCTGAGCGCGATGTACTCCGCTTCGCTTGTAGACAGTGACACACTTGGCTGTTTCTTGCTGCCCCAACTCACCGGAGCACCCAATAGCATGAAGACGTAGCCGGACGTCGATTTGCGATCAGCAAGGTCACCGGCCCAGTCTGCATCTGAATAGCCACGAAAGTCGATCTTCGCACTTGGCTTGTAGCAGATTCCATGCATCTTGGTGCCTTGTAGGTAGCGGAAGATGCGCTTGACTGCAACCCAGTGTTCTTCTTGGGGTTTCTCCATGAACCGTGACACAAAGCTTACAGCATAGGCGATGTCCGGTCGCGTCGCAGTCGTCAGATGCATCAAAGCACCCACTGCTTCACGGAATGGGACATCCACCTTGCTTGCAGAGTTGCTTGGAACCAGTCGAGAGCTGACGTCCACCGGACTTGCCACAGCCTTGCACTCATCCATTCCAAAGCGCTTGAGGACATCGTCGACATAACGGCGCTGACACATAGTCACGCTGCCATCTTCACCGTCCAATAACTCGATCCCAAGAACAAAGGCACACTTGCCGCTGTCCGTCATCTCGAAGCGTGTCTTGAGGTCGTTCTTGGTGCGCGCAATCATCTCGAGCGAGCTTCCAGTCACCAAGACATCGTCCATGTAGACCAGCACAAAAACACAATGGCCTTCCGAAGTCATGATGTAGAGACATGGATCGAATCCCGACGCTTGAAAACCAATCGAGCGTACGAACTCGTCGAAGGTCTCGTTCCAAACACGCGAGGCTTGCTTGAGACCGTAGATCGCCTTGATCAGCTCGAGACAGTCGAAATCACCTTCCATCTTGACGCCTTCCGGAACAGCGCAGAACACCTTCTCCTTCATCACTCCATACAGGAACGCAGTCACCACATCGAGCTGGTCGAGGGGCCATCCAAAGTGCTTGGTAATTGCGATGACCATTCGCAGCGTCACATACTTGACCACGGGCGAGAACGTCTCCGTGTAGTCAATGCCATACTTTTGGCGAAAACCCTTGGCCACAAGTCGTGCCTTGTATTTCTCGATCGACCCATCCGCCTTGCGCTTGATCTTGAAGACCCACTTTGTGCCAATGGCGCTTTGTCCGTTGGGTAACTTGGCCGCACGAAAGACACCGCGAAGCTTCATCGAATCGAGCTCCGCATCAATTGCCTTGCGCCAGTGTACTTGGTCCGGGCCAGATACTGCTTCTTCAAATGTCGACGGCTCCGAAAAATCGACCGCTGCTTCGACGGCGTTTGCACTCGCATGCCAAAACGCGGAGGAAGTCGGTGTGTCATGTTGTTCCTCCGACTTCCTTTCTTCATCTTCGTTGGCTCGACGTGAAGAGAGGTCATCCGGCGCACTTGACTCTTCCAATCCGGGTCGTTGGCGCACTGCTCGGGGCATGCTTGCGTCGTCATTGTCGTGACTGGGTTGGGCCTTGCGCTTTTCTGTTTGTTTGAAGTGTCTCGGACGCGGTTCTTCATCATCAAGATCGATCGATTCGAAGTCCAGGCCATCAACATCGTCATCGGAAATCAGCATCGACATTCCAAAGGCCGACTCATCGAAGTTGACATCGCGACTTATCATCACCTGCCCCGCTTCGATGTCGTAAACTCGATACGCCTTGGACACTTCTTCGTAGCCCAAAAACAATCCAGCCCGGGCCTTGGGATCCCACTTGAGTCGTTTCTCCTTCGGGGTCAAGATGTATGCTTGGCACCCAAAAACGCGCATGTGCTTGACACTTGGCTTAGAATTGTAGACAATCTCGAACGGTGTCTTGTGTGGAATCTTGGGTGACGGCAAACGGTTCTTCACATAGACGGCCGTCATTGCCGCTTCAGCCCAGAAGCACTTGTCCAACTTGGCATGATGGAGCATGCTACGACCGATGGTGACGATAGTTCGAATCGCGCGTTCAGCAGTTCCATTGGCTTGATGTGCGTATGGCACCGTGGTTTGTTGCTCGATGCCTTCGACTTCGTAGAAATCTTGAAGCGAGTTCGTCGCAAACTCGCGGGCTCCATCGTGTCGCACAAATTTGACCTTCTTGTTGAACTGCGTCTGTATCATCGTGATGTACTTCTTGATGCTCTCTTCGCTCTCTGACTTGGCATGCAGACAAAAACCCTTCATGCATCCGCTGGCTTCATCCACGATCAGCAGCAGATACTTGCTGCCACCCAGAGATTTTTCTTCCATGGGTCCGCAGATGTCGAAGTGGAGCATCTCGAAGGTGTTGTAGGTGCGCTTGTCACGGTTGCTCGGGAATGGTTTTTGGACCATCTTCCCTTCTTGGCATCCTCGACACACACTTGATCCATTCGGCTTGGAAGGGATGTGAGCGTCCTTGATCATGTGGCTTGTCACCATCCTGCGAAGCACGTCGACTGGAGCATGGCCCATTCGCGCATGTAGATCAACAGCGTTGCTGAGTGATGTCGCATTGGCCGATCGCTGCGTCGTGCGAAGCCAGTAGAGTCCGTCTACAAGATCCGCAGCTGCCACCACTTGATTGGAATCCTTGCGAGCGACGTACATCGTATCCCCGTCAAACACCACTTGGAAGTTGCCGTGCTTGTTAATCTGCGGCACCGAGAGCAGATTTTTGCTCATGCTGGGCACATAGAGCGCGTTCTTGATCTCGATCTCGCGCTCTTCCCCGTTTGGCAGAATCACCTTTTCCACGATGGTCCCCACACCTTTGATGGCCGCCTTGTTGCCATCAGCCACCAGGATCTCGCCATCATTGCCTTCGACCAAGCTTGCAAACTTGAACTTGTCGTGACAGATGTGATGTGTTGCCCCGCTGTCAACGGCCCACATTCCTGGTCCATTCTTGTTCGTCGAAACTCCGCATTCGAACGAAACTGCAAACGCCACTCGATCGTAGCTGTTGCCTTCATCATAATGTCGCCAGTGGACATTGTTTGACCCGCGTCGACGACCATTGCCGCCGCGTTGGGCTCCTCGACTTTCATCCTTTTGCTTCGTCCAGCAACGCTCTGCCGTGTGCCCCACCTTGCCGCAGTATGTGCATTGGTAGGGCTTGCGCTCGGTACTGAATGCCTTTGTCGCATCTTCAGTCTTCACCGTTGTCGTTGCCGTTGTCATCTTCTCGCCTTGTCGCTTGATGTGCTCGTTAGTCAGCACCTTGACCACATCTTGCGTGCGCAGCTCTGCATTGCTCATCTCCAAGTTGAGAACCACGTTCTCGAAACTATTGGGCAGACTGCGCAGTAAGCAGATCGCAATGTCTTCGTCTTCCATCTTGGCACCGATGCTGCTGAGCTTGGCGCCGATGTTCAAGACTTCGTTGCAATGGTGCAAGACGTTGGCACCTTCCGCCATCTTGATGCTGAACAGCTGGCGCTTGAGGTAGATGCGTCCCGCCTTCTGCGACCCACCATAGAGCATCTTCAACCGCGACCACGCTGTCCATGCTTCTTCACAGTTGTCGACCACATGGTGGTAGTCGGCGTCCATGTGGAGCAACATCAACCCGAACGCGATGTTGCTCGCCTTGACGTACTCGTCGGAAGCTCGCGTGTCGGTGAAGGTTGGAGACGTTTCGCGGTTCACGACGTACCAGACTGACTTCGTCAGAAACACGCCGCGCATGTAGCGACACCAGGTTGAGTAGTTGTCCCCATCGAACTTATCGATGGAGACACTGGCCGAGGTGTTGTTGGACGACATGGCGCTTGGGCTCATAACCTGTTGTAACTTGAGCGCGAGGCGAAGAGAAAACGAAGCGGAGAGACCGGAGAGAACGAAGCAGAGAACACTTGCTCACTTGAGGGAGGATTCGAAAGTGATTGATTTATAGGTCTTAACTTCTGCCTACCCTAGACTGCATCCAATCACATGGTGCATCTAATCAACCTGATTTACACGCGTCCAATCATCCTACGCGTCTAATCATCTCTGAGGTAATTACCGATGTAAAAACTATCTCGTAAGAACTACGCGCTAGGTTCGGATTGTACCGGTAACCCTCAATAGACTACAAGGTCAAGTTCGTTCGACACGATGGTGCACGAGAATTTGCGGCGAATTCGTGTTGTAACTTGAGCGCGAGGCGAAGAGAAAACGAAGCGGAGAGACCGGAGAGAACGAAGCAGAGAACACTTGCTCACTTGAGGGAGGATTCGAAAGTGATTGATTTATAGGTCTTAACTTCTGCCTACCCTAGACTGCATCCAATCACATGGTGCATCTAATCAACCTGATTTACACGCGTCCAATCATCCTACGCGTCTAATCATCTCTGAGGTAATTACCGATGTAAAAACTATCTCGTAAGAACTACGCGCTATGTTCGGATTGTACCGGTAACCCTCAATAACGCCGACTACATTCAAGTCGGCGATGGAATCAAGCGACTCCGGCAAGTGGAAAGAAGCGTGTGACTCGGAGTTCGATTCGCTTCAGAGAAACGACACGTGGGAAATCGTGCCTCTTCCGAAAGGTCGCAAGGCCATCGGGTGCCGATGGGTTTTTCGTGTAAAGGAGAATCAAGATGGCGAAGTTGAACGTTTCAAGGCAAGACTTGTGGCCAAAGGATTCTCACAGAAATTCGGAGTTGACTATGAAGAAACTTTCGCACCGGTGGCCAAGTTCACATCGATTCGTGTGGTGCTCAGTATGGCCGCTAAGTACGGCCTAATGCTACATCAGATGGACGTCAAGACAGCGTTTCTTAACGGCTCCCTCAACGAAGACATCTACATGGACCAGCCGGACGGATACCTGGATGCAACACAGCCGGACTATGTGTGCAAGCTAAAGAGATCACTCTACGGCTTGAAGCAATCGCCTCGCATGTGGAACCAAACAATCGATGGGTTCATGATCAAGATGGGATTCAAGAAGTGCGAATCGGACCACTGCATCTACATCAAGCGAGACGACCAAGACATGATTCTCGTGGTGCTCTACGTCGATGATCTCATCCTGGCCAGCAGCAACAACGAACTCCTCAAGTCAACCAAGATGGCGCTGAGCAAACGCTTCGAAATGACGGATCTCGGTGAGCTCGATTACTTTCTCGGCATGGAGATCAAGAACGACCGTAAGACGGGAATGGTGACTGTACAACAAACCAAGTTTTTCAAGTCCGTGTTAACCAAGTTCGGAATGGATAACAGCAAGCCAGTGAAGACGCCTCAAGATCCCGGCCTGAAGCTAACCAAGAACATGTGTGAACAAGAATGCAAGCACGAAGACACCATGTGCAACGTGCCATATCGAAGTGCTGTCGGAGGCATCATGTATCTCATGGTCGCCACACGTCCGGATCTAGCTGCTGCAGTGGGATCATTATCCCAGTTCTCGTCCGACCCATGCCCGACTCACTGGCAAGCTTTGAAGCGTGTGCTGAGATACCTGAAAGCAACGCCCAATCATGGTCTTGAGTTTACACGTGAAGAAGGAAGCCGTATCTGCGGGTACACCGACGCAGACTGGGCCGGCGACATTGAGTCAAGACGAAGTACAAGCGGCTATGTGTTCATGATGAGCGGAGGATGCATCAGCTGGAAAAGCCAGAAACAACGGACGGTCGCGCTATCTTCAACAGAAGCAGAATACATGGCGCTTTCCGAAGCAACCAAAGAAGCAGTATGGCTCAAAGTGCTTTTGGGGGAGCTTGGTGAGATGACAAGCGACGAAGCGATCAAGATGTATGAAGACAACCAAGGATCAATCGCTCTCGCCAAGAACCCGGAGTTCCATAAGAGAACAAAACACATCGACATACGCTACCATTTTGTGCGTGAGAAGGTGGAATCAGGTGAAGTCGTTTTGGAGTATTGCCCGACTCAAGATATGCTGGCAGACATGATGACCAAGCCGATCGCCGCTGTACAATTTGAAAACATTCGCGATCGACTTGGGATCCAAGGTGCCGCAGCTAACGAGTCGAGAGGGAGTGTTGAAAAGACAGCGGCTGTGAAGAAGACACCTCGTCAAGCTGCGTCAAGTGTTGAAGCAAGTGGAAGACCAAGCTTCGCTATACCGGTGGGTACCGGTATGTACCAGTAAGGGCGAAGTCAGGAAATGACGTCACTGGATGACGTCATTGCATGACGTCAGTGGGTGACGTCACTGGATGACGTCACTGCGAATAATAGGCTTAGAGGTAGTATTCAAAGTTGCGAACTAAGTACCTATTATAAATATATATTCACTTTGCGTTTTGCACTCGGACCAAGAAGTCTAAAGTTCATCACGCCACGATGGTGCACGCGAATTTACGGCAGATTCGCTCAAGGCATCTTACGATGATCAAGGAATCGAGCAGCAAGTTACCGTTCCATATGCGCATCATGTTAGAATTAACTAGGTTGTGGAGCTGATGCTGAGAAGAAGATGGCTTACGGCCGGGGATGAAAACCGAAAAGTGAGTTGTATTCAAATTGTTCCTAGCTTCGAAAACGAATGGCTAGTAGTAGCCGGTGACTCTCAGCCATCTATTTCGTGCCCTGTCTCCACCGCTTTCTGTTTTACCTATCACTGGGTAATTACGTCTCGTAAATACCTTTCGTAAAAACTCTGCTGTGTCATATGCTGAATGAAAACGATTGCGTGGGTGGGGGACGTAACTGCGGGCGGGTCACAGTTCTGGTGAACCCCAAACACCAGGTCGTGAGTGTCAGTCACAATTAACTTGTACACGGCGGGGATCGAACCCGCACTCACCCGCGTGGAATCCCCCTTCCCAAACGACTGAGCCAATCCGATGACTTGTCGTTTCCCTAACATCCCACAATATAAACCTGCCAAAGAACAATACAACTAATGCAAATATGCAATATACACCCTGCACAAGTCGCCGCATCATCACTCGCTAACACTCTCCCTTGATGTGCGTGCGACGTGTGACCCTACACCGCCATGCACAAACCCGTGATGAACTTGCTGTGCTTGTCTCTTGGAAGTGCTTTGGTGAATCCATCCGCGACCATTTCTTCTGTCGGCTTGAACTCTAGCGCGATCACTGCACTTGCAACCTTTTCACGCAAAAAGTGAAACTTGATGTCGATGTGCTTCGTGCGCGAGTGGTACACAGGATTCTTGGCCAGCGCGATGCATCCTTGATTGTCTTGAAAAATCGTCGTCGCGTTCTTGGCACAGTAGTTCAGGTCCTTGAGCAGACCTCGGAGCCAAATTGCTTCCTGCGTCGCGCTGTACAGACTCATGTACTCTGCTTCCGTACTTGAGGTCGCGACCGTTGGTTGACGCTTCGAATTCCACGATATCACGCTTCCGTTCAGGAAGAAAACGTATCCTGTTGTCGAACGCCGCGTGTCGAGGTCGCCAGCCCAGTTTGCATCTGCAAATCCAATAAGCTCTCCCTTGTTGATGCCGCTGAACACGATGCTTAAGTCTTGAGTCGTCTTGAGATGCTTGAGAATCCGCTTTGCTGCTGTCCAATGCGACTTGTCGTAGCGCTCGCAAAACTTCGCAACTTCGCCAACCGCATGCGCAATGTCCGGTCGTGTACATGTGGCGATGTACATTAAAGCGCCCACCAGCTCACGGTATGGGTACTTTGGTACAAACGCTTCCTCTTGACCCATCTTGATCAGCTTCGAATTACTGTCCGCCGGCGTGTGCATGTCCTTGCAGTTCTCAACGCCGAACTTCTCCGAAAGTCGCTTGATGTACGCCTTCTGGTTCATCTTGATCGTTCCATCTTCGCGCTTGCGATGAATCTCGATCCCGAGGCAGTACTTGAGATCTCCAAGATCTTTAATGCTGAAATCTTCCATCAATGAGTTCTTGATACTTGCGATGTGCTCCTTCGTCTTGCAGAAAATCATCAAGTCGTCCACGTAGATCACGATGATGCTGTACTCCTCTCTTTTCACTCGAACGAACACACACGGGTCCGCTGTACTGCTCTTGAATCCTTGATCAACCAAGTGCTGACTCAACTTGTTGTTCCACTGCCGCGCCGCTTGCTTCGTCCCGTATAGCGCCTTCTGCAGCAAACACTTCTTATTCGGGCTTCCTTCATCTTCAAAACCGTCAGGTTGGTCCATGTAGATCTCCTCTTCCACTTCGCCGTTGAGAAACGCTGTGTCGACATCAACGTTCTCTGCTTCCAGGTCTTCAGCTGCAGCGATCGCCAACACTGTGTTGATAGATTCCTTGCGCGCCACTGGTGCAAAGGTCTCGTTGTAGTCGATGCCAGGACGCTGCGTGAACCCTTTCGCAACCAAGCGTGCCTTGAACTTGATTATCTCGCCACTTGGATCGCGTTTAATCTTGAAGACCCACTTGCAGCCTACGGCCTTCTTGCCCGGTGGCATTTTTACTAGCTTCCATGTGCTGTGTTCTTCAAGCGACTTCATCTCGCTCTTCATTGCCTGGAGCCACTGCTCCTTGTAGCCGCTCTTCATCACTTCTTGATAGCTGGACGCTTGTTCCCCATCTTCTTCAGCCGAGAAACAGTAGAAAGAGTCGAAGTCACCTTCGTAGTCGTCCAAATTGAAGTGACCGCGACGATGGCTTGGAAATTCTTGATCGTAGCGAACCACGCCGCGCTTCTTTCGAACCGGTCGCACCATCCACTCTTCTTCTCCATTTCTTCCGGGTGTGCTGGATGCGCGCGTAGGAATGGTGTCGCTTGGTCGAACACTTGGTCCGTGATGAGAGCTGTTCTGCGCTCGAAGTGGTGGGGTGCGCAGCTCTTCTTCGGTCACCGGCGCTGGTATGTCTTCATCATCGGGTAACGACGCCTCCACACTTTCCTCTTCTTCAATGACATCGAACACCCGCGTGTCTCTGCTTTTTGATGCTTTCGAGACAGAATGCTCAGCGAACGTGACGCTTCTTGAAATCACGATTGAGCCATCGTCCGCGTTGAGAAGCCGATACGCCTTTTGGTCCTTCGCATAGCCGAGAAAGAAACATCGCACGCCTGGGTCGTCCAGCTTCTTTCTCTTCTCCTTCGCCACATGCGCATAGCATTGCGCACCAAACACGCGCATGTGATCGATGCGCGGAACCTTCTTGAACACCATTTCGTGTGGGCTTGAGTTCTTGTTCGACGCATTCGGCAGAATGTTTCTGATGTCTGCCGCTGTCATTAGTGCCTCGCACCAATAGGACTTGTCGAGGCCGCTTTCCTTGAGCATACAGCGCGTCATCTCCACCAGCGTGCGGTTCATCCGCTCCGCCATCCCGTTCTGCTCTGGATTGTACGGAACCGTGAACTCTTGCTTAATGAACTTTGCCTTGCAAAAGCTGTTCATCGTTTCGTTCCGGTATTCGCCGCCGTTGTCACTTCGCAACACCTTTATCTTCGTTCCAGATGCTGTCTTGACATCTTGGTAAAACCGCTTGAACGCACTCGCAACGTCGCTCTTCTTTCGCAACGGATAGACCGTTACATACCTGCTCTTCATCATGATGAAGGTTACGGCGTAACTGAAACCAGACTTGGACGCTGGCGTGATAGGTCCGAGAACGTCGGAGCACACCACCACGTCGGAACGCGAACTCTACCTGGTTTCAGCGTCTTCTTCACTTGTCTTGAATGACTTGCGCACTTGATTTGACGTTGCGCATACGTCACACGCAACGTTCGTCTTCATCGTTGCGCCCTTTATCCTTCCGTCCTTGACCATGGCATTCAGCGTACCATACGACACGTGACCCAATCTTCTATGCCATAGCTCTGTATCGTCTTCGGCCATGTGGCACTCCGTACCACAGTCAGCATTGAGATACAGGAGGAACCCCTGCTTCCTTCCTGTTGCGACGGGTGTGCCGCCACGCTTGACCACGCACTCGTTGCGCGTTATCTCCACTGTCATGCCGCGCGCTGCCGCAGCCGTGAGCGAAAACAGGTTCTTGGACAAATCTTGAACGTGAAGTGTGTTCTCAAGGCGAGCGTCGATCCACGCATGTCCTGTCCAGACGCGCAGCTTCACTGTCCCATGTCCAATGACATTCAGCTTCACGTCGCTCTTTGCGCTTGAAATGCTTCGCGCATGATGCACTTCTTCGTACTCTTCGAACGCATCTCGATCCTTGCACATGTGTGCTGACGCGCCACTGTCCATGACCCAGCTGTTGCTCGCGAAACCTTCGCTGGCATGAAACGCGACATTCGACTGGTCATGCTGTTGCTCCCTTGGCCCTCGACCGGAGCGACAATCTCTGGCGTAGTGTCCGACCTTGCCACAGTTGTAGCAGGTCCCTGATGGTCCTTTCGCGCGCCGTCCTTGTTGCTTCTTCGGGTACTGCTTACCCTTCCTCTTGCCTGCGTAGAGCGCCGTTGCATCTTCTACTCGTGCTCCCTCATTCTGGCGCACTTCTTCGGCGATCAACTTGCTCACGAGGTCACTGAAACTGAAGCTTGCGACGGACATGCGGAATGCCTGTACCAAGCTCTCGAAGCTTGAAGGTAGACTCCGCAACAGTACTGCGCACACGTCCTCTTCACTTGGACCGCAGTTCGCGCGCTTCATCTTCATCACGAGGTCCTCCAGCTCCATCACATGACCGCTCATGCTTGATGCTGCATACTTGAACGACGCGAACTTTTCCTTCAGCCAAAGTCGATTCGCCATGTCATGACTGTGATGAAATCGCGCCAGACGTCCCCACGCTTCTCTTGCGGTGGCCGAGTCGATGACATGCATCAACTGTGAATCGCTCAGATTCAGCACGCGTGGGCTTGCTGTTCCTTGGCCTCACTTGTTGTCTCATCGCCCGCGATCGCGCCCCACAGCCCCTTCGACATCAGGTACATCTTCATCTTGTAACTCCACAACCCATAGTTCGAGCCGTCGAAAGGCTCGACCTTGAAACCGGAGTCGTTCTTTGGGCTCATAACCTGTTAGAATTAACTAGGTTGTGGAGCTGATGCTGAGAAGAAGATGGCTTACGGCCGGGGATGAAAACCGAAAAGTGAGTTGTATTCAAATTGTTCCTAGCTTCGAAAACGAATGGCTAGTAGTAGCCGGTGACTCTCAGCCATCTATTTCGTGCCCTGTCTCCACCGCTTTCTGTTTTACCTATCACTGGGTAATTACGTCTCGTAAATACCTTTCGTAAAAACTCTGCTGTGTCATATGCTGAATGAAAACGATTGCGTGGGTGGGGGACGTAACTGCGGGCGGGTCACAGTTCTGGTGAACCCCAAACACCAGGTCGTGAGTGTCAGTCACAATTAACTTGTACACGGCGGGGATCGAACCCGCACTCACCCGCGTGGAATCCCCCTTCCCAAACGACTGAGCCAATCCGATGACTTGTCGTTTCGCTAACATCCCACAATATAAACCTGCCAAAGAACAATACAACTAATGCAAATATGCAATATACACCCTGCACAAGTCGCCGCATCATCACTCGCTAACACATCAGACCAACGGCACGGCGGAACGGGCAATTCGGACCATTGTGACGATCGGGCGCAGCATGCTTCACTACGCCAAGCTGGACAAGTGCTTTTGAGTTGAAGCAGCAATGACGGCGGTCTACATCAAGAATCGCCTACCATCGCCCAAGTGCCAAGATCAAACCCCGTTCGAGATTGTCAACGGATTTCGACCAAGTGTGAAGCACGTGCGGGTTTTCGGCTGCCGAACGTTTGTGCTGACCCCTAAGGAAAAGAGATCGAAACGGGATCCGAAGGCTCGTGAAGGACTATTCATGGGGTACGAAGAAGTGTCGAAGGCATATCGCGTTTACGACATTGAAGCGGATCAAGTGGTGATATCTCGCGATGTCACATTCGACGGATCAACGCTTGGTTTCTCGCCGACTCTACCACACGAAATTGCTGATGACACTGCGCTGGATATCGAATCGATGAACATCAGCGATGAGCCTCACCCCATGCAGTTCAAGCAAACTGGAAAACGCAGAAGCCGTCCAAACAGCCAAGAACAAGTTCTACAACGGACACTTCCTGAGCGTCGTGGAACCGGGTTAGAAGAAGCAAGTGCCCCGGATAACTTTGAATCGCACCAAGCGAAGCGACGGTCAAGCGCTCGAGCCAATCTGGACGAAGAGCGAAAGGGCAGTGACGAAGATAACGAGGATGCTACACCTCAAGTCTTTTGGCGAGCGAGTGCCAACGCAGTCGAAGGTACTGACTTGTCTGAGCTGACAACGTTTAAAGATGCTGTTGATGGACCGGATCAAGTGCATTGGTGTAAAGCTATCTGTGCTGAGTTGGACTCGATGAAACTTCGTGGCGTGCTTCGAGCGACCAAACTGCCAGCTGGACAGTATACCATTGGCACCAAGTGGGTATTCAATATCAAGCGGAAAGCTGATGGATCCATCGAGAAATACAAGGCGCGTCTCGTGGCAAAAGGGTTCAAGCAGAAATATGGCATCGACTACACGGAGACGTTTTTGCCGGTAGTCAAGTACGTGACGCTGCGCATGGTAGTTGCAATCACGAAGTACTTTGACTGGAAACTGGACCTACTGGACGTGGTGACAGCTTTGCTATGCGGAGAGATGAAGGAAAAGGTATTCTGCGCGATCCCAGAAGGGGTCGAAGTTGATGAAGACTTTGACTGCTTCGAATTGGTGAAGGCGATCTACGGACTAAAACAAGCATCGCGCGTATGGAACGAGACTTTCTATGAGTTCGTCTGCTCCATTGGATTTCAAGTATCCGATTTTGACCCGTGTCTTTATCTCAAAATTACAAGTGGCGAGTGCGTGCTTTTGCTGGTATACGTCGATGATGTGTTGGTGACTGGCAGCTCGACCGAACTGATTATGCGTACCAAGAGTGACTTGAAGGCGCGTTTCGAAATGACTGACAGCGGCAAGTGCGCATTCGTGTTGGGCATCGAGATGGTGGACAACGACAACGGTAGCCTGACGATGTGCCAGCGACGCTACGTGGAAGATGTTCTCAAGCGTTTTGGCATGAGCGACTGCAAAGCCGTCACCAGCCCAACAGACATCAGTTCTTGACTCATAACAAACAGTGCAGTAACCAAAATGGACGCCCCGTTTTGTGAAGCAGTAGGCGCTTTAATGCACTTGATGACCGCGACACGACCGGACATTGCCTTTGCTGTGAGTTAAATTTCGCGCTTCATGGAAAACCTCCAAGTCGAGCACTGGATGGCGGTCGAGCGCATTTTGCGATACTTACAAGGGACTAAGTCGCACGGCATCGGTTTCAAGTCTGATGACAAGGTAGACTTCTGCGGCTACTTGGATGTAGACTGGGCCGGCGACCATGCATGTTGAAAAGACAGCGGCTGTGAAGAAGACACCTCGTCAAGCTGCGTCAAGTGTTGAAGCAAGTGGAAGACCAAGCTTCGCTATACCGGTGGGTACCGGTATGTACCAGTAAGGGCGAAGTCAGGAAATGACGTCACTGGATGACGTCATTGCATGACGTCAGTGGGTGACGTCAGTGGGTGACGTCACTGGATGACGTCACTGCGAATAATAGGCTTAGAGGTAGTATTCAAAGTTGCGAACTAAGTACCTATTATAAATATATATTCACTTTGCGTTTTGCACTCGGACCAAGAAGTCTAAAGTTCATCAGGTTATGAGCCCAAGTTCGTCAGACTCTGAAACCGCCAACAATTCAAGCTTAGCTGCCATGGACGCCTCCTCCCTCCGCATCTCCAAGTTCGATGGAACTAACTTCCACGCCTGGAAGTTCAAGATGCAGATGGTGCTGGAGGAACGGGACCTATGGGAGGTCGTCAGCGGTGAGATCAAGGCGGAACAGTGCGAGACTCAGTTGGACCAAGCGACGTACAAGAGGAAGTCAAGAAAGGCGATGGCAGTGATCTGTCTAGCCATGGAAGATTCCCAGCTACCGTTGGTCCGGTCGGCAAGTGGTGCATGCGACGCATGGTCAAGGTTGGAAGACCACTTCGAGAAGAAGAGTCTTGCCAACAAGCTGTTCTTGCGCCGTCGCTTCTTCACGACAATGATGGAAGAAGGCGACGATGTGCTCGAACACATCAACAAGCTCAAGACGCTGGCGGAACAGCTAGAAGCGGTGGGGGCTCCAGTCTGCGAGGACGATCTGGTGATCACACTCCTCGGCAGCCTGAGTGACTCGTATCAATTCTTGATCACAGCTTTGGAGTCGCGCTCAGACACTCTTAGCTGGGAGCTCGTGACGTCTCGACTGCTTCATGAAGAAATGAAGCGGAAGGAGCAAGGAAGTAAAGGTGATGAAGCTTCGCAAGGTCAAGCGTTCATCACAAGGGACAATCAGCGCAAAGGGCGACCAGTGAAGAAGTCCTGGCCGTGCCACAATTGCGGAAAGATTGGTCACTGGATGGCGGAGTGCCCCTCGCGCATCCAAGAAAACACGGAGAGACACCGGCCACAGCGTGCTCAAGACAGCGGCGACCGCTATCGATCACAACGTGCAAACGTCGCTCAAGAAGAAGACTCGGGCGACTACCTCTTTTCGATCGGTGAAACGACATCTGCGAAATCGAGCGACATCTGGCTGGTCGACTCCGGGGCGACGCAGCACATGACGTGCTCCAAGAAGTTCATGCGGAACTACAAGGGGTTTGACGCTGTGGATGTCCATCTCGCGGATGATGGAATCGTCCAAGCAATCGGCAGTGGGGACATTGTCATGTCAATGAAGACACCCCAAGGGATGAAGAAAGGTGTGCTCACAAACGTGTGGCACATCCCAAAGTTATCCAGAAACCTGTTCTCGGTCGGCCGCTTCACCAAGGATGTCGGCCCAGTGACGTTCACGAAGGATGGGTGCTATGGAGAAGCGAAAGGGACCAAGTGGAAAATTGGTGCCCGTGAAGGTAAAGGACTGTTCAAGCTGCAAATGACTCCAGTGGCGCCGGAACAAGCAAATGCAGCCAAGTCGTCGGGATGTCAAGGGGGCACCAAGTCGTACCTCTGGCACCTTCGGCTTGGCCACATAGGTCACGATGGACTCAATTGCATCGTGACGAAGAACATTGGAATTGGCATCGACATATCTTCGGTGAAGAAGTGGGACGTGTGTGAAGGTTGTGCTCTGGGAAAACAGACTCGAGTGCGCTTCCAATCAAACACTACAGCTCACACCTCCAAACTCCTCGAAGTGATTCACAGCGACGTATGCGGACCGATGTCGATGGCAACTTTCAGTGGAAAACGGTACTTCGTGACATTCATTGATGACAAGTCAAGATACTGTGTCGTCTATCTGCTCAAGAGCAAATCTGAAGTTGCGGCGAAGTTCATGGAATACGCTGCGATGGCCGAAACGCAAACCGGAAAGCGCGTGAAGTACCTTCAAAGCGACAATGGGGGTGAATACAAGTCCGACAAGCTGGCACGATTCTGCGCGGAACGGGGAATACAACAAAGGTTCACACCCCCATATACTCCTCAGCTAAACGGAGTAGCTGAGAGAATGAATCGCACGCTGGTCGAGTGTGCGCGTTGCATGATGGAACACGCTGGACTGGGAAAGAGCTACTGGGGTGAAGCAGTGATGACGGCGATGTTTCTTCGAAACCGCTGTCCAACACGTGCCATTCACCAAGACAAGTCTCCATATCAAGTGTGGACGATGAAGAAACCGATTCTGGCCAACCTTAAAGTGTTTGGATGCCACGCGTATGTTCAAGTGCCTCAAGACAAACGCGCGAAGTTCGACTCCAAGTCATCACTCTGTCGTTTCCTGGGATACGCCGAACACCAGAAGTCATATCGATTTGAGGAAGTGTCAACAGGAGCGATCAAGATCAGTCGCGATGCCACATTCATGGAAGACAAGTTTGATGAAGGTCCGCGCAACTACAACGATGAGTCAAGTGTCGTTGAGTTTGGTGATCATGATGAGGACGAAGAAAAAGAAGAAGGTAAAACTGACGACGACATGGACTCGAGCGACGATGACAACGAAGACACCAGGTCTTCGAAGAGCAACATCAAGAGACACACGCGCACTCAATCACTTGAGAAAGCTACCGTCATTCCAAGTCCCAAGCGAAGAACATACAGAGGTCCGTCGCTTGAGCATGTGTCAGCGGCTGCAATGGATTTTGAAGCAGCCTACATCGTTGATTCAGTGGGGGAAACGCCGACTACATTCAAGTCGGCGATGGAATCAAGCGACTCCGGCAAGTGGAAAGAAGCGTGTGACTCGGAGTTCGATTCGCTTCAGAGAAACGACACGTGGGAAATCGTGCCTCTTCCGAAAGGTCGCAAGGCCATCGGGTGCCGATGGGTTTTTCGTGTAAAGGAGAATCAAGATGGCGAAGTTGAACGTTTCAAGGCAAGACTTGTGGCCAAAGGATTCTCACAGAAATTCGGAGTTGACTATGAAGAAACTTTCGCACCGGTGGCCAAGTTCACATCGATTCGTGTGGTGCTCAGTATGGCGGCTAAGTACGGCCTAATGCTACATCAGATGGACGTCAAGACAGCGTTTCTTAACGGCTCCCTCAACGAAGACATCTACATGGACCAGCCGGACGGATACCTGGATGCAACACAGCCGGACTATGTGTGCAAGCTAAAGAGATCACTCTACGGCTTGAAGCAATCGCCTCGCATGTGGAACCAAACAAAAAATGGGTGGTTTTTTTGGAAAGGGGGGATAAAAAGAGGGCCACCCGCCCCCCCCCTCCACCACAACCGACCCCCCCAACAACAGGTTTTTGGGGGGGTCTACGTCGATGATCTCATCCTGGCCAGCAGCAACAACGAACTCCTCAAGTCAACCAAGATGGCGCTGAGCAAACGCTTCGAAATGACGGATCTCGGTGAGCTCGATTACTTTCTCGGCATGGAGATCAAGAACGACCGTAAGACGGGAATGGTGACTGTACAACAAACCAAGTTTTTCAAGTCCGTGTTAACCAAGTTCGGAATGGATAACAGCAAGCCAGTGAAGACGCCTCAAGATCCCGGCCTGAAGCTAACCAAGAACATGTGTGAACAAGAATGCAAGCACGAAGACACCATGTGCAACGTGCCATATCGAAGTGCTGTCGGAGGCATCATGTATCTCATGGTCGCCACACGTCCGGATCTAGCTGCTGCAGTGGGATCATTATCCCAGTTCTCGTCCGACCCATGCCCGACTCACTGGCAAGCTTTGAAGCGTGTGCTGAGATACCTGCAAGCAACGCCCAATCATGGTCTTGAGTTTACACGTGAAGAAGGAAGCCGTATCTGCGGGTACACCGACGCAGACTGGGCCGGCGACATTGAGTCAAGACGAAGTACAAGCGGCTATGTGTTCATGATGAGCGGAGGATGCATCAGCTGGAAAAGCCAGAAACAACGGACGGTCACGCTATCTTCAACAGAAGCAGAATACATGGCGCTTTCCGAAGCAACCAAAGAAGCAGTATGGCTCAAAGTGCTTTTGGGGAACTTGGTGAGATGACAAGCGACGAAGCGATCAAGATGTATGAAGACAACCAAGGATCAATCGCTCTCGCCAAGAACCCGGAGTTCCATAAGAGAACAAAACACATCGACATACGCTACCATTTTGTGCGTGAGAAGGTGGAATCAGGTGAAGTCGTTTTGGAGTATTGCCCGACTCAAGATATGCTGGCAGACATGATGACCAAGCCGATCGCCGCTGTACAATTTGAAAACATTCGCGATCGACTTGGGATCCAAGGTGCCGCAGCTAACGAGTCGAGAGGGAGTGTTGAAAAGACAGCGGCTGTGAAGAAGACACCTCGTCAAGCTGCGTCAAGTGTTGAAGCAAGTGGAAGACCAAGCTTCGCTATACCGGTGGGTACCGGTATGTACCAGTAAGGGCGAAGTCAGGAAATGACGTCACTGGATGACGTTATTGCATGACGTCAGTGGGTGACGTCAGTGGGTGACGTCACTGGATGACGTCACTGCGAATAATAGGCTTAGAGGTAGTATTCAAAGTTGCGAACTAAGTACCTATTATAAATATATATTCACTTTGCGTTTTGCACTCGGACCAAGAAGTCTAAAGTTCATCAATGCAGACCGCAAGTCGACTTCGGGATATGCGTTCATCCTGATGGGTGCTCCGGTGAGCTGGGGAATCAAAAAGCAGTTAAGTGTGTCGCTGTCAACAAGTGAAGCTGAGTACATTGCCTTAAGTCTGGCTATTCAAGAAGGCAAGTGGTGCATCGATTGCTATGCGAGATTCTGGATGCCGCAGAGGACAAGTCTGTGACCCGAGCTCAAGATCATGTTAGACAACCAATCGTGCGTCAAGATGACGAAGAATCCTGTGAACCATGGTCGGGCCAAGCGCATCGACACTTGTTGTCTATTGACGGTCATCGGTTTCTACCAGTATTGGTAACCGTGACCGGTCCAATCCGAACCGCCGGTTCAGCTTAGTCTTTACGACGTAGTTCTTACGGTAATTACCATAGTTGATTAGACGCGTAGGATGATGAGACGCTTCACATGATTTATATGTGCACCACATATAAATCATGTAGTAAGTAGTAAGCCCCGATAATCAATCACTTTCCAATCTTCCATCTACCCCCCAAGTGTCTTCTCCGGTCTTCCGAGTGGACTCCCAGCATCACTCCCAGTTTCGGTCGTCAAGCTTTACACCTATTAACAGGTTATGAGCCCAAGCACGATGTCCTCTGCTCATGATGCCACCACCAAGATCTCCATTGACAAGTTCGACGGCGACAACTACGCGACATGGAGCCGCTACATGCGTGGCGTGTTCCTGACTAAGTCGGCGTGGCACGCTGTGAACCGGGAGACCTCGCCGACCTACGCGGACGATCGCGCCATGGACGACTACGTCAAGGCCAACAACATCGCTTTCGGACTGACGTTGCTGCACATGGACGCAGACTACCATCACATCGTCGATGACTGTGAAGAGGCGTGGGTCGCGTGGGCGCTTTTAAAGATGCTGTACGGCGGATCTCAGAAGGCTGGGCACATCTGCTTGAAGCGCCAGCTCTTCAGTATGGAGATGACAGAAGGCGGCAATGTGTTGCATCATTGCAATGAGGTCCTCAACATCAGCGCAAAGCTGGCTAGCATCGGCGCCAAGATGTAGGACGAGGACGTTGCGATCTGCTTACTGCGCAGTCTGCCCAAGAGTTTCGAGAACGTGGTTCTCAACTTGGAGATGAGCAGCGCAGAGCTTCAATCGCGGGACGTCGTGAAAGTGCTCACGAACGAGCATGTCAAGCGGCAAGGTGCGAAGGCTACGGTGGTGAAGACTGAAGACGCGGCCAAGGCGTTTAGTACCGAGCGTGAACCGCATCATTGCACGTACTGCGGAAAATTGGGGCATACGATGGACCGATGCTGGACCAAGCAGAAGAACGAGAACAAGGTGGAGCTCGACGCGGCGGCAACAATGCTCGTGGACGCGGAGCCAACAACGTTCAGTGGCGAACCAACAGCAACTACGATGACAACTACGATCGAGTTGCGTTCGCGGTTTCGCTGGAGGCTGGACTTTCGACGGGCAAGAATATGCCAGGGATGTGGGCGGTCGACAGCGGTGCAACGCACCACATCTGCAACGACAAGGCCAAGTTTGCAAGCCTGAATGAGCGAGAGGAAGGCGAACTATCAGTGGCTGATGGCAGCAAGGCTGCGATCAAGGGTGTGGGAACCATCATGGAACGGGTGGTTCTGCCCAATGGTGACGAACGCGACATCGAGATCAAGGACGCACTGTTCGTACCAAGTATGAGCAAGAATCTGCTTTCGGTGCCACAGATCAACAAGGGTGGCAGGTTCCAAGTCGTGTTCGATGGGTCCAAGATGCAAGCGAAGCGCAAGAATTCCACACAAGTCGTGGCAACAGCGGATCTCGTCGATGGACTTTACTGGCTGTGGACTCCTCAACGATCGGCAAATGCAGCAACACGCAATGGGACTATCGACTTGCATGCGCGCATGGATCATGCACCCCTCGAAGTTCTGCGCAAGATGGTGGCCACTGGCATGATCAAGGACGCCAAGGCACCTCTCGACTCGACTGGTCCAAGTGTGTGTCGCGGTTGCCAGCAAGGAAAGATGGTCCAAAAACCATTCCCAACCAACCGTGACAAACACCAATATGGTGTGTTCGAGTTGCTGCACGTCGACATCTGCGGGCCAATGGAACAAGTCTCGATCGGCGGCAGCAGATACTTACTGTTTGTGGTTGACGAAGCCAGCGGTTGCATGAAAGGCTTCTGTCTGCGGTCCAAGTCTGAGAGTGAAGACTGTATCAAGAACCACATTATCAAGATTCAAACTCAGTTCGGCACGAAGATCAAGTTTGTTCGGCACGATGGAGCGCATGAGTTTGCGACCAACTCCATCAAGACCTTCTACGAAGATCATGGTATCGAGCAACAACAGATCACGGTGCCGTATGCACACCAGACCAACGGCACCGCAGAACGCGCGATAAGGACCATCGTCACGATCGGACGCAGCTTGTTGCATCATGCAAAGCTGGAGAAGTGTTTCTGGGCTGAAGAGGCAATGACGGCGATCTACATCAAGAACCGCCTGCCTTCACCCAAGATCGACCACAAGACTCCGGTCGAGATCGTGTACAAGTCGAAACCAAGTGTCAAGCACATGCGCGTGTTTGGATGTCGGGCGTTTATCCTGACACCAAGGGAGAAGCGATTGAAGTGGGACCCGAAGGCTCGTGAAGGGATGTTCATGGGCTACGAAGAAGCGTCAAAAGCTTATCGAGTGTACGACATTGAGGCGGGCCAAGTGGTGATCAGTCGTGACATCACCTTCGACGAATCGACTTTTGACTTTTCGATGGACCGACCAAGTGACGATGATGAAGATGCGGAGTTGGACCTCGACCTCCTAGCGATCAACGAGGACAACGTGCGTCAAACCGTCTACAAGCAGACTGGCAAGCGCAAGAGTGAAGCAAGACCCGGCATGTCACGTTCAGCTCGCCCTCGAACTGGGTTGGAACAAGCAAGTGCGCCGGAACACGTCTCCAACCGTCACCAGAAACGACGATCAAGTGCTCCAGAAACGATGTCTGATGACGAAGAAGATGCGAGCGTCTACGATCGAGATGACGACTCGACGCCTCCAACATTTTGGCTTGCAAGTGCAAACGCAGTGGAAGCAACGGGCCTAGCAGAACCTGTGACTTTTCAAGACGCGATCAATGGTCCTGATCAAGCTCAATGGCGAAATGCTGTGAAGGCGGAACTCAAGTCGATGCATCTTCGTGGAGTTTTCCGTGCGACAAAACTGCCAAGAGGCCAAGGCGCGATCTGTTGCATTGTAGATCGGAGCGAGGAAAGCGGAGCAAACGGAGCGGAGAGACCGAAGAGAGTAGAGCAGAAAACACTTGCCCAATAGTTGGAAGATTCGAAAGTGATTGATTATCGGGGCTTACTATTTACTACATGATTTATATGTGGTGTACATATAAATCATGTGAAGCGTCTCATCATCCTACGCGTCGAATCAACTATGGTAATTACCGTAAGAACTACGTCGTAAATACTAAGCTGAACAGGCGGTTCGGATTGGATCGGTCACGGTTACCAATACTGGTAGAAAACCGATGACCGTCAACACGCCCCCTCAATCCGAATGCTCACGAATCCCGAGAGTCGCCGTCATCTCCTTGTGGCGTGGCCCGTGAAGTCCCTTCGTCATGATGTCCGCTGACATCACCGCAGTTTCACAGTACTTGAGCTTCACTTCACCGCGCTTGACCTCATCACGGATGTGATGGTACTTGATATCAATGTGCTTGGCACGGCCGTGGTTGACTGGGTTCTTCGTCATCTTGATACACGACTGATTGTCTTCATGGATCATGAGTTCCGGTCCTTCTTCATTGGCAGCCATCACGATCTCACAAAGCAGACGATGAATCCACTTGCCCTCTTGAATCGCCAAGCTGAGTGCGATGTATTCGGCTTCACTCGTGGACAACGAAACACTTGGCTGCTTCTTGCTGCCCCAACTGACTGGCGCACCGAGTAGCATGAACGTGTACCCCGATGTTGACTTGCGGTCGGTAAGATCACCAGCCCAATCCGCATCCGAATATCCACGGAAGTCGATCCTTGCACTTGGCTTGTAGCAAATTCCATGCGTCTTGGTGCCTTGTAGGTAGCGAAAGATACGCTTAACTGCAACCCAGTGTTCTTCTTGGGGATTTTCCATGAACCGCGACACATAGCCCACAGCAAACGCAATGTCCGGACGCGTTGCAGTGGTCAGGTGCATCAACGCACCAACAGCTTCGCGAAAAGGAGCATCGACCTTGGTAGTTGCATCACTTGAAACAAGTCGAGAGCTCATGTCGACTGGACTTGCGACTGCCTTGCAATCATCCATGCCAAAGCGCTTGAGGATATCATCGACATACCGACGCTGACATAGTGTCACACTGCCATCTTCACCGTCCAAAAGCTCGATCCCAAGAACAAACGCACACTTGCCGCTGTCCGTCATTTCGAACCGCGTCTTCAGGTCGTTCTTGGTTTGTGCAATCAGCTCGAGCGAGCTTCCAGTCACCAAGACGTCGTCCACGTAGACCAGTATAAACACGCAATGGCCGTCCGAAGTCTTGATGCAGAGACATGGGTCGAAGTCCGATACTTGAAATCCGATGGAGCACACATACTCGTCGTGTTGAAAAGACAGCGGCTGTGAAGAAGACACCTCGTCAAGCTGCGTCAAGTGTTGAAGCAAGTGGAAGACCAAGCTTCGCTATACCGGTGGGTACCGGTATGTACCAGTAAGGGCGAAGTCAGGAAATGACGTCACTGGATGACGTCATTGCATGACGTCAGTGGGTGACGTCAGTGGGTGACGTCACTGGATGACGTCACTGCGAATAATAGGCTTAGAGGTAGTATTCAAAGTTGCGAACTAAGTACCTATTATAAATATATATTCACTTTGCGTTTTGCACTCGGACCAAGAAGTCTAAAGTTCATCAATGCAGACCGCAAGTCGACTTCGGGATATGCGTTCATCCTGATGGGTGCTCCGGTGAGCTGGGGAATCAAAAAGCAGTTAAGTGTGTCGCTGTCAACAAGTGAAGCTGAGTACATTGCCTTAAGTCTGGCTATTCAAGAAGGCAAGTGGTGCATCGATTGCTATGCGAGATTCTGGATGCCGCAGAGGACAAGTCTGTGACCCGAGCTCAAGATCATGTTAGACAACCAATCGTGCGTCAAGATGACGAAGAATCCTGTGAACCATGGTCGGGCCAAGCGCATCGACACTTGTTGTCTATTGACGGTCATCGGTTTCTACCAGTATTGGTAACCGTGACCGGTCCAATCCGAACCGCCGGTTCAGCTTAGTCTTTACGACGTAGTTCTTACGGTAATTACCATAGTTGATTCGACGCGTAGGATGATGAGACGCTTCACATGATTTATATGTGCACCACATATAAATCATGTAGTAAGTAGTAAGCCCCGATAATCAATCACTTTCCAATCTTCCATCTACCCCCCAAGTGTCTTCTCCGGTCTTCCGAGTGGACTCCCAGCATCACTCCCAGTTTCGGTCGTCAAGCTTTACACCTATTAACAGGTTATGAGCCCAAGCACGATGTCCTCTGCTCATGATGCCACCACCAAGATCTCCATTGACAAGTTCGACGGCGACAACTACGCGACATGGAGCCGCTACATGCGTGGCGTGTTCCTGACTAAGTCGGCGTGGCACGCTGTGAACCGGGAGACCTCGCCGACCTACGCGGACGATCGCGCCATGGACGACTACGTCAAGGCCAACAACATCGCTTTCGGACTGACGTTGCTGCACATGGACGCAGACTACCATCACATCGTCGATGACTGTGAAGAGGCGTGGGTCGCGTGGGCGCTTTTAAAGATGCTGTACGGCGGATCTCAGAAGGCTGGGCACATCTGCTTGAAGCGCCAGCTCTTCAGTATGGAGATGACAGAAGGCGGCAATGTGTTGCATCATTGCAATGAGGTCCTCAACATCAGCGCAAAGCTGGCTAGCATCGGCGCCAAGATGTAGGACGAGGACGTTGCGATCTGCTTACTGCGCAGTCTGCCCAAGAGTTTCGAGAACGTGGTTCTCAACTTGGAGATGAGCAGCGCAGAGCTTCAATCGCGGGACGTCGTGAAAGTGCTCACGAACGAGCATGTCAAGCGGCAAGGTGCGAAGGCTACGGTGGTGAAGACTGAAGACGCGGCCAAGGCGTTTAGTACCGAGCGTGAACCGCATCATTGCACGTACTGCGGAAAATTGGGGCATACGATGGACCGATGCTGGACCAAGCAGAAGAACGAGAACAAGGTGGAGCTCGACGCGGTGGCAACAATGCTCGTGGACGCGGAGCCAACAACGTTCAGTGGCGAACCAACAGCAACTACGATGACAACTACGATCGAGTTGCGTTCGCGGTTTCGCTGGAGGCTGGACTTTCGACGGGCAAGAATATGCCAGGGATGTGGGCGGTCGACAGCGGTGCGACGCACCACATCTGCAACGACAAGGCCAAGTTTGCAAGCCTGAATGAGCGAGAGGAAGGCGAACTATCAGTGGCTGATGGCAGCAAGGCTGCGATCAAGGGTGTGGGAACCATCATGGAACGGGTGGTTCTGCCCAATGGTGACGAACGCGACATCGAGATCAAGGACGCACTGTTCGTACCAAGTATGAGCAAGAATCTGCTTTCGGTGCCACAGATCAACAAGGGTGGCAGGTTCCAAGTCGTGTTCGATGGGTCCAAGATGCAAGCGAAGCGCAAGAATTCCACACAAGTCGTGGCAACAGCGGATCTCGTCGATGGACTTTACTGGCTGTGGACTCCTCAACGATCGGCAAATGCAGCAACACGCAATGGGACTATCGACTTGCATGCGCGCATGGATCATGCACCCCTCGAAGTTCTGCGCAAGATGGTGGCCACTGGCATGATCAAGGACGCCAAGGCACCTCTCGACTCGACTGGTCCAAGTGTGTGTCGCGGTTGCCAGCAAGGAAAGATGGTCCAAAAACCATTCCCAACCAACCGTGACAAACACCAATATGGTGTGTTCGAGTTGCTGCACGTCGACATCTGCGGGCCAATGGAACAAGTCTCGATCGGCGGCAGCAGATACTTACTGTTTGTGGTTGACGAAGCCAGCGGTTGCATGAAAGGCTTCTGTCTGCGGTCCAAGTCTGAGAGTGAAGACTGTATCAAGAACCACATTATCAAGATTCAAACTCAGTTCGGCACGAAGATCAAGTTTGTTCGGCACGATGGAGCGCATGAGTTTGCGACCAACTCCATCAAGACCTTCTACGAAGATCATGGTATCGAGCAACAACAGATCACGGTGCCGTATGCACACCAGACCAACGGCACCGCAGAACGCGCGATAAGGACCATCGTCACGATCGGACGCAGCTTGTTGCATCATGCAAAGCTGGAGAAGTGTTTCTGGGCTGAAGAGGCAATGACGGCGATCTACATCAAGAACCGCCTGCCTTCACCCAAGATCGACCACAAGACTCCGGTCGAGATCGTGTACAAGTCGAAACCAAGTGTCAAGCACATGCGCGTGTTTGGATGTCGGGCGTTTATCCTGACACCAAGGGAGAAGCGATTGAAGTGGGACCCGAAGGCTCGTGAAGGGATGTTCATGGGCTACGAAGAAGCGTCAAAAGCTTATCGAGTGTACGACATTGAGGCGGGCCAAGTGGTGATCAGTCGTGACATCACCTTCGACGAATCGACTTTTGACTTTTCGATGGACCGACCAAGTGACGATGATGAAGATGCGGAGTTGGACCTCGACCTCCTAGCGATCAACGAGGACAACGTGCGTCAAACCGTCTACAAGCAGACTGGCAAGCGCAAGAGTGAAGCAAGACCCGGCATGTCACGTTCAGCTCGCCCTCGAACTGGGTTGGAACAAGCAAGTGCGCCGGAACACGTCTCCAACCGTCACCAGAAACGACGATCAAGTGCTCCAGAAACGATGTCTGATGACGAAGAAGATGCGAGCGTCTACGATCGAGATGACGACTCGACGCCTCCAACATTTTGGCTTGCAAGTGCAAACGCAGTGGAAGCAACGGGCCTAGCAGAACCTGTGACTTTTCAAGACGCGATCAATGGTCCTGATCAAGCTCAATGGCGAAATGCTGTGAAGGCGGAACTCAAGTCGATGCATCTTCGTGGAGTTTTCCGTGCGACAAAACTGCCAAGAGGCCAAGGCGCGATCTGTTGCATTGTAGATCGGAGCGAGGAAAGCGGAGCAAACGGAGCGGAGAGACCGAAGAGAGTAGAGCAGAAAACACTTGCCCAATAGTTGGAAGATTCGAAAGTGATTGATTATCGGGGCTTACTACTTACTACATGATTTATATGTGGTGTACATATAAATCATGTGAAGCGTCTCATCATCCTACGCGTCGAATCAACTATGGTAATTACCGTAAGAACTACGTCGTAAATACTAAGCTGAACAGGCGGTTCGGATTGGATCGGTCACGGTTACCAATACTGGTAGAAAACCGATGACCGTCAACACGCCCCCTCAATCCGAATGCTCACGAATCCCGAGAGTCGCCGTCATCTCCTTGTGGCGTGGCCCGTGAAGTCCCTTCGTCATGATGTCCGCTAACATCACCGCAGTTTCACAGTACTTGAGCTTCACTTCACCGCGCTTGACCTCATCACGGATGTGATGGTACTTGATATCAATGTGCTTGGCACGGCCGTGGTTGACTGGGTTCTTCGTCATCTTGATACACGACTGATTGTCTTCATGGATCATGAGTTCCGGTCCTTCTTCATTGGCAGCCATCACGATCTCACAAAGCAGACGATGAATCCACTTGCCCTCTTGAATCGCCAAGCTGAGTGCGATGTATTCGGCTTCACTCGTGGACAACGAAACACTTGGCTGCTTCTTGCTGCCCCAACTGACTGGCGCACCGAGTAGCATGAACGTGTACCCCGATGTTGACTTGCGGTCGGTAAGATCACCAGCCCAATCCGCATCCGAATATCCACGGAAGTCGATCCTTGCACTTGGCTTGTAGCAAATTCCATGCGTCTTGGTGCCTTGTAGGTAGCGAAAGATACGCTTAACTGCAACCCAGTGTTCTTCTTGGGGATTTTCCATGAACCGCGACACATAGCCCACAGCAAACGCAATGTCCGGACGCGTTGCAGTGGTCAGGTGCATCAACGCACCAACAGCTTCGCGAAAAGGAGCATCGACCTTGGTAGTTGCATCACTTGAAACAAGTCGAGAGCTCATGTCGACTGGACTTGCGACTGCCTTGCAATCATCCATGCCAAAGCGCTTGAGGATATCATCGACATACCGACGCTGACATAGTGTCACACTGCCATCTTCACCGTCCAAAAAGCTCGATCCCAAGAACAAACGCACACTTGCCGCTGTCCGTCATTTCGAACCGCGTCTTCAGGTCGTTCTTGGTTTGTGCAATCAGCTCGAGCGAGCTTCCAGTCACCAAGACGTCGTCCACGTAGACCAGTATAAACACGCAATGGCCGTCCGAAGTCTTGATGCAGAGACATGGGTCGAAGTCCGATACTTGAAATCCGATGGAGCACACATACTCGTCGTGTTGAAAAGACAGCGGCTGTGAAGAAGACACCTCGTCAAGCTGCGTCAAGTGTTGAAGCAAGTGGAAGACCAAGCTTCGCTATACCGGTGGGTACCGGTATGTACCAGTAAGGGCGAAGTCAGGAAATGACGTCACTGGATGACGTCATTGCATGACGTCAGTGGGTGACGTCAGTGGGTGACGTCACTGGATGACGTCACTGCGAATAATAGGCTTAGAGGTAGTATTCAAAGTTGCGAACTAAGTACCTATTATAAATATATATTCACTTTGCGTTTTGCACTCGGACCAAGAAGTCTAAAGTTCATCAGGTTATGAGCCCAAGTTCGTCAGACTCTGAAACCGCCAACAATTCAAGCTTAGCTGCCATGGACGCCTCCTCCTCCCTCCGCATCTCCAAGTTCGATGGAACTAACTTCCACGCCTGGAAGTTCAAGATGCAGATGGTGCTGGAGGAACGGGACCTATGGGAGGTCGTCAGCGGTGAGATCAAGGCGGAACAGTGCGAGACTCAGTTGGACCAAGCGACGTACAAGAGGAAGTCAAGAAAGGCGATGGCAGTGATCTGTCTAGCCATGGAAGATTCCCAGCTACCGTTGGTCCGGTCGGCAAGTGGTGCATGCGACGCATGGTCAAGGTTGGAAGACCACTTCGAGAAGAAGAGTCTTGCCAACAAGCTGTTCTTGCGCCGTCGCTTCTTCACGACAATGATGGAAGAAGGCGACGATGTGCTCGAACACATCAACAAGCTCAAGACGCTGGCGGAACAGCTAGAAGCGGTGGGGGCTCCAGTCTGCGAGGACGATCTGGTGATCACACTCCTCGGCAGCCTGAGTGACTCGTATCAATTCTTGATCACAGCTTTGGAGTCGCGCTCAGACACTCTTAGCTGGGAGCTCGTGACGTCTCGACTGCTTCATGAAGAAATGAAGCGGAAGGAGCAAGGAAGTAAAGGTGATGAAGCTTCGCAAGGTCAAGCGTTCATCACAAGGGACAATCAGCGCAAAGGGCGACCAGTGAAGAAGTCCTGGCCGTGCCACAATTGCGGGAAAGATTGGTCACTGGATGGCGGAGTGTCCCTCGCGCATCCAAGAAAACACGGAGAGACACCGGCCACAGCGTGCTCAAGACAGCGGCGACCGCTATCGATCACAACGTGCAAACGTCGCTCAAGAAGAAGACTCGGGCGACTACCTCTTTTCGATCGGTGAAACGACATCTGCGAAATCGAGCGACATCTGGCTGGTCGACTCCGGGGCGACGCAGCACATGACGTGCTCCAAGAAGTTCATGCGGAACTACAAGGGGTTTGACGCTGTGGATGTCCATCTCGCGGATGATGGAATCGTCCAAGCAATCGGCAGTGGGGACATTGTCATGTCGATGAAGACACCCCAAGGGATGAAGAAAGGTGTGCTCACAAACGTGTGGCACATCCCAAAGTTATCCAGAAACCTGTTCTCGGTCGGCCGCTTCACCAAGGATGTCGGCCCAGTGACGTTCACGAAGGATGGGTGCTATGGAGAAGCGAAAGGGACCAAGTGGAAAATTGGTGCCCGTGAAGGTAAAGAACTGTTCAAGCTGCAAATGACTCCAGTGGCGCCGGAACAAGCAAATGCAGCCAAGTCGTCGGGATGTCAAGGGGGCACCAAGTCGTACCTCTGGCACCTTCGGCTTGGCCACATAGGTCATGATGGACTCAATTGCATCGTGACGAAGAACATTGGAATTGGCATCGACATATCTTCGGTGAAGAAGTGGGACGTGTGTGAAGGTTGTGCTCTGGGAAAACAGACTCGAGTGCGCTTCCAATCAAACACTACAGCTCGCACCTCCAAACTCCTCGAAGTGATTCACAGCGACGTATGCGGACCGATGTCGATGGCAACTTTCAGTGGAAAACGGTACTTCGTGACATTCATTGATGACAAGTCAAGATACTGTGTCGTCTATCTGCTCAAGAGCAAATCTGAAGTTGCGGCGAAGTTCATGGAATACGCTGCGATGGCCGAAACGCAAACCGGAAAGCGCGTGAAGTACCTTCAAAGCGACAATGGGGGTGAATACAAGTCCGACAAGCTGGCACGATTCTGCGCGGAACGGGGAATACAACAAAGGTTCACACCCCCATATACTCCTCAGCTAAACGGAGTAGCTGAGAGAATGAATCGCACGCTGGTCGAGTGTGCGCGTTACATGATGGAACACGCTGGACTGGGAAAGAGCTACTGGGGTGAAGCAGTGATGACGGCGATGTTTCTTCGAAACCGCTGTCCAACACGTGCCATTCACCAAGACAAGTCTCCATATCAAGTGTGGACGATGAAGAAACCGATTCTGGCCAACCTTAAAGTGTTTGGATGCCACGCGTATGTTCAAGTGCCTCAAGACAAACGCGCGAAGTTCGACTCCAAGTCATCACTCTGTCGTTTCCTGGGATACGCCGAACACCAGAAGTCATATCGATTTGAGGAAGTGTCAACAGGAGCGATCAAGATCAGTCGCGATGCCACATTCATGGAAGACAAGTTTGATGAAGGTCCGCGCAACTACAACGATGAGTCAAGTGTCGTTGAGTTTGATGATCATGATGAGGACGAAGAAAAAGAAGAAGGTAAAACTGACGACGACATGGACTCGAGCGACGATGACAACGAAGACACCAGGTCTTCGAAGAGCAACATCAAGAGACACACGCGCACTCAATCACTTGAGAAAGCTACCGTCATTCCAAGTCCCAAGCGAAGAACATACAGAGGTCCGTCGCTTGAGCATGTGTCAGCGGCTGCAATGGATTTTGAAGCAGCCTACATCGTTGATTCAGTGGGGGAAACGCCGACTACATTCAAGTCGGCGATGGAATCAAGCGACTCCGGCAAGTGGAAAGAAGCGTGTGACTCGGAGTTCGATTCGCTTCAGAGAAACGACACGTGGGAAATCGTGCCTCTTCCGAAAGGTCGCAAGGCCATCGGGTGCCGATGGGTTTTTCGTGTAAAGGAGAATCAAGATGGCGAAGTTGAACGTTTCAAGGCAAGACTTGTGGCCAAAGGATTCTCACAGAAATTCGGAGTTGACTATGAAGAAACTTTCGCACCGGTGGCCAAGTTCACATCGATTCGTGTGGTGCTCAGTATGGCGGCTAAGTACGGCCTAATGCTACATCAGATGGACGTCAAGACAGCGTTTCTTAACGGCTCCCTCAACGAAGACATCTACATGGACCAGCCGGACGGATACCTGGATGCAACACAGCCGGACTATGTGTGCAAGCTAAAGAGATCACTCTACGGCTTGAAGCAATCGCCTCGCATGTGGAACCAAACAATCGATGGGTTCATGATCAAGATGGGATTCAAGAAGTGCGAATCGGACCACTGCATCTACATCAAGCGAGACGACCAAGACATGATTCTCGTGGTGCTCTACGTCGATGATCTCATCCTGGCCAGCAGCAACAACGAACTCCTCAAGTCAACCAAGATGGCGCTGAGCAAACGCTTCGAAATGACGGATCTCGGTGAGCTCGATTACTTTCTCGGCATGGAGATCAAGAACGACCGTAAGACGGGAATGGTGACTGTACAACAAACCAAGTTTCTCAAGTCCGTGTTAACCAAGTTCGGAATGGATAACAGCAAGCCAGTGAAGACGCCTCAAGATCCCGGCCTGAAGCTAACCAAGAACATGTGTGAACAAGAATGCAAGCACGAAGACACCATGTGCAACGTGCCATATCGAAGTGCTGTCGGAGGCATCATGTATCTCATGGTCGCCACACGTCCGGATCTAGCTGCTGCAGTGGGATCATTATCCCAGTTCTCGTCCGACCCATGCCCGACTCACTGGCAAGCTTTGAAGCGTGTGCTGAGATACCTGCAAGCAACGCCCAATCATGGTCTTGAGTTTACACGTGAAGAAGGAAGCCGTATCTGCGGGTACACCGACGCAGACTGGGCCGGCGACATTGAGTCAAGACGAAGTACAAGCGGCTATGTGTTCATGATGAGCGGAGGATGCATCAGCTGGAAAAGCCAGAAACAACGGACGGTCACGCTATCTTCAACAGAAGCAGAATACATGGCGCTTTCCGAAGCAACCAAAGAAGCAGTATGGCTCAAAGTGCTTTTGGGGGGAACTTGGTGAGATGACAAGCGACGAAGCGATCAAGATGTATGAAGACAACCAAGGATCAATCGCTCTCGCCAAGAACCCGGAGTTCCATAAGAGAACAAAACACATCGACATACGCTACCATTTTGTGCGTGAGAAGGTGGAATCAGGTGAAGTCGTTTTGGAGTATTGCCCGACTCAAGATATGCTGGCAGACATGATGACCAAGCCGATCGCCGCTGTACAATTTGAAAACATTCGCGATCGACTTGGGATCCAAGGTGCCGCAGCTAACGAGTCGAGAGGGAGTGTTGAAAAGACAGCGGCTGTGAAGAAGACACCTCGTCAAGCTGCGTCAAGTGTTGAAGCAAGTGGAAGACCAAGCTTCGCTATACCGGTGGGTACCGGTATGTACCAGTAAGGGCGAAGTCAGGAAATGACGTCACTGGATGACGTTATTGCATGACGTCAGTGGGTGACGTCAGTGGGTGACGTCACTGGATGACGTCACTGCGAATAATAGGCTTAGAGGTAGTATTCAAAGTTGCGAACTAAGTACCTATTATAAATATATATTCACTTTGCGTTTTGCACTCGGACCAACAAGTCTAAAGTTCATCACGTCGAACGTCTTGTTCCACACTCGCGACGCTTGCTTGAGGCCGTAAATTGACTTCACCAATTCCAGGCAGTCGAACGTACTGTCAAGTTCGACGCCTTCAGGAATCACGCAGAACACTTGTTCCTTCATGACGCCATACAGGAAAGCTGTCACCACATCAAGCTGGTCGATGGGCCATCCAAAATGCTTGGAAATTGCGATCACCATTCGCAGCGTCACATACTTGACCACAGGCGAAAACGTCTCCGTGTAGTCGATGCCATACTTTTGGCGGAAACCCTTGGCCACAAGTCGTGCCTTGTACTTCTCGATTGACCCATCCGCCTTGCGCTTGATCTTGAACACCCATTTTGTGCCAATGGCGCGTTGTCCGTTGGGCAGCTTGGCTGCACGAAACACACCGCGAAGTCGCATTGACTCGAGCTCTGCATGAATTGCTTTTCTCCAGTGCACTTGGTCAGGGCCGCTTACTGCTGCTTCAAATGTTGAGGGTTCTGATAAGTCCACTGCTGCTTCAACGGCATTTGCACTCGCACGCCAAAACACAGGCGGTGTTGAATCACCAGAATCCTTCGTTTCTTCGTCTTCTTCTTGTCGTGACGAGTTGTTTTCCGGCGCGCTTGACTCTTCTAGTCCTGGTCGTTGACGCACTGCACGCGGTCGTGGAGCTGCTGTATCTTCATCATTGAGTCGGTTCTTGCGCTTGCCTGTTTGCTTGTACTCCATTTGACGCAGCTCTTCGTCATCAAGATCCAGCAATTCGAAGTCCAGGTCATCGACATCTTCATCAGTGATCGGCAGTTGAAGTCCAAAGGTGGACTCGTCGAAGTTGACATCGCGGCTGATAACCACCTGCCCCGCCTCGATGTCATAAACACGATATGCCTTCGAAACTTCTTTCGTAGAACAGTTGAAGCAAGTTGGTTGCAAACTCGCGAGCTCCGTCGTGTCGCACGAACTTGACCTTCTTACAGAATTGCGTCTGTACCATGGTGATATATTTCCGGATGTAGTCTTCACTCTCGGACTTCACTCGTAGACAAAAGCCCTTCATGCATCCACTGGCTTCGTCGATGATCAGCAACAAATATTTGCTGCCACCGAGCGAATCCTTTTCCATGGGCCCGCAGATGTCCAGATGAAGTAGCTCAAACGTATCGTAGCTGCGCTTGTCTCGGTTGCTTGGAAATGGTTTTTGGACCATTTTCCCTTGTTGACATCCTCGACATGTAGTTGCTCCACCCGACTTGAGAGGGACTCGCACATCCTTGATCATGTTGGTCGCGATCATCTTGCGAAGTACATCGACTGGAGCATGACCCATTCTCGCATGTAGATCGGCACAACTGGTTCCACTTGTTGTCACATTCGCTGATCGTTGAGTCGCCCGAAGCCAGTAGAGTCCATCCACGAGATCCGCTGTCGCCACCACTTTGCTGTGGGTTTTTGAGAGTCACATACATCTTGGACCCGTCAAACACGACTTGAAACTTGCCATGGCTGTTAATCTGTGGCACCGAGAGCAGGTTCTTGCTCATACTTGGAACATATAGCGCGTTCTTGATTTCGATCTCACGCTCTTCACCGTTGGGCAGAACCACCTTTTCCATGATGGTTCCCACACCCTTGATGGCCACCTTGTTGCCATCAGCCACCAAGAGTTCGCCCTCATTGCGCTCTGCCAAACTTGCGAACTTGGTCTTGTCGTGGCAAATGTGGTGCGTTGCACCACTGTCGACGGCCCACATTCCAGACACGTCCTTGCTCGTCGAAACTCCACATTCGAACGAGACTGCAAACGCCACTCGATCGTAGCCATTGCCTTCATCATGATGTCCCCACTGGACATTGTTAGCCCCGCGTCCACGACCATTGCCGCCGCGTCGGGCTCCCCGACCTTCGTTCTTCTGCTTTGTCCAGCAACGATCCACCGTGTGTCCCACCTTGCCACAATACGTGCATTGGTAGGGCTCACGCTCGGCGCTGAATGCCTTGCTTGCATCTTCAGCCTTCACCGTAGTCGCTGTCGTTGTCCCTTTTTCTACTTGACGCTTGGCATGCTCATTCGTCAGGACTCTCACCACATCTTGAGTGCGAAGCTCGGTGCTGCTCATTTCCATGTTGAGCACCACATTTTCGTAGCTCTTCGGAAGACTGAGTAGCAGACAAATTGCAACGTCTTCGTCTTCCATCTTCGCACCGATGCCGCTAAGCTTGGCGGAGATGTTGAGGACCTCGTTGCAGTGATGCATGACGTTCGCGCCTTCAGCCATCTTGATACTGAAAAGTTGTCGCTTGAGGTAGATGCGTCCTGCCTTCTGCGACCCACCGTACAGCGTCTTCAGACTTGTCCACGCAACCCAGGCTTCCTCGCAGTTGTCCAGCACATGATGGTAGTCCGCGTTCATGTGCAGCAGCATCATACCAAACGCGACGTTGCTTGCCTTGAGGTAGTCATCGGACGCTCGCGGGTCGGTGAAAGTCGGAGTCACTTCACGGTTGACAACGTGCCAGACGGACTTCGTCAAAAACACACCGCGCATGTACCGGCTCCACGTTGCGTAATTGTCTCCGTTGAACTTGTCAATGGAGGCGTTGCTGGTGGACGACATGGCGCTTGGGCTTATAACCTGTTGCATTGTAGATCGGAGCGAGGAAAGCGGAGCAAACGGAGCGGAGAGACCGAAGAGAGTAGAGCAGAAAACACTTGCCCAATAGTTGGAAGATTCGAAAGTGATTGATTATCGGGACTTACTACTTACTACATGATTTATATGTGGTGTACATATAAATCATGTGAAGCGTCTCATCATCCTACGCGTCTAATCAACTATGGTAATTACCGTAAGAACTACGTCGTAAATACTAAGCTGAACAGGCGGTTCGGATTGGATCGGTCACGGTTACCAATACTGGTAGAAAACCGATGACCGTCAACACGATCGGCACCAAGTGGGTGTTCAAGATCAAGCGCAAAGCGGATGGATCGGTCGAGAAATACAAGGCGCGTCTCGTGGCAAAAGGGTTCAAGCAGAAATATGGCATCGACTACACGGAGACGTTTTTGCCGGTAGTCAAGTACGTGACGCTGCGCATGGTAGTTGCAATCACGAAGTACTTTGACTGGAAACTGGACCTACTGGACGTGGTGACAGCTTTGCTATGCGGAGAGATGAAGGAAAAGGTATTCTGCGCGATCCCAGAAGGGGTCGAAGTTGATGAAGACTTTGACTGCTTCGAATTGGTGAAGGCGATCTACGGACTAAAACAAGCATCGCGCGTATGGAACGAGACTTTCTATGAGTTCGTCTGCTCCATTGGATTTCAAGTATCCGATTTTGACCCGTGTCTTTATCTCAAAATTACAAGTGGCGAGTGCGTGCTTTTGCTGGTATACGTCGATGATGTGTTGGTGACTGGCAGCTCGACCGAACTGATTATGCGTACCAAGAGTGACTTGAAGGCGCGTTTCGAAATGACTGACAGCGGCAAGTGCGCATTCATGTTGGGCATCGAGATGGTGGACAACGACAACGGTAGCGTGACGATGTGCCAGCGACGCTACGTGGAAGATGTTCTCAAGCGTTTTGGCATGAGCGACTGCAAAGCCGTCACCAGCCCAACAGACATCAGTTCTTGACTCATAACAAACAGTGCAGTAACCAAAATGGACGCCCCGTTTTGTGAAGCAGTAGGCGCTTTAATGCACTTGATGACCGCGACACGACCGGACATTGCCTTTGCTGTGAGTTAAATTTCGCGCTTCATGGAAAACCTCCAAGTCGAGCACTGGATGGCGGTCGAGCGCATTTTGCGATACTTACAAGGGACTAAGTCGCACGGCATCGGTTTCAAGTCTGATGACAAGGTAGACTTCTGCGGCTACTTGGATGTAGATTGGGCCGGCGACCATGCAGACCGCAAGTCGACTTCGGGATATGCGTTCATCCTGATGGGTGCTCCGGTGAGCTGGGGAATCAAAAAGCGGTCAAGTGTGTCGCTGTCAACAAGTGAAGCTGAGTACATTGCCTTAAGTCTGGCTATTCAAGAAGGCAAGTGGTGCATCGATTGCTATGCGAGATTCTGGATGCCGCAGAGGACAAGTCTGGGACCCGAGCTCAAGATCATGTAAGACAACCAATCGTGCATCAAGATGACGAAGAATCCTGTGAACCATGGTCGGGCCAAGCGCATCGACACTTGTTGTCTATTGACGGCCATCGGTTTCTACCAGTATTGGTAACCGTGACCGGTCCAATCCGAACCGCCGGTTCAGCTTAGTCTTTACGACGTAGTTCTTACGGTAATTACCATAGTTGATTAGACGCGTAGGATGGTGAGACGCTTCACATGATTTATATGTACACCACATATAAATCATGTAGTAAGTAGTAAGCCCCGATAATCAATCACTTTCCAATCTTCCATCTACCCCCCAAGTGTCTTCTCCGGTCTTCCGAGTGGACTCCCAGCATCACTCCCAGTTTCGGTCGTCAAGCTTTACACCTATTAACAGGTTATGAGCCCAAGCACGATGTCCTCTGCTCATGATGCCACCACCAAGATCTCCATTGACAAGTTCGACGGCGACAACTACGCGACATGGAGCCGCTACATGCGTGGCGTGTTCCTGACTAAGTCGGCGTGGCACGCTGTGAACCGGGAGACCTCGCCGACCTACGCGGACGATCGCGCCATGGACGACTACGTCAAGGCCAACAACATCGCTTTCGGACTGACGTTGCTGCACATGGACGCAGACTACCATCACATCGTCGATGACTGTGAAGAGGCGTGGGTCGCGTGGGCGCTTTTAAAGATGCTGTACGGCGGGTCGCAGAAGGCTGGACGCATCTACTTGAAGCGCCAGCTGTTCAGCATGGAGATGGAGGAAGGCGGCAATGTGTTGCATCATTGCAACGAAGTCCTCAACATCAGCGCGAAGCTCAGCAGCATCGGCGCCAAGATGGAGGACGAGGACGTGGCGATCTGCTTGTTGCGCAGTCTGCCCAAGAGTTTCGAGAACGTGATTCTCAAGTTGAAGATGAACAGCGCAGAGCTTCGATCGCGGGACGTCGTGAAAGTGCTCACGAACGAGCATGTCAAGCGGCAAGGTGACAAGACGACATCGGTGAAGACTGAAGACGCGGCCAAGGCGTTCAGTGCCGAGCGTGAACCTCGCCAGTGTACATACTGCGGAAAATTGGGGCACACGGCGGAGCGGTGCTGGACCAAGCAGAAGGACGAAAATCAAGGTGGAGCTCGACGCGGTGGCAACAATGCTCGTGGACGCGGAGCCAACAACGTTCAGTGGCGAACCAACAGCAACTACGACGACAACTACGATCGAGTTGCGATCGCGGTTTCGCTGGAGGCTGGACTTTCGACGGGCAAGAATATGCCAGGGATGTAGGCGGTCGACACCGGCGCAACGCACCACATCGGCAGCGACAAGGCCAAGTTTGCAAGCCTGAATGAGCGAGAGGAAGGCGAACTATCAGTGGCTGATGGCAGCAAGGCTGCGATCAAGGGTGTGGGAACCATCATGGAACGGGTGGTTCTGCCCAATGGTGACGAACGCGACATCGAGATCAAGGACGCACTGTTCGTACCAAGTATGAGCAAGAATCTGCTTTCGGTGCCACAGATCAACAAGGGTGGCAGGTTCCAAGTCGTGTTCGATGGGTCCAAGATGCAAGCGAAGCGCAAGAATTCCACACAAGTCGTGGCAACAGCGGATCTCGTCGATGGACTTTACTGGCTGTGGACTCCTCAACGATCGGCAAATGCAGCAACACGCAATGGGACTATCGACTTGCATGCGCGCATGGATCATGCACCCCTCGAAGTTCTGCGCAAGATGGTGGCCACTGGCATGATCAAGGACGCCAAGGCACCTCTCGACTCGACTGGTCCAAGTGTGTGTCGCGGTTGCCAGCAAGGAAAGGTGGTCCAAAAACCATTCCCAACCAACCGTGACAAACACCAATATGGTGTGTTCGAGTTGCTGCACTTTGACACCTGCGGGCCAATGGAACAAGTCTCGATCGGCGGCAGCAGATACTTACTGCTTGTGGTTGACGAAGCCAGCGGTTGCATGAAAGGCTTCTGTCTGCGGTCCAAGTCTGAGAGTGAAGACTGTATCAAGAACCACATTATCAAGATTCAAACTCAGTTCGGCACGAAGATCAAGTTTGTTCGGCACGATGGAGCGCATGAGTTTGCGACCAACTCCATCAAGACCTTCTACGAAGATCATGGTATCGAGCAACAACAGATCACGGTGCCGTATGCACACCAGACCAACGGCACCGCAGAACGCGCGATAAGGACCATCGTCACGATCGGACGCAGCTTGTTGCATCATGCAAAGCTGGAGAAGTGTTTCTGGGCTGAAGCGGCAATGACGGCGATCTACATCAAGAACCGCCTGCCTTCACCCAAGATCGACCACAAGACTCCGGTCAAGATCGTGTACAAGTCGAAACCAAGTGTCAAGCACATGCGCGTGTTTGGATGTCGGGCGTTTATCCTGACACCAAGGGAGAAGCGATTGAAGTGGGACCCGAAGGCTCGTGAAGGGATGTTCATGGGCTACGAAGAAGCGTCAAAAGCTTATCGAGTGTACGACATTGAGGCGGGCCAAGTGGTGATCAGTCGTGACATCACCTTCGACGAATCGACTTTTGACTTTTCGATAGACCGACCAAGTGACGATGATGAAGATGCGGAGTTGGACCTCGACCTCCTAGCGATCAACGAGGACAACGTGCGTCAAACCGTCTACAAGCAGACTGGCAAGCGCAAGAGTGAAGCAAGACCCGGCATGTCACGTTCAGCTCGCCCTCGAACTGGGTTGGAACAAGCAAGTGCGCCGGAACACGTCTCCAACCGTCACCAGAAACGACGATCAAGTGCTCCAGAAACGATGTCTGATGACGAAGAAGATGCGAGCGTCTACGATCGAGATGACGACTCGACGCCTCCAACATTTTGGCTTGCAAGTGCAAACGCAGTGGAAGCAACGGGCCTAGCAGAACCTGTGACTTTTCAAGACGCGATCAATGGTCCTGATCAAGCTCAATGGCGAAATGCTGTGAAGGCGGAACTCAAGTCGATGCATCTTCGTGGAGTTTTCCGTGCGACAAAACTGCCAAGAGGCCAAGGCGCGATCGGCACCAAGTGGGTGTTCAAGATCAAGCGCAAAGCGGATGGATCGGTCGAGAAATACAAGGCGCGTCTCGTTGCTAAGGGCTTCAAGCAGAAGTACGGCATCGACTACACAGAGACGTTCTCGCCCGTGGTCAAGTACGTGACACTGCGTATGGTGATCGCGATCACCAAGTATTTCGACTGGCCACTGGACCAACTCGATGTGGTGACAACCTTTCTCTACGGAGTGATGAAGGAGAAGGTGTACTGCGTGATACCAGAAGGCGTCGAGATAGATGGCGACTTCGACTATCTCGAGTTGGTGAAGGCGATCTACGGTCTCAAGCAAGCTTCACGTGCGTGGAACGAGACTTTCGACGAGTTCGTATGCTCTATCGGTTTCGAAGCGTCGGCGTTCGACCCATGTCTCTACATCAAGGTTGTCGACGGTCACTGTGTGCTCGTGCTGGTCTACGTGGATGACGTGTTGGTCACCGGCAGCTCGCTCGAGTTGATTGCGCAGACGAAGGCCGACCTCAAGACGCGTTTCGAGGTGACCGAAAGTGGCAAGTGTACTTTTGTACTGGGCATCGAACTGGTGGACGAATCGGATGGCAGCGTGGCGATGTGCCAGCGACGGTATGTCAACGACATCCTCAAGCGCTTCGGCATGGATGAGTGCAAGGCCACAGCAAATCCGGTCGACTTGAGCACTCGGCTTGTCGCAAGCAGCGAAGCGGCCAAGATCGACGTTCCGTTTCGTGAAGCTGTGGGAGCTTTGATGCACTTGACGACTGCGACGCGCCCGGACATCGCGTATGGTGTGGGGTACGTCTCGCGCTTCATGGAGAATCCGCAGCAAGAACATTGGACGGCGGTGAAGCGCATCTTTCGTTACTTGCAAGGGACCAAGTCGCACGGACTCCGCTTCCAGCCAAGCGACAAGATCGACTTTCGTGGCTACTCGGACGCGGACTGGGCCGGCGACCACGCTGATCGCAAGTCGACTTCGGGTTACACTTTCATGCTGATGGGTGCTCCTGTGAGTTGGGGAAGCAAGAAGCAGTCAAGTGTGTCGCTGTCGACGAGTGAAGCGGAATACATCGCACTGAGTCTGGCCATCTAGGAAGGCAAGTGGGTGCTTCGCCTGCTATGCGAGATTTTGGCGGCCGCAAACGAACCAGGACCGGACCTCGTCATCCGTGAAGACAACCAGTCATGCATCAAGATGACGAAGAATCCGGTGAATCATGGTCGCGCCAAGCTCATCGACATCAAGTACCATCACATCCGTGATGAGGTCAAGCGCGGTGAAGTGCAGCTCGAGTGTTGCGAAACTTCCGTGATGATGGCTGACATCATGACCAAGAGACTTTCGGGACCTCGTCACAAGGACTTGACGATGGCTCTCGGCATTCGTATGAGTTCGGATTGAGGGGTCGTGTTGACGGTCATCGGTTTCCTACCAGTATTGGTAACCGTGACCGGTCCAATCCGAACCGCCTGTTCAGCTTAGTATTTACGACGTAGTTCTTACGGTAATTACCATAGTTGATTAGACGCGTAGGATGATGAGATGCTTCACATGATTTATATGTGCACCACATATAAATCATGTAGTAAGTAGTAAGCCCCGATAATCAATCACTTTCCGATCTTCCATCTAACCCCCAAGTGTCTTCTCCGGTCTTCCGAGTGGACTCCCAGCATCACTCCCAGTTTCGGTCGTCAAGCTTTACACAAATTAACATGGTCCAATGGAAGTCGACTCGCTAGGTGGAAGCAAGTACTTGCACCTGACCGTAGATGAAGGCAGCGGATGTATGAAGAGTTTCAGTCTGCGCGCCAATTCCGACAGTGAAGAGTGCATCAAGAAGTACATCATGGCAGTACAGACGCAGTTTGACTACAAGGTCAAGTTCGTTCGACACGATGGTGCACGCGAATTTGCGGCAAATTCGCTCAAGGCATTTTACGATGATCAAGGAATCGAGCAGCAAGTTACCGTTCCATATGCGCATCAGACCAACGGCACGGCGGAACGGGCAATTCGGACCATTGTGACGATCGGGCGCAGCATGCTTCACTACGCCAAGCTGGACAAGTGCTTTTGAGTTGAAGCAGCAATGACGGCGATCTACATCAAGAATCGCCTACCATCGCCCAAGTACCAAGATTAAACCCCGTTCGAGATTGTCAACGGATTTCGACCAAGTGTGAAGCACGTGCGGGTTTTCGGCTGCCGAACGTTTGTGCTGACCCCTAAGGAAAAGAGATCGAAACGGGATCCGAAGGCTCGTGAAGGACTATTCATGGGGTACGAAGAAGTGTCGAAGGCATATCGCGTTTACGACATTGAAGCGGACCAAGTGGTGATATCTCGCGATGTCACATTCGACGAATCAACGTTTGGTTTCTCGCCGACGCTACCACAAGAAATTGTTGATGACACTGCGCTGGATATCGAATCGATGAACATCAGCGATGAGCCTCACCCCATGCAGTTCAAGCAAACTGGAAAACGCAAAAGCCGTTCAAACAGTCAAGAACAAGTTCTACAACGGACACTTCCTGAGCGTCGTGGAACCGGGTTAGAAGAAGCAAGTGCCCCGGATGAATTTGAATCGCACCAAGCGAAGCGACGGTCAAGCGCTCGAGCCAATCTGGACGAAGAGCGAAAGGGCAGTGACGAAGATAACGAGGATGCTACACCTCAAGTCTTTTGGCGAGCGAGTGTCAACGCAGTCGAAGGTACTGACTTGTCTGAGCCGACAACGTTTAAAGATGCTGTTGATGGTACTGACTTGTCTGAGCCGACAACGTTTAAAGATGCTGTTGATGGACCGGATCAAGTGCATTGGTGTAAAGCAATCTGTGCTGAGTTGGACTCGATGAAACTTCGTGGCGTGCTTCGAGCGACCAAACTGCCAGCTGGACAGTATACCATTGGCACCAAGTGGGTATTCAATATCAAGCGGAAAGCTGATGGATCCATCGAGAAATACAAGGCGCGTCTGTTGACGGTCATCGGTTTTCTACCAGTATTGGTAACCGTGACCGATCCAATCCGAACCGCCTGTTCAGCTTAGTATTTACGACGTAGTTCTTACGGTAATTACCATAGTTGATTAGACGCGTAGGATGATGAGACGCTTCACATGATTTATATGTACACCACATATAAATCATGTAGTAAGTAGTAAGTCCCGATAATCAATCACTTTCGAATCTTCCAACTATTGGGCAAGTGTTTTCTGCTCTACTCTCTTCGGTCTCTCCGCTCCGTTTGCTCCGCTTTCCTCGCTCCGATCTACAATGCAACAGGTTATGAGCCCAATAGTTGGAAGATTCGAAAGCATATCGTGTTTATGACATCGAGGCGGGGCAGGTGGTTATCAGCCGCGATGTCAACTTCGACGAGTCCACCTTTGGACTTCAACTGCCGATCACTGATGAAGATGTCGATGACCTGGACTTCGAATTGCTGAATCTTGATGACGAAGAGCTGCGTCAAATGGAGTACAAGCAAACAGGCAAGCGCAAGAACCGACTCAATGATGAAGATACAGCAGCTCCACGACCGCGTGCAGTGCGTCAACGACCAGGACTAGAAGAGTCAAGCGCGCCGGAAAACAACTCGTCACGACAAGAAGAAGACGAAGAAACGAAGGATTCTGGTGATTCAACACCGCCTGTGTTTTGGCGTGCGAGTGCAAATGCCGTTGAAGCAGCAGTGGACTTATCAGAACCCTCAACATTTGAAGCAGCAGTAAGCGGCCCTGACCAAGTGCACTGGAGAAAAGCAATTCATGCAGAGCTCGAGTCAATGCGACTTCGCGGTGTGTTTCGTGCAGCCAAGCTGCCCAACGGACAACGCGCCATTGGCACAAAATGGGTGTTCAAGATCAAGCGCAAGGCGGATGGGTCAATCGAGAAGTACAAGGCACGACTTGTGGCCAAGGGTTTCCGCCAAAAGTATGGAATCGACTACACGGAGACGTTTTCGCCCGTGGTCAAGTGTGTGACGCTGCGAATGGTGATCGCAATTTCCAAGCATTTTGGATGGCCCATCGACCAGCTTGATGTGGTGACAGCTTTCCTGTATGGCGTCATGAAGGAACAAGTGTTCTGCGTGATTCCTGAAGGCGTCGAACTTGACAGTACGTTCGACTGCCTGGAATTGGTGAAGTCAATTTACGGCCTCAAGCAAGCGTCGCGAGTGTGGAACGAGACGTTCGACGAGTATGTGTGCTCCATCGGATTTCAAGTATCGGACTTCGACCCATGTCTCTGCATCAAGACTTCGGACGGCCATTGCGTGTTTATACTGGTCTACGTGGACGACGTCTTGGTGACTGGAAGCTCGCTCGAGCTGATTGCACAAACCAAGAACGACCTGAAGACGCGGTTCGAAATGACGGACAGCGGCAAGTGTGCGTTTGTTCTTGGGATCGAGCTTTTGGACGGTGAAGATGGCAGTGTGACACTATGTCAGCGTCGGTATGTCGATGATATCCTCAAGCGCTTTGGCATGGATGATTTCAAGGCAGTCGCAAGTCCAGTCGACATGAGCTCTCGACTTGTTTCAAGTGATGCAACTACCAAGGTCGATGCTCCTTTTCGCGAAGCTGTTGGTGCGTTGATGCACCTGACCACTGCAACGCGTCCGGACATTGCGTTTGCTGTGGGCTATGTGTCGCGGTTCATGGAAAATCCCCAAGAAGAACACTGGGTTGCAGTTAAGCGTATCTTTCGCTACCTACAAGGCACCAAGACGCATGGAATTTGCTACAAGCCAAGTGCAAGGATCGACTTCCGTGGATATTCGGATGCGGATTGGGCTGGTGATCTTACCGACCGCAAGTCAACATCGGGGTACACGTTCATGCTACTCGGTGCGCCAGTCAGTTGGGGCAGCAAGAAGCAGCCAAGTGTTTCGTTGTCCACGAGTGAAGCCGAATACATCGCACTCAGCTTGGCGATTCAAGAGGGCAAGTGGATTCATCGTCTGCTTTGTGAGATCGTGATGGCTGCCAATGAAGAAGGACCGGAACTCATGATCCATGAAGACAATCAGTCGTGTATCAAGATGACGAAGAACCCAGTCAACCACGGCCGTGCCAAGCACATTGATATCAAGTACCATCACATCCGTGATGAGGTCAAGCGCGGTGAAGTGAAGCTCAAGTACTGTGAAACTGCGGTGATGTTAGCGGACATCATGACGAAGGGACTTCACGGGCCACGCCACAAGGAGATGACGGCGACTCTCGGGATTCGTGAGCATTCGGATTGAGGGGGCGTGTTGACGGTCATCGGTTTTCTACCAGTATTGGTAACCGTGACCGATCCAATCCGAACCGCCTGTTCAGCTTAGTATTTACGACGTAGTTCTTACGGTAATTACCATAGTTGATTAGACGCGTAGGATGATGAGACGCTTCACATGATTTATATGTACACCACATATAAATCATGTAGTAAGTAGTAAGCCCCGATAATCAATCACTTTCGAATCTTCCAACTATTGGGCAAGTGTTTTCTGCTCTACTCTCTTCGGTCTCTCCGCTCCGTTTGCTCCGCTTTCCTCGCTCCGATCTACAATGCAACAGCGTCTCGTGGCAAAAGGGTTCAAGCAGAAATATGGCATCGACTACACGGAGACGTTTTTGCCGGTAGTCAAGTATGTGACGCTGCGCATGGTAGTTGCAATCACGAAGTACTTTGACTGGAAACGGGACCTACTGGACGTGGTGACAGCTTTGCTATGCGGAGAGATGAAGGAAAAGGTATTCTGCGCGATCCCAGAAGGGGTCGAAGTTGATGAAGACTTTGACTGCTTCGAATTGGTGAAGGCGATCTACGGACTAAAACAAGCATCGCGCGTATGGAACGAGACTTTCTATGAGTTCGTCTGCTCCATTGGATTTCAAGTATCCGATTTTGACCCGTGTCTTTATCTCAAGATTACAAGTGGCGAGTGCGTGCTTTTGCTGGTATACGTCGATGATGTGTTGGTGACTGGCAGCTCGACCGAACTGATTATGCGCACCAAGAGTGACTTGAAGGCGCGTTTCGAAATGACTGACAGCGGCAAGTGCGCATTCGTGTTGGGCATCGAGATGGTAAACAACAACAACGGTAGCGTGACGATGTGCCAGCGACGCTACGTGGAAGATGTTCTCAAGCGTTTTGGCATGAGCGACTGCAAAGCCGTCACCAGCCCAACAGACATCAGTTCTTGACTCATACCAAGCAGTGCAGTAACCAAAATGGACGCCCCGTTTTGTGAAGCAGTAGGCGCTTTAATGCACTTGATGACCGCGACACGACCGGACATTGCCTTTGCTGTGAGTTACGTTTCGCGCTTCATGGAAAACCTCCAAGTCGAGCACTGGATGGCGGTCGAGCGCATTTTGCGATACTTACAAGGCACTAAGTCGCACGGCATCGGTTTCAAGTCTGATGACAAGGTAGACTTCTGCGGCTACTTGGATGCAGACTGGGCCGGCGACCATGTAGACCGCAAGTCGACTTCGGGATATGCGCTCATCCTGATGGGTGCTCCGGTGAGCTGGGGAAGCAAAAAGCAGTCAAGTGTGTCGCTGTCAACAAGTGAAGCGGAGTACATTGCCTTAAGTCTGGCTATTCAAGAAGGCAAGTGGTGCATCGATTGCTATGCGAGATTCTGGATGCCGCAGAGGACAAGTCTGGGACCCGAGCTCAAGATCATGTAAGACAACCAATCGTGCGTCAAGATGACGAAGAATCCTGTGAACCATGGTCGGGCCAAGCGCATCGACACTTGTTGTCTATTGACGGTCATCGGTTTCTACCAGTATTGGTAACCGTGACCGGTCCAATCCGAACCGCCGGTTCAGCTTAGTCTTTACGACGTAGTTCTTACGGTAATTACCATAGTTGACTAGACGCGTAGGATGATGAGACGCTTCACATGATTTATATGTGCACCACATATAAATCATGTAGTAAGTAGTAAGCCCCGATAATCAATCACTTTCCAATCTTCCATCTACCCCCCAAGTGTCTTCTCCGGTCTTCCGAGTGGACTCCCAGCATCACTCCCAGTTTCGGTCGTCAAGCTTTACACCTATCAACAGGTTATGAGCCCAAGCACGATGTCCTCTGCCCATGATGCCACCACCAAGATCTCCATTGACAAGTTCGACGGCGACAACTACGCGACATGGAGCCGCTACATGCGTGGCGTGTTCCTGACCAAGTCGACGTGGCACGTGGTCAACCGGGAGACCACCCCCACCTTCGCCGATCCTCGCGCCAGTGATGAGTACGTCAAGACGAACAACATTGCGTTCGGCTTGATGTTACTTCACATGAGTGCGGACAATCATCACGTGGTTGATGATTGCGAGGAAGCATGGGTTGCGTGGGCGCGGATCAAGACTCTGTACGGCGGATCTCAGAAGGCTGGGCGCATCTACTTGAAGTGCAAGCTCTTCAGTATGGAGATGGAAGAAGGCGGCAATGTGTTGCATCATTGCAATGAGGTCCTCAACATCAGCGCGAAGCTGACTAGCATCGGCGCCAAGATGAAGGACGAGGACGTGGCGATCTGCTTGTTGCGCAGTCTCCCCAAGAGTTTCGAGAACGTGGTTCTCAACTTGGAGATGAGCAGCGCAGAGCTTCAATCGCGGGACGTCGTGCAAGTGCTCACGAACGAGCATGTCAAGCGGCAAGGTGCGAAGGCTACGGTGAAGACTGAAGACGCGGCCAAGGCGTTCAGTACCGAGCGTGAACCGCATCATTGCACGTACTGCGGAAAATTGGGGCATACGGTGGACCGATACTGGACCAAGCAGAAGGACGAAAATCAAGGTGGAGCTCGACGCGGCGGCAACAATGCTCGTGGACGCGGAGCCAACAACGTTCAGTGGCGAACCAACAGCAACTACGACGACAACTACGATCGAGTTGCGATCGCGGTTTCGCTGGAGGCTGGACTTTCGACGGGCAAGAATATGCCAGGGATGTGGGCAGTCGACAGCGGTGCGACGCATCACATCTGCAACGACAAGGCCAAGTTTGCAAGCCTGAATGAGCGAGAGGAAGGCGAACCATCAGTGGCTGATGGCAGCAAGGCTGCGATCAAGGGTGTGGGAACCATCATGGAACGGGTGGTTCTGCCCAATGGTGACGAACGCGACATCGAGATCAAGGACGCACTGTTCGTACCAAGTATGAGCAGGAATCTGCTTTCGGTGCCACAGATCAACAAGGGTGGCAGGTTCCAAGTCGTGTTCGATGGGTCCAAGATGCAAGCGAAGCGCAAGAATTCCACACAAGTCGTGGCATCAGCGGATCTCGTCGATGGACTTTACTGGCTGTGGACTCCTCAACGATCGGCAAATGCAGCAACACGCAATGGGACTATCGACTTGCATGCGCGCATGGATCATGCACCCCTCGAAGTTCTGCGCAAGATGGTGGCCACTGGCAGGATCAAGGACGCCAAGGCACCTCTCGACTCGACTGGTCCAAGTGTGTGTCGCGGTTGCCAGCAAGGAAAGATGGTCCAAAAACCATTCCCAACCAACCGTGACAAACGCCAATATGGTGTGTTCGAGTTGCTGCACGTCGACATCTGCGGGCCAATGGAACAAGTCTCGATCGGCGGCAGCAGATACTTACTGCTTGTGGTTGACGAAGCCAGCGGTTGCATGAAGGGCTTCTGTCTGTGGTCCAAGTCTGAGAGTGAAGACTGTATCAAGAACCACATTATCAAGATTCAAACTCAGTTCGGCACGAAGATCAAGTTTGTTCGGCACGATGGAGCGCATGAGTTTGCGACCAACTCCATCAAGACCTTCTACGAAGATCATGGTATCGAGCAACAACAGATCACGGTGCCGTATGCACACCAGACCAACGGCACCGCAGAACGCGCGATAAGGACCATCGTCACGATCGGACGCAGCTTGTTGCATCATGCAAAGCTGGAGAAGTGTTTCTGGGCTGAAGCGGCAATGACGGCGATCTACATCAAGAACCGCCTGCCTTCACCCAAGATCGACCACAAGACTCCGGTCAAGATCGTGTACAAGTCGAAACCAAGTGTCAAGCACATGCGCGTGTTTGGATGTCGGGCGTTTATCCTGACACCAAGGGAGAAGCGATTGAAGTGGGACCCGAAGGCTCGTGAAGGGATGTTCATGGGCTACGAAGAAGCGTCAAAAGCTTATCGAGTGTACGACATTGAGGCGGGCCAAGTGGTGATCAGTCGTGACATCACCTTCGACGAATCGACTTTTGACTTTTCGATAGACCGACCAAGTGACGATGATGAAGATGCGGAGTTGGACCTCGACCTCCTAGCGATCAACGAGGACAACGTGCGTCAAACCGTCTACAAGCAGACTGGCAAGCGCAAGAGTGAAGCAAGACCCGGCATGTCACGTTCAGCTCGCCCTCGAACTGGGTTGGAACAAGCAAGTGCGCCGGAACACGTCTCCAACCGTCACCAGAAACGACGATCAAGTGCTCCAGAAACGATGTCTGATGACGAAGAAGATGCGAGCGTCTACGATCGAGATGACGACTCGACGCCTCCAACATTTTGGCTTGCAAGTGCAAACGCAGTGGAAGCAACGGGCCTAGCAGAACCTGTGACTTTTCAAGACGCGATCAATGGTCCTGATCAAGCTCAATGGCGAAATGCTGTGAAGGCGGAACTCAAGTCGATGCATCTTCGTGGAGTTTTCCGTGCGACAAAACTGCCAAGAGGCCAAGGCGCGATCGGCACCAAGTGGGTGTTCAAGATCAAGCGCAAAGCGGATGGATCGGTCGAGAAATACAAGGCGCGTCTCGTTGCTAAGGGCTTCAAGCAGAAGTACGGCATCGACTACACAGAGACGTTCTCGCCCGTGGTCAAGTACGTGACACTGCGTATGGTGATCGCGATCACCAAGTATTTCGACTGGCCACTGGACCAACTCGATGTGGTGACAACCTTTCTCTACGGAGTGATGAAGGAGAAGGTGTACTGCGTGATACCAGAAGGCGTCGAGATGGATGGCGACTTCGACTATCTCGAGTTGGTGAAGGCGATCTACGGTCTCAAGCAAGCTTCACGTGCGTGGAACGAGACTTTCGACGAGTTCGTATGCTCTATCGGTTTCGAAGCGTCGGCGTTCGACCCATGTCTCTACATCAAGGTTGTCGACGGTCACTGTGTGCTCGTGCTGGTCTACGTGGATGACGTGTTGGTCACCGGCAGCTCGCTCGAGTTGATTGCGCAGACGAAGGCCGACCTCAAGACGCGTTTCGAGATGACCGACAGTGGCAAGTGTACTTTTGTACTGGGCATCGAACTGGTGGACGAATCGGATGGCAGCGTGACGATGTGCCAGCGACGGTATGTCAACGACATCCTCAAGCGCTTCGGCATGGATGAGTGCAAGGCCACAGCAAATCCGGTCGACTTGAGCACTCGGCTTGTCGCAAGCAGCGAAGCGGCCAAGATCGACGTTCCGTTTCGTGAAGCTGTGGGAGCTTTGATGCACTTGACGACTGCGACGCGCCCGGACATCGCGTATGCTGTGGGGTACGTCTCGCGCTTCATGGAGAATCCGCAGCAAGAACATTGGACGGCGGTAAAGCGCATCTTTCGTTACTTGCAAGGGACCAAGTCGCACGGACTCTGCTTCCAGCCAAGCGACAAGATCGAATTTCGTGGCTACTCGGACGCGGACTGGGCCGGCGACCACGCTGATCGCAAGTCGACTTCGGGTTACACTTTCATGCTGATGGGTGCTCCTGTGAGTTGGGGAAGCAAGAAGCAGTCAAGTGTGTCGCTGTCGACGAGTGAAGCGGAATACATCGCACTGAGTCTGGCCATCTAGGAAGGCAAGTGGGTGCGTCGCCTGCTATGCGAGATTTTGGCGGCCGCAAACGAACCAGGACCGGACCTCGTCATCCGTGAAGACAACCAGTCATGCATCAAGATGACGAAGAATCCGGTGAATCATGGCCGCGCCAAGCTCATCGACATCAAGTACCATCACATCCGTGATGAGGTCAAGCGCGGTGAAGTGCAGCTCGAGTGTTGCGAAACTTCCGTGATGATGGCTGACATCATGACCAAGGGACTTTCGGGACCTCGTCACAAGGACTTGACGATGGCTCTCGGCATTCGTATGAGTTCGGATTGAGGGGTCGTGTTGACGGTCATCGGTTTCCTACCAGTATTGGTAACCGTGACCGGTCCAATCCGAACCGCCTGTTCAGCTTAGTATTTACGACGTAGTTCTTACGGTAATTACCATAGTTGACTAGACGCGTAGGATGATGAGATGCTTCACATGATTTATATGTGTACCACATATAAATCATGTAGTAAGTAGTAAGCCCCGATAATCAATCACTTTCCGATCTTCCATCTAACCCCCAAGTGTCTTCTCCGGTCTTCCGAGTGGACTCCCAGCATCACTCCCAGTTTCGGTCGTCAAGCTTTACACAAATTAACATGGTCCAATGGAAGTCGACTCGCTAGGTGGAAGCAAGTACTTGCACCTGACCGTAGATGAAGGCAGCGGATGTATGAAGAGTTTCAGTCTGCGCGCCAATTCCGACAGTGAAGAGTGCATCAAGAAGTACATCATGGCAGTACAGACGCAGTTTGACTACAAGGTCAAGTTCGTTCGACACGATGGTGCACGCGAATTTGCGGCAAATTCGCTCAAGGCATTTTACGATGATCAAGGAATCGAGCAGCAAGTTACCCGTTCCATATGCGCATCAGACCAACGGCACGGCGGAACGGGCAATTCGGACCATTGTGACGATCGGGCGCAGCATGCTTCACTACGCCAAGCTGGACAAGTGCTTTTGAGTTGAAGCAGCAATGACGGCGATCTACATCAAGAATCGCCTACCATCGCCCAAGTGCCAAGATTAAACCCCGTTCGAGATTGTCAACGGATTTCGGCCAAGTGTGAAGCACATGCGGGTTTTCGGCTGCCGAACGTTTGTGCTGACCCCTAAGGAAAAGAGATCGAAACGGGATCCGAAGGCTCGTGAAGGACTATTCATGGGGTACGAAGAAGTGTCGAAGGCATATCGCGTTTACGACATTGAAGCGGACCAAGTGGTGATATCTCGCGATATCACATTCGACGGATCAACGCTTGGTTTCTCGCCGACGCTACCACAAGAAATTGTTGATGACACTGCGCTGGATATCGAATCGATGAACATCAGCGATGAGCCTCACCCCATGCAGTTCAAGCAAACTGGAAAACGCAAAAGCCGTTCAAACAGTCAAGAACAAGTTCTACAACGGACACTTCCTGAGCGTCGTGGAACCGGGTTAGAAGAAGCAAGTACCTCGGATGAATTTGAATCGCACCAAGCGAAGCGACGGTCAAGCGCTCGAGCCAATCTGGACGAAGAGCGAAAGGGCAGTGACGAAGATAACGAGGATGCTACACCTCAAGTCTTTTGGCGAGCGAGTGCCAACGCAGTCGAAGGTACTGACTTGTCTGAGCTGACAACGTTTAAAGATGCTGTTGATGGACCGGATCAAGTGCATTGGTGTGAAGCAATCTGTGCTGAGTTGGACTCGATGAAACTTCGTGGCGTGCTTCGAGCGACCAAACTGCCAGCTGGACAGTATACCATTGGCACCAAGTGGGTATTCAATATCAAGCGGAAAGCTGATGGATCCATCGAGAAATACAAGGCGCGTCTCGTGGCAAAAGGGTTCAAGCAGAAATATGGCATCGACTACACGGAGACGTTTTTGCCGGTAGTCAAGTACGTGACGCTGCGCATGGTAGTTGCAATCACGAAGTACTTTGACTGGAAACTGGACCTACTGGACGTGGTGACAGCTTTGCTATGCGGAGAGATGAAGGAAAAGGTATTCTGCGCGATCCCAGAAGGGGTCGAAGTTGATGAAGACTTTGACTGCTTCGAATTGGTGAAGGCGATCTACGGACTAAAACAAGCATCGCGCGTATGGAACGAGACTTTCTATGAGTTCGTCTGCTCCATTGGATTTCAAGTATCCGATTTTGACCCGTGTCTTTATCTCAAAATTACAAGTGGCGAGTGCGTGCTTTTGCTGGTATACGTCGATGATGTGTTGGTGACTGGCAGCTCGACCGAACTGATTATGCGCACCAAGAGTGACTTGAAGGCGCGTTTCGAAATGACTGACAGCGGCAAGTGCGCATTCGTGTTGGGCATCGAGATGGTAAACAACAACAACGGTAGCGTGACGATGTGCCAGCGACGCTACGTGGAAGATGTTCTCAAGCGTTTTGGCATGAGCGACTGCAAAGCCGTCACCAGCCCAACAGACATCAGTTCTTGACTCATACCAAGCAGTGCAGTAACCAAAATGGACGCCCCGTTTTGTGAAGCAGTAGGCGCTTTAATGCACTTGATGACCGTGACACGACCGGACATTGCCTTTGCTGTGAGTTACGTTTCACGCTTCATGGAAAACCTCCAAGTCGAGCACTGGATGGCGGTCGAGCGCATTTTGCGATACTTACAAGGGACTAAGTCGCACGGCATCTGTTTCAAGTCTGATGACAAGGTAGACTTCTGCGGCTACTTGGATGCAGACTGGGCCGGCGACCATGTAGACCGCAAGTCGACTTCGGGATATGCGCTCATCCTGATGGGTGCTCCGGTGAGCTGGGGAAGCAAAAAGCAGTCAAGTGTGTCGCTGTCAACAAGTGAAGCGGAGTACATTGCACTAAGTCTGGCGATTCAATAAGGCAAGTGTTGACGGTCATCGGTTTCCTACCAGTGTTGGTAACCGTGACCGATCCAATCCGAACCGCCTGTTCAGCTTTGTATTTACGACGTAGTTCTTACGGTAATTACCATAGTTGATTAGACGCGTAGGATGATGAGACGATTCACATGATTTATATGTGCACCACATATAAATCATGTAGTAGGTAGTAAGCCCCGATAATCAATCACTTTCGAATTCTCCTTCTGTCGAGCAAGTCTTCTCTGCTCCGCTCCTCAAGCCTTTTCGCTCCCTCCGGTCTCTTCCGGTCTTCTCGTCACTCCCGTGCCATACCATCAACAGGTTATGAGCCCAAGCGCAATTTCTTCTGCCGGCCACGCATCCTCCAACGCCCTCATCGATAAGTTCGATGGGGACAACTACTCGACCTGGAGTCGATACATGCGTGGCGTGCTCCTGACAAAGTCAGTGTGGCATGCTGTCAACCGGGAGAGCTCCCCGACGTTCGTGGACCCTCGAGCGCAGGACGACTACGTCAAGGCCAACAACATCGCGTTTGGAACGATGTTGCTGCACATGGATGCGGATTACCACCATGTGGTCGACAACTGCGAGGAAGCGTGGGTTGCGTGGCAGAGCCTGAAGGTGCTGTACGGTGGATCCCAGAAAGCGGGAAGGATCTACCTCAAGCGTCAACTCTTCAGCATGAAGATGGACGAAGGCGCCAACGTCATGCATCACTGCAACGAGGTCCTGAATATCTCTGCCAAGCTTAGCAGCATTGGTGCGAAGATGGATGACGAAGACGTCGCAATTTGCCTGCTGCTCAGTCTCCCTAAGAGTTTTGAGAACGTTGTTCTAAACTTGGAGATGAGCAGCGCAGAGCTTCGTACCCAAGATGTGGTGAAGGTGCTCACGAATGAGCACACCAAGCGCCAAGGGGAGAAGGTGACAACAACAGCGACGATGGTCAAGACTGAAGATGCAGCCAAGGCCTTCAACACTGAGCGGGAGCCATACAAGTGCACCTACTGTGGGAAGGTGGGACACACCGTCGATCGCTGTTGGACCAAGCAGAAGAATGAAAGTCGAGGAGCCCGACGCGGCGGCAATGGTCGTGGACGCGGGGCAAACAATGTCCAGTGGGGACAATATCGTGATGAAGGCAGCGACTACGATCAAGCAGCGTTTGCAGCTTCGCTAGAGTGTGGACTCTCAGCGAAGAAGGACGTGTCCGGAATGTGGGCCGTCGACAGTGGTGCAACACACCACATATGCCACGACAAGACCAAGTTTGCAAGACTGAACAAGCGCAACGACGGTGAAATCTTGGTGGCGGATGGCAACACAGTGGCCATCAAGGGTGTTGGAACCATCTTTGAAAAGGTGGATCTGCCCGACGGTGAAGAGCGCAAGATCGAGATCAAGAACGTGCTTTACGTACCAAGCATGAGCAAGAATCTACTATCGGTACCGCAGATCAACAAGCACGGCAAGTTTCAAGTCGTGTTCGACGGGACCAAGATGTTTGTCGCTCGCAAAGGATCGCAACAAGTGATGGCAACAGCATATCTTGTGAATGGCCTTTACTGGCTTCACAGAGATCATCGATCGGCCAATGCGACAACAAACGGAAGCAACGGTGTCGACTTACATGCGCGGATGGGACACGCTCCAGCTGACGTGCTTCGCAAAATGGTGGCCACGAACATGATCAAGGATGTGAAGGTACCTCTCACGTCAAATGGATCAAGCGCATGCCGAGGATGTCAACAAGGGAAAATGGTCCAAAAACCATTCCCATGCAACAAGGACAAGCGCAGATACGACACATTCGAGCTACTTCACGTCGACATCTGCGGACCCATCGAGATGAATTCTCTGGGTGGCAGCAAGTATCTACTGCTGATCGTTGACGAAGCCAGTGGATGCATGAAGGGCTTCTGTCTACGTGTGAAGTCGGAGAGTGAAAACTACATCACACGATACATCAAGATGGTGCAAGCGCAGTTTGGCAAGAAGGTTAAGCTCGTCCGACACGACGGAGCCCGCGAGTTCGCAACCAACTCGCTTCAAGAATTTTACGAAAATGAAGGCATTGACCAGCAGAAGACGGTGCCATATGCACACCAGACCAACGGCACGGCAGAGCGCGCCATTCGGACTATCGTCGCAATTGGTCGCAGCATGCTCCACCATGCTAAGCTGGAAAAGTGCTTCTGGGCAGAAGCAGCAATGACGGCAATCTACGTCAAACACCGTCTGCCGTCGCCTAAAGTTATGCACAAGACTCCGTTCGAGATCGTCCACAACTCCAAGCCAAGTGTCAAGCACATGCGGGTGTTCGGTTGTCAGGTTTACATACTGACACCGAAGGATAAGCGGCTCAAGTGGGACCCCAAGGCTCGCACTGGAATATTCTTGGGCTACGAAGAAGCATCCAAAGCGTATCGCGTTTATGTCATCGAGGCGGGGCAGGTGGTCATCAGTCGCGATGTCAACTTTGACGAGTCCGCCTTTGGACTTTCGCCGCCAACCACCACTGAAGACGCCGATGACATTGACTTCGACTCCCTCGATCTGGATGATGAAGCGCCAGGTCAAGCGCAGTACAAGCAAACAGGCAAGCGCAAGAGTCGTCCCCATGATGAAGGAGTACCAGCTCCACCCACGCGCACAGTGCGTCAACGGCCCGGACTAGAAGAATCAAGTGCGCCAGACAATCACACGACCCACCAAGAAGAAGAGGAAGAAACAAAGAATGCTGATGCATCGACTCCGCCTGTGTTTTGGCGTGCGAGTGCGAACGCCATCGAAACGGCAGTAGACTTATCCGAGCCATCGACTTTTGAAGCTGCGGTGAGCGGTCCTGATCAAGTGCATTGGCGCGAAGCTATCCGTGCGGAACTTGAGTTGATGCGACTTCGTGAAGTATTCCGCGCAGCCAAGCTACCTAAAGGACATCGCGCCATTGGCACGAAGTGGGTCTTCAAGATCAAGAGCAAAGCGGACGGATCAATTGACAAGTACAAGGCGCGTCTTGTGGCAAAGAGTTTCAAGCAACAATATGGGATGGACTACACGGAAACATTCTCGCCCGTCGTCAAGTACGTGACCCTGCGCATGGTGATTGCAGTCGCCAAGTATTTCGGATGGACCATCGACCAACTCGACATGGTGACGGCATTCCTGTATGGTGTCATGAAGGAACAAGTGTTCTGCGTCATCCCTGAAGGCGTGGAATTGGAGAGCTCCTTCGATTGTCTGGAATTGGTGAAGGCATTTTATGGCCTGAAGCTAGCCTCGCGCGTATGGAACGAAACGTTTGACGAGTTTGTGTGTTCCATTGGATTTCAGGTGTCAGGCTTCGACCCATGTATCTACATCAGGATCGTAGAAGGGCAATGCGTGCTGCTGCTGGTGTATGTGGATGACGTGTTGGTGACAGGAAGCTCATCCAAGTTGATTGCACGCACCAAGGAAGACCTGAAGACACGCTTCGAGATGACTGATAGCGACAAGTGTGCATTTGTTCTTGTAATTGAGCTTTTGGATGGAGAAGATGGAAGTGTAACACTATGCCAGCGTCGGTATGTGGATGACCTACTCAAGCAATTTAGCATGAGTGATTGCAAGGCTGTGTCAAGTCCAGTGGACATGAGCTCTCGACTTGTTTCAAGTGATGCAGCCACCAAGGTCGATGCTCCTTTTCGCGAAGCTGTTGGTGCGTTGATGCACCTGACCACTACAACGCGCCCGGATATTGCGTTCGCCGTGGGCTATGTGTCACGATTCATGGAGAACCCCCAAGAAGAACACTGGGTTGCAGTTAAGCGTATCTTTCGCTACCTACAAGGCACCAAGATGCACGGAATCTGCTACAAGCCAAATGCGAAGATCGATTTTCGTGGCTACTCGGATGCAGACTGGGCCGGCGACCTCGCTGATCGCAAGTCGACGTCTGGCTACGTATTCACGCTGTTGGGTGCGCCAGTGAGTTGGGGCAGCAAGAAACAGCCAATTGTTTCGTTGTCCACGAGTGAAGCCGATACATCGCACTCAGCTTGGCGATTCAAGAGGGCAAGTGGATTCATCGTCTGCTTTGTGAGATCATGATGGCTGCCAGTGAAGAAGGACCGGAACTCACGATCCATGAAGACAATCAGTCGTGTATCAAGATGACAAAGAACCCGGTCAACCACGGCCGTGCCAAGCACATTGACATAAAGTACCATCACATCCGTGATGAGGTCAAGCGCGGTGAAGTGAAGCTCAAGTACTGTGAAACTGCGGTGATGTTAGCGGACATCATGACGAAGGGACTTCACGGGCCACGCCACAAGGAGATGACGGCGACTCTCGGGATTCGTGCGTGTTCGCATTGAGGGGGCGTGTTGACGGTCATCGGTTTCCTACCAGTGTTGGTAACCGTGACCGGTCCAATCCGAACCGCCTGTTCAGCTTAGTATTTACGACGCAGTTCTTACGGTAATTACCATAGTTGATTAGACGCGTAGGATGATGAGACGCTTCACATGATTTATATGTGCACCACATATAAATCATGTAGTAAGTAGTAAGCCCCGATAATCAATCACTTTCCAATCTTCCATCTACCCCCCAAGTGTCTTCTCCGGTCTTCCGAGTGGACTCCCAGCATCACTCCCAGTTTCGGTCGTCAAGCTTTACACCTATCAACAGGTTATGAGCCCAAGCACGATGTCCTCTGCCCATGATGCCACCACCAAGATCTCCATTGACAAGTTCGACGGCGACAACTACGCGACATGGAGCCGCTACATGCGTGGCGTGTTCCTGACTAAGTCGGCGTGGCACGCTGTGAACCGGGAGACCTCGCCGACCTACGCGGACGATCGCGCCATGGACGACTACGTCAAGGCCAACAACATCGCTTTCGGACTGACGTTGCTGCACATGGACGCAGACTACCATCACATCGTCGATGACTGTGAAGAGGCGTGGGTCGCGTGGGCGCTTTTAAAGATGCTGTACGGCGGGTCGCAGAAGGCTGGACGCATCTACTTGAAGCGCCAGCTGTTCAGCATGGAGATGGAGGAAGGCGGCAATGTGATGCATCATTGCAACGAAGTCCTCAACATCAGCGCGAAGCTCAGCAGCATCGGCGCCAAGATGGAGGACGAGGACGTGGCGATCTGCTTGTTGCGCAGCCTCCCCAAGAGCTACGAGAACGTCGTTCTCAACTTGGAGATGAGCAGCGCGGAACTGCGATCGCGAGACGTCGTGAGAGTGCTCACGAATGAGCACATCAAGAGGCAAGGTGACAAGACGACATCGGTGAAGACTGAAGACGCGGCGAAGGCGTTCAGTACCGAGCGTGAACCTCGCCAGTGTACATACTGCGGAAAATTGGGGCACACGGCGGAGCGGTGCTGGACCAAGCAGAAGGACGAAAATCAAGGTGGAGCTCGACGCGGCGGCAACAATGCTCGTGGACGCGGAGCCAACAACGTTCAGTGGCGAACCAACAGCAACTACGACGACAACTACGATCGAGTTGCGATCGCGGTTTCGCTGGAGGCTGGACTTTCGACGGGCAAGAATATGCCAGGGATGTGGGCAGTCGACAGCGGTGCGACGCATCACATCTGCAACGACAAGGCCAAGTTTGCAAGCCTGAATGAGCGAGAGGAAGGCGAACTATCAGTGGCTGATGGCAGCAAGGCTGCGATCAAGGGTGTGGGAACCATCATGGAACGGGTGGTTCTGCCCAATGGTGACGAACGCGACATCGAGATCAAGGACGCACTGTTCGTACCAAGTATGAGCAAGAATCTGCTTTCGGTGCCACAGATCAACAAGGGTGGCAGGTTCCAAGTCGTGTTCGATGGGTCCAAGATGCAAGTGAAGCGCAAGAATTCCACACAAGTCGTGGCAACAGCGGATCTTGTCGATGGACTTTACTGACTGCGGACTCCTCAACGATCGGCAAATGCAGCAACACGCAATGGGACTATCGACTTGCATGCGCGCATGGGTCATGCACCCCTCGAAGTTCTGCGCAAGATGGTGGCCACCGGCATAATTAAGGACGCCAAGGCACCTCTCGACTCGACTGGTCCAAGTGTGTGTCGCGGTTGCCAGCAAGGAAAGGTGGTCCAAAAACCATTCCCAACCAACCGTGACAAACGCCAATATGGTGTGTTCGAGTTGCTGCCCGTCGACATCTGCGGGCCAATGGAACAAGTCTCGATCGGCGGCAGCAGATACTTACTGCTTGTGGTTGACGAAGCCAGCGGTTGCATGAAGGGCTTCTGTCTGCGGTCCAAGTCTGAGAGTGAAGACTGTATCAAGAACCACATTATCAAGATTCAAACTCAGTTCGGCACGAAGATCAAGTTTGTTCGGCACGATGGAGCGCATGAGTTTGCGACCAACTCCATCAAGACCTTCTACGAAGATCATGGTATCGAGCAACAACAGATCACGGTGCCGTATGCACACCAGACCAACGGCACCGCAGAACGCGCGATAAGGACCATCGTCACGATCGGACGCAGCTTGTTGCATCATGCAAAGCTGGAGAAGTGTTTCTGGGCTGAAGCGGCAATGACGGCGATCTACATCAAGAACCGCCTGCCTTCACCCAAGATCGACCACAAGACTCCGTTCGAAATCGTGTACAAGTCGAAACCAAGTGTCAAGCACATGCGCATGTTTGGATGTCGGGCGTTTATCCTGACACCAAGGGAGAAGCGATTGAAGTGGGACCCGAAGGCTCGTGAAGGGATGTTCATGGGCTACGAAGAAGCGTCAAAAGCTTATCGAGTGTACGACATTGAGGCGGACCAAGTGGTGATCAGTCGTGACATCACCTTCGACGAATCGACTTTTGACTTTTCGATAGACCGACCAAGTGACGATGATGAAGATGCGGAGTTGGACCTCGACCTCCTGGCGATCAACGAGGACGACGTGCGTCAAACCGTCTACAAGCAGACTGGCAAGTGCAAGAGTGAAGCAAGACCCGGCATGTCACGTTCAGCTCGCCCCCGAACTGGGTTGGAACAAGCAAGTGCGCCGGCACACGTCTCCAACCGTCACCAGAAACGACGATCAAGTGCTCCAGAAACGATGTCTGATGACGAAGAAGATGCAAGCGTCTACGATCAAGATGACGACTCGACGCCTCCAACATTTTGGCGTGCAAGTGCAAACGCAGTGGAAGCAACGGACCTAGCAGAACCTGTGACTTTTCAAGACGCGATCAATGGTCCTGATCAAGCTCACTGGCGAAATGCTGTGAAGGCGGAGCTCAAGTCGATGCATCTTCGTGGAGTTTTCCGTGCGGCAAAACTGCCAAGAGGCCAAGGCGCGATCGGCACCAAGCGGGTATTCAAGATCAAGCGCAAAGCGGATGGATCGGTCGAGAAATGCAAGGCGCGTCTCGTTGCCAAGGGCTTCAAGCAGAAGTACGGCATCGACTACACAGAGACGTTCTCGCCCGTGGTCAAGTACGTGACACTGCGTATGGTGATCGCGATCACCAAGTATTTCGACTGGCCACTGGACCAACTCGATGTGGTGACAACCTTTCTCTACGGAGTGATGAAGGAGAAGGTGTACTGCGTGATACCAGAAGGCGTCGAGATGGATGGCGACTTCGACTATCTCGAGTTGGTGAAGGCGATCTACGGTCTCAAGCAAGCTTCACGTGTGTGGAACGATACTTTCGACGAGTTCGTATGCTCTATCGGTTTCGAAGCGTCGGCGTTCGACCCATGTCTCTACATCAAGGTTGTCGACGGTCACTGTGTGCTCGTGCTGGTCTACGTGGATGACGTGTTGGTCACCGGCAGCTCGCTCGAGTTGATTGCGCAGACGAAGGCCGACCTCAAGACGCGTTTCGAGATGACCGACAGTGGCAAGTGTACTTTTGTACTGGGCATCGAACTGGTGGACGAATCGGATGGCAGCGTGACGATGTGCCAGCGACGGTATGTCAACGACATCCTCAAGCGCTTCGGCATGGATGAATGCAAGGCCACAGCAAATCCGGTCGACTTGAGCACTCGGCTTGTCGCAAGCAGCGAAGCGGCCAAGATCGACGTTCCGTTTCGTGAAGCTGTGGGAGCTTTGATGCACTTGACGACTGCGACGCGCCCGGACATCGCGTATGGTGTGGGGTACGTCTCGCGCTTCATGGAGAATCCGCAGCAAGAACATTGGACGGCGGTAAAGCGCATCTTTCGTTACTTGCAAGGGACCAAGTCGCACGGACTCCGCTTCCAGCCAAGCGACAAGATCGAATTTCGTGGCTACTCGGACGCGGACTGGGCCGGCGACCACGCTGATCGCAAGTCGACTTCGGGTTACACTTTCATGCTGATGGGTGCTCCTGTGAGTTGGGAAAGCAAAAAGCAGTCAAGCGTGTCACTGTCGACAAGTGAAGCGGAATACATCGCCCTGAGTCTGGTCATCCAGGAAGGCAAGTGGGTGCGTCGCCTGCTATGCGAGATTTTGGCGGCCGCAAACGAACCAGTACCGGACCTCGTCATCCGTGAAGACAACCAGTCATGCATCAAGATGACTAAGAATCCAGTGAATCATGGTCGCGCCAAGCACATCGACATCAAGTACCATCACATCCGTGATGAGGTCAAGCGCGGTGAAGTGAAGCTCGAGTGTTGCGAGACTTCCGTGATGATGGCTGACATCATGACCAAAGGACTTTCTGGACCTCGTCACAAGGACTTGACGACGGCTCTCGGCATTAGTGCGAGTTCGGATTGAGGGGGCGTGTTGACGATCATCGGTTTTCTACCAGTATTGGTAACCGTGACCGGTCCAATCCGAACCGCCTGTTCAGCTTAGTATTTACGACGTAGTTCTTACGGTAATTACCATAGTTGATTAGACGCGTAGGATGATGAGACGCTTCACATGATTTATATGTGCACCACATATAAATCATGTAGTAAGTAGTAAGCCCCGATAATCAATCACTTTCCAATCTTCCATCTACCCCTCAAGTGTCTTCTCCGGTCTTCCGAGTGGACTCCCAGCATCCCTCCCAGTTTCGGTCGTCAAGCTTCACACCTTTCAACAAATATCAAGCGGAAAGCTAATGGAATCATCGAGAAATACAAAGCGCGTCTCGTGGCAAAAGGGTTCAAGCAGAAATATGACATCGACTACACGGAGACGTTTTCGCCGGTAGTCAAGTACGTGACGCTGCGCATGGTGGTTGCAATCACGAAGTACTTTGGCTGGAAACTGGACCTACTGGACGTGGTGACAGCTTTGCTATGCGGAGAGATGAAGGAAAAGGTATTCTGCGCGATCCCAGAAGGGGTCGAAGTTGATGAAGACTTTGACTGCTTTGAACTGTTGAAGGCGATCTACGGACTAAAACAAGCATCGCGCGTATGGAACGAGACTTTCTATGAGTTCGTCTGCTCCATTGGATTTCAAGTATCCGATTTTGACCCGTGTCTTTATCTCAAGATTACAAGTGGCGAGTGCGTGCTTTTGCTGGTATACGTCGATGATATGTTGGTGACTGGCAGCTCGACCGAACTGATTATGCGCACCAAGAGTGACTTGAAGGCGCGTTTCGAAATGACTGACAGCGGCAAGTGCGCATTCGTGTTGGGCATCGAGCTGGTGGACAGCGACAATGGTAGCGTGACGATGTGCCAGCGACGCTACGTGGAAGATGTTCTTAAGCGTTTTGGCATGAGCGACTGCAAAGCCGTCACCAGCCCAACAGACATCAGTTCTTGACTCATAACAAACAGTGCAGTAACCAAAATGGACGCCCCGTTTTGTGAAGCAGTAGGCGCTTTAATGCACTTGATGACCGCGACACGACCGGACATTGCCTTTGCTGTGAGTTACGTCTCGCGCTTCATGGAAAACTCCCAAGTCGAGCACTGGATGGCGGTCAAGCGCATTTTGCGATACTTACAAGGGACTAAGTCGCACGGCATCGGTTTCAAGTCTGATGACAAGATAGACTTCTGCGGCTACTCGGATGCAGACTGGGCCGGCGACCATGTAGACCGCAAGTCGACTTCGGGATATGCGCTCATCCTGATGGGTGCTCCGGTGAGCTGGGGAAGCAAAAAGCAGTCAAGTGTGTCGCTGTCAACAAGTGAAGCTGAGTGCATTGCATTAAGTCTGGCTATTCAAGAAGGCAAGTGGGTGCATCGATTGCTGTGCGATATTCTGGATGCCGCAGAGGACAAGTCTGGACCCGAGCTCAAGATCATGGAAGACAACCAGTCGTGCATCAAGATGACGAAGAATCCTGTGAACCATGGTCGGGCCAAGCACATCGACACTTGTGGTCCAATGGAAGTCGACTCGCTAGGTGGAAGCAAGTACTTGCTACTGACCGTAGATGAAGGCAGCGGATGCATGAAGGGTTTCATTCCGCGCGCCAATTCCGACAGCGAAGAGTGCATCAAGAAGTACATCATGGAAGTACAGACGCAGTTTGACTACAAGGTCAAGTTCGTTCGCCACGATGGTGCACGCGAATTTGCGGCAAATTCGCTCAAGGCATTTTACGATGATCAACGAATCGAGCAGCAAGTTACCGTTCCATATGCGCATCAGACCAACGGCACGGCGGAACGGGCAATTCGGACCATTGTGACGATCGGGCGCAGCATGCTTCACTACGCCAAGCTGGACAAGTTTTTTTGAGTTGAAGCAGCAATGACGGCGGTCTACATCAAGAATCGCCTACCATCGCCCAAGTGCCAAGATCAAACCCGGTTCGAGATTGTCAACGGATTTCGACCAAGTGTGAAGCACGTGCGGGTTTTCGGCTGCCGAACGTTTGTGCTGACCCCTAAGGAAAAGAGATCGAAATGGGATCCGAAGGCTCGTGTAGGACGATTCATGGGGTACGAAGAAGTGTCAAAGGCATATCGCGTTTACGACATTGAAGCGGACCAAGTGGTGATATCTCGCGATGTCACATTCGACGAATCAACGTTTGGTTTCTCGCCGACGCTACCACAAGAAATTGTTGATGACACTGCGCTGGATGTCGAATCGATGAACACCAGCGACGCGCCTCACCCTATGGAGTTCAAGCAAATTGGAAAACGCAAAAGTCGTTCAAACGCCAAGAACAAGTTCTACAACGGACACTTCCTGAGCTTCGTGGAACCGGGTTCGAAGAAGCAAGTGTGGCAAAGTCACTACTCAAATGTTGTACGAGGATCGGTGGCCACATCTTTAAAGCGCCGCTTACTGGTGGAAAAGGAGGCCATGAGACTCGGCGATCCAATACGGAGGTGGAAGATGATCTTAACGGGATCGGCGAACCGATCCAACTGTCGTTAGACTAATGGGTATGGATCGACCTGGGACGGAGCGATCTGGAACGATTTACATGGAACAATCTGGGACAAGGATCTGGGACCGGGTGATGGGATATGACTCTGCGACGAAGGTGTAACTGTGGTAAAGTCACTAATCAAATGATGGGACGTGGATCGGTGTCCACCCAGTTAAGATGTCACCCACTGGCGGAAGAGGTACGCCTAGGACCAGGCGATGCAACGTGATTTAAAACGGGGCGTAGAAAGGGGTGATTCCAACGGTGCGATCTGGGACGAGGGACTGGATTGAACCGAACGAACACTCTAAAGGCTGATCAAAGGAAAGGATGTGGATGTTGAAGCAGAATCATTTGAGAAAAGTACGCCTGGGACCAGGCGATGCGACGTGGTTTGAGACGGGGCGTAGCAAGGGGTGATTTCCACGGTGCGATCTGGGATGAGGGACTGGATTGAACCGAACGACCACTCTGAAGGCTGATCAGAGGCAAGGATGTGGATGTTGAAGCAGAATCATTTTGATAAAGCATCGGAGTGCACACAATGAACGGAAGAACATATATGGCCGGATTGTACTGTGTCGATCCTCAACAATCTCGAATTGGGCATCAGATCGGTCATGATCCCCACTGATTATGGATGTATCGTTGATGAGAATTTTGGATCATGACAAACATGCTTGTTGAAGGTCCATGAGTGATGTCTCAAAAGTTCAGATCGAAAGAGCCAGTGGAAGCCGGTTAAATTGACGTCGCAAAATGGATTTAGACGCCTTCGGCATTTGGGCACTATTTTGGGCTTTTGGGTACCGAAAATGGGTATTTGGTACCCCATTTGGGATTTGGTCCACTTTTGGCGTTCAGGTACGGTATCGGGAATATTGGCGCTATCATTGGAGTACAGGGCACGAAATTTCGACACGTGGCAAGGGGGCGATCCAGATTCAAGGCGATATCGGTTTGAAGAGTGACCTATAGTTAAGAATAGGCTTAAGGGTAGGTTGGATAGTAATTTGGTTGGTTAATAAACAGACTTGAACTCTACTTCTTCTGCTCACGACGCACGTTATCCTCCCCTCTTCTCCAGGCAAGATTGATTTGGCTTCCCCGGCGGGTTAAGGCACGCGTGTTACAGGGACACAGAAGACCGATATTGGATTGTTGGCCAAGATCGAGAAGAGCGATCCCGGGATATCTGGCCCAGATCGATCAAGTACTCACACTCAACTCAACTGCTAGGGTAGCAGCACACAACGGAAAAGGAAAAGGATTTTGGACACAGGATCGCGAGACGGATCAAGTGGTCAGAAGATCTGGACAAGGCGTTCAAGACAAGACCGAGCAGGATCGAAGCGATCCCCTGGACAGATCGGCACGTTTCATTTTGGCGAAACAAGACACCGATCTACCCAAATTGCGCACTTCCGGCAAGATCGGCCGATCCCAAGACCAGATCGGACCGATCCCAAGGCAAGATCGACGCAGGACTTTTCTTTGCTGAGTGAAGATTTCCGCACAGCAAAGACCCCGATCTCGAAGACAAATCAAGATCGGTGCGATCCAAGATCGGGATCGCAGAACCCCCGTTCGTGGTGTGAAGATTTCCGCACCGGAAGCGAACCCTCAACCCAACCTCTCAGCGAGATCGACATCTCCCAAGGCCGTTACGAAGAGCTCAAGCCAGCCCAACCGACGGGTACACAAGGTGAGCACAAGGTCATACAACAAGGCACGGATCGGAGTACACCCTCCGTGAGTCGGCAAGTCTGGGCAAGTGGAAGATCGACACTCATACAAGCAATTTTGTGAGATCTACTTCACCACAATGGTGCGCGTGCCCGGATCTTCTGAGGCCTCTGGATTTCACCGTGAGTCCACTGGCGAAGATGTCAAGATTAAGCAAGAACCTGGGATTGAAGTGTCAGCGACAAAGGGATCGACGCAGACACGCAGAAGCACAAGATCCTCAGATCATCAGAGTTTTGGGAGGGGCTCTGATGAAATGAAAATGAAAGAGGAAGATCGAGAGATCGATCTGGAAGATAAACCTCAATTCCCTCCTAGGGTCCCTTCGGGGGCCACCGCAGATCGCTCTGCAAAGCGCGATCTGCTGGATGAAAATCCAACGGTGAAAACCAAATCGGCGAAAGCCAAACCCTATATCTTAGTCGATAGATCGCCCGACCTCAAGCCGAAGAGCACAATCGCGAGATCGACCACATCAGAACGATCCGCGACGAGATCGATGGGATCAGATGTCAAAGATCGCCAGATCGGCCGAACCGTGCAATCGAAGATCGGAGCCAAAGAGGAATACGATGAAACACCAGATAAGATCGCGATGCCAAAGACGGAATATAACCCAATAAAGATCGCTTCCATGGAGAAGGAGACGACGGGTGAAGCGCGGGAGCGTGCAAAATGGCAGTACTATTATGGCCAGTTGAAGACGCTGCTCAAGACGGACCCAGTGTGAAAGATATAAAGGCCCAAGGTGATTGGTCCTCTGGATAAGCCGATCTCGGTCCCACTTCACGGGACCAACAAAGTCGACGAGATCAATGTGATTTTGCAGATGTTGGACGACATGGGTATCTGCCCTGACGCTTTTGATGGAGATGAACTGCTGAGTTGCAGCTTGGAACAGTTGAAGGACGCGGCGAATGAGTTTGTAGAGATCATGATAATGCTGGTGGGCAAAGCGAATACTCCTGAAGACAAGATCGGGACGCCCTCGGGCTCGCTCTGTAAACACCCCGCGGGATCGCCCCGCTACGCCTCGGATGACTCCGAGAGCGAGTCAGATGGATCCATCAGCATTCGTCAGATGTCTCTAGGACCATCGGGTGGTAGGTTCTTAAAGGAAAAGATCGGACAAGCCAAGATCGACGCCTATAAGGGACAAGCCAAGAGCAACATGCCGCAGAGATCGGCCAGTACCCGCACTGGGCTGGAGGATCAAGAAGAGGGCGATCTAAGTCGGTACTTCAATTCAGCCATGAAGAAGTACGAGGCGGATCAACGTACAGCTCAGCGAATGAATCGACAGCCAAAACGCTACCCAGATCGACGTACTTTGCTCCAACCTTCACACGAAAGCATTGACATGCCGGATGTGGAGATGGAGTCGATGGGGTCGGACATTTACCAACATATCCATGAGGGGGAGGAATACGACCCGGATGATCTATGGATGCCCGAACCACGGCGCCCTCATGTAGCCGCGACCGGTGCGACTACCGGAGGGGGAAGCATCACGCAGAGGATCAGAATCTCAGCGATTTCTGAGCTGAAAGAATTCTCAGGGAAGGATCGGGAAGAAGACAAAGCACGGACCTGGATCGGCAAATTGAAATCAGCGTTTATCCGGGACCAAGCACCGGACGAGGAGAGATGTCTGGTCTTCGGTGATCTCATGGTGGGCCCAGCCCGCTACTGGTATCGACAGCTGAGTAGATCGACGAGATTCAATTGGAAAGAATTGATGAACAGTTTTCTTGTGGAGTATGCGGGACACGGGATGTCAGCGAGCAGGCAGTACTACCACGCAAAGAAAAGATCGGAGGAAGATCCTTTACAGTACCTGTATCGGCTTAATGTGATGGGAATGCAGGCGAAGATACTGGTGATGACTGGATTGCCAGCTGCGCGCAAGGAACATGTCAATCATTTCATTGACACCTTGGACGACCCCGATCTGTCCAATCAATTGCTACTGCTGAATGTAGAAGACGCGGAGGCCATGCAAAAGACACTGCACGGATATCAACAAGGGAGATCGCGTCAAGGGAAAGTGATGATGGGATCGTCCAAATTCAGGCAGAAGGGAACTCAGGGTCCAGCGCTGTCTAAGCCTGCACGAGCGGTAAGGATGGTCCGTACCGAGGACGTCTACAGCGAGTCAGGATCGGACACCTGCGGATCGGATTTGGAAGATCGATTGAGATCGATCCATGTGGCTGCTACTGCGGATCGCCGTTCATCCCCCAATGACGTTGCAGCAAACGCGAGATCGGTCGACCCGAACACTCGTCAAGACTATCAAGATCGCAATATGCCATTGAAGCCGTGTACTCATTGCGGATCGACCAAGCATGGAGATCTCGGTTGTTGGAAGCGGCTCACTTGCCAGAAGTGTGGGCGTTAAGGACACCCCTCTGACAATTGTTTTTTCGTGTGTCGTGCTTGCGGTGAGATGCACGACCCGGGGAAGTGTCCCATGGAGGAGTTCTATAACATGATCCGTCAGTGGTACGTCCCGAATAAGCATGCGGGGATGCTACCAGAGAAGGCCGAGAAGATGTTAAACTAGGACGCTCGCCAGGTTTGAATCTGGTACGAGCCGAGCGTTCTGGGCTCTGCATTATTGCATACGTGGAAAAAAAGAAGACGGATCGCGAGAGTAAGCAGGATATTGACGTGGAAACAAATATATCTCGTTCGAAGTTAAAACGTGTTGCTTCCGTGTCCCATCTGAAGCGTATCGATGAGTACTCACGATCTGAACCAGCTATGGAGATCGAGCTCGCTTATGGTGAATCTCGCGGATACTGGAAACATTATTCACCCGGGAAGTGGTTCAAACAAGCGAAAGCCGTTGGCAAGATCAACAACGTAAAAGCTACTCTGTTATTTGATTCTGGTGCTGAAGTGTCGATCATTGACACCACCTTTGCTCGTGAGGTCGGTTGCAATATTGACGAAAGTCAACGACAAGAATGTATCGGGATTGGAGAAGCTCCGTAAATGACGGTAGGACGTACCAAGATCAAGGCGACCCTCGCGGGATCGCTGGTATACTATTTCAATGTATGGGTAGGCGATCTGGCAGGGCAAGAAGCGATTCTGGGTATGGATTTTATGGTGCCTGCTGGAGTGCGGCTCGATCTAGCGGATGGCGCGCTATGTCTACCAGAAGAAATCCGCATTCATCTCGCAGGACGTCGCCCCGCGTACGGATCGAAGATACAACATATAACGGCGAAGGACCAACACGTGGTGATCCCAGTCGGAGAGTCAAGGGAAGTGAAGATCGGGATCGGAGGGGCTAAGATGAAGTTGTGGGTCGCTAGAGGACTAGATTGGGTCCCCACTGTGATCTCGGGGTGGGGTAAGACGAAATACCTGCAGATGACCAACATTGGCGACCGGGAGATCATACTGCCCACCCACACTATATTAGGCATGTGGGTCGAAGGCGATATGGTACCGCGAACTCAAGGTTTGGTGACAGTCGGGTCAGGGAAGTACAAGGAATGGCAAACTCTGGCATATGAGGCTACGACGGATCGAGTGAACGAACTCCCGAAAGAACAGATCGGACCATTGGTAGACCGTCCTACGTATGCCGCTCCCAAACGCATCTTGAAACGTCCGTCTGATGCGTTACAGAACCTGTCTCCGGCGATCTCCACGGTAACGCCGCAAGCTAACGATGACGAATCGCAAAAGGCAGATGCTGTAGTTGCGAGGGAAGTAACGGTCAGGGGAGCCGAACTATCGCGGATGGAGAACGGTCATGAGATCGGTACCCAACATGCAACGAAGGGAGACCGCGACACCGGTCAAGAAGGGCTACGTGACAGATCGTCTCTACCGAAGGCTGAGCCGACTGACCAACTGTTGAAATTGGGCCAGCCGGAAGAGACGAAGGAGCCTAAAGAAGAAATAATGCTAAATACTGAAGACGTCGAGATCGCAGAAATACCAGTTTATCACCACGAGAGCGGAGATTTGTTTGCGGAAGATATCGAGCAGCATATGGCCGTGCTACCAGAGATGTCGGCGACTACGGAAGAAGTTACGATTGAGGACATTCAGATCGGTGATCCCGATATGCCTCTCACCACAGATCAACAACGACTCAGATCGCTGATCTGGAAGAGCCGTCACCTCCTCATGGGTAAAGGTAATGCTCTACCACCAGCAGCACGAGGCGCGATCTGTGATATTGATGTCGGTGGGGCAGCACCGATAGCGCAAAGAGTGCGTCCGATCGCACCCAAATATCGGGAGAAGCTGTCAGATCTCATCAAAGGACTATTAGCAGCCAAAATCGTTCAGCCATCCACGTCACCTTGGGCGTCTCCGATAGTGGTGATCATCAAGAAGAACGGAGTGGATATTCGCCTTTGCATTGATTATCGAAGAGTGAACCAGCTGACGCGTCTGATGGTTTATCCCATGCCGTTGATCAGCGATCTGTTGGAAGATCTGGATAAAGCTCTATGGTACTGTTCGCTAGACATGGCTAGTGGATTTTGGGTCGTCGAAATGACTGAACGAGCAAAACTGATCTCAGCGTTTGTCACACCGTTTGGCTTGTTCGAGTGGCTGCGAATGCCTTTTGGCTCAAAGAACGCGCCCCAGATCTACCAACGTCTGGTGGACAATGCGCTGTATGGATATCTCAAGATCGGTCAGAGATCAGCTTCTGATGGCCCGATCGACGTGTTCAAAGATGGAGAGCCTGAGACAGATCGACGACCGTCTATACTGGGACGCCGATCTTACATTGACGATATTCTCATACCAGCCACTTCATGGGGATCTTTGTACACAAAAGTAGAACGGTTGCTGGAGGCATGTGATAAGTGGAATCTGTCTATCAGCCTCACGAAGAGCTTTTGGGGGTGCCGTAAGGTCGATTATTTAGGACATCGAGTGTCGATGGATGGTCTGGAGGCTCAGCCCAAGAACCTAGAGTCGTTGGTTAACATCCCGTTTCCTAGCACGCTACGAGCTATGCAATCTTTTCTCGGGAGCTTGAACTACTACCGTCGCTTCATTGAGGATTTCGCGGTGTATGCCGCGGTGTTGTATGAGTTAAGAGAATCGGATTTCTTCGAGATCGGCCAATCTCAGCTTGCAGCAGGAGACGAATGCTCCAACGAGGGTCGATGGACGGAAGCCAAGGTTGCTTTCACTATGCTAAAAGCTAAGATAGCTACAGCTCCCATGCTCAAGCATTTCGACCCAGATCGGTCCCCCGTAATCGTGGTCTACGCTAGCAAGTGGGCTGTCTCAGCGGCCCTGATACAGGAGTACGATGGCGTTTATCATCCGGTTACGTTTACTAGCCGCACTTTAAAGCCTAATGAGCTTAACTACGTAGTTGGTAGAAAAAGAAGTGCTGGCGCTACTTCGTGTGTTGGATGTATGCTATACTACGCTTGCCTCGCGGGAGATCACTGTACTGACCCGACATTCTACGTTAGCCTGGTTGATGCAGTCTCGAGGGCTCAACGGGAGATTAGGACGGTGGGCTGCTTTGTTGTCAAATTGGACTATGGAGGTGAAGAAATGTGAAAGAGGAGAGGAAGAAATCCTGGGCATGTTAGCAGCGAGTATCACTCCGAGAGGAGAGGTGGAAGAGATGCTGATTGCGATCTCCCCACGAAAAGACTGTCGACTCAAAATATCGATGCCTCCTCCAACGGTGGAAACAGATGAGGAGTTGCTGGTAGCCAGTTTCGATGGATCGGCTAGGATAAAAAAGAAAGGAGGGTCGTTCAGTGCCGTGATATGGAAGTTACCCGAATGGACGATCGTGGCGGCCGAATCGAGATATGTTCACGATCTGACTGTGAATGAAGCTGAGTATAATGGCTTGCTACTGTGCTTTGAGTTACTCGCCGATCTGGATAGGGGGCGAGTAATACTGTGAGGAGATTCCAGTCTGGTGATTCGACAGATGCGCGGTGAGATCGACTGCAAGGCACCGGGCCTTCAGCTTCTGAGACACAAAGCGTTGGAGAAGCTGCGGTCATGGCCTAGTCACGAGTTTCTGCATGTGAAGCGAGAGTGGAATCAGAGCGCAGATCGACTAGCCAGCACAGCATTGCAGAGCGAAAAGGGAAGAACGGTTGTAGCTGAAGAGGATCGGCAAGATCTGATGACTCTGAACCGTCTTGATGAATTGTTGAAGCCCAAGCAAGATGGTCAGCTAGCTCGGGTAACTGCGATCGCGAGATCAGCCAGGAGGATACGTCATGGACCTGAAGTGATACAGGAGGAGATAGTACAGAGGATCAGGATTCAACGAATTGTCCAAGCTCAAGATGAGGAGCGTTGGATTGTCAATCTCAAGACATATCTAAGTGGCGATTTATCAAACTTGGATGCGGTAGAAGTGAAGATGTGCGCCAAACTGGCGCCGGATTACGAGATCGATGAGAACAATCTGCTATTTTTTTGCCCCATGGCGAAAAGAGAGTCAGAAGATCGCGATGGTTTGATGCGGTTGGTGATCCCTGAGACGTTGCAGCAGGATTTTTTGCATCACTATCACACGAGTCTGGAAGGAGGCCATCAGGGTATTGGCCGAACCTATCAGAGGATCAGATCGCGATTTCATTGGAGAGGACTGTATCGGAGCGTTCAACGATATGTGGGCGAATGTACCGACTGTGAGACCGGGAAAGGAAACCCGATGATTCATGGGAAATCCCCGGGCAATCTACACGCAACCTATCCATTCCAGATCATCGCCATGGATCATATACCGTCGTTGCCCAAGTCCATCAAGGGGAACACCGAACTGCTCATTTGGGTCGACCTTTTCTCGGGATATGTGATTGCAAAGGCTAGCTCCTCTCGGACGGCACAAACAATAGCGGAGAATTACGAAGAATGTGTGTTTCGACGCTTCGGAGCTAGCGAGGCTATCAGGCACGATCGAGAACCGGGATTTATGTCCGACTTCTTTCGAGCCTTCAGTCGGATCGTAGGACAAAAACAGCGTGCTACTATGGCTTACAGGCCACAAGCAAATGGAACAGCCGAACGAATGGTGCAAACCCTGACACATTCGCTCAAGATGTACGTGGCTGAAGTTGACCAGCGAGACTGGGATGAGTATGCTGAGCGGCTCACATTTGCCATTAACACTGCACAAGATCGGATCCGGGGGGATACCCCGTTTATCTGATTCATGGGTGGGACCCGCGATCGACTTTGGAGGCTACGCTACCAGTGGGGAATACGGGGACACGAGATCGCGATCCAAAGAGGTGGAGATACAAAATCCAAAGACAATACCAGCGAGCCCGATCTGCAGTGAACGATCGTTTACAAGCCGCGATCCAGGAGCGAGCAGATCGACACAACGAAGATCTGGAACCACACGAGATCGAAGTAGGAGCGCAAGTTTGGCTATACCTGGACCGAGTTAAAGAGGGATATGCGAAGAAGCTAGCGCACATGTGGCATGGGCCATTCCGAGTTGCGGACGTATGTGGCGATCATGCTGTAAAATTGGAGATCGCTGGAACTCCATATCGGTTATTTCCGATTGTACATATATCGAAGCTAAAAAAGGTAAAGACGTTCCCTGAACGCCCGAAGGATCAGCTTACGATAGAGGAATCAGATCGCTTGGATTTCGATGAAGCTCTGCTGCCAGAAGACAGTTGGGCTGGCGATCTTGAAGAAGGGGAATACGAAGTAGAGGCAATATTGGACGTGCGATCTGGTAGAAAAACCCGTTATGGGCGAGTACACCGGCAGTTTCTGGTGAAGTGGAAGGGATATCCCGATCTAAGTTGGGTGGACGAGGCCGATCTAAGTTGTGGGGCGATCTTGCAAGAGTTTGAGCGGAGCCGAGTGAGTCGAAACCGTTTCGACGTAATGCAGTCTCATGAAGACAAGTCGGACGAACCTTAACAGTTCGAACAAGTATGCGGGAGGTAGCATATGCGGATGTAGGGGTTGAAAGATGTGCTAGACGGTAGCACATGCTGGTGGATGAGGTTTTTGTATGTGAGTATGGAGATAGTCAAGTGAATTACCTTCCTGAATGATGTGGAGCGAGGAGGATCGAGATCGTGGAAGTTGCAAAGAATGGAAGTACCAAAAAGAAGATGATTGAATGACTTACACGATTATGAAAGACGATCGGGCTTGGATATCGACCTTGGACTAAGACGATGGAGCAGGTTTGAACTTGTCCTGCAGACGAGGGATCTGCGATCCGGGATGATCTAGATGGCGCGGAGACCCAGGCCGATCGGGGACCGCTGGGGTGTGTCCTCCGAGATCGGGCGATCCGGGCGACAGGTCGCGATCCGGAGACAGAACATGGTGGATCCTTCTGAAGAGATCGGCGAGGTGGGTGGATGCGTCGGAGAGGCCATGAGACGGACTTGAGTGCTTGGAACGAAGTTGATGAGTGACTGTACTGAGGTCAATTGCTGTACAAAAGACTTCAGTACAGGGGGCGGTTGTGGCAAAGTCACTACTCAAATGTTGTACGAGGATCGGTGGCCACATCTTTAAAGCGCCGCTTACTGGTGGAAAAGGAGGCCATGAGACTCGGCGATCCAATACGGAGGTGGAAGATGATCTTAACGGGATCGGCGAACCGATCCAACTGTCGTTAGACTAATGGGTATGGATCGACCTGGGACGGAGCGATCTGGAACGATTTACATGGAACAATCTGGGACAAGGATCTGGGACCGGGTGATGGGATATGACTCTGCGACGAAGGTGTAACTGTGGTAAAGTCACTAATCAAATGATGGGACGTGGATCGGTGTCCACCCAGTTAAGATGTCACCCACTGGCGGAAGAGGTACGCCTAGGACCAGGCGATGCAACGTGATTTAAAACGGGGCGTAGAAAGGGGTGATTCCAACGGTGCGATCTGGGACGAGGGACTGGATTGAACCGAACGAACACTCTAAAGGCTGATCAAAGGAAAGGATGTGGATGTTGAAGCAGAATCATTTGAGAAAAGTACGCCTGGGACCAGGCGATGCGACGTGGTTTGAGACGGGGCGTAGCAAGGGGTGATTTCCACGGTGCGATCTGGGATGAGGGACTGGATTGAACCGAACGACCACTCTGAAGGCTGATCAGAGGCAAGGATGTGGATGTTGAAGCAGAATCATTTTGATAAAGCATCGGAGTGCACACAATGAACGGAAGAACATATATGGCCGGATTGTACTGTGTCGATCCTCAACAATCTCGAATTGGGCATCAGATCGGTCATGATCCCCACTGATTATGGATGTATCGTTGATGAGAATTTTGGATCATGACAAACATGCTTGTTGAAGGTCCATGAGTGATGTCTCAAAAGTTCAGATCGAAAGAGCCAGTGGAAGCCGGTTAAATTGACGTCGCAAAATGGATTTAGACGCCTTCGGCATTTGGGCACTATTTTGGGCTTTTGGGTACCGAAAATGGGTATTTGGTACCCCATTTGGGATTTGGTCCACTTTTGGCGTTCAGGTACGGTATCGGGAATATTGGCGCTATCATTGGAGTACAGGGCACGAAATTTCGACACGTGGCAAGGGGGCGATCCAGATTCAAGGCGATATCGGTTTGAAGAGTGACCTATAGTTAAGAATAGGCTTAAGGGTAGGTTGGATAGTAATTTGGTTGGTTAATAAACAGACTTGAACTCTACTTCTTCTGCTCACGACGCACGTTATCCTCCCCTCTTCTCCAGGCAAGATTGATTTGGCTTCCCCGGCGGGTTAAGGCACGCGTGTTACAGGGACACAGAAGACCGATATTGGATTGTTGGCCAAGATCGAGAAGAGCGATCCCGGGATATCTGGCCCAGATCGATCAAGTACTCACACTCAACTCAACTGCTAGGGTAGCAGCACACAACGGAAAAGGAAAAGGATTTTGGACACAGGATCGCGAGACGGATCAAGTGGTCAGAAGATCTGGACAAGGCGTTCAAGACAAGACCGAGCAGGATCGAAGCGATCCCCTGGACAGATCGGCACGTTTCATTTTGGCGAAACAAGACACCGATCTACCCAAATTGCGCACTTCCGGCAAGATCGGCCGATCCCAAGACCAGATCGGACCGATCCCAAGGCAAGATCGACGCAGGACTTTTCTTTGCTGAGTGAAGATTTCCGCACAGCAAAGACCCCGATCTCGAAGACAAATCAAGATCGGTGCGTGTTGTAACTTGAGCGCGAGGCGAAGAGAAAACGAAGCGGAGAGACCGGAGAGAACGAAGCAGAGAACACTTGCTCACTTGAGGGAGGATTCGAAAGTGATTGATTTATAGGTCTTAACTTCTGCCTACCCTAGACTGCATCCAATCACATGGTGCATCTAATCAACCTGATTTACACGCGTCCAATCATCCTACGCGTCTAATCATCTCTGAGGTAATTACCGATGTAAAAACTATCTCGTAAGAACTACGCGCTAGGTTCGGATTGTACCGGTAACCCTCAACACGCCCCCTCAATCCGAATGCTCACGAATCCCGAGAGTCGCCGTCATCTCCTTGTGGCGTGGCCCGTGAAGTCCCTTCGTCATGATGTCCGCTAACATCACCGCAGTTTCACAGTACTTGAGCTTCACTTCACCGCGCTTGACCTCATCACGGATGTGATGGTACTTGATGTCGATGTGTTTAGCGCGGCCGTGGTTGACCGGATTCTTCGTCATCTTGATGCACGACTGGTTGTCTTCACGGATGACGAGCTCGGGTCCTTCTTCGTTTGCAGCCGCCATGATCTCGCACAGCAAGCGATTGATCCACTTGCCTTCTTGGATCGCCAGGCTGAGCGCGATGTACTCCGCTTCGCTTGTAGACAGTGACACACTTGGCTGTTTCTTGCTGCCCCAACTCACCGGAGCACCCAATAGCATGAAGACGTAGCCGGACGTCGATTTGCGATCAGCAAGGTCACCGGCCCAGTCTGCATCTGAATAGCCACGAAAGTCGATCTTCGCACTTGGCTTGTAGCAGATTCCATGCATCTTGGTGCCTTGTAGGTAGCGGAAGATGCGCTTGACTGCAACCCAGTGTTCTTCTTGGGGTTTCTCCATGAACCGTGACACAAAGCTTACAGCATAGGCGATGTCCGGTCGCGTTGCAGTCGTCAGATGCATCAAAGCACCCACTGCTTCACGGAATGGGACATTCACCTTGCTTGCAGAGTTGCTTGGAACCAGTCGAGAGCTGACGTCCACCGGACTTGCCACAGCCTTGCACTCATCCATTCCAAAGCGCTTGAGGACATCGTCGACATAACGGCGCTGACACATAGTCACGCTGCCATCTTCACCGTCCAATAACTCGATCCCAAGAACAAAGGCACACTTGCCGCTGTCCGTCATCTCGAAGCGTGTCTTGAGGTCGTTCTTGGTGCGCGCAATCATCTCGAGCGAGCTTCCAGTCACCAAGACATCGTCCACGTAGACCAGCACAAAAACACAATGGCCTTCCGAAGTCATGATGTAGAGACATGGATCGAATCCCGACGCTTGAAAACCAATCGAGCGTATGAATTCGTCGAAGGTCTCGTTCCAAACACGCGAGGCTTGCTTGAGACCGTAGATCGCCTTGATCAGCTCGAGACAGTCGAAATCACCTTCCATCTTGACGCCTTCCGGAACAGCGCAGAACACCTTCTCCTTCATCACTCCATACAGGAACGCAGTCACCACATCGAGCTGGTCGAGGGGCCATCCAAAGTGCTTGGTAATGGCGATGACCATTCGCAGCGTCACATACTTGACCACGGGCGAGAACGTCTCCGTGTAGTCAATGCCATACTTTTGGCGAAAACCCTTGGCCACAAGTCGTGCCTTGTATTTCTCGATCGACCCATCCGCCTTGCGCTTGATCTTGAAGACCCACTTTGTGCCAATGGCGCTTTGTCCGTTGGGTAACTTGGCCGCACGAAAGACACCGCGAAGCTTCATCGAATCGAGCTCCGCATCAATTGCCTTGCGCCAGTGTACTTGGTCCGGGCCAGATACTGCTTCTTCAAATGTCGACGGCTCCGAAAAATCGACCGCTGCTTCGACGGCGTTTGCACTCGCATGCCAAAACGCGGAGGAAGTCGGTGTGTCATGTTGTTCCTCCGACTCCCTTTCTTCATCTTCGTTGGCTCGACGTGAAGAGAGGTCATCCGGCGCACTTGACTCTTCCAATCCGGGTCGTTGGCGCACTGCTCGGGGCATGCTTGCGTCGTCATTGTCGTGACTGGGTTGGGCCTTGCGCTTTTCTGTTTGTTTGAAGTGTCTCGGACGCGGTTCTTCATCATCAAGATCGATCGATTCGAAGTCCAGGCCATCAACATCGTCATCGGAAATCAGCATCGACATTCCAAAGGCCGACTCATCGAAGTTGACATCGCGACTTATCATCACCTGCCCCGCTTCGATGTCGTAAACTCGATACGCCTTGGACACTTCTTCGTAGCCCAAAAACAATCCAGCCCGGGCCTTGGGATCCCACTTGAGTCGTTTCTCCTTCGGGGTCAAGATGTATGCTTGGCACCCAAAAACGCGCATGTGCTTGACACTTGGCTTAGAATTGTAGACAATCTCGAACGGTGTCTTGTGTGGAATCTTGGGTGACGGCAAACGGTTCTTCACATAGACGGCCGTCATTGCCGCTTCACCCCAGAAACACTTGTTCAGCTTGGCATAATGTAGCATGCTACGACCGATGGTGACGATAGTTCGAATCGCGCGTTCAGCAGTTCCATTGGCTTGATGTGCGTATGGCACCGTGGTTTGTTGCTCGATGCCTTCGACTTCGTAGAAATCTTGAAGCGAGTTCGTCGCAAATTCGCGGGCTCCATCGTGTCGCACAAATTTGACCTTCTTGTTGAACTGCGTCTGTATCATCGTGATGTACTTCTTGATGCACTCTTCGCTCTCTGACTTGGAATGCAGACAAAAACCCTTCATGCATCCGCTGGCTTCATCCACGATCAGCAGCAGATACTTGCTGCCACCCAGAGATTTTTCTTCCATGGGTCCGCAGATGTCGAAGTGGAGCATCTCGAAGGTGTTGTAGGTGCGCTTGTCACGGTTGCTCGGGAACGGTTTCTGGACCATCTTCCCTTCTTGGCATCCTCGACACACACTTGATCCATTCGGCTTGGAAGGGATGTGAGCGTCCTTGATCATGTGGCTTGTCACCATCCTGCGAAGCACGTCTACTGGAGCATGGCCCATTCGTGCATGTAGATCAACAGCGTTGCTGAGTGATGTCGCATTGGCCGATCGCTGCGTCGTGCGAAGCCAGTAGAGTCCGTCTACAAGATCCGCAGCTGCCACCACTTGATTGGAATCCTTGCGAGCGACGTACATCGTATCCCCGTCAAACACCACTTGGAAGTTGCCGTGCTTGTTAATCTGCGGCACCGAGAGCAGATTTTTGCTCATGCTGGGCACATAGAGCGCGTTCTTGATCTCGATCTCGCGCTCTTCCCCGTTTGGCAGAATCACCTTTTCCACGATGGTCCCCACACCTTTGATGGCCGCCTTGTTGCCATCAGCCACCAGGATCTCGCCATCATTGCCTTCGACCAAGCTTGCAAACTTGAACTTGTCGTGGCAGATGTGATGTGTTGCCCCGCTGTCAACGGCCCACATTCCTGGTCCATTCTTGTTCGTCGAAACTCCGCATTCGAACGAAACTGCAAACGCCACTCGATCGTAGCTGTTGCCTTCATCATAATGTCGCCAGTGGACATTGTTTGCCCCGCGTCGACGACCATTGCCGCCGCGTTGGGCTCCTCGACTTTCATCCTTTTGCTTCGTCCAGCAACGCTCTGCCGTGTGCCCCACCTTGCCGCAGTATGTGCATTGGTAGGGCTTGCGCTCGGTACTGAATGCCTTTGTCGCATCTTCAGTCTTCACCGTTGTCGTTGCCGTTGTCATCTTCTCGCCTTGTCGCTTGATGTGCTCGTTAGTCAGCACCTTGACCACATCTTGCGTGCGCAGCTCTGCATTGCTCATCTCCAAGTTGAGAACCACGTTCTCGAAACTATTGGGCAGACTGCGCAGTAAGCAGATCGCAATGTCTTCGTCTTCCATCTTGGCACCGATGCTGCTGAGCTTGGCGCCGATGTTCAAGACTTCGTTGCAATGGTGCAAGACGTTGGCACCTTCCGCCATCTTGATGCTGAACAGCTGGCGCTTGAGGTAGATGCGTCCCGCCTTCTGCGACCCACCATAGAGCATCTTCAACCGCGACCACGCTGTCCATGCTTCTTCACAGTTGTCGACCACATGGTGGTAGTCGGCGTCCATGTGGAGCAACATCAACCCGAACGCGATGTTGCTCGCCTTGACGTACTCGTCGGAAGCTCGCGTGTCGGTGAAGGTTGGAGACGTTTCGCGGTTCACGACGTACCAGACTGACTTCGTCAGAAACACGCCGCGCATGTAGCGACACCAGGTTGAGTAGTTGTCCCCATCGAACTTATCGATGGAGACACTGGCCGAGGTGTTGTTGGACGACATGGCGCTTGGGCTCATAACCTGTTGTAACTTGAGCGCGAGGCGAAGAGAAAACGAAGCGGAGAGACCGGAGAGAACGAAGCAGAGAACACTTGCTCACTTGAGGGAGGATTCGAAAGTGATTGATTTATAGGTCTTAACTTCTGCCTACCCTAGACTGCATCCAATCACATGGTGCATCTAATCAACCTGATTTACACGCGTCCAATCATCCTACGCGTCTAATCATCTCTGAGGTAATTACCGATGTAAAAACTATCTCGTAAGAACTACGCGCTAGGTTCGGATTGTACCGGTAACCCTCAATAGTGCGATCCAAGATCGGGATCGCAGAACCCCCGTTCGTGGTGTGAAGATTTCCGCACCGGAAGCGAACCCTCAACCCAACCTCTCAGCGAGATCGACATCTCCCAAGGCCGTTACGAAGAGCTCAAGCCAGCCCAACCGACGGGTACACAAGGTGAGCACAAGGTCATACAACAAGGCACGGATCGGAGTACCCCCTCCGTGAGTCGGCAAGTCCGGGCAAGTGGAAGATCGACACTCATACAAGCAATTTTGTGAGATCGACTTCACCACATCCGCATTCCAGCGAAACAGCAAACGCCACTCGATCATAGTCACAGTTGCTGTTGCCGTTGTAGCCTTGCCACTGAACTTGATTCGCTCCGCGTCCACGTGCATTGCCGCCGCGTCGAGCTCCCCGATTGTCTTCCTTCTGCTTGGTCCAGCACTTTTCCACCGTGTGCCCCAATTTTCCGCAGAACGTACACTGACGAACCTCACGCTCGGTACTGAAGGCCTTGGTCGCTTCTTCAGTTTTCACCGATGTCGTCTTTTTCCCTTGTCTCTTGATGTGCTCATTCGTCAGCACTTTCACGACGTCTTGCGTCCGCAGTTCTGCGCTGCTCATCTCCAAGTTCAGCACGACGTTCTCGTAGCTCTTGGGGAGGCTGCACAACAAGCAGATCGCCACGTCCTCATCCTCCATCTTGGCGCCGATGCTGCTGAGCTTGGCGCTGATGTTGAGGACCTCATTGCAATGATGCAACACATTGCCGCCTTCTGTCATCTCCATACTGAAGAGCTGGCGCTTCAAGCAGATGTGCCCAGCCTTCTGAGATCCGCCGTAGAGAGTCTTCAACCGTGTCCACGCAACCCATGCCTCGTCGCAGTCATCAACCACGTGATGATAGTCCGCGCTCATGTGAAGTAACATCAAGCCGAACGCAATGTTGTTCGTCTTGACGTACTCATCACTGGCGCGAGGATCGGCGAAGGTGGGGGTGGTCTCCCGGTTGACCAAGTGCCACGTCGACTTGGTCAGAAACACGCCACGCATGTAGCGGCTCCACGTCGCGTAGTTGTCTCCATCGAATCTATCGATAGAGATCTTGGTGGCGGAATCTTGAGCAGAGGACATCGTGCTTGGGCTCATAACCTGTTAAAGTCTGAAGAGCACTGGACGAGAGAACGAAGCTTGAAGAACGCTGAAGAAGTCTGCACTGCGAAGTGTAGACGACTTGTGCTGAAGAAGGAATATTTGGAAGTGAATTTATTTGTGGGTTTTGTTAAAGCTACCTGATTTATCTCTGCACTGATTTATATGTTGTCCACATATAAATCATGAATCATAAATTATGTAGGTCATCCAATCATCCTATGCGTCTAATCATTGGTAAAAACTCACCGTAATTACGCGGGATCGACTTGGACAGGTTTACGGTTCCCATGGTAGCTGATAGCAGTACCTCAACCGTCAACCCACAAAACTACTGACCGCAGATGAAGGCAGCGGATGCATGAAGGGTTTCAGTCTGCGCGCCAATTCCGACAGCGAAGAGTGCATCAAGAAGTACATCGTGGCAGTACAGACGCAGTTTGACTACAAGGTCAAGTTCGTTCGCCACGATGGTGCACGCGAATTTGCGGCAAATTCGCTCAAGGCATTTTACGATGATCAACGAATCGAGCAGCAAGTTACCGTTCCATATGCGCATCAGACCAACGGCACGGCGGAACGGGCAATTCGGACCATTGTGACGATCGGGCGCAGCATGCTTCACTACGCCAAGCTGGACAAGTTTTTTTGAGTTGAAGCAGCAATGACGGCGATCTACATCAAGAATCGCCTACCATCGCCTAAGTGCCAAGATTAAACCCCGTTCGAGATTGTCAACGGATTTCGACCAAGTGTGAAGCACGTGCGGGTTTTCGGCTGCCGAACGTTTGTGCTGACCCCTAAGGAAAAGAGATCAAAATGGGATCCGAAGGCTCGTGAAGGACTATTCATGGGGTACGAAGAAGTGTCAAAGGCATATCGCGTTTACGAAATTGAAGCGGATCAAGTGGTGATATCTCGCGATGTCACATTCGACGAATCAACGTTTGGTTTCTCGCCGACGCTACCACAAGAAATTGTTGATGACACTGCGCTGGATGTCGAATCGATGAAAATCAGCGATGAGCCTCACCCTAAGCAGTTCAAGAAAACTGGAAAACGCAAAAGCCGTTCAAACAGCCAAGAACAAGCTCTACAACGGACACTTCCTGAGCGTCGTGGAACCGGGTTCGAAGAAGCAAGTGCACCGGATGACTTTGAAACGCACCAAGCGAAGCGACGATCAAGCGCTCGAGCAAATCTGGACGAAGAGCGAAAGGGCAGTGACGAAGATAACGAGGATGCTACACCTCAAGTCTTTTGGCGAGCGAGTGTCAACGCAGTCGAAGGTACTGACTTGTCTGAGCCGACAACGTTTAAAGATGCTGTTGATGGACCGGATCAAGTGCATTGGTGTGAAGCAATCTGTGCCGAGTTGGACTCGATGAAACTTCGTGGCGTGTTTCGAGCGACCAAACTGCCAGCTGGACAGCATACCATTGGCACCAAGTGGGTATTCAATATCAAGCGGAAAGCTGATGGATCCATCGAGAAATACAAGGCGCGTCTCGTGGCAAAAGGGTTCAAGCAGAAATATGGCATCGACTACACGGAGACGTTTTTGCCGGTAGTCAAGTACGTGACGCTGCGCATGGTAGTTGCAATCGCGAAGTACTTTGACTGGACACTGGACCTACTGGACGTGGTGACAGCTTTGCTATGCGGAGAGATGAAGGAAAAGGTATTCTGCGCGATCCCAGAAGGGGTCGAAGTTGATGAAGACTTTGACTGCTTCGAATTGTTGAAGGCGATCTACGGACTAAAACAAGCATCGCGCGTATGGAAGGAAATTTCTATGAGTTCGTCTGCTCCATTGGATTTCAAGTATCTCATTTTGACCCGTGTCTTTATCTCAAGATTACAAGTGGCGAGTGCGTGCTTTTGCTGGTATACGTCGATGATGTGTTGGTGACTGGCAGCTCGACCGAACTGATTATGCGCACCAAGAGTGACTTGAAGGCGCGTTTCGAAATGACTGACAGCGGCAAGTGCGCATTCGTGTTGGGCATCGAGCTGGTGGACAGCGACAATGGTAGCGTGACGATGTGCCAGCGACGCTACGTGGAAGATGTTCTTAAGCGTTTTGGCATGAGCGACTGCAAAGCCGTCACCAGCCCAACAGACATCAGTTCTTGACTCATAACAAACAGTGCAGTAACCAAAATGAACGCCCCGTTTTGTGAAGCAGTAGGCGCTTTAATGCACTTGATGACCGCGACACGACCGGACATTGCCTTTGCTGTGAGTTACGTTTCGCGCTTCATGGAAAACCTCCAAGTCGAGCATTGGATGGCGGTCGAGCGCATTTTGCGATACTTACAAGGGACTAAGTCGGACGGCATCTGTTTTAAGTCTGATGACAAGATAGACTTCTGCGGCTACTCGGATGCAGACTGGGCCGGCGACCATGCAGACCGCAAGTCGACTTCGGGATATGCGCTCATCCTGATGGGTGCTCCGGTGAGCTGGGGAAGCAAAAAGCAGTCAAGTGTGTCGCTGTCAACAAGTGAAGCTGAGTGCATTGCATTAAGTCTGGCTATTCAAGAAGGCAAGTGGGTGCATCGATTGCTGTGCGATATTCTGGATGCCGCAGAGGACAAGTCTGGACCCGAGCTCAAGATCATGGAAGACAACCAATCGTGCATCAAGATGACGAAGAATCCTGTGAACCATGGTCGGGCCAAGCACATCGACACTTGTGGTCCAATGGAAGTCGACTCGCTAGGTGGAAGCAAGTACTTGCTACTTGTTAAAGTCTGAAGAGCACTGGACGAGAGAACGAAGATTGAAGAACGCTGAAGAAGTCTGCACTGCGAAGTGTAGACGACTTGTTCTGAAGAAGGAATATTTGGAAGTGAATTTATTTGTGGGTTTTGTTAAAGCTACCTGATTTATCTCTGCACTGATTTATATGTTGTCCACATATAAATCATGAATCATAAATCATGTAGGTCATCCAATCATCCTATGCGTCTAATCATTGGTAAAAACTCACCGTAATTACGCGGGATCGACTTGGACAGGTTTACGGTTCCCATGGTAGCTGATAGCAGTACCTCAACCGTCAACCCACAATACGCCCCCTCAATGCGAACACGCGTGTATGCCGAGCGCTGCCGTCAAGTCCTTGTGACGCGGTCCTGGCAGTCCCTTCGTCATGATGTCCGCCAACATGATCGTAGTCTCACAGTACTCCAACTTGACATCACCACGCTTGACTTCATCACGAATGTGGTGGTACTTGATGTCGATGTGCTTGGCCCGACCATGGTTCACAGGATTCTTCGTCATCTTGATGCACGACTGGTTGTCTTCCATGATCTTGAGCTCGGGTCCAGACTTGTCCTCTGCGGCATCCAGAATCTCGCATAGCAATCGATGCACCCACTTGCCTTCTTGAATAGCCAGACTTAATGCAATGCACTCAGCTTCACTTGTTGACAGCGACACACTTGACTGCTTTTTGCTTCCCCAGCTCACCGGATCACCCATTAGGATGAGCGCATATCCCGAAGTCGACTTGCGGTCTGCATGGTCGCCGGCCCAGTCTGCATCCGAGTAGCCACAGAAGTCTATCTTGTCATCAGGCTTGAAACAAATACCGTGCGACTTAGTCCCCTGTAAGTATCGCAAAATGCGCTCGACCGCCATCCAATGCTCGACTTGGGGGTTCTCCACGAAGCGCGAAACGTAACTCACAGCAAAGGCAATGTCCGGTCGTGTCGCGGTCATCAAGTGCATTAAAGCGCCTACTGCTTCACGAAACGGGGCGTCGATTTTAGTTGCTGCGGTACTTGGTATGAGTCGAGAACTGATGTCTGTTGGGCTGGTGACGGCTTTGCAGTCGCTCATGCCAAAACGCTTGAGAACATCTTCCACGTAGCGTCGCTGGCACATCGTCACGCTACCGTTGTCGTTGTCCACCAGCTCGATGCCCAACACGAATGCGCACTTCCCACTGTCGGTCATTTCGAAACGCGCCTTCAAGTCACTCTTGGTGCGCATAATCAGTTCGGTCGAGCTGCCAGTCTCCAACACATCATCGACGTATACCAGCAAAAGCACGCACTCGCCACTTGTAATCTTGAGATAAAGACACGGGTCAAAATGAGATACTTGAAATCCAATGGAGCAGACGAACTCATAGAAATTTCCTTCCATACGCGCGATGCTTGTTTTAGTCCGTAGATCGCCTTGACCAGTTCAAAGCAGTCAAAGTCTTCATCAACTTCGACTCCTTCTGGGATCGCGCAGAATAACTTTTCCTTCATTTGTCCGTAAAGGAAAGCTGTCACCACGTTCAGTTGGTCCAGTGTCCAGCCAAAGTACTTCGTGATTGCAACCACCATGCGCAGCGTCACGTACTTGACTACCGGCGAAAACGTTTCCGTGTAGTCGATGCCATATTTCTGCTTGAACCCTTTTGCCACGAGGCGCGCCTTGTATTTCTCGATGGATCCATCAGCTTTCCGCTTGATCTTGAATACCCACTTGGTGCCAATGGTATGCTGTCCAGTCGGCAGTTTGGTCGCTCGAAACACGCCACGAAGTTTCATCGAGTCCAACTCGGCACAGATTGCCTTACGCCAATGCACTTGATCTGGTCCACCAACAGCATCTCCAAACGTTGTCGGCTCAGACAAGTCAGTACCTTCGACTGCGTTGACACTCGCTCGCCAAAAGACTTGAGGTGTAGCATCCTCGTTATCTTCGTCACTGCCCTTTTGCTCTTCGTCCAGATTGTCTCGAGCGCTTGATCGTCGCTTCGCTTGGTGCGTTTCAAAGTCATCCGGTGCACTTGCTTCTTCTAACCCGGTTCCACGACGCTCAAGAAGTGTCCGTTGTAGAACTTGTTCTTGACTGTTTGAACGGCTTTTGCGTTTTCCAGTTTGCTTGAACTCCATAGGGTGAGGCTCATCGCTGATGTTCATCGATTCGATATCCAGCGCAGTGTCATCAACAATTTCTTGTGGTAGCCTCGGCGAGAAACCAAGCGTTGATTCGTCGAATCTGACATCGCGAGATATCACCACTTGGTCCGCTTCAATGTCGTAAACGCGATATGCCTTCGACACTTCTTCGTACCCCATGAATCGTCCTTTACGATCCTTTGGATCCCATTTCGATCTCTTTTCCTCAGGGGTCAGCACAAACGTTCGGCAGCCGAAAACCCGCATGTGCTTCACACTTGGTCGAAATCCGTTGACAATCTCGAACGGGGTTTGATCTTGGCACTTGGGCGATGGTAGGCGATTCTTGATGTAGATTGCCGTCATTGCTGCTTCAGCCCAAAAACACTTGTCCAGCTCGGCGTAGTGAAGCATGCTGCGCCCGATCGTCACAATGGTCCGAATTGCCCGTTCCGCCGTGCCGTTGGTCTGATGCGCATATGGAACGGTAACTTGCTGCTCGATTCCTTGATCATCGTAAAATGCCTTGAGCGAATTTGCCACAGATTCGCGTGCACCATCGTGGCGAACGAACTTGACCTTGTAGTAAAACTGCGTCTGTACTTCCATGATGTACTTCTTGATGCACTCTTCGCTGTCGGACTTGGCGCGCAGACTGACACCCTTCATACATCCGCTGCCTTCATCGACGATCAGTAGCAAGTACTTGCTTCCACCTAGCGAGTCGACTTCCATTGGACCACAAGTGTCGATGTGTAGAAGCTCAAACGGATCGTAGTGGCGCTTGTTTGTATTGCTCGGGAACGGTCGTTGAACCATTTTTCCTTCTAGACAACCTTGACACACGCTTGATCCGCTCAATTTTGCTGGGTTCTTGGCATCCTTGATCATGCCCTTGGAGACCATTCTGCACAAGACATCAATCGGTGCGTGGCCCATACGCGCATGAAGGTTTTCGACTCTTGGTCCTGAAGCCGCATTCACCGATCGTTGGGATGTACGAAGCCAGTAGAGGCCATCCACAAGATCGGCCATCACTATTACTTGCTTGGAGCCTTTGTGCGAAATCTTCATCTCGTCACCATCAAACACCACTTGAAACTTGCCGCTTTTGTTAGATTGTGGTATCGAAAGCAAGTTCTTGTTCATGCTTGGGACGTAAAGCGCGTTCTTGATCTCGACTTCGCGCTCTTCACCGTTGGACAGGGTCACCTTTTCGATGATTGTCCCGACACCGTTGATCGCAGCCTTGTTCCCATCTGCAACCAACACTTCGCCTTCATTGCGCTCGTCCAGAAATTCGAACTTGGACTTGTCATAGCAGATGTGATGTGTTGCACCGCTATTAATCGCCCACATTCCAGACATGCTCTTGGTCGTTGAAAGTCCGCATTCCAGCGAAACAGCAAACGCCACTCGATCATAGTCACAGTTGCTGTTGCCGTTGTAGCCTTGCCACTGAACTTGATTCGCTCCGCGTCCACGTGCATTGCCGCCGCGTCGAGCTCCCCGATTGTCTTCCTTCTGCTTGGTCCAGCACTTTTCCACCGTGTGCCCCAATTTTCCGCAGAACGTACACTGACGAACCTCACGCTCGGTACTGAAGGCCTTGGTCGCTTCTTCAGTTTTCACCGATGTCGTCTTTTTCCCTTGTCTCTTGATGTGCTCATTCGTCAGCACTTTCACGACGTCTTGCGTCCGCAGTTCTGCGCTGCTCATCTCCAAGTTCAGCACGACGTTCTCGTAGCTCTTGGGGAGGCTGCACAACAAGCAGATCGCCACGTCCTCATCCTCCATCTTGGCGCCGATGCTGCTGAGCTTGGCGCTGATGTTGAGAACTTCATTGCAATGATGCATCACATTGCCGCCTTCCGCCATCTCCATGCTGAACAGCTGCCGCTTCAAGAAGATCCGTCCCGCCTTCTGCGATCCGCCGTAGAGAGTCTTCAACCGTGTCCACGCAACCCATGCCTCGTCGCAGTCATCAACCACGTGATGATTGTCCGCACTCATGTGAAGTAACATCAAGCCGAACGCAATGTTGTTCGTCTTGACGTACTCATCACTGGCGCGAGGATCGGCGAAGGTGGGGGTGGTCTCCCGGTTGACCAAGTGCCACGTCGACTTGGTCAGAAACACGCCACGCATGTAGCAGCTCCACGTCGCGTAGTTGTCTCCATCGAATCTATCGATAGAGATCTTGGTGGCGGAATCTTGAGCAGAGGACATCGTGCTTGGGCTCATAACCTGTTAAAGTCTGAAGAGCACTGGACGAGAGAACGAAGCTTGAAGAACGCTGAAGAAGTCTGCACTGCGAAGTGTAGACGACTTGTGCTGAAGAAGGAATATTTGGAAGTGAATTTATTTGTGGGTTTTGTTAAAGCTACCTGATTTATCTCTGCACTGATTTATATGTTGTCCACATATAAATCATGAATAATAAATCATGTAGGTCATCCAATCATCCTATGCGTCTAATCATTGGTAAAAACTCACCGTAATTACGCGGGATCGACTTGGACAGGTTTACGGTTCCCATGGTAGCTGATAGCAGTACCTCAACCGTCAACCCACAAAACTACTGACCGCAGATGAAGGCAGCGGATGCATGAAGGGTTTCAGTCTGCTCGCCAATTCCGACAGCGAAGAGTGCATCAAGAAGTACATCGTGGCAGTACAGACGCAGTTTGACTACAAGGTCAAGTTCGTTCGCCACGATGGTGCACGCGAATCTGTGGCAAATTCGCTCAAGGCATTTTACGATGATCAACGAATCGAGCAGCAAGTTACCGTTCCATATGCGCATCAGACCAACGGCACGGCGGAACGGGCAATTCGGACCATTGTGACGATCGGGCGCAGCATGCTTCACTACGCCAAGCTGGACAAGTTTTTTTTGAGTTGAAGCAGCAATGACGGCGATCTACATCAAGAATCGCCTACCATCGCCCAAGTGCCAAGATCAAACCCCGTTCGAGATTGTCAACGGATTTCGACCAAGTGTGAAGCACGTGCGGGTTTTCGGCTGCCGAACGTTTGTGCTGACCCCTAAGGAAAAGATATCAAAATGGGATCCGAAGGCTCGTGAAGGACGATTCATGGGGTACGAAGAAGTGTCAAAGGCATATCGCGTTTACGAAATTGAAGCGGATCAAGTGGTGATATCTCGCGATGTCACATTCGACGAATCAACGTTTGGTTTCTCGCCGACGCTACCACAAGAAATTGTTGATGACACTGCGCTGGATGTCGAATCGATGAACATCAGCGACGAGCCTCACCCTAAGCAGTTCAAGAAAACTGGAAAACGCAAAAGCCGTTCAAACAGCCAAGAACAAGCTCTATAACGGACACTTCGTGAGCGTCGTGGAACCGGGTTCGAAGAAGCAAGTGCACCGGATGACTTTGAAACGCACCAAGCGAAGCGACGGTCAAGCGCTCGAGCAAATCTGGACGAAGAGCGAAAGGGCAGTGACGAAGATAACGAGGATGCTACACCTCAAGTCTTTTGGCGAGCGAGTGTCAACGCAGTCGAAGGTACTGACTTGTCTGAGCTGACAACGTTTAAAGATGCTGTTGATGGACCGGATCAAGTGCATTGGTGTGAAGCAATCTGTGCTGAGTTGGACTCGATGAAACTTCGTGGCGTGCTTCGAGCGACCAAACTGCCAGCTGGACAGTATACCATTGGCACCAAGTGGGTATTCAATATCAAGCGGAAAGCTGATGGATCCATCGAGAAATACAAGGCGCGTCTCGTGGCAAAAGGGTTCAAGCAGAAATATGGCATCGACTACACGGAGACGTTTTTGCCGGTAGTCAAGTACGTGACGCTGCGCATGGTAGTTGCAATCACGAAGTACTTTGACTGGACACTGGACCTACTGGACGTGGTGACAGCTTTGCTATGCGGAGAGATGAAGGAAAAGGTATTCTGCGCGATCCCAGAAGGGGTCGAAGTTGATGAAGACTTTGACTGCTTCGAATTGTTGAAGGCGATCTACGGACTAAAACAAGCATCGCGCGTATGGAAGGAAATTTCTATGAGTTCGTCTGCTCCATTGGATTTCAAGTATCCGATTTCGACCCGTGTCTTTATCTCAAGATTACAAGTGGCGAGTGCGTGCTTTTGCTGGTATACGTCGATGATGTGTTGGTGACTGGCAGCTCGACCGAACTGATTATGCGCACCAAGAGTGGCTTGAAGGCGCGTTTCGAAATGACTGACAGCGGCAAGTGCGCATTCGTGTTGGGCATCGAGCTGGTGGACAACGACAACGGTAGCGTGACGATGTGCCAGCGACGCTACGTGGAAGATGTTCTCAAGCGTTTTGGCATGAGCGACTGCAAAGCCGTCACCAGCCCAACAGACATCAGTTCTCGACTCATACCAAGTACTGCAGTAACTAAAATCGACGCCCCGTTTCGTGAAGCAGTAGGCGCTTTAATGCACTTGATGACCGCGACACGACCGGACATTGCCTTTGCTGTGAGTTACGTTTCGCGCTTCATGGAAAACCTCCAAGTCGAGCACTGGATGGCGGTCAAGCGCATTTTGCGATACTTACAAGGGACTAAGTCGGACGGCATCTGTTTCAAGTCTGATGACAAGATTGATGAACTTTAGACTTCTTGGTCCGAGTGCAAAACGCAAAGTGAATATATATTTATAATAGGTACTTAGTTCGCAACTTTGAATACTACTTCTAAGCCTATTATTCGCAGTGACGTCATCCAGTGACGTCACCCACTGACGTCACCCACTGACGTCATGCAATGACGCCATCCAGTGACGTCATTTCCTGACTTCGCCCTTACTGGTACATACCGGTACCCACCGGTATAGCGAGGCTTGGTCTTCCACTTGCTTCAACACTTGACGCAGCTTGACGAGGTGTCTTCTTCACAGCCGCTGTCTTTTCAACACTCCCTCTCGACTCGTTAGCTGCGGCACCTTGGATCCCAAGTCGATCGCGAATGTTTTCAAATTGTACAGCGGCGATCGGCTTGGTCATCATGTCTGCCAGCATATCTTGAGTCGGGCAATACTCCCAAAACGACTTCACCTGATTCCACCTTCTCACGCACAAAATGGTAGCGTATGTCGATGTGTTTTGTTCTCTTATGGAACTCCGGGTTCTTGGCGAGAGCGATTGATCCTTGGTTGTCTTCATACATCTTGATCGCTTCGTCGCTTGTCATCTCACCAAGTTCCCCCAAAAGCACTTTGAGCCATACTGCTTCTTTGGTTGCTTCGGAAAGCGCCATGTATTCTGCTTCTGTTGAAGATAGCGCGACCGTCCGTTGTTTCCGGCTTTTCCAGCTGATGCATCCTCCGCTCATCATGAACACATAGCCGCTTGTACTTCGTCTTGACTCAATGTCGCCGGCCCAGTCTGCGTCGGTGTACCCGCAGATACGGCTTCCTTCTTCACGTGTAAACTCAAGACCATGATTGGGCGTTGCTTGCAGGTATCTCAGCACACGCTTCAAAGCTTGCCAGAGAGTCGGGCATGGGTCGGACGAGAACTGGGATAATGATCCCACTGCAGCAGCTAGATCCGGACGTGTGGCGACCATGAGATACATGATGCCTCCGACAGCACTTCGATATGGCACGTTGCACATGGTGTCTTCGTGCTTGCATTCTTGTTCACACATGTTCTTGGTTAGCTTCAGGCCGGGATCTTGAGGCGTCTTCACTGGCTTGCTGTTATCCATTCCGAACTTGGTTAACACGGACTTGAGGAACTTGGTTTGTTGCACAGTCACCATTCCCGTCTTACGGTCGTTCTTGATCTCCATGCCGAGAAAGTAATCGAGCTCACCGAGATCCGTCATTTCGAAGCGTTTGCTCAGCGCCATCTTGGTTGACTTGAGGAGTTCGTTGTTGCTGCTGGCCAGGATGAGATCATCGACGTAGAGCACCACGAGAATCATGTCTTGGTCGTCTCGCTTGATGTAGATGCAGTGGTCCGATTCGCACTTCTTGAATCCCATCTTGATCATGAACCCATAGATTGTTTGGTTCCACATGCGAGGCGATTGCTTCAAGCCGTAGAGTGATCTCTTTAGCTTGCACACATAGTCCGGCTGTGTTGCATCCAGGTATCCGTCCGGCTGGTCCATGTAGATGTCTTCGTTGAGGGAGCCGTTAAGAAACGCTGTCTTGACGTCCATCTGATGTAGCATTAGGCCGTACTTAGCCGCCATACTGAGCACCACACGAATCGATGTGAACTTGGCCACCGGTGCGAAAGTTTCTTCATAGTCAACTCCGAATTTCTGTGAGAATCCTTTGGCCACAAGTCTTGCCTTGAAACGTTCAACTTCGCCATCTTGATTCTCCTTTACACGAAAAACCCATCGGCACCCGATGGCCTTGCGACCTTTCGGAAGAGGCACGATTTCCCACGTGTCGTTTCTCTGAAGCGAATCGAACTCCGAGTCACACGCTTCTTTCCACTTGCCGGAGTCGCTTGATTCCATCGCCGACTTGAATGTAGTCGGCGTTTCCCCCACTGAATCAACGATGTAGGCTGCTTCAAAATCCATTGCAGCCGCTGACACATGCTCAAGCGACGGACCTCTGTATGTTCTTCGCTTGGGACTTGGAATGACGGTAGCTTTCTCAAGTGATTGAGTGCGCGTGTGTCTCTTGATGTTGCTCTTCGAAGACCTGGTGTCTTCGTTGTCATCGTCGCTCGAGTCCATGTCGTCGTCAGTTTTACCTTCTTCTTTTTCTTCGTCCTCATCATGATCATCAAACTCAACGACACTTGACTCATCGTTGTAGTTGCGCGGACCTTCATCAAACTTGTCTTCCATGAATGTGGCATCGCGACTGATCTTGATCGCTCCTGTTGACACTTCCTCAAATCGATATGACTTCTGGTGTTCGGCGTATCCCAGGAAACGACAGAGTGATGACTTGGAGTCGAACTTCGCGCGTTTGTCTTGAGGCACTTGAACATACGCGTGGCATCCAAACACTTTAAGGTTGGCCAGAATCGGTTTATTCATCGTCCACACTTGATATGGAGACTTGTCTTGGTGAATGGCACGTGTTGGACAGCGGTTTCGAAGAAACATCGCCGTCATCACTGCTTCACCCCAGTAGCTCTTTCCCAGTCCAGCGTGTTCCTGTTGAAAAGACAGCAGCTGTGAAGAAGACACCTCGTCAAGCTGCGTCAAGTGTTGAAGCAAGTGGAAGACCAAGCTTCGCTATACCGGTGGGTACCGGTATGTACCAGTAAGGGCGAAGTCAGGAAATGACGTCACTGGATGACGTCACTGCGAATAATAGGCTTAGAGGTAGTATTCAAAGTTGCGAACTAAGTACCTATTATAAATATATATTCACTTTGCGTTTTGCACTCGGACCAAGAAGTCTAAAGTTCATCAGGTTATGAGCCCAAGTTCGTCAGACTCTGAAACCGCCAACAATTCAAGCTTAGCTGCCATGGACGCCTCCTCCCTCCGCATCTCCAAGTTCGATGGAACTAACTTCCACGCCTGGAAGTTCAAGATGCAGATGGTGCTGGAGGAACGGGACCTATGGGAGGTCGTCAGCGGTGAGATCAAGGCGGAACAGTGCGAGACTCAGTTGGACCAAGCGACGTACAAGAGGAAGTCAAGAAAGGCGATGGCAGTGATCTGTCTAGCCATGGAAGATTCCCAGCCACCGTTGGTCCGGTCGGCAAGTGGTGCATGCGACGCATGGTCAAGGTTGGAAGACCACTTCGAGAAGAAGAGTCTTGCCAACAAGCTGTTCTTGCGCCGTCGCTTCTTCACGACAATGATGGAAGAAGGCGACGATGTGCTCGAACACATCAACAAGCTCAAGACGCTGGCGGAACAGCTAGAAGCGGTGGGGGCTCCAGTCTGCGAGGACGATCTGGTGATCACACTCCTCGGCAGCCTGAGTGACTCGTATCAATTCTTGATCACAGCTTTGGAGTCGCGCTCAGACACTCTTAGCTGGGAGCTCGTGACGTCTCGACTGCTTCATGAAGAAATGAAGCGGAAGGAGCAAGGAAGTAAAGGTGATGAAGCTTCGCAAGGTCAAGCGTTCATCACAAGGGACAATCAGCGCAAAGGGCGACCAGTGAAGAAGTCCTGGCCGTGCCACAATTGCGGAAAGATTGGTCACTGGATGGCGGAGTGCCCCTCGCGCATCCAAGAAAACACGGAGAGACACCGGCCACAGCGTGCTCAAGACAGCGGCGACCGCTATCGATCACAACGTGCAAACGTCGCTCAAGAAGAAGACTCGGGCGACTACCTCTTTTTGATCGGTGAAACGACATCTGCGAAATCGAGCGACATCTGGCTGGTCGACTCCGGGGCGACGCAGCACATGACGTGCTCCAAGAAGTTCATGCGGAACTACAAGGGGTTTGACGCTGTGGATGTCCATCTCGCGGATGATGGAATCGTCCAAGCAATCGGCAGTGGGGACATTGTCATGTCGATGAAGACACCCCAAGGGATGAAGAAAGGTGTGCTCACAAACGTGTGGCACATCCCAAAGTTATCCAGAAACCTGTTCTCGGTCGGCCGCTTCACCAAGGATGTCGGCCCAGTGACGTTCACGAAGGATGGGTGCTATGGAGAAGCGAAAGGGACCAAGTGGAAAATTGGTGCCCGTGAAGGTAAAGGACTGTTCAAGCTGCAAATGACTCCAGTGGCGCCGGAACAAGCAAATGCAGCCAAGTCGTCGGGATGTCAAGGGGGCACCAAGTCGTACCTCTGGCACCTTCGGCTTGGCCACATAGGTCACGATGGACTCAATTGCATCGTGACGAAGAACATTGGAATTGGCATCGACATATCTTCGGTGAAGAAGTGGGACGTGTGTGAAGGTTGTGCTCTGGGAAAACAGACTCGAGTGCGCTTCCAATCAAACACTACAGCTCGCACCTCCAAACTCCTCGAAGTGATTCACAGCGACGTATGCGGACCGATGTCGATGGCAACTTTCAGTGGAAAACGGTACTTCGTGACATTCATTGATGACAAGTCAAGATACTGTGTCGTCTATCTGCTCAAGAGCAAATCTGAAGTTGCGGCGAAGTTCATGGAATACGCTGCGATGGCCGAAACGCAAACCGGAAAGCGCGTGAAGTACCTTCAAAGCGACAATGGGGGTGAATACAAGTCCGACAAGCTGGCACGATTCTGCGCGGAACGGGGAATACAACAAAGGTTCACACCCCCATATACTCCTCAGCTAAACGGAGTAGCTGAGAGAATGAATCGCACGCTGGTCGAGTGTGCGCGTTGCATGATGGAACTGATGAACTTTAGACTTCTTGGTCCTAGTGCAAAACGCAAAGTGAATATATATTTATAATAGGTACTTAGTTCGCAACTTTGAATACTACCTCTAAAGTCTATTATTCGCAGTGACGTCATCCAGTGACGTCATTTCCTGACTTCGCCCTTACTGGTACATACCGGTACCCACCGGTATAGCGAAGCTTGGTCTTCCACTTGCTTCAACACTTGACGCAGCTTGACGAGGTGTCTTCTTCACAGCCGCTGTCTTTTCAACACTCCCTCTCGACTCGTTAGCTGCGGCACCTTGGATCCCAAGTCGATCGCGAATGTTTTTAAATTTTACAGCGGCGATCGGCTTGGTCATCATGTCTGCCAGCATATCTTGAGTCGGGCAATACTCCAAAACGACTTCACCTGATTCCACCTTCTCACGCACAAAATGGTAGCGTATGTCGATGTGTTTTGTTCTCTTATGGAACTCCGGGTTCTTGGCGAGAGCGATTGATCCTTGGTTGTCTTCATACATCTTGATCGCTTCGTCGCTTGTCATCTCACCAAGTTCCCCCAAAAGCACTTTGAGCCATACTGCTTCTTTGGTTGCTTCGGAAAGCGCCATGTATTCTGCTTCTGTTGAAGATAGCGCGACCGTCCGTTGTTTCTGGCTTTTCCAGCTGATGCATCCTCCGCTCATCATGAACACATAGCCGCTTGTACTTCGTCTTGACTCAATGTCGCCGGCCCAGTCTGCGTCGGTGTACCCGCAGATACGGCTTCCTTCTTCACGTGTAAACTCAAGACCATGATTGGGCGTTGCTTGCAGGTATCTCAGCACACGCTTCAAAGCTTGCCAGTGAGTCGGGCATGGGTCGGACGAGAACTGGGATAATGATCCCACTGCAGCAGCTAGATCCGGACGTGTGGCGACCATGAGATACATGATGCCTCCGACAGCACTTCGATATGGCACGTTGCACATGGTGTCTTCGTGCTTGCATTCTTGTTCACACATGTTCTTGGTTAGCTTCAGGCCGGGATCTTGAGGCGTCTTCACTGGCTTGCTGTTATCCATTCCGAACTTGGTTAACACGGACTTGAGGAACTTGGTTTGTTGTACAGTCACCATTCCCGTCTTACGGTCGTTCTTGATCTCCATGCCGAGAAAGTAATCGAGGCTCACCGAGATCCGTCATTTCGAAGCGTTTGCTCAGCGCCATCTTGGTTGACTTGAGGAGTTCGTTGTTGCTGCTGGCCAGGATGAGATCATCGACGTAGAGTACCACGAGAATCATGTCTTGGTCGTCTCGCTTGATGTAGATGCAGTGGTCCGATTCGCACTTCTTGAATCCCATCTTGATCATGAACCCATCGATTGTTTGGTTCCACATGCGAGGCGATTGCTTCAAGCCGTAGAGTGATCTCTTTAGCTTGCACACATAGTCCGGCTGTGTTGCATCCAGGTATCCGTCCGGCTGGTCCATGTAGATGTCTTCGTTGAGGGAGCCGTTAAGAAACGCTGTCTTGACGTCCATCTGATGTAGCATTAGGCCGTATTTAGCCGCCATACTGAGCACCACACGAATCGATGTGAACTTGGCCACCGGTGCGAAAGTTTCTTCATAGTCAACTCCGAATTTCTGTGAGAATCCTTTGGCCACAAGTCTTGCCTTGAAACGTTCAACTTCGCCATCTTGATTCTCCTTTACACGAAAAACCCATCGGCACCCGATGGCCTTGCGACCTTTCGGAAGAGGCACGATTTCCCACGTGTCGTTTCTCTGAAGCGAGTCGAACTCCGAGTCACACGCTTCTTTCCACTTGCCGGAGTCGCTTGATTCCATCGCCGACTTGAATGTAGTCGGCGTTTCCCCCACTGAATCAACGATGTAGGCTGCTTCAAAATCCATTGCAGCCGCTGACACATGCTCAAGCGACGGACATCTGTATGTTCTTCGCTTGGGACTTGGAATGACGGTAGCTTTCTCAAGTGATTGAGTGCGCGTGTGTCTCTTGATGTTGCTCTTCGAAGACCTGGTGTCTTCGTTGTCATCGTCGCTCGAGTCCATGTCGTCGTCAGTTTTACCTTCTTCTTTTTCTTCGTCCTCATCATGATCATCAAACTCAACGACACTTGACTCATCGTTGTAGTTGCGCGGACCTTCATCAAACTTGTCTTCCATGAATGTGGCATCGCGACTGATCTTGATCGCTCCTGTTGACACTTCCTCAAATCGATATGACTTCTGGTGTTCGGCGTATCCCAGGAAACGACAGAGTGATGACTTGGAGTCGAACTTCGCGCGCGTTTGTCTTGAGGCACTTGAACATACGCGTGGCATCCAAACACTTTAAGGTTGGCCAGAATCGGTTTCTTCATCGTCCACACTTGATATGGAGACTTGTCTTGGTGAATGGCACGTGTTGGACAGCGGTTTCGAAGAAACATCGCCGTCATCACTGCTTCACCCCAGTAGCTCTTTCCCAGTCCAGCGTGTTCCATCATGCAACGCGCACACTCGACCAGCGTGCGATTCATTCTCTCAGCTACTCCGTTTAGCTGAGGAGTATATGGGGGTGTGAACCTTTGTTGTATTCCCCGTTCCGCGCAGAATCGTGCCAGCTTGTCGGACTTGTATTCACCCCCATTGTCGCTTTGAAGGTACTTCACGCGCTTTCCGGTTTGCGTTTCGGCCATCGCAGCGTATTCCATGAACTTCGCCGCAACTTCAGATTTGCTCTTGAGCAGATAGACGACACAGTATCTTGACTTGTCATCAATGAATGTCACGAAGTACCGTTTTCCACTGAAAGTTGCCATCGACATCGGTCCGCATACGTCGCTGTGAATCACTTCGAGGAGTTTGGAGGTGCGAGCTGTAGTGTTTGATTGGAAGCGCACTCGAGTCTGTTTTCCCAGAGCACAACCTTCACACACGTCCCACTTCTTCACCGAAGATATGTCGATGCCAATTCCAATGTTCTTCGTCACGATGCAATTGAGTCCATCGTGACCTATGTGGCCAAGCCGAAGGTGCCAGAGGTACGACTTGGTGCCCCCTTGACATCCCGACGACTTGGCTGCATTTGCTTGTTCCGGCGCCACTGGAGTCATTTGCAGCTTGAACAGTCCTTTACCTTCACGGGCACCAATTTTCCACTTGGTCCCTTTCGCTTCTCCATAGCACCCATCCTTCGTGAACGTCACTGGGCCGACATCCTTGGTGAAGCGGCCGACCGAGAACAGGTTTCTGGATAACTTTGGGATGTGCCACACGTTTGTGAGCACACCTTTCTTCATCCCTTGGGGTGTCTTCATCGACATGACAATGTCCCCACTGCCGATTGCTTGGACGATTCCATCATCCGCGAGATGGACATCCACAGCGTCAAACCCCTTGTAGTTCCGCATGAACTTCTTGGAGCACGTCATGTGCTGCGTCGCCCCGGAGTCGACCAGCCAGATGTCGCTCGATTTCGCAGATGTCGTTTCACCGATCGAAAAGAGGTAGTCGCCCGAGTCTTCTTCTTGAGCGACGTTTGCACGTTGTGATCGATAGCGGTCGCCGCTGTCTTGAGCACGCTGTGGCCGGTGTCTCTCCGTGTTTTCTTGGATGCGCGAGGGGCACTCCGCCATCCAGTGACCAATCTTTCCGCAATTGTGGCACGGCCAGGACTTCTTCACTGGTCGCCCTTTGCGCTGATTGTCCCTTGTGATGAACGCTTGACCTTGCGAAGCTTCATCACCTTTACTTCCTTGCTCCTTCCGCTTCATTTCTTCATGAAGCAGTCGAGACGTCACGAGCTCCCAGCTAAGAGTGTCTGAGCGCGACTCCAAAGCTGTGATCAAGAATTGATACGAGTCACTCAGGCTGCCGAGGAGTGTGATCACCAGATCGTCCTCGCAGACTGGAGCCCCCACCGCTTCTAGCTGTTCCGCCAGCGTCTTGAGCTTGTTGATGTGTTCGAGCACATCGTCGCCTTCTTCCATCATTGTCGTGAAGAAGCGACGGCGCAAGAACAGCTTGTTGGCAAGACTCTTCTTCTCGAAGTGGTCTTCCAACCTTGACCATGCGTCGCATGCACCACTTGCCGACCGGACCAACGGTAGCTGGGAATCTTCCATGGCTAGACAGATCACTGCCATCGCCTTTCTTGACTTCCTCTTGTACGTCGCTTGGTCCAACTGAGTCTCGCACTGTTCCGCCTTGATCTCACCGCTGACGACCTCCCATAGGTCCCGTTCCTCCAGCACCATCTGCATCTTGAACTTCCAGGCGTGGAAGTTAGTTCCATCGAACTTGGAGATGCGGAGGGAGGGAGGCGTCCATGGCATCTAAGCTTCAATTGTTGGCGGTTTCAGAGTCTGACGAACTTGGGCTCATAACCTGATGAACTTTAGACTTCTTGGTCCGAGTGCAAAACGCAAAGTAAATATATATTTATAATAGGTACTTAGTTCGCAACTTTGAATACTACCTCTAAGCCTATTATTCGCAGTGACGTCATCCAGTGACGTCACCCACTGACGTCACCCACTGACGTCATGCAATGACGTCATCCAGTGACGTCATTTCCTGACTTCGCCCTTACTGGTACATACCGGTACCCACCGGTATAGCGAAGCTTGGTCTTCCACTTGCTTCAACACTTGACGCAGCTTGACGAGGTGTCTTCTTCACAGCCGCTGTCTTTTCAACACTGACAACGTTTAAAGATGCTGTTGATGGACCGGATCAAGTGCATTGGTGTGAAGCAATCTGTGCTGAGTTGGACTCGATGAAACTTCGTGGCGTGCTTCGAGCGTTCAAACTGCCAGCTGGACAGCATACCATTGGCACCAAGTGGGTATTCAATATCAAGCGGAAAGCTGATGGATCCATCGAGAAATACAAGGCGCGTCTCGTGGCAAAAGGGTTCAAGCAGAAATATGGCATCGACTACACGGAGACGTTTTTCCGGTAGTCAAGTTGATGAACTTTAGACTTCTTGGTCCGAGTGCAAAACGCAAAGTAAATATATATTTATAATAGGTACTTAGTTCGCAACTTTGAATACTACCTCTAAGCCTATTATTCGCAGTGACGTCATCCAGTGACGTCACCCACTGACGTCACCCACTGACGTCATGCAATGACGTCATCCAGTGACGTCATTTCCTGACTTCGCCCTTACTGGTACATACCGGTACCCACCGGTATAGCGAAGCTTGGTCTTCCACTTGCTTCAACACTTGACGCAGCTTGACGAGGTGTCTTCTTCACAGCCGCTGTCTTTTCAACACTGACAACGTTTAAAGATGCTGTTGATGGACCGGATCAAGTGCATTGGTGTGAAGCAATCTGTGCTGAGTTGGACTCGATGAAACTTCGTGGCGTGCTTCGAGCGTTCAAACTGCCAGCTGGACAGCATACCATTGGCACCAAGTGGGTATTCAATATCAAGCGGAAAGCTGATGGATCCATCGAGAAATACAAGGCGCGTCTCGTGGCAAAAGGGTTCAAGCAGAAATATGGCATCGACTACACGGAGACGTTTTTCCGGTAGTCAAGTTGATGAACTTTAGACTTCTTGGTCCGAGTGCAAAACGCAAAGTAAATATATATTTATAATAGGTACTTAGTTCGCAACTTTGAATACTACCTCTAAGCCTATTATTCGCAGTGACGTCATCCAGTGACGTCACCCACTGACGTCACCCACTGACGTCATGCAATGACGTCATCCAGTGACGTCATTTCCTGACTTCGCCCTTACTGGTACATACCGGTACCCACCGGTATAGCGAAGCTTGGTCTTCCACTTGCTTCAACACTTGACGCAGCTTGACGAGGTGTCTTCTTCACAGCTGCTGTCTTTTCAACACTCCCTCTCGACTCGTTAGCTGCGGCACCTTGGATCCCAAGTCGATCGCGAATGTTTTCAAATTGTACAGCGGCGATCGGCTTGGTCATCATGTCTGCCAGCATATCTTGAGTCGGGCAATACTCCAAAACGACTTCACCTGATTCCACCTTCTCACGCACAAAATGGTAGCGTATGTCGATGTGTTTTGTTCTCTTATGGAACTCCGGGTTCTTGGCGAGAGCGATTGATCCTTGGTTGTCTTCATACATCTTGATCGCTTCGTCGCTTGTCATCTCACCAAGTTCCCCCAAAAGCACCTTGAGCCATACTGCTTCTTTGGTTGCTTCGGAAAGCGCCATGTATTCTGCTTCTGTTGAAGATAGCGCGACCGTCCGTTGTTTCTGGCTTTTCCAGCTGATGCATCCTCCGCTCATCATGAACACATAGCCGCTTGTACTTCGTCTTGACTCAATGTCGCCGGCCCAGTCTGCGTCGGTGTACCCGCAGATACGGCTTCCTTCTTGACGTGTAAACTCAAGACCATGGTTGGGCGTTGCTTGCAGGTATCTCAGCACACGCTTCAAAGCTTGCCAGTGAGTCGGGCATGGGTCGGACGAGAACTGGGATAATGATCCCACTGCAGCAGCTAGATCCGGACGTGTGGCGACCATGAGATACATGATGCCTCCGACAGCACTTCGATATGGCACGTTGCACATGGTGTCTTCGTGCTTGCATTCTTGTTCACACATGTTCTTGGTTAGCTTCAGGCCGGGATCTTGAGGCGTCTTCACTGGCTTGCTGTTATCCATTCCGAACTTGGTTAACACGGACTTGAGAAACTTGGTTTGTTGCACAGTCACCATTCCCGTCTTACGGTCGTTCTTGATCTCCATGCCGAGAAAGTAATCGAGCTCACCGAGATCCGTCATTTCGAAGCGTTTGCTCAGCGCCATCTTGGTCGACTTGAGGAGTTCGTTGTTGCTGCTGGCCAGGATGAGATCATCGACGTAGAGCACCACGAGAATCATGTCTTGGTCGTCTCGCTTGATGTAGATGCAGTGGTCCGATTCGCACTTCTTGAATCCCATCTTGATCATGAACCCATCGATTGTTTGGTTCCACATGCGAGGCGATTGCTTCAAGCCGTAGAGTGATCTCTTTAGCTTGCACACATAGTCCGGCTGTGTTGCATCCAGGTATCCGTCCGGCTGGTCCATGTAGATGTCTTCGTTGAGGGAGCCGTTAAGAAACGCCGTCTTGACGTCCATCTGATGTAGCATTAGGCCGTACTTAGCCGCCATACTGAGCACCACACGAATCGATGTGAACTTGGCCACCGGTGCGAAAGTTTCTTCATAGTCAACTCCGAATTTCTGTGAGAATCCTTTGGCCACAAGTCTTGCCTTGAAACGTTCAACTTCGCCATCTTGATTCTCCTTTACACGAAAAACCCATCGGCACCCGATGGCCTTGCGACCTTTCGGAAGAGGCACGATTTCCCACGTGTCGTTTCTCTGAAGCGAGTCGAACTCCGAGTCACACGCTTCTTTCCACTTGCCGGAGTCGCTTGATTCCATCGCCGACTTGAATGTAGTCGGCGTTTCCCCCACTGAATCAACGATGTAGGCTGCTTCAAAATCCATTGCAGCCGCTGACACATGCTCAAGCGACGGACATCTGTACGTTCTTCGCTTGGGACTTGGAATGACGGTAGCTTTCTCAAGTGATTGAGTGCGCGTGTGTCTCTTGATGTTGCTCTTCGAAGACCTGGTGTCTTCGTTGTCATCGTCGCTCGAGTCCATGTCGTCGTCAGTTTTACCTTCTTCTTTTTCTTCGTCCTCATCATGATCATCAAACTCAACGACACTTGACTCATCGTTGTAGTTGCGCGGACCTTCATCAAACTTGTCTTCCATGAATGTGGCATCGCGACTGATCTTGATCGCTCCTGTTGACACTTCCTCAAATCGATATGACTTCTGGTGTTCGGCGTATCCCAGGAAACGACAGAGTGATGACTTGGAGTCGAACTTCGCGCGTTTGTCTTGAGGCACTTGAACATACGCGTGGCATCCAAACACTTTAAGGTTGGCCAGAATCGGTTTCTTCATCGTCCACACTTGATATGGAGACTTGTCTTGGTGAATGGCACGTGTTGGACAGCGGTTTCGAAGAAACATCGCCGTCATCACTGCTTCACCCCAGTAGCTCTTTCCCAGTCCAGCGTGTTCCATCATGCAACGCGCACACTCGACCAGCGTGCGATTCATTCTCTCAGCTACTCCGTTTAGCTGAGGAGTATATGGGGGTGTGAACCTTTGTTGTATTCCCCGTTCCGCGCAGAATCGTGCCAGCTTGTCGGACTTGTATTCACCCCCATTGTCGCTTTGAAGGTACTTCACGCGCTTTCCGGTTTGCGTTTCGGCCATCGCAGCGTATTCCATGAACTTCGCCGCAACTTCAGATTTGCTCTTGAGCAGATAGACGACACAGTATCTTGACTTGTCATCAATGAATGTCACGAAGTACCGTTTTCCACTGAAAGTTGCCATCGACATCGGTCCGCATACGTCGCTGTGAATCACTTCGAGGAGTTTGGAGGTGCGAGCTGTAGTGTTTGATTGGAAGCGCACTCGAGTCTGTTTTCCCAGAGCACAACCTTCACACACGTCCCACTTCTTCACCGAAGATATGTCGATGCCAATTCCAATGTTCTTCGTCACGATGCAATTGAGTCCATCGTGACCTATGTGGCCAAGCCGAAGGTGCCAGAGGTACGACTTGGTGCCCCCTTGACATCCCGACGACTTGGCTGCATTTGCTTGTTCCGGCGCCACTGGAGTCATTTGCAGCTTGAACAGTCCTTTACCTTCACGGGCACCAATTTTCCACTTGGTCCCTTTCGCTTCTCCATAGCACCCATCCTTCGTGAACGTCACTGGGCCGACATCCTTGGTGAAGCGGCCGACCGAGAACAGGTTTCTGGATAACTTTGGGATGTGCCACACGTTTGTGAGCACACCTTTCTTCATCCCTTGGGGTGTCTTCATCGACATGACAATGTCCCCACTGCCGATTGCTTGGACGATTCCATCATCCGCGAGATGGACATCCACAGCGTCAAACCCCTTGTAGTTCCGCATGAACTTCTTGGAGCACGTCATGTGCTGCGTCGCCCCGGAGTCGACCAGCCAGATGTCACTCGATTTCGCAGATGTCGTTTCACCGATCGAAAAGAGGTAGTCGCCCGAGTCTTCTTCTTGAGCGACGTTTGCACGTTGTGATCGATAGCGGTCGCCGCTGTCTTGAGCACGCTGTGGCCGGTGTCTCTCCGTGTTTTCTTGGATGCGCGAGGGGCACTCCGCCATCCAGTGACCAATCTTTCCGCAATTGTGGCACGGCCAGGACTTCTTCACTGGTCGCCCTTTGCGCTGATTGTCCCTTGTGATGAACGCTTGACCTTGCGAAGCTTCATCACCTTTACTTCCTTGCTCCTTCCGCTTCATTTCTTCATGAAGCAGTCGAGACGTCACGAGCTCCCAGCTAAGAGTGTCTGAGCGCGACTCCAAAGCTGTGATCAAGAATTGATACGAGTCACTCAGGCTGCCGAGGAGTGTGATCACCAGATCGTCCTCGCAGACTGGAGCCCCCACCGCTTCTAGCTGTTCCGCCAGCGTCTTGAGCTTGTTGATGTGTTCGAGCACATCGTCGCCTTCTTCCATCATTGTCGTGAAGAAGCGACGGCGCAAGAACAGCTTGTTGGCAAGACTCTTCTTCTCGAAGTGGTCTTCCAACCTTGACCATGCGTCGCATGCACCACTTGCCGACCGGACCAACGGTAGCTGGGAATCTTCCATGGCTAGACAGATCACTGCCATCGCCTTTCTTGACTTCCTCTTGTACGTCGCTTGGTCCAACTGAGTCTCGCACTGTTCCGCCTTGATCTCACCGCTGACGACCTCCCATAAGTTCCGCTCCTCAAGCACCATCCGCATCTTGAACTTCCAGGCGTGGAAGTTAGTTCCATCGAACTTGGAGATGCGGAGGGAGGGAGGCGTCCATGGCAGCTAAGCTTGAATTGTTGGCGGTTTCAGAGTCTGACGAACTTGGGCTCATAACCTGATGAACTTTAGACTTCTTGGTCCGAGTGCAAAACGCAAAGTGAATATATATTTATAATAGGTACTTAGTTCGCAACTTTGAATACTACCTCTAAGCCTATTATTCGCAGTGACGTCATCCAGTGACGTCACCCACTGACGTCATGCAATGACGTCATCCAGTGACGTCACCCACTGACGTCATCCAATGACGTCATTTCCTGACTTCGCCCTTACTGGTACATACCGGTACCCACCGGTATAGCGAAGCTTGGTCTTCCACTTGCTTCAACACTTGACGCAGCTTGACGAGGTGTCTTCTTCACAGCCGCTGTCTTTTCAACACTGACAACGTTTAAAGATGCTGTTGATGGACCGGATCAAGTGCATTGGTGTGAAGCAATCTGTGCTGAGTTGGACTCGATGAAACTTCGTGGCGTGCTTCGAGCGTTCAAACTGCCAGCTGGACAGCATACCATTGGCACCAAGTGGGTATTCAATATCAAGCGGAAAGCTGATGGATCCATCGAGAAATACAAGGCGCGTCTCGTGGCAAAAGGGTTCAAGCAGAAATATGGCATCGACTACACGGAGACGTTTTTCCGGTAGTCAAGTTGATGAACTTTAGACTTCTTGGTCCGAGTGCAAAACGCAAAGTAAATATATATTTATAATAGGTACTTAGTTCGCAACTTTGAATACTACCTCTAAGCCTATTATTCGCAGTGACGTCATCCAGTGACGTCACCCACTGACGTCACCCACTGACGTCATGCAATGACGTCATCCAGTGACGTCATTTCCTGACTTCGCCCTTACTGGTACATACCGGTACCCACCGGTATAGCGAAGCTTGGTCTTCCACTTGCTTCAACACTTGACGCAGCTTGACGAGGTGTCTTCTTCACAGCTGCTGTCTTTTCAACACTCCCTCTCGACTCGTTAGCTGCGGCACCTTGGATCCCAAGTCGATCGCGAATGTTTTCAAATTGTACAGCGGCGATCGGCTTGGTCATCATGTCTGCCAGCATATCTTGAGTCGGGCAATACTCCAAAACGACTTCACCTGATTCCACCTTCTCACGCACAAAATGGTAGCGTATGTCGATGTGTTTTGTTCTCTTATGGAACTCCGGGTTCTTGGCGAGAGCGATTGATCCTTGGTTGTCTTCATACATCTTGATCGCTTCGTCGCTTGTCATCTCACCAAGTTCCCCCAAAAGCACCTTGAGCCATACTGCTTCTTTGGTTGCTTCGGAAAGCGCCATGTATTCTGCTTCTGTTGAAGATAGCGCGACCGTCCGTTGTTTCTGGCTTTTCCAGCTGATGCATCCTCCGCTCATCATGAACACATAGCCGCTTGTACTTCGTCTTGACTCAATGTCGCCGGCCCAGTCTGCGTCGGTGTACCCGCAGATACGGCTTCCTTCTTGACGTGTAAACTCAAGACCATGGTTGGGCGTTGCTTGCAGGTATCTCAGCACACGCTTCAAAGCTTGCCAGTGAGTCGGGCATGGGTCGGACGAGAACTGGGATAATGATCCCACTGCAGCAGCTAGATCCGGACGTGTGGCGACCATGAGATACATGATGCCTCCGACAGCACTTCGATATGGCACGTTGCACATGGTGTCTTCGTGCTTGCATTCTTGTTCACACATGTTCTTGGTTAGCTTCAGGCCGGGATCTTGAGGCGTCTTCACTGGCTTGCTGTTATCCATTCCGAACTTGGTTAACACGGACTTGAGAAACTTGGTTTGTTGCACAGTCACCATTCCCGTCTTACGGTCGTTCTTGATCTCCATGCCGAGAAAGTAATCGAGCTCACCGAGATCCGTCATTTCGAAGCGTTTGCTCAGCGCCATCTTGGTCGACTTGAGGAGTTCGTTGTTGCTGCTGGCCAGGATGAGATCATCGACGTAGAGCACCACGAGAATCATGTCTTGGTCGTCTCGCTTGATGTAGATGCAGTGGTCCGATTCGCACTTCTTGAATCCCATCTTGATCATGAACCCATCGATTGTTTGGTTCCACATGCGAGGCGATTGCTTCAAGCCGTAGAGTGATCTCTTTAGCTTGCACACATAGTCCGGCTGTGTTGCATCCAGGTATCCGTCCGGCTGGTCCATGTAGATGTCTTCGTTGAGGGAGCCGTTAAGAAACGCCGTCTTGACGTCCATCTGATGTAGCATTAGGCCGTACTTAGCCGCCATACTGAGCACCACACGAATCGATGTGAACTTGGCCACCGGTGCGAAAGTTTCTTCATAGTCAACTCCGAATTTCTGTGAGAATCCTTTGGCCACAAGTCTTGCCTTGAAACGTTCAACTTCGCCATCTTGATTCTCCTTTACACGAAAAACCCATCGGCACCCGATGGCCTTGCGACCTTTCGGAAGAGGCACGATTTCCCACGTGTCGTTTCTCTGAAGCGAGTCGAACTCCGAGTCACACGCTTCTTTCCACTTGCCGGAGTCGCTTGATTCCATCGCCGACTTGAATGTAGTCGGCGTTTCCCCCACTGAATCAACGATGTAGGCTGCTTCAAAATCCATTGCAGCCGCTGACACATGCTCAAGCGACGGACATCTGTACGTTCTTCGCTTGGGACTTGGAATGACGGTAGCTTTCTCAAGTGATTGAGTGCGCGTGTGTCTCTTGATGTTGCTCTTCGAAGACCTGGTGTCTTCGTTGTCATCGTCGCTCGAGTCCATGTCGTCGTCAGTTTTACCTTCTTCTTTTTCTTCGTCCTCATCATGATCATCAAACTCAACGACACTTGACTCATCGTTGTAGTTGCGCGGACCTTCATCAAACTTGTCTTCCATGAATGTGGCATCGCGACTGATCTTGATCGCTCCTGTTGACACTTCCTCAAATCGATATGACTTCTGGTGTTCGGCGTATCCCAGGAAACGACAGAGTGATGACTTGGAGTCGAACTTCGCGCGTTTGTCTTGAGGCACTTGAACATACGCGTGGCATCCAAACACTTTAAGGTTGGCCAGAATCGGTTTCTTCATCGTCCACACTTGATATGGAGACTTGTCTTGGTGAATGGCACGTGTTGGACAGCGGTTTCGAAGAAACATCGCCGTCATCACTGCTTCACCCCAGTAGCTCTTTCCCAGTCCAGCGTGTTCCATCATGCAACGCGCACACTCGACCAGCGTGCGATTCATTCTCTCAGCTACTCCGTTTAGCTGAGGAGTATATGGGGGTGTGAACCTTTGTTGTATTCCCCGTTCCGCGCAGAATCGTGCCAGCTTGTCGGACTTGTATTCACCCCCATTGTCGCTTTGAAGGTACTTCACGCGCTTTCCGGTTTGCGTTTCGGCCATCGCAGCGTATTCCATGAACTTCGCCGCAACTTCAGATTTGCTCTTGAGCAGATAGACGACACAGTATCTTGACTTGTCATCAATGAATGTCACGAAGTACCGTTTTCCACTGAAAGTTGCCATCGACATCGGTCCGCATACGTCGCTGTGAATCACTTCGAGGAGTTTGGAGGTGCGAGCTGTAGTGTTTGATTGGAAGCGCACTCGAGTCTGTTTTCCCAGAGCACAACCTTCACACACGTCCCACTTCTTCACCGAAGATATGTCGATGCCAATTCCAATGTTCTTCGTCACGATGCAATTGAGTCCATCGTGACCTATGTGGCCAAGCCGAAGGTGCCAGAGGTACGACTTGGTGCCCCCTTGACATCCCGACGACTTGGCTGCATTTGCTTGTTCCGGCGCCACTGGAGTCATTTGCAGCTTGAACAGTCCTTTACCTTCACGGGCACCAATTTTCCACTTGGTCCCTTTCGCTTCTCCATAGCACCCATCCTTCGTGAACGTCACTGGGCCGACATCCTTGGTGAAGCGGCCGACCGAGAACAGGTTTCTGGATAACTTTGGGATGTGCCACACGTTTGTGAGCACACCTTTCTTCATCCCTTGGGGTGTCTTCATCGACATGACAATGTCCCCACTGCCGATTGCTTGGACGATTCCATCATCCGCGAGATGGACATCCACAGCGTCAAACCCCTTGTAGTTCCGCATGAACTTCTTGGAGCACGTCATGTGCTGCGTCGCCCCGGAGTCGACCAGCCAGATGTCGCTCGATTTCGCAGATGTCGTTTCACCGATCGAAAAGAGGTAGTCGCCCGAGTCTTCTTCTTGAGCGACGTTTGCACGTTGTGATCGATAGCGGTCGCCGCTGTCTTGAGCACGCTGTGGCCGGTGTCTCTCCGTGTTTTCTTGGATGCGCGAGGGGCACTCCGCCATCCAGTGACCAATCTTTCCGCAATTATGGCACGGCCAGGACTTCTTCACTGGTCGCCCTTTGCGCTGATTGTCCCTTGTGATGAACGCTTGACCTTGCGAAGCTTCATCACCTTTACTTCCTTGCTCCTTCCGCTTCATTTCTTCATGAAGCAGTCGAGACGTCACGAGCTCCCAGCTAAGAGTGTCTGAGCGCGACTCCAAAGCTGTGATCAAGAATTGATACGAGTCACTCAGGCTGCCGAGGAGTGTGATCACCAGATCGTCCTCGCAGACTGGAGCCCCCACCGCTTCTAGCTGTTCCGCCAGCGTCTTGAGCTTGTTGATGTGTTCGAGCACATCGTCGCCTTCTTCCATCATTGTCGTGAAGAAGCGACGGCGCAAGAACAGCTTGTTGGCAAGACTCTTCTTCTCGAAGTGGTCTTCCAACCTTGACCATGCGTCGCATGCACCACTTGCCGACCGGACCAACGGTAGCTGGGAATCTTCCATGGCTAGACAGATCACTGCCATCGCCTTTCTTGACTTCCTCTTGTACGTCGCTTGGTCCAACTGAGTCTCGCACTGTTCCGCCTTGATCTCACCGCTGACGACCTCCCATAGGTCCCGTTCCTCCAGCACCATCTGCATCTTGAACTTCCAGGCGTGGAAGTTAGTTCCATCGAACTTGGAGATGCGGAGGGAGGAGGCGTCCATGGCAGCTAAGCTTGAATTGTTGGCGGTTTCAGAGTCTGACGAACTTGGGCTCATAACCTGATGAACTTTAGACTTCTTGGTCCGAGTGCAAAACGCAAAGTGAATATATATTTATAATAGGTACTTAGTTCGCAACTTTGAATACTACCTCTAAGCCTATTATTCGCAGTGACGTCATCCAGTGACGTCACCCACTGACGTCACCCACTGACGTCATGCAATGACGTCATCCAGTGACGTCATTTCCTGACTTCGCCCTTACTGGTACATACCGGTACCCACCGGTATAGCGAAGCTTGGTCTTCCACTTGCTTCAACACTTGACGCAGCTTGACGAGGTGTCTTCTTCACAGCTGCTGTCTTTTCAACACAAGTACGTGACGCTGCGCATGGTAGTTGCAATCACAAAGTACTTTGACTGGACACTGGACCTACTGGACGTGGTGACAGCTTTGCTATGCGAAGAGATGAAGGAAAAGGTATTCTGCGCGATCCCAGAAGGGGTCGAAGTTGATGAAGACTTTGACTGCTTCGAATTGTTGAAGGCGATCTACGGACTAAAACAAGCATCGCGCGTATGGAAGGAAATTTCTATGAGTTCGTCTGCTCCATTGGATTTCAAGTATCTCATTTTGACCCGTGTCTTTATCTCAAGATTACAAGTGGCGAGTGCGTGCTTTTGCTGGTATACGTCGATGATGTGTTGGTGACTGGCAGCTCGACCGAACTGATTATGCGCACCAAGAGTGGCTTGAAGGCGCGTTTCGAAATGACTGACAGCGGCAAGTGCGCATTCGTGTTGGGCATCGAGCTGGTGGACAACGACAACGGTAGCGTGACGATGTGCCAGCGACGCTACGTGGAAGATGTTCTCAAGCGTTTTGGCATGAGCGACTGCAAAGCCGTCACCAGCCCAACAGACATCAGTTCTTGACTCATACCAAGCAGTGCAGTAACCAAAATTGACGCCCCGTTTTGTGAAGCAGTAGGCGCTTTAATGCACTTGATGACCGCGACACGACCGGACATTGCCTTTGCTGTGAGTTACGTTTCGCGCTTCATGGAAAACCTCCAAGTCGAGCACTGGATGGCGGTCAAGCGCATTTTGCGATACTTACAAGGGACTAAGTCGGACGGCATCTGTTTCAAGTCTGATGACAAGATAGACTTCTGCGGCTACTCGGATGCAGACTGGGCCGGCGACCATGCAGACCGCAAGTCGACTTCGGGATATGCGCTCATCCTGATGGGTGATCCGGTGAGCTGGGGAAGCAAAAAGCAGTCAAGTGTGTCGCTGTCAACAAGTGAAGCTGAGTGCATTGCATTAAGTCTGGCTATTCAAGAAGGCAAGTGGGTGCATCGATTGCTATGCGAGATTCTGGATGCCGCAGAGGACAAGTCTGGACCCGAGCTCAAGATCATGGAAGACAACCAATCGTGCATCAAGATGACGAAGAATCCTGTGAACCATGGTCGGGCCAAGCACATCGACACTTGTGGTCCAATGGAAGTCGACTCGCTAGGTGGAAGCAAGTACTTGCTACTGACCGTAGATGAAGGCAGCGGATGTATGAAGGGTTTCAGTCTGCGCGCCAATTCCGACAGCGAAGAGTGCATCAAGAAGTACATCGTGGCAGTACAGACGCAGTTTGACTACAAGGTCAAGTTCGTTCGCCACGATGGTGCACGCGAATCTGTGGCAAATTCGCTCAAGGCATTTTACGATGATCAACGAATCGAGCAGCAAGTTACCGTTCCATATGCGCATCAGACCAACGGCACGGCGGAACGGGCAATTCGGACCATTGTGACGATCGGGCGCAGCATGCTTCACTACGCCAAGCTGGACAAGTTTTTTTGAGTTGAAGCAGCAATGACGGCGATCTACATCAAGAATCGCCTACCATCGCCCAAGTGCCAAGATCAAACCCCGTTCGAGATTGTCAACGGATTTCGACCAAGTGTGAAGCACGTGCGGGTTTTCGGCTGCCGAACGTTTGTGCTGACCCCTAAGGAAAAGATATCAAAATGGGATCCGAAGGCTCGTGAAGGACGATTCATGGGGTACGAAGAAGTGTCAAAGGCATATCGCGTTTACGAAATTGAAGCGGATCAAGTGGTGATATCTCGCGATGTCACATTCGACGAACCAACGTTTGGTTTCTCGCCGACGCTACCACAAGAAATTGTTGATGACACTGCGCTGGATATCGAATCGATGAACATCAGCGATGAGCCTCACCCTATGGAGTTCAAGAAAACTGGAAAACGCAAAAGCCGTTCAAACAGCCAAGAACAAGCTCTACAACGGACACTTCCTGAGCGTCGTGGAACCGGGTTCGAAGAAGCAAGTGCACCGGATGACTTTGAAACGCACCAAGCGAAGCGACGGTCAAGCGCTCGAGCAAATCTGGACGAAGAGCGAAAGGGCAGTGACGAAGATAACGAGGATGCTACACCTCAAGTCTTTTGGCGAGTGAGTGTCAACGCAGTCGAAGGTACTGACTTGTCTGAGCCGACAACGTTTAAAGATGCTGTTGATGGACCGGATCAAGTGCATTGGTGTGAAGCAATCTGTGCTGAGTTGGACTCGATGAAACTTCGTGGCGTGCTTCGAGCGCCCAAACAGCCAGCTGGACAGCATACCATTGGCACCAAGTGGGTATTCAATATCAAGCGGAAAGCTGATGGATCCATCGAGAAATACAAGGCGCGTCTCGTGGCAAAAGGGTTCAAGCAGAAATATGGCATCGACTACACGGAAACGTTTTTGCCGGTAGTCAAGTACGTGACGCTGCGCATGGTAGTTGCAATCACGAAGTACTTTGACTGGACACTGGACCTACTGGACGTGGTGACAGCTTTGCTATGCGAAGAGATGAAGGAAAAGGTATTCTGCGCGATCCCAGAAGGGGTCGAAGTTGATGAAGACTTTGACTGCTTCGAATTGTTGAAGGCGATCTACGGACTAAAACAAGCATCGCGCGTATGGAAGGAAATTTCTATGAGTTCGTCTGCTCCATTGGATTTCAAGTATCTCATTTTGACCCGTGTCTTTATCTCAAGATTACAAGTGGCGAGTGCGTGCTTTTGCTGGTATACGTCGATGATGTGTTGGTGACTGGCAGCTCGACCGAACTGATTATGCGCACCAAGAGTGGCTTGAAGGCGCGTTTCGAAATGACTGACAGCGGCAAGTGCGCATTCGTGTTGGGCATCGAGCTGGTGGACAACGACAACGGTAGCGTGACGATGTGCCAGCGACGCTACGTGGAAGATGTTCTCAAGCGTTTTGGCATGAGCGACTGCAAAGCCGTCACCAGCCCAACAGACATCAGTTCTTGACTCATACCAAGCAGTGCAGTAACCAAAATTGACGCCCCGTTTTGTGAAGCAGTAGGCGCTTTAATGCACTTGATGACCGCGACACGACCGGACATTGCCTTTGCTGTGAGTTACGTTTCGCGCTTCATGGAAAACCTCCAAGTCGAGCACTGGATGGCGGTCAAGCGCATTTTGCGATACTTACAAGGGACTAAGTCGGACGGCATCTGTTTCAAGTCTGATGACAAGATAGACTTCTGCGGCTACTCGGATGCAGACTGGGCCGGCGACCATGCAGACCGCAAGTCGACTTCGGGATATGCGCTCATCCTGATGGGTGATCCGGTGAGCTGGGGAAGCAAAAAGCAGTCAAGTGTGTCGCTGTCAACAAGTGAAGCTGAGTGCATTGCATTAAGTCTGGCTATTCAAGAAGGCAAGTGGGTGCATCGATTGCTATGCGAGATTCTGGATGCCGCAGAGGACAAGTCTGGACCCAAGCTCAAGATCATGGAAGACAACCAATCGTGCATCAAGATGACGAAGAATCCTGTGAACCATGTTGAAAAGACAGCGGCTGTGAAGAAGACACCTCGTCAAGCTGCGTCAAGTGTTGAAGCAAGTGGAAGACCAAGCTTCGCTATACCGGTGGGTACCGGTATGTACCAGTAAGGGCGAAGTCAGGAAATGACGTCACTGGATGACGTCATTGCATGACGTCAGTGGGTGACGTCAGTGGGTGACGTCACTGGATGACGTCACTGCGAATAATAGGCTTAGAGGTAGTATTCAAAGTTGCGAACTAAGTACCTATTATAAATATATATTCACTTTGCGTTTTGCACTCGGACCAAGAAGTCTAAAGTTCATCAGGTTATGAGCCCAAGTTCGTCAGACTCTGAAACCGCCAACAATTCAAGCTTAGCTGCCATGGACGCCTCCTCCCTCCGCATCTCCAAGTTCGATGGAACTAACTTCCACGCCTGGAAGTTCAAGATGCAGATGGTGCTGGAGGAACGGGACCTATGGGAGGTCGTCAGCGGTGAGATCAAGGCGGAACAGTGCGAGACTCAGTTGGACCAAGCGACGTACAAGAGGAAGTCAAGAAAGGCGATGGCAGTGATCTGTCTAGCCATGGAAGATTCCCAGCTACCGTTGGTCCGGTCGGCAAGTGGTGCATGCGACGCATGGTCAAGGTTGGAAGACCACTTCGAGAAGAAGAGTCTTGCCAACAAGCTGTTCTTACGCCGTCGCTTCTTAACGACAATGATGGAAGAAGGCGACGATGTGCTCGAACACATCAACAAGCTCAAGACGCTGGCGGAACAGCTAGAAGCGGTGGGGGCTCCAGTCTGCGAGGACGATCTGGTGATCACACTCCTCGGCAGCCTGAGTGACTCGTATCAATTCTTGATCACAGCTTTGGAGTCGCGCTCAGACACTCTTAGCTGGGAGCTCGTGACGTCTCGACTGCTTCATGAAGAAATGAAGCGGAAGGAGCAAGGAAGTAAAGGTGATGAAGCTTCGCAAGGTCAAGCGTTCATCACAAGGGACAATCAGCGCAAAGGGCGACCAGTGAAGAAGTCCTGGCCGTGCCACAATTGCGGAAAGATTGGTCACTGGATGGCGGAGTGCCCCTCGCGCATCCAAGAAAACACGGAGAGACACCGGCCACAGCGTGCTCAAGACAGCGGCGACCGCTATCGATCACAACGTGCAAACGTCGCTCAAGAAGAAGACTCGGGCGACTACCTCTTTTCGATCGGTGAAACGACATCTGCGAAATCGAGCGACATCTGGCTGGTCGACTCCGGGGCGACGCAGCACATGACGTGCTCCAAGAAGTTCATGCGGAACTACAAGGGGTTTGACGCTGTGGATGTCCATCTCGCGGATGATGGAATCGTCCAAGCAATCGGCAGTGGGGACATTGTCATGTCGATGAAGACACCCCAAGGGATGAAGAAAGGTGTGCTCACAAACGTGTGGCACATCCCAAAGTTATCCAGAAACCTGTTCTCGGTCGGCCGCTTCACCAAGGATGTCGGCCCAGTGACGTTCACGAAGGATGGGTGCTATGGAGAAGCGAAAGGGACCAAGTGGAAAATTGGTGCCCGTGAAGGTAAAGGACTGTTCAGGCTGCAAATGACTCCAGTGGCGCCGGAACAAGCAAATGCAGCCAAGTCGTCGGGATGTCAAGGGGGCACCAAGTCGTACCTCTGGCACCTTCGGCTTGGCCACATAGGTCACGATGGACTCAATTGCATCGTGACGAAGAACATTGGAATTGGCATCGACATATCTTCGGTGAAGAAGTGGGACGTGTGTGAAGGTTGTGCTCTGGGAAAACAGACTCGAGTGCGCTTCCAATCAAACAATACAGCTCGCACCTCCAAACTCCTCGAAGTGATTCACAGCGACGTATGCGGACCGATGTCGATGGCAACTTTCAGTGGAAAACGGTACTTCGTGACATTCATTGATGACAAGTCAAGATACTGTGTCGTCTATCTGCTCAAGAGCAAATCTGAAGTTGCGGCGAAGTTCATGGAATACGCTGCGATGGCCGAAACGCAAACCGGAAAGCGCGTGAAGTACCTTCAAAGCGACAATGGGGGTGAATACAAGTCCGACAAGCTGGCACGATTCTGCGCGGAACGGGGAATACAACAAAGGTTCACACCCCCATATACTCCTCAGCTAAACGGAGTAGCTGAGAGAATGAATCGCACGCTGGTCGAGTGTGCGCGTTGCATGATGGAACACGCTGGACTGGGAAAGAGCTACTGGGGTGAAGCAGTGATGACGGCGATGTTTCTTCGAAACCGCTGTCCAACACGTGCCATTCACCAAGACAAGTCTCCATATCAAGTGTGGACGATGAATAAACCGATTCTGGCCAACCTTAAAGTGTTTGGATGCCACGCGTATGTTCAAGTGCCTCAAGACAAACGCGCGAAGTTCGACTCCAAGTCATCACTCTGTCGTTTCCTGGGATACGCCGAACACCAGAAGTCATATCGATTTGAGGAAGTGTCAACAGGAGCGATCAAGATCAGTCGCGATGCCACATTCATGGAAGACAAGTTTGATGAAGGTCCGCGCAACTACAACGATGAGTCAAGTGTCGTTGAGTTTTGTGATCATGATGAGGACGAAGAAAAAGAAGAAGGTAAAACTGACGACGAAATGGACTCGAGCGACGATGACAACGAAGACACCAGGTCTTCGAAGAGCAACATCAAGAGACACACGCGCACTCAATCACTTGAGAAAGCTACCGTCATTCCAAGTCCCAAGCGAAGAACATACAGAGGTCCGTCGCTTGAGCATGTGTCAGCGGCTGCAATGGATTTTGAAGCAGCCTACATCGTTGATTCAGTGGGGGAAACGCCGACTACATTCAAGTCGGCGATGGAATCAAGCGACTCCGGCAAGTGGAAAGAAGCGTGTGACTCGGAGTTCGATTCGCTTCAGAGAAACGACACGTGGGAAATCGTGCCTCTTCCGAAAGGTCGCAAGGCCATCGGGTGCCGATGGGTTTTTCGTGTAAAGGAGAATCAAGATGGCGAAGTTGAACGTTTCAAGGCAAGACTTGTGGCCAAAGGATTCTCACAGGAATTCGGAGTTGACTATGAAGAAACTTTCGCACCGGTGGCCAAGTTCACATCGATTCGTGTGGTGCTCAGTATGGCGGCTAAGTACGGCCTAATGCTACATCAGATGGACGTCAAGACAGCGTTTCTTAACGGCTCCCTCAACGAAGACATCTACATGGACCAGCCGGACGGATACCTGGATACAACACAGCCGGACTATGTGTGCAAGCTAAAGAGATCACTCTACGGCTTGAAGCAATCGCCTCGCATGTGGAACCAAACAATCGATGGGTTCATGATCAAGATGGGATTCAAGAAGTGCGAATCGGACCACTGCATCTACATCAAGCGAGACTACCAAGACATGATTCTCGTGGTGCTCTACGTCGATGATCTCATCCTGGCCAGCAGCAACAACGAACTCCTCAAGTCAACCAAGATGGCGCTGAGCAAACGCTTCGAAATGACGGATCTCGGTGAGCTCGATTACTTTCTCGGCATGGAGATCAAGAACGACCGTAAGACGGGAATGGTGACTGTACAACAAACCAAGTTTCTCAAGTCCGTGTTAACCAAGTTCGGAATGGATAACAGCAAGCCAGTGAAGACGCCTCAAGATCCCGGCCTGAAGCTAACCAAGAACATGTGTGAACAAGAATGCAAGCACGAAGACACCATGTGCAACGTGCCATATCGAAGTGCTGTCGGAGGCATCATGTATCTCATGGTCGCCACACGTCCGGATCTAGCTGCTGCAGTGGGATCATTATCCCAGTTCTCGTCCGACCCATGCCCGACTCACTGGCAAGCTTTGAAGCGTGTGCTGAGATACCTGCAAGCAACGCCCAATCATGGTCTTGAGTTTACACGTGAAGAAGGAAGCCGTATCTGCGGGTACACCGACGCAGACTGGGCCGGCGACATTGAGTCAAGACGAAGTACAAGCGGCTATGTGTTCATGATGAGCGGAGGATGCATCAGCTGGAAAAGCCAGAAACAACGGACGGTCGCGCTATCTTCAACAGAAGCAGAATACATGGCGCTTTCCGAAGCAACCAAAGAAGCAGTATGGCTCAAAGTGCTTTTGGGGGAACTTGGTGAGATGACAAGCGACGAAGCGATCAAGATGTATGAAGACAACCAAGGATCAATCGCTCTCGCCAAGAACCCGGAGTTCCATAAGAGAACAAAACACATCGACATACGCTACCATTTTGTGCGTGAGAAGGTGGAATCAGGTGAAGTCGTTTTGGAGTATTGCCCGACTCAAGATATGCTGGCAGACATGATGACCAAGCCGATCGCCGCTGTACAATTTGAAAACATTCGCGATCGACTTGGGATCCAAGGTGCCGCAGCTAACGAGTCGAGAGGGAGTGTTGAAAAGACAGCGGCTGTGAAGAAGACACCTCGTCAAGCTGCGTCAAGTGTTGAAGCAAGTGGAAGACCAAGCTTCGCTATACCGGTGGGTACCGGTATGTACCAGTAAGGGCGAAGTCAGGAAATGACGTCATTGGATGACGTCAGTGGGTGACGTCACTGGATGACGTCATTGCATGACGTCAGTGGGTGACGTCACTGGATGACGTCACTGCGAATAATAGGCTTAGAGGTAGTATTCAAAGTTGCGAACTAAGTACCTATTATAAATATATATTCACTTTGCGTTTTGCACTCGGACCAAGAAGTCTAAAGTTCATCAAACCATGGTCGGGCCAAGCACATCGACACTTGTGGTCCAATGGAAGTCGACTCGCTAGGTGGAAGCAAGTACTTGCTACTGACCGTAGATGAAGGCAGCGGATGTATGAAGGGTTTCAGTCTGCGCGCCAATTCCGACAGCGAAGAGTGCATCAAGAAGTACATCGTGGCAGTACAGACGCAGTTTGACTACAAGGTCAAGTTCGTTCGCCACGATGGTGCACGCGAATCTGTGGCAAATTCGCTCAAGGCATTTTACGATGATCAACGAATCGAGCAGCAAGTTACCGTTCCATATGCGCATCAGACCAACGGCACGGCGGAACGGGCAATTCGGACCATTGTGACGATCGGGCGCAGCATGCTTCACTACGCCAAGCTGGACAAGTTTTTTTGAGTTGAAGCAGCAATGACGGCGATCTACATCAAGAATCGCCTACCATCGCCCAAGTGCCAAGATCAAACCCCGTTCGAGATCGTCAACGGATTTCGACCAAGTGTGAAGCACATGCGGGTTTTCGGCTGCCGAACGTTTGTGCTGACTGATGAACTTTAGACTTCTTGGTCCGAGTGCAAAACGCAAAGTAAATATATATTTATAACAGGTACTTAGTTCGCAACTTTGAATACTACCTCTAAGCCTATTATTCGCAGTGACGTCATCCAGTGACGTCACCCACTGACGTCATGCAATGACGTCATCCAGTGACGTCACCCACTGACGTCATCCAATGACGTCATTTCCTGACTTCGCCCTTACTGGTACATACCGGTACCCACCGGTATAGCGAAGCTTGGTCTTCCACTTGCTTCAACACTTGACGCAGCTTGACGAGGTGTCTTCTTCACAGCTGCTGTCTTTTCAACACTCCCTCTCGACTCGTTAGCTGCGGCACCTTGGATCCCAAGTCGATCGCGAATGTTTTCAAATTGTACAGCGGCGATCGGCTTGGTCATCATGTCTGCCAGCATATCTTGAGTCGGGCAATACTCCAAAACGACTTCACCTGATTCCACCTTCTCACGCACAAAATGGTAGCGTATGTCGATGTGTTTTGTTCTCTTATGGAACTCCGGGTTCTTGGCGAGAGCGATTGATCCTTGGTTGTCTTCATACATCTTGATCGCTTCGTCGCTTGTCATCTCACCAAGTTCCCCCAAAAGCACCTTGAGCCATACTGCTTCTTTGGTTGCTTCGGAAAACGCCATGTATTCTGCTTCTGTTGAAGATAGCGCGACCGTCCGTTGTTTCTGGCTTTTCCAGCTGATGCATCCTCCGCTCATCATGAACACATAGCCGCTTGTACTTCGTCTTGACTCAATGTCGCCGGCCCAGTCTGCGTCGGTGTACCCGCAGATACGGCTTCCTTCTTGACGTGTAAACTCAAGACCATGGTTGGGCGTTGCTTGCAGGTATCTCAGCACACGCTTCAAAGCTTGCCAGTGAGTCGGGCATGGGTCGGACGAGAACTGGGATAATGATCCCACTGCAGCAGCTAGATCCGGACGTGTGGCGACCATGAGATACATGATGCCTCCGACAGCACTTCGATATGGCACGTTGCACATGGTGTCTTCGTGCTTGCATTCTTGTTCACACATGTTCTTGGTTAGCTTCAGGCCGGGATCTTGAGGCGTCTTCACTGGCTTGCTGTTATCCATTCCGAACTTGGTTAACACGGACTTGAGAAACTTGGTTTGTTGCACAGTCACCATTCCCGTCTTACGGTCGTTCTTGATCTCCATGCCGAGAAAGTAATCGAGCTCACCGAGATCCGTCATTTCGAAGCGTTTGCTCAGCGCCATCTTGGTCGACTTGAGGAGTTCGTTGTTGCTGCTGGCCAGGATGAGATCATCGACGTAGAGCACCACGAGAATCATGTCTTGGTCGTCTCGCTTGATGTAGATGCAGTGGTCCGATTCGCACTTCTTGAATCCCATCTTGATCATGAACCCATCGATTGTTTGGTTCCACATGCGAGGCGATTGCTTCAAGCCGTAGAGTGATCTCTTTAGCTTGCACACATAGTCCGGCTGTGTTGCATCCAGGTATCCGTCCGGCTGGTCCATGTAGATGTCTTCGTTGAGGGAGCCGTTAAGAAACGCTGTCTTGACGTCCATCTGATGTAGCATTAGGCCGTACTTAGCCGCCATACTGAGCACCATACGAATCGATGTGAACTTGGCCACCGGTGCGAAAGTTTCTTCATAGTCAACTCCGAATTTCTGTGAGAATCCTTTGGCCACAAGTCTTGCCTTGAAACGTTCAACTTCGCCATCTTGATTCTCCTTTACACGAAAAACCCATCGGCACCCGATGGCCTTGCGACCTTTCGGAAGAGGCACGATTTCCCACGTGTCGTTTCTCTGAAGCGAGTCGAACTCCGAGTCACACGCTTCTTTCCACTTGCCGGAGTCGCTTGATTCCATCGCCGACTTGAATGTAGTCGGCGTTTCCCCCACTGAATCAACGATGTAGGCTGCTTCAAAATCCATTGCAGCCGCTGACACATGCTCAAGCGACGGACATCTGTACGTTCTTCGCTTGGGACTTGGAATGACGGTAGCTTTCTCAAGTGATTGAGTGCGCGTGTGTCTCTTGATGTTGCTCTTCGAAGACCTGGTGTCTTCGTTGTCATCGTCGCTCGAGTCCATGTCGTCGTCAGTTTTACCTTCTTCTTTTTCTTCGTCCTCATCATGATCATCAAACTCAACGACACTTGACTCATCGTTGTAGTTGCGCGGACCTTCATCAAACTTGTCTTCCATGAATGTGGCATCGCGACTGATCTTGATCGCTCCTGTTGACACTTCCTCAAATCGATATGACTTCTGGTGTTCGGCGTATCCCAGGAAACGACAGAGTGATGACTTGGAGTCGAACTTCGCGCGTTTGTCTTGAGGCACTTGAACATACGCGTGGCATCCAAACACTTTAAGGTTGGCCAGAATCGGTTTCTTCATCGTCCACACTTGATATGGAGACTTGTCTTGGTGAATGGCACGTGTTGGACAGCGGTTTCGAAGAAACATCGCCGTCATCACTGCTTCACCCCAGTAGCTCTTTCCCAGTCCAGCGTGTTCCATCATGCAACGCGCACACTCGACCAGCGTGCGATTCATTCTCTCAGCTACTCCGTTTAGCTGAGGAGTATATGGGGGTGTGAACCTTTGTTGTATTCCCCGTTCCGCGCAGAATCGTGCCAGCTTGTCGGACTTGTATTCACCCCCATTGTCGCTTTGAAGGTACTTCACGCGCTTTCCGGTTTGCGTTTCGGCCATCGCAGCGTATTCCATGAACTTCGCCGCAACTTCAGATTTGCTCTTGAGCAGATAGACGACACAGTATCTTGACTTGTCATCAATGAATGTCACGAAGTACCGTTTTCCACTGAAAGTTGCCATCGACATCGGTCCGCATACGTCGCTGTGAATCACTTCGAGGAGTTTGGAGGTGCGAGCTGTAGTGTTTGATTGGAAGCGCACTCGAGTCTGTTTTCCCAGAGCACAACCTTCACACACGTCCCACTTCTTCACCGAAGATATGTCGATGCCAATTCCAATGTTCTTCGTCACGATGCAATTGAGTCCATCGTGACCTATGTGGCCAAGCCGAAGGTGCCAGAGGTACGACTTGGTGCCCCCTTGACATCCCGACGACTTGGCTGCATTTGCTTGTTCCGGCGCCACTGGAGTCATTTGCAGCTTGAACAGTCCTTTACCTTCACGGGCACCAATTTTCCACTTGGTCCCTTTCGCTTCTCCATAGCACCCATCCTTCGTGAACGTCACTGGGCCGACATCCTTGGTGAAGCGGCCGACCGAGAACAGGTTTCTGGATAACTTTGGGATGTGCCACACGTTTGTGAGCACACCTTTCTTCATCCCTTGGGGTGTCTTCATCGACATGACAATGTCCCCACTGCCGATTGCTTGGACGATTCCATCATCCGCGAGATGGACATCCACAGCGTCAAACCCCTTGTAGTTCCGCATGAACTTCTTGGAGTACGTCATGTGCTGCGTCGCCCCGGAGTCGACCAGCCAGATGTCGCTCGATTTCGCAGATGTCGTTTCACCGATCGAAAAGAGGTAGTCGCCCGAGTCTTCTTCTTGAGCGACGTTTGCACGTTGTGATCGATAGCGGTCGCCGCTGTCTTGAGCACGCTGTGGCCGGTGTCTCTCCGTGTTTTCTTGGATGCGCGAGGGGCACTCCGCCATCCAGTGACCAATCTTTCCGCAATTGTGGCACGGCCAGGACTTCTTCACTGGTCGCCCTTTGCGCTGATTGTCCCTTGTGATGAACGCTTGACCTTGCGAAGCTTCATCACCTTTACTTCCTTGCTCCTTCCGCTTCATTTCTTCATGAAGCAGTCGAGACGTCACGAGCTCCCAGCTAAGAGTGTCTGAGCGCGACTCCAAAGCTGTGATCAAGAATTGATACGAGTCACTCAGGCTGCCGAGGAGTGTGATCACCAGATCGTCCTCGCAGACTGGAGCCCCCACCGCTTCTAGCTGTTCCGCCAGCGTCTTGAGCTTGTTGATGTGTTCGAGCACATCGTCGCCTTCTTCCATCATTGTCGTGAAGAAGCGACGGCGCAAGAACAGCTTGTTGGCAAGACTCTTCTTCTCGAAGTGGTCTTCCAACCTTGACCATGCGTCGCATGCACCACTTGCCGACCGGACCAACGGTAGCTGGGAATCTTCCATGGCTAGACAGATCACTGCCATCGCCTTTCTTGACTTCCTCTTGTACGTCGCTTGGTCCAACTGAGTCTCGCACTGTTCCGCCTTGATCTCACCGCTGACGACCTCCCATAGGTCCCGTTCCTCCAGCACCATCTGCATCTTGAACTTCCAGGCGTGGAAGTTAGTTCCATCGAACTTGGAGATGCGGAGGGAGGAGGCGTCCATGGCAGCTAAGCTTGAATTGTTGGCGGTTTCAGAGTCTGACGAACTTGGGCTCATAACCTGATGAACTTTAGACTTCTTGGTCCGAGTGCAAAACGCAAAGTAAATATATATTTATAATAGGTACTTAGTTCGCAACTTTGAATACTACCTCTAAGCCTATTATTCGCAGTGACGTCATCCAGTGACGTCACCCACTGACGTCACCCACTGACGTCATGCAATGACGTCATCCAGTGACGTCATTTCCTGACTTCGCCCTTACTGGTACATACCGATACCCACCGGTATAGCGAAGCTTGGTCTTCCACTTGCTTCAACACTTGACGCAGCTTGACGAGGTGTCTTCTTCACAGCCGCTGTCTTTTCAACACTGACCCCTAAGGAAAAGAGATCGAAATGGGATCCAAAGGCTCGTGAAGGACGATTCATGGGGTACGAAGAAGTGTCAAAGGCATATCGCGTTTACGACATTGAAGCGGATCAAGTGGTGATATCTCGCGATGTCACATTCGACGAACCAACGTTTGGTTTCTCGCCGACGCTACCACAAGAAATTGTTGATGACACTGCGCTGGATATCGAATCGATGAACATCAGCGATGAGCCTCACCCTATGGAGTTCAAGCAAATTGGAAAACGCAAAAGCCGTTCAAACAGCCAAGAACAAGCTCTACAACGGACACTTCCTGAGCGTCGTGGAACCGGGTTCGAAGAAGCAAGTGCACCGGATGACTTTGAAACGCACCAAGCGAAGCGACGGTCAAGCGCTCGAGCAAATCTGGACGAAGAGCGAAAGGGCAGTGACGAAGATAACGAGGATGCTACACCTCAAGTCTTTTGGCGAGTGAGTGTCAACGCAGTCGAAGGTACTGACTTGTCTGAGCCGACAACGTTTAAAGATGCTGTTGATGGACCGGATCAAGTGCATTGGTGTGAAGCAATCTGTGCTGAGTTGGACTCGATGAAACTTCGTGGCGTGCTTCGAGCGCCCAAACAGCCAGCTGGACAGCATACCATTGGCACCAAGTGGGTATTCAATATCAAGCGGAAAGCTGATGGATCCATCGAGAAATACAAGGCGCGTCTCGTGGCAAAAGGGTTCAAGCAGAAATATGGCATCGACTACACGGAGAACGTTTTTGCCGGTAGTCAAGTACGTGACGCTGCGCATGGTAGTTGCAATCACGAAGTACTTTGACTGGACACTGGACCTACTGGACGTGGTGACAGCTTTGCTATGCGAAGAGATGAAGGAAAAGGTATTCTGCGCGATCCCAGAAGGGGTCGAAGTTGATGAAGACTTTGACTGCTTCGAATTGTTGAAGGCGATCTACGGACTAAAACAAGCATCGCGCGTATGGAAGGAAATTTCTATGAGTTCGTCTGCTCCATTGGATTTCAAGTATCTCATTTTGACCCGTGTCTTTATCTCAAGATTACAAGTGGCGAGTGCGTGCTTTCGCTGGTATACGTCGATGATGTGTTGGTGACTGGCAGCTCGACCGAACTGATTATGCGCACCAAGAGTGGCTTGAAGGCGCGTTTCGAAATGACTGACAGCGGCAAGTGCGCATTCGTGTTGGGCATCGAGCTGGTGGACAACGACAACGGTAGCGTGACGATGTGCCAGCGACGCTACGTGGAAGATGTTCTCAAGCGTTTTGGCATGAGCGACTGCAAAGCCGTCACCAGCCCAACAGACATCAGTTCTTGACTCATACCAAGCAGTGCAGTAACCAAAATTGACGCCCCGTTTTGTGAAGCAGTAGGCGCTTTAATGCACTTGATGACCGCGACACTGTTGAAAAGACAGCGGCTGTGAAGAAGACACCTCGTCAAGCTGCGTCAAGTGTTGAAGCAAGTGGAAGACCAAGCTTCGCTATACCGGTGGGTACCGGTATGTACCAGTAAGGGCGAAGTCAGGAAATGACGTCACTGGATGACGTCATTGCATGACGTCAGTGGGTGACGTCACTGGATGACGTCACTGCGAATAATAGGCTTAGAGGTAGTATTCAAAGTTGCGAACTAAGTACCTATTATAAATATATATTCACTTTGCGTTTTGCACTCGGACCAAGAAGTCTAAAGTTCATCAGGTTATGAGCCCAAGTTCGTCAGACTCTGAAACCGCCAACAATTCAAGCTTAGCTGCCATGGACGCCTCCTCCCTCCGCATCTCCAAGTTCGATGGAACTAACTTCCACGCCTGGAAGTTCAAGATGCAGATGGTGCTGGAGGAACGGGACCTATGGGAGGTCGTCAGCGGTGAGATCAAGGCGGAACAGTGCGAGACTCAGTTGGACCAAGCGACGTACAAGAGGAAGTCAAGAAAGGCGATGGCAGTGATCTGTCTAGCCATGGAAGATTCCCAGCTACCGTTGGTCCGGTCGGCAAGTGGTGCATGCGACGCATGGTCAAGGTTGGAAGACCACTTCGAGAAGAAGAGTCTTGCCAACAAGCTGTTCTTGCGCCGTCGCTTCTTCACGACAATGATGGAAGAAGGCGACGATGTGCTCGAACACATCAACAAGCTCAAGACGCTGGCGGAACAGCTAGAAGCGGTGGGGGGCTCCAGTCTGCGAGGACGATCTGGTGATCACACTCCTCGGCAGCCTGAGTGACTCGTATCAATTCTTGATCACAGCTTTGGAGTCGCGCTCAGACACTCTTAGCTGGGAGCTCGTGACGTCTCGACTGCTTCATGAAGAAATGAAGCGGAAGGAGCAAGGAAGTAAAGGTGATGAAGCTTCGCAAGGTCAAGCGTTCATCACAAGGGACAATCAGCGCAAAGGGCGACCAGTGAAGAAGTCCTGGCCGTGCCACAATTGCGGAAAGATTGGTCACTGGATGGCGGAGTGCCCCTCGCGCATCCAAGAAAACACGGAGAGACACCGGCCACAGCGTGCTCAAGACAGCGGCGACCGCTATCGATCACAACGTGCAAACGTCGCTCAAGAAGAAGACTCGGGCGACTACCTCTTTTCGATCGGTGAAACGACATCTGCGAAATCGAGCGACATCTGGCTGGTCGACTCCGGGGCGACGCAGCACATGACGTGCTCCAAGAAGTTCATGCGGAACTACAAGGGGTTTGACGCTGTGTATGTCCATCTCGCGGATGATGGAATCGTCCAAGCAATCGGCAGTGGGGACATTGTCATGTCGATGAAGACACCCCAAGGGATGAAGAAAGGTGTGCTCACAAACGTGTGGCACATCCCAAAGTTATCCAGAAACCTGTTCTCGGTCGGCCGCTTCACCAAGGATGTCGGCCCAGTGACGTTCACGAAGGATGGGTGCTATGGAGAAGCGAAAGGGACCAAGTGGAAAATTGGTGCCCGTGAAGGTAAAGGACTGTTCAGGCTGCAAATGACTCCAGTGGCGCCGGAACAAGCAAATGCAGCCAAGTCGTCGGGATGTCAAGGGGGCACCAAGTCGTACCTCTGGCACCTTCGGCTTGGCCACATAGGTCACGATGGACTCAATTGCATCGTGACGAAGAACATTGGAATTGGCATCGACATATCTTCGGTGAAGAAGTGGGACGTGTGTGAAGGTTGTGCTCTGGGAAAACAGACTCGAGTGCGCTTCCAATCAAACAATACAGCTCGCACCTCCAAACTCCTCGAAGTGATTCACAGCGACGTATGCGGACCGATGTCGATGGCAACTTTCAGTGGAAAACGGTACTTCGTGACATTCATTGATGACAAGTCAAGATACTGTGTCGTCTATCTGCTCAAGAGCAAATCTGAAGTTGCGGCGAAGTTCATGGAATACGCTGCGATGGCCGAAACGCAAACCGGAAAGCGCGTGAAGTACCTTCAAAGCGACAATGGGGGTGAATACAAGTCCGACAAGCTGGCACGATTCTGCGCGGAACGGGGAATACAACAAAGGTTCACACCCCCATATACTCCTCAGCTAAACGGAGTAGCTGAGAGAATGAATCGCACGCTGGTCGAGTGTGCGCGTTGCATGATGGAACACGCTGGACTGGGAAAGAGCTACTGGGGTGAAGCAGTGATGACGGCGATGTTTCTTCGAAACCGCTGTCCAACACGTGCCATTCACCAAGACAAGTCTCCATATCAAGTGTGGACGATGAAGAAACCGATTCTGGCCAACCTTAAAGTGTTTGGATGCCACGCGTATGTTCAAGTGCCTCAAGACAAACGCGCGAAGTTCGACTCCAAGTCATCACTCTGTCGTTTCCTGGGATACGCCGAACACCAGAAGTCATATCGATTTGAGGAAGTGTCAACAGGAGCGATCAAGATCAGTCGCGATGCCACATTCATGGAAGACAAGTTTGATGAAGGTCCGCGCAACTACAACGATGAGTCAAGTGTCGTTGAGTTTGATGATCATGATGAGGACGAAGAAAAAGAAGAAGGTAAAACTGACGACGACATGGACTCGAGCGACGATGACAACGAAGACACCAGGTCTTCGAAGAGCAACATCAAGAGACACACGCGCACTCAATCACTTGAGAAAGCTACCGTCATTCCAAGTCCCAAGCGAAGAACATACAGAGGTCCGTCGCTTGAGCATGTGTCAGCGGCTGCAATGGATTTTGAAGCAGCCTACATCGTTGATTCAGTGGGGGAAACGCCGACTACATTCAAGTCGGCGATGGAATCAAGCGACTCCGGCAAGTGGAAAGAAGCGTGTGACTCGGAGTTCGATTCGCTTCAGAGAAACGACACGTGGGAAATCGTGCCTCTTCCGAAAGGTCGCAAGGCCATCGGGTGCCGATGGGTTTTTCGTGTAAAGGAGAATCAAGATGGCGAAGTTGAACGTTTCAAGACAAGACTTGTGGCCAAAGGATTCTCACAGGAATTTGGAGTTGACTATGAAGAAACTTTCGCACCGGTGGCCAAGTTCACATCGATTCGTGTGGTGCTCAGTATGGCGGCTAAGTACGGCCTAATGCTACATCAGATGGACGTCAAGACAGCGTTTCTTAACGGCTCCCTCAACGAAGACATCTACATGGACCAGCCGGACGGATACCTGGATACAACACAGCCGGACTATGTGTGCAAGCTAAAGAGATCACTCTACGGCTTGAAGCAATCGCCTCGCATGTGGAACCAAACAATCGATGGGTTCATGATCAAGATGGGATTCAAGAAGTGCGAATCGGACCACTGCATCTACATCAAGCGAGACGACCAAGACATGATTCTCGTGGTGCTCTACGTCGATGATCTCATCCTGGCCAGCAGCAACAACGAACTCCTCAAGTCAACCAAGATGGCGCTGAGCAAACGCTTCGAAATGACGGATCTCGGTGAGCTCGATTACTTTCTCGGCATGGAGATCAAGAACGACCGTAAGACGGGAATGGTGACTGTACAACAAACCAAGTTTCTCAAGTCCGTGTTAACCAAGTTCGGAATGGATAACAGCAAGCCAGTGAAGACGCCTCAAGATCCCGGCCTGAAGCTAACCAAGAACATGTGTGAACAAGAATGCAAGCACGAAGACACCATGTGCAACGTGCCATATCGAAGTGCTGTCGGAGGCATCATGTATCTCATGGTCGCCACACGTCCGGATCTAGCTGCTGCAGTGGGATCATTATCCCAGTTCTCGTCCGACCCATGCCCGACTCACTGGCAAGCTTTGAAGCGTGTGCTGAGATACCTGCAAGCAACGCCCAATCATGGTCTTGAGTTTACACGTGAAGAAGGAAGCCGTATCTGCGGGTACACCGACGCAGACTGGGCCGGCGACATTGAGTCAAGACGAAGTACAAGCGGCTATGTGTTCATGATGAGCGGAGGATGCATCAGCTGGAAAAGCCAGAAACAACGGACGGTCGCGCTATCTTCAACAGAAGCAGAATACATGGCGCTTTCCGAAGCAACCAAAGAAGCAGTATGGCTCAAAGTGCTTTTGGGGGAACTTGGTGAGATGACAAGCGACGAAGCGATCAAGATGTATGAAGACAACCAAGGATCAATCGCTCTCGCCAAGAACCCGGAGTTCCATAAGAGAACAAAACACATCGACATACGCTACCATTTTGTGCGTGAGAAGGTGGAATCAGGTGAAGTCGTTTTGGAGTATTGCCCGACTCAAGATATGCTGGCAGACATGATGACCAAGCCGATCGCCGCTGTACAATTTGAAAACATTCGCGATCGACTTGGGATCCAAGGTGCCGCAGCTAACGAGTCGAGAGGGAGTGTTGAAAAGACAGCGGCTGTGAAGAAGACACCTCGTCAAGCTGCGTCAAGTGTTGAAGCAAGTGGAAGACCAAGCTTCGCTATACCGGTGGGTACCGGTATGTACCAGTAAGGGCGAAGTCAGGAAATGACGTCACTGGATGACGTCATTGCATGACGTCAGTGGGTGACGTCAGTGGGTGACGTCACTGGATGACGTCACTGCGAATAATAGGCTTAGAGGTAGTATTCAAAGTTGCGAACTAAGTACCTATTATAAATATATATTCACTTTGCGTTTTGCACTCGGACCAAGAAGTCTAAAGTTCATCAGACACGACCGGACATTGCCTTTGCTGTGAGTTACGTTTCGCGCTTCATGGAAAACCTCCAAGTCGAGCACTGGATGGCGGTCAAGCGCATTTTTCGATACTTACAAGGGACTAAGTCGGACGGCATCTGTTTCAAGTCTGATGACAAGATAGACTTCTGCGGCTACTCGGATGCAGACTGGGCCGGCGACCATGCAGACCGCAAGTCGACTTCGGGATATGCGCTCATCCTGATGGGTGATCCGGTGAGCTGGGGAAGCAAAAAGCAGTCAAGTGTGTCGCTGTCAACAAGTGAAGCTGAGTGCATTGCATTAAGTCTGGCTATTCAAGAAGGCAAGTGGGTGCATCGATTGCTATGCGAGATTCTGGATGCCGCAGAGGACAAGTCTGGACCCGAGCTCAAGATCATGGAAGACAACCAATCGTGCATCAAGATGACGAAGAATCCTGTGAACCATGGTCGGGCCAAGCACATCGACACTTGTGGTCCAATGGAAGTCGACTCGCTAGGTGGAAGCAAGTACTTGCTACTGACCGTAGATGAAGGCAGCGGATGTATGAAGGGTTTCAGTCTGCGCGCCAATTCCGACAGCGAAGAGTGCATCAAGAAGTACATCGTGGCAGTACAGACGCAGTTTGACTACAAGGTCAAGTTCGTTCGCCACGATGGTGCACGCGAATCTGTGGCAAATTCGCTCAAGGCATTTTACGATGATCAACGAATCGAGCAGCAAGTTACCGTTCCATATGCGCATCAGACCAACGGCACGGCGGAACGGGCAATTCGGACCATTGTGACGATCGGGCGCAGCATGCTTCACTACGCCAAGCTGGACAAGTTTTTTTGAGTTGAAGCAGCAATGACGGCGATCTACATCAAGAATCGCCTACCATCGCCCAAGTGCCAAGATCAAACCCCGTTCGAGATCGTCAACGGATTTCGACCAAGTGTGAAGCACATGCGGGTTTTCGGCTGCCGAACGTTTGTGCTGACCCCTAAGGAAAAGAGATCGAAATGGGATCCAAAGGCTCGTGAAGGACGATTCATGGGGTACGAAGAAGTGTCAAAGGCATATCGCGTTTACGAAATTGAAGCGGATCAAGTGGTGATATCTCGCGATGTCACATTCGACGAACCAACGTTTGGTTTCTCGCCGACGCTACCACAAGAAATTGTTGATGACACTGCGCTGGATATCGAATCGATGAACATCAGCGATGAGCCTCACCCTATGGAGTTCAAGCAAATTGGAAAACGCAAAAGCCGTTCAAACAGCCAAGAACAAGCTCTACAACGGACACTTCCTGAGCGTCGTGGAACCGGGTTCGAAGAAGCAAGTGCACCGGATGACTTTGAAACGCACCAAGCGAAGCGACGGTCAAGCGCTCGAGCAAATCTGGACGAAGAGCAAAAGGGCAGTGACGAAGATAACGAGGATGCTGTTGAAAAGACAGCGGCTGTGAAGAAGACACCTCGTCAAGCTGCGTCAAGTGTTGAAGCAAGTGGAAGACCAAGCTTCGCTATACCGGTGGGTACCGGTATGTACCAGTAAGGGCGAAGTCAGGAAATGACGTCACTGGATGACGTCATTGCATGACGTCAGTGGGTGACGTCAGTGGGTGACGTCACTGGATGACGTCACTGCGAATAATAGGCTTAGAGGTAGTATTCAAAGTTGCGAACTAAGTACCTATTATAAATATATATTCACTTTGCGTTTTGCACTCGGACCAAGAAGTCTAAAGTTCATCAGGTTATGAGCCCAAGTTCGTCAGACTCTGAAACCGCCAACAATTGAAGCTTAGCTGCCATGGACGCCTCCTCCCTCCGCATCTCCAAGTTCGATGGAACTAACTTCCACGCCTGGAAGTTCAAGATGCAGATGGTGCTGGAGGAACGGGACCTATGGGAGGTCGTCAGCGGTGAGATCAAGGCGGAACAGTGCGAGACTCAGTTGGACCAAGCGACGTACAAGAGGAAGTCAAGAAAGGCGATGGCAGTGATCTGTCTAGCCATGGAAGATTCCCAGCTACCGTTGGTCCGGTCGGCAAGTGGTGCATGCGACGCATGGTCAAGGTTGGAAGACCACTTCGAGAAGAAGAGTCTTGCCAACAAGCTGTTCTTGCGCCGTCGCTTCTTCACGACAATGATGGAAGAAGGCGACGATGTGCTCGAACACATCAACAAGCTCAAGACGCTGGCGGAACAGCTAGAAGCGGTGGGGGCTCCAGTCTGCGAGGACGATCTGGTGATCACACTCCTCGGCAGCCTGAGTGACTCGTATCAATTCTTGATCACAGCTTTGGAGTCGCGCTCAGACACTCTTAGCTGGGAGCTCGTGACGTCTCGACTGCTTCATGAAGAAATGAAGCGGAAGGAGCAAGGAAGTAAAGGTGATGAAGCTTCGCAAGGTCAAGCGTTCATCACAAGGGACAATCAGCGCAAAGGGCGACCAGTGAAGAAGTCCTGGCCGTGCCACAATTGCGGAAAGATTGGTCACTGGATGGCGGAGTGCCCCTCGCGCATCCAAGAAAACACGGAGAGACACCGGCCACAGCGTGCTCAAGACAGCGGCGACCGCTATCGATCACAACGTGCAAACGTCGCTCAAGAAGAAGACTCGGGCGACTACCTCTTTTCGATCGGTGAAACGACATCTGCGAAATCGAGCGACATCTGGCTGGTCGACTCCGGGGCGACGCAGCACATGACGTGCTCCAAGAAGTTCATGCGGAACTACAAGGGGTTTGACGCTGTGGATGTCCATCTCGCGGATGATGGAATCGTCCAAGCAATCGGCAGTGGGGACATTGTCATGTCGATGAAGACACCCCAAGGGATGAAGAAAGGTGTGCTCACAAACGTGTGGCACATCCCAAAGTTATCCAGAAACCTGTTCTCGGTCGGCCGCTTCACCAAGGATGTCGGCCCAGTGACGTTCACGAAGGATGGGTGCTATGGAGAAGCGAAAGGGACCAAGTGGAAAATTGGTGCCCGTGAAGGTAAAGGACTGTTCAAGCTGCAAATGACTCCAGTGGCGCCGGAACAAGCAAATGCAGCCAAGTCGTCGGGATGTCAAGGGGGCACCAAGTCGTACCTCTGGCACCTTCGGCTTGGCCACATAGGTCACGATGGACTCAATTGCATCGTGACGAAGAACATTGGAATTGGCATCGACATATCTTCGGTGAAGAAGTGGGACGTGTGTGAAGGTTGTGCTCTGGGAAAACAGACTCGAGTGCGCTTCCAATCAAACACTACAGCTCGCACCTCCAAACTCCTCGAAGTGATTCACAGCGACGTATGCGGACCGATGTCGATGGCAACTTTCAGTGGAAAACGGTACTTCGTGACATTCATTGATGACAAGTCAAGATACTGTGTCGTCTATCTGCTCAAGATCAAATCTGAAGTTGCGGCGAAGTTCATGGAATACGCTGCGATGGCCGAAACGCAAACCGGAAAGCGCGTGAAGTACCTTCAAAGCGACAATGGGGGTGAATACAAGTCCGACAAGCTGGCACGATTCTGCGCGGAACGGGGAATACAACAAAGGTTCACACCCCCATATACTCCTCAGCTAAACGGAGTAGCTGAGAGAATGAATCGCACGCTGGTCGAGTGTGCGCGTTGCATGATGGAACACGCTGGACTGGGAAAGAGCTACTGGGGTGAAGCAGTGATGACGGCGATGTTTCTTCGAAACCGCTGTCCAACACGTGCCATTCACCAAGACAAGTCTCCATATCAAGTGTGGACGATGAAGAAACCGATTCTGGCCAACCTTAAAGTGTTTGGATGCCACGCGTATGTTCAAGTGCCTCAAGACAAACGCGCGAAGTTCGACTCCAAGTCATCACTCTGTCGTTTCCTGGGATACGCCGAACACCAGAAGTCATATCGATTTGAGGAAGTGTCAACAGGAGCGATCAAGATCAGTCGCGATGCCACATTCATGGAAGACAAGTTTGATGAAGGTCCGCGCAACTACAACGATGAGTCAAGTGTCGTTGAGTTTGATGATCATGATGAGGACGAAGAAAAAGAAGAAGGTAAAACTGACGACGACATGGACTCGAGCGACGATGACAACGAAGACACCAGGTCTTCGAAGAGCAACATCAAGAGACACACGCGCACTCAATCACTTGAGAAAGCTACCGTCATTCCAAGTCCCAAGCGAAGAACATACAGAGGTCCGTCGCTTGAGCATGTGTCAGCGGCTGCAATGGATTTTGAAGCAGCCTACATCGTTGATTCAGTGGGGGAAACGCCGACTACATTCAAGTCGGCGATGGAATCAAGCGACTCCGGCAAGTGGAAAGAAGCGTGTGACTCGGAGTTCGATTCGCTTCAGAGAAACGACACGTGGGAAATCGTGCCTCTTCCGAAAGGTCGCAAGGCCATCGGGTGCCGATGGGTTTTTCGTGTAAAGGAGAATCAAGATGGCGAAGTTGAACGTTTCAAGGCAAGACTTGTGGCCAAAGGATTCTCACAGAAATTCGGAGTTGACTATGAAGAAACTTTCGCACCGGTGGCCAAGTTCACATCGATTCGTGTGGTGCTCAGTATGGCGGCTAAGTACGGCCTAATGCTACATCAGATGGACGTCAAGACAGCGTTTCTTAACGGCTCCCTCAACGAAGACATCTACATGGACCAGCCGGACGGATACCTGGATACAACACAGCCGGACTATGTGTGCAAGCTAAAGAGATCACTCTACGGCTTGAAGCAATCGCCTCGCATGTGGAACCAAACAATCGATGGGTTCATGATCAAGATGGGATTCAAGAAGTGCGAATCGGACCACTGCATCTACATCAAGCGAGACGACCAAGACATGATTCTCGTGGTGCTCTACGTCGATGATCTCATCCTGGCCAGCAGCAACAACGAACTCCTCAAGTCAACCAAGATGGCGCTGAGCAAACGCTTCGAAATGACGGATCTCGGTGAGCCTCGATTACTTTCTCGGCATGGAGATCAAGAACGACCGTAAGACGGGAATGGTGACTGTACAACAAACCAAGTTTCTCAAGTCCGTGTTAACCAAGTTCGGAATGGATAACAGCAAGCCAGTGAAGACGCCTCAAGATCCCGGCCTGAAGCTAACCAAGAACATGTGTGAACAAGAATGCAAGCACGAAGACACCATGTGCAACGTGCCATATCGAAGTGCTGTCGGAGGCATCATGTATCTCATGGTCGCCACACGTCCGGATCTAGCTGCTGCAGTGGGATCATTATCCCAGTTCTCGTCCGACCCATGCCCGACTCACTGGCAAGCTTTGAAGCGTGTGCTGAGATACCTGCAAGCAACGCCCAATCATGGTCTTGAGTTTACACGTGAAGAAGGAAGCCGTATCTGCGGGTACACCGACGCAGACTGGGCCGGCGACATTGAGTCAAGACGAAGTACAAGCGGCTATGTGTTCATGATGAGCGGAGGATGCATCAGCTGGAAAAGCCAGAAACAACGGACGGTCGCGCTATCTTCAACAGAAGCAGAATACATGGCGCTTTCCGAAGCAACCAAAGAAGCAGTATGGCTCAAAGTGCTTTTGGGGGAACTTGGTGAGATGACAAGCGACGAAGCGATCAAGATGTATGAAGACAACCAAGGATCAATCGCTCTCGCCAAGAACCCGGAGTTCCATAAGAGAACAAAACACATCGACATACGCTACCATTTTGTGCGTGAGAAGGTGGAATCAGGTGAAGTCGTTTTGGAGTATTGCCCGACTCAAGATATGCTGGCAGACATGATGACCAAGCCGATCGCCGCTGTACAATTTGAAAACATTCGCGATCGACTTGGGATCCAAGGTGCCGCAGCTAACGAGTCGAGAGGGAGTGTTGAAAAGACAGCGGCTGTGAAGAAGACACCTCGTCAAGCTGCGTCAAGTGTTGAAGCAAGTGGAAGACCAAGCTTCGCTATACCGGTGGGTACCGGTATGTACCAGTAAGGGCGAAGTCAGGAAATGACGTCACTGGATGACGTCATTGCATGACGTCAGTGGGTGACGTCAGTGGGTGACGTCACTGGATGACGTCACTGCGAATAATAGGCTTAGAGGTAGTATTCAAAGTTGCGAACTAAGTACCTATTATAAATATATATTTACTTTGCGTTTTGCACTCGGACCAAGAAGTCTAAAGTTCATCAGATGCTACACCTCAAGTCTTTTGGCGAGTGAGTGTCAACGCAGTCGAAGGTACTGACTTGTCTGAGCCGACAACGTTTAAAGATGCTGTTGATGGACCGGATCAAGTGCATTGGTGTGAAGCAATCTGTGCTGAGTTGGACTCGATGAAACTTCGTGGCGTGCTTCGAGCGCCCAAACAGCCAGCTGGACAGCATACCATTGGCACCAAGTGGGTATTCAATATCAAGCGGAAAGCTGATGGATCCATCGAGAAATACAAGGCGCGTCTCGTGGCAAAAGGGTTCAAGCAGAAATATGGCATCGACTACACGGAGACGTTTTTGCCGGTAGTCAAGTACGTGACGCTGCGCATGGTAGTTGCAATCACGAAGTACTTTGACTGGACACTGGACCTACTGGACGTGGTGACAGCTTTGCTATGCGAAGAGATGAAGGAAAAGGTATTCTGCGCGATCCCAGAAGGGGTCGAAGTTGATGAAGACTTTGACTGCTTCGAATTGTTGAAGGCGATCTACGGACTAAAACAAGCATCGCGCGTATGGAAGGAAATTTCTATGAGTTCGTCTGCTCCATTGGATTTCAAGTATCTCATTTTGACCCGTGTCTTTATCTCAAGATTACAAGTGGCGAGTGCGTGCTTTTGCTGGTATACGTCGATGATGTGTTGGTGACTGGCAGCTCGACCGAACTGATTATGCGCACCAAGAGTGGCTTGAAGGCGCGTTTCGAAATGACTGACAGCGGCAAGTGCGCATTCGTGTTGGGCATCGAGCTGGTGGACAACGACAACGGTAGCGTGACGATGTGCCAGCGACGCTACGTGGAAGATGTTCTCAAGCGTTTTGGCATGAGCGACTGCAAAGCCGTCACCAGCCCAACAGACATCAGTTCTTGACTCATACCAAGCAGTGCAGTAACCAAAATTGACGCCCCGTTTTGTGAAGCAGTAGGCGCTTTAATGCACTTGATGACCGCGACACGACCGGACATTGCCTTTGCTGTGAGTTACGTTTCGCGCTTCATGGAAAACCTCCAAGTCGAGCACTGGATGGCGGTCAAGCGCATTTTTCGATGCTTACAAGGGACTAAGTCGGACGGCATCTGTTTCAAGTCTGATGACAAGATAGACTTCTGCGGCTACTCGGATGCAGACTGGGCCGGCGACCATGCAGACCGCAAGTCGACTTCGGGATATGCGCTCATCCTGATGGGTGATCCGGTGAGCTGGGGAAGCAAAAAGCAGTCAAGTGTGTCGCTGTCAACAAGTGAAGCTGAGTGCATTGCATTAAGTCTGGCTATTCAAGAAGGCAAGTGGGTGCATCGATTGCTATGCGAGATTCTGGATGCCGCAGAGGACAAGTCTGGACCCGAGCTCAAGATCATGGAAGACAACCAATCGTGCATCAAGATGACGAAGAATCCTGTGAACCATGGTCGGGCCAAGCACATCGACACTTGTGGTCCAATGGAAGTCGACTCGCTAGGTGGAAGCAAGTACTTGCTACTGACCGTAGATGAAGGCAGCGGATGTATGAAGGGTTTCAGTCTGCGCGCCAATTCCGACAGCGAAGAGTGCATCAAGAAGTACATCGTGGCAGTACAGACGCAGTTTGACTACAAGGTCAAGTTCGTTCGCCACGATGGTGCACGCGAATCTGTGGCAAATTCGCTCAAGGCATTTTACGATGATCAACGAATCGAGCAGCAAGTTACCGTTCCATATGCGCATCAGACCAACGGCACGGCGGAACGGGCAATTCGGACCATTATGATGATCGGGCGCAGCATGCTTCACTACGCCAAGCTGGACAAGTTTTTTTGAGTTGAAGCAGCAATGACGGCGATCTACATCAAGAATCGCCTACCATCGCCCAAGTGCCAAGATCAAACCCCGTTCGAGATCGTCAACGGATTTCGACCAAGTGTGAAGCACATGCGGGTTTTCGGCTGCCGAACGTTTGTGCTGACCCCTAAGGAAAAGAGATCGAAATGGGATCCAAAGGCTCGTGAAGGACGATTCATGGGGTACGAAGAAGTGTCAAAGGCATATCGCGTTTACGACATTGAAGCGGATCAAGTGGTGATATCTCGCGATGTCACATTCGACGAACCAACGTTTGGTTTCTCGCCGACGCTACCACAAGAAATTGTTGATGACACTGCGCTGGATATCGAATCGATGAACATTAGCGATGAGCCTCACCCTATGGAGTTCAAGCAAATTGGAAAACGCAAAAGCCGTTCAAACAGCCAAGAACAAGCTCTACAACGGACACTTCCTGAGCGTCGTGGAACCGGGTTCGAAGAAGCAAGTGCACCGGATGACTTTGAAACGCACCAAGCGAAGCGACGGTCAAGCGCTCGAGCAAATCTGGACGAAGAGCAAAAGGGCAGTGACGAAGATAACGAGGATGCTACACCTCAAGTCTTTTGGCGAGCGAGTGTCAACGCAGTCGAAGGTACTGACTTGTCTGAGCCGACAACGTTTAAAGATGCTGTTGATGGACCGGATCAAGTGCATTGGTGTGAAGCAATCTGTGCTGAGTTGGACTCGATGAAACTTCGTGGCGTGCTTCGAGCGCCCAAACAGCCAGCTGGACAGCATACCATTGGCACCAAGTGGGTATTCAATATCAAGCGGAAAGCTGATGGATCCATCGAGAAATACAAGGCGCGTCTTGATGAACTTTAGACTTCTTGGTCCGAGTGCAAAACGCAAAGTGAATATATATTTATAATAGGTACTTAGTTCGCAACTTTGAATACTACCTCTAAGCCTATTATTCGCAGTGACGTCATCCAGTGACGTCACCCACTGACGTCACCCACTGACGTCATTTCCTGACTTCGCCCTTACTGGTACATACCGGTACCCACCGGTATAGCGAAGCTTGGTCTTCCACTTGCTTCAACACTTGACGCAGCTTGACGAGGTGTCTTCTTCACAGCCGCTGTCTTTTCAACACTCCCTCTCGACTCGTTAGCTGCGGCACCTTGGATCCCAAGTCGATCGCGAATGTTTTCAAATTGTACAGCGGCGATCGGCTTGGTCATCATGTCTGCCAGCATATCTTGAGTCGGGCAATACTCCAAAACGACTTCACCTGATTCCACCTTCTCACGCACAAAATGGTAGCGTATGTCGATGTGTTTTGTTCTCTTATGGAACTCCGGGTTCTTGGCGAGAGCGATTGATCCTTGGTTGTCTTCATACATCTTGATCGCTTCGTCGCTTGTCATCTCACCAAGTTCCCCCAAAAGCACTTTGAGCCATACTGCTTCTTTGGTTGCTTCGGAAAGCGCCATGTATTCTGCTTCTGTTGAAGATAGCGCGACCGTCCGTTGTTTCTGGCTTTTCCAGCTGATGCATCCTCCGCTCATCATGAACACATATCCGCTTGTACTTCGTCTTGACTCAATGTCGCCGGCCCAGTCTGCGTCGGTGTACCCGCAGATACGGCTTCCTTCTTCACGTGTAAACTCAAGACCATGATTGGGCGTTGCTTGCAGGTATCTCAGCACACGCTTCAAAGCTTGCCAGTGAGTCGGGCATGGGTCGGACGAGAACTGGGATAATGATCCCACTGCAGCAGCTAGATCCGGACGTGTGGCGACCATGAGATACATGATGCCTCCGACAGCACTTCGATATGGCACGTTGCACATGGTGTCTTCGTGCTTGCATTCTTGTTCGCACATGTTCTTGGTTAGCTTCAGGCCGGGATCTTGAGGCGTCTTCACTGGCTTGCTGTTATCCATTCCGAACTTGGTTAACACGGACTTGAGAAACTTGGTTTGTTGTACAGTCACCATTCCCGTCTTGATGAACTTTAGACTTCTTGGTCCGAGTGCAAAACGCAAAGTGAATATATATTTATAATAGGTACTTAGTTCGCAACTTTGAATACTACCTCTAAGCCTATTATTCGCAGTGACGTCATCCAGTGACGTCATGTCCCTTCCTGACTTCGCCCTTACTGGTACATACCGGTACCCACCGGTATAGCGAAGCTTGGTCTTCCACTTGCTTCAACACTTGACGCAGCTTGACGAGGTGTCTTCTTCACAGCCGCTGTCTTTTCAACACTCCCTCTCGACTCGTTAGCTGCGGCACCTTGGATCCCAAGTCGATCGCGAATGTTTTCAAATTGTACAGCGGCGATCGGCTTGGTCATCATGTCTGCCAGCATATCTTGAGTCGGGCAATACTCCAAAACGACTTCACCTGATTCCACCTTCTCACGCACAAAATGGTAGCGTATGTCGATGTGTTTTGTTCTCTTATGGAACTCCGGGTTCTTGGCGAGAGCGATTGATCATTGGTTGTCTTCATACATCTTGATCGCTTCGTCGCTTGTCATCTCACCAAGTTCCCCCAAAAGCACCTTGAGCCATACTGCTTCTTTGGTTGCTTCGGAAAGCGCCATGTATTCTGCTTCTGTTGAAGATAGCGCGACCGTCCGTTGTTTCTGGCTTTTCCAGCTGATGCATCCTCCGCTCATCATGAACACATAGCCGCTTGTACTTCGTCTTGACTCAATGTCGCCGGCCCAGTCTGCGTCGGTGTACCCGCAGATACGGCTTCCTTCTTCACGTGTAAACTCAAGACCATGATTGGGCGTTGCTTGCAGGTATCTCAGCACACGCTTCAAAGCTTGCCAGTGAGTCGGGCATGGGTCGGACGAGAACTGGGATAATGATCCCACTGCAGCAGCTAGATCCGGACGTGTGGCGACCATGAGATACATGATGCCTCCGACAGCACTTCGATATGGCACGTTGCACATGGTGTCTTCGTGCTTGCATTCTTGTTCACACATGTTCTTGGTTAGCTTCAGGCCGGGATCTTGAGGCGTCTTCACTGGCTTGCTGTTATCCATTCCGAACTTGGTTAACACGGACTTGAGAAACTTGGTTTGTTGTACAGTCACCATTCCCGTCTTACGGTCGTTCTTGATCTCCATGCCGAGAAAGTAATCGAGCTCACCGAGATCCGTCATTTCGAAGCGTTTGCTCAGCGCCATCTTGGTCGACTTGAGGAGTTCGTTGTTGCTGCTGGCCAGGATGAGATCATCGACGTAGAGCACCACGAGAATCATGTCTTGGTCGTCTCGCTTGATGTAGATGCAGTGGTCCGATTCGCACTTCTTGAATCCCATCTTGATCATGAACCCATCGATTGTTTGGTTCCACATGAGAGGCGATTGCTTCAAGCCGTAGAGTGATCTCTTTAGCTTGCACACATAGTCCGGCTGTGTTGCATCCAGGTATCCGTCCGGCTGGTCCATGTAGATGTCTTCGTTGAGGGAGCCGTTAAGAAACGCTGTCTTGACGTCCATCTGATGTAGCATTAGGCCGTACTTAGCCGCCATACTGAGCACCACACGAATCGATGTGAACTTGGCCACCGGTGCGAAAGTTTCTTCATAGTCAACTCCGAATTCCTGTGAGAATCCTTTGGCCACAAGTCTTGCCTTGAAACGTTCAACTTCGCCATCTTGATTCTCCTTTACACAAAAAACCCATCGGCACCCGATGGCCTTGCGACCTTTCGGAAGAGGCACGATTTCCCACGTGTCGTTTCTCTGAAGCGAATCGAACTCCGAGTCACACGCTTCTTTCCACTTGCCGGAGTCGCTTGATTCCATCGCCGACTTGAATGTAGTCGGCGTTTCCCCCACTGAATCAACGATGTAGGCTGCTTCAAAATCCATTGCAGCCGCTGACACATGCTCAAGCGACGGACCTCTGTATGTTCTTCGCTTGGGACTTGGAATGACGGTAGCTTTCTCAAGTGATTGAGTGCGCGTGTGTCTCTTGATGTTGCTCTTCGAAGACCTGGTGTCTTCGTTGTAATCGTCGCTCGAGTCCATGTCGTCGTCAGTTTTACCTTCT